ACTTCTGGCAAGCAGTAGTGGAGTAGATTCGACCTTGGTTCGCACTGGCCACGTGGGGCAGCGTAACATTGGCCGAGGGGTTGGTGGCAGCAGAAGAGTACGAGGTTACAGGGGAACCGGTGGGGTTTCCGGTAGTAAATTCCATGTCGGTGTCAGTATTATCCGTAGTCAATTGTGATGAAGAAGTCTCAGTCACATGACCAGAAATCTCACCTAAAGGACGGGATTGTTGACGGGGGGTAGCAGGGGAGGAAAGTAAAACAGTAGCGCTAGGGCCCATGGAAGGGCCTTCACGAGCAGGGGGGGAATTCGGGGTGGCGTCGGAGTTCGAATGATGGGGAGATTTATCCGGATCAGGGTCGAGGAGGACGGGGTCAACATTGCGTTTTTCTTGTAAGTGAGACATAAGGTCCATCTTAGAGGATACTCAAGTGTTACTCCCTCATACAAAAAACCAGCCTGATCGCGCGGTGTGAGGAGGCACTAGTGTGCTCGTCTCATCATTGTGATATGTGTGATGGTAAGAAGTTGTTCAGCCAGCAGAGAGATATTTCACTCGTTCCCACAAGGAATCGAACCTTGATTTCTTCTTTTAGGAAGCGTGATATCCATTACACAATGGTACCGAGCAAACATCATCTGCTAGAACTGATATACTCCTGTTTGCTTGGAGATTGGTGGTGGGATTTCGGCAGTTTCCTTACTACCCCAACTTGTGTTACCAGATTATACGACAAAAATCGAAAGTGGTTGGTTGGCCGAGTGGTCTAAGGCGCCAGGGTAAGGTCACCTTACCGCGATATCTTGCATATCACATTCCTGGTCTCTTCGGGGGCGTGGGTTCGAACCCCACACCAATCATCATTTTTCGAATTTTATTTCAAAAAGACTACTCAACTCATATCTGGAATACTTGGTATCGATAACTTACAAAGGTAGAATGGACAAGGCGTTTAAACCGACATGTTCAAAAGCATGTGTAATGTAACTGTCGAATATTTAAGCATCTCAAATAATATCACCAACTAATTCTTGAAATTTCACAAAAAAGCTTCTTTAATTGGAATGATGATTCGGAGTACCAATCGATGGATTCTAACTTTGCTCAATTGTAGCTAACGTTAGAACATTCAGATGAAGTTTTATGCATTTCAATGATAATTCGTTACACAACGTCAAATTTAGGTATCGTAGGTTAAAAAGCGAGCACACTCAATGAGTAAAGCTAAACTTGCGAATATATGATACCAATGGAGTCAAGCCAATCACCAACAGTACCATACATCCCTAAAAGCTTACTCCCAGAAGGCGGTTGCAAGATATGCAAACTGCCCCCTTTCTCATTCCCGAAAAATGGGGATTTTCGTAAATTGGTTTCAAATTGAATGCCATCCACCCAAGCACCGGACCTCACGTATATCCTCGTGATAAATTCATTAGGTTTGAGCTCAAATTTACTCCGGTTCGACTCTAAGCGACCAATCAGAGATTTACCACTTTGGACATGCCCTTGTGACTGATGGCGATTGATTCCAATTCTTTCGAGTTTTCCAGCAATTTTATTTTCGATTTTATCCCGTAAGTAATCTCTGGGGGGAACCTTAGGTGGTCCTCCTTCAAAATTTTGGGGTGATCCTGACCAATGAAAGCTGACACCTCTCAAGGCATAATGCGTAAAAGTCTCGACACTTAATAGGGATTCATTGTCAAAGAAAGCAACTGTCATTCTGTTCTTATTATTTCCCAAGGCTTCCGACTTCACTCCTTTGATAGGACCACATCCAAAATCTCCTTCAATAATTTCATTTGGTTTGCTAAGCCAAGCTTTGAAGTTACCGCAATTAAAGTCATTATAAAATGAATTGCAGGATATTTCGAAATCTTCCATGAAATCATTAGGTTTACTCCTTTTGAACTCAGATGCAAGCTGGTTGTAGTCCAAAGTGAGCTCGTGGGGATTGCCCTGCCCTCCATAGCACTTTGGGAAGAAGTTAATTGAGAAACGAGCTAAACCTTTTGTCTTGAGTTCAATAGTGTAAAAGCCCGGCGAAGAGGTGATATCGGCGCCATTGTTCGTCTTGTAGGCCATTGGCGAGATTGCATTCGGAGCATTGTCGGGTTCCAACGTTGTCGCCATGATTTTGGGAAAATCATCGACTGGTAGTGAAAATGATCCATGGTATAAGAATCGCATGAGGTCTTGCATATTCCAGTGACACTCTTCACTCCATTGACCATTCCGATCGATGACTTTACCCAGCGAATTGGTTCGTAAGCACTCCATTTCACGAGTCATGAATGCCCGGTTAAAACGAACGTAATCACGTAACATGATACCATCAACTTGGTGAGGGCATCCAAGTGCGTGCCCAATTTCATGAAGAAAGGCGCCACTACAAATGTTCAAACACTCCCATGATGTGCCACATTCTCCCGCATCATTTGCAACCTCGTCTGTGGAAAGGTGGGTAGCGTCCAAAAAGGATGGAGTGATTTGTGGGAAGTTATTAGGGTAAGAGTGAAGTCCATGAGAGCCAAATACAGCCATTTTCACATCGCCAGTACCTCCTCCCAATGCTGCATGAGCAGTGATCAATTTGTTCTTCTTATCCCACCATGAATCAAGAATCATACACGCCACTTGCACGGCGGTGCCATACTTCTCTCGGTATTGATATATTTCTGGTGTCTTTTTCGTGAGCTCAATTGCGTGACTCCATGTCCATCCACCGTCCCTTGCATTGTTATTCTGTTGAGCAAGGTCTTTATTATGAAAAAAACTAAGTGGATGAGGCAGTCTCATGACAACAATCTTGATCTCCTTATGAGGGGTAGGAGAATCAACATTATAGCCATAAATTCCTTGATGATGAACTTCCTCTTCATAAAATTGAAAAACCCGATTCGAAAGTCCTTTACGTCTCATTTCCTCTTGAGTGTAGGCTTGGAATAAGCGTCCCATAATTTTGAGTTTACGGATTGCCATGTCAAAAGAGGGACGCTCACCTCGATTTAACCGATACCTTGGCATGTCATACTGCCCTTGAGAATCTGAAGCTGCCATAAGAGTCAAGAAGAAGGGCTTGACATTTTTAGGGACTTCATGCTTAAGACTGAGCTTACCATGATCAAAAACTCGATTGTTACGATACTCAGGGAATCCCAAGGGATTGATGAAAGCATCATAAACTTCGATTTCCAAATCATTATCACCTTCGCTCAAATTGACGATAGCTGTGAAACGTTGGTTGTTTATCTCATAATGGCAGGGAGGATAAACCTTGTTTTTGTTGTTAACAACTTGGATGACTCCTTGATTTATAGAATCACAGGAACCTTTAAGAAGAATGCACGGAGAACTGGATACTTCGCCATTGGTCCATTCAAATTTTATGGTCATTCTGATTAGGACAAGTGGTAATAACGTTAAGGAAATATTTTGTTGTATGCAGAATTATCAGATAGCTAAAAACTGCTCCTTGACGTCATCGTTAGATTCTTGCTCAGAGAAGAATTGAAACGAATTTGCAATCCCAACGGATGTAACACGCCATCGAGTCTTAAAGACTTCTTCGTAAGCTTTCTCCCTCACAGGTTATTGGTATGGTTGGCTTACAAAACGCTACTTACAAGCGACAGGATGGTAATAGTGCGAGGGTCTACAACGGGTGCGCACCGCGAAGGATTGCTATGAAGAGGTCACTGGCAGCATTGGCAGCTCGAAGTCACTGGGCCAAAAGGGCAAAATCGGATTGCGTCGATGAAGTGGAAGTTGTAAAGATCTTGCAACGTCTGGTCTCCCCCATCCAGATACTCCGTTGTCGATCAGCATCAACCGCTCAAAATGAGAATTGTGTTGATTTGGAGGAGATCCTTGGTGATTCTAATCTCACGGAGACATTTCAATTCAACTTCAATATTGACGTAGAATTCTTTCTATCTTTTGTCAATGAGAGTATGTTGACTGAGAAAAGACCAATCACTTTCATTTGCGGAACTTCGTTACTTAATGCACTCTCACCTGAAGCTAAACAGTTCAATTTGCATGAAATTACTGTTGCCCTTCCAAAATTTGGCAGTCATCATACAAAGATGATGGTCAACTTTTTTGGACATAGCTCAATGGAAATTATCATTATGACGGCAAACCTAACCAAGCTTGATTTTGGTGGACTTACCCAAATGTTGTGGCGATCAGGGCAACTTCAGAAGGGAAGAACTCAATCCCACCAAGGAAAGATATTCTTGAAAGATATGCAAAAGTATCTTCAACGATATAACAAATCAGTCACGAATGAGTTGGCACAGCGACTTGATGAATTTGATTTCCTGGAAATAAATGTTGAATTAGTGGCCTCGGTTCCTGGCACTTATACCATCGACGATAAGCTCGACCAAGAGATTTACGGATACGGCTCTTTACTAAAAGTTTTGAAACGTAATAATTTACTATTGGGAGCTCAAGAAAGGGAACACAAAGTACTTGCGCAGGTTTCGTCTATCGCATATCCAATAAACTCAAAAGGCAGAGACACTTCGAATATATTTACGCACTTGTTATGCCCTCTTATATTTTCGAGAGACACACCATTCAGATTAATTGAACCTGGTACTTCTCCTTCACGAAGCCATCAGAAGATGTTCAATTATCGCCCGCAGATTGTGTATCCAACGACTATGGAAGTTGCACTGAGCTCAATTGGATTTTTATCCGGACAAGCATTACATTTCAACTACAAAAGACCGGCATTATTAAAATGGCAGTATGGACAAAATATCAAGCCTTATCTTTATCGTTGGAATTCATCAGAAACTTGCGCATCAACAGGGAGGGAAACTATCACGCCTCATTCAAAACTCTATGCGGTGGATAACGGCGATGATTGGAAACTGATAAAGTGGGCTATGATGGGAAGTCACAACTTGTCGAAGCAAGCTTGGGGGTCACGCAAGGGGACAAAATTTGCTACCACAAACCCCAATAATTACAGTGTGCTGTCATATGAACTTAGTATTCTTTGTTTCCAGCAACAAAAATTACTAATTCCACATTATGGGAGCAACACGATTTCATCGGAAGCTTTGCCCATCAATTTCCCATTCAGAGTACCTCCCGTTTCCTATGGTTCGGGCGACGAGGCTTGGAGTTGGCAGAATGATCTTGGCGATATGAGAGATTCTCAAGGAATTTCCTTTGATGATTTAATCAAAAAGTGACTTTGGCTTGTCGACCTGTGTTGGTCCGAGTTCTTCCACATTATGAAACTGTTCAGTTTGCGAAACAACCCGAGCCTCTACCTCTGAGCTAGTGGATTCAGTAGAAATAATAGACTCCGGCAAGTGCTGTGGATATACCTTTTGACGTTTTGTGGACAAATCTTTGTCTTGTCTCTTGTGACTTCGCTTTTCAGTGTTTGTCACGTTGACCAGTTCCTTCGTTGTAGGATCATTATTAAGCTCCGCACCTAGCTGAGTGAAACATACAGTTAGCCGTGATCCTTCCAGCTCGAACACAATGGGATCAGCTGGCGATTTAAACCACACATTAATGAGTTTACCCGCACTGAGATCCTCAAATTCTTCCAGCATCGGATTTTGTAAAGAAGTGACGAGGTCGATGAATAGACGAATTTCTTTCATTCCAGTGCTAAACCTGGTTGAATAATCTTTGATGTCAAGAGAACCAGACGAGATCACGTCACAAACCGCAAGATCTTGAATCGGAAGTCCTACTGACACAGCCATAGGCAGGCGAAGATAATCCTCGTCTTTGAGTATACATCTGGAGTAACCCGTAAAACTGACACGCTCGGAAAGAATCTCAATAACAAGTTCTTCTGTGGCACCTGGAACCGTTGCGAGAAATCCATTGAGGATGCGAATATCAATTGACATGAGCTTGATTCTGCTTTCGTCGCTTAGATTACGCAATTCTCGTTGTTCGTTATACAAACTTTTATACCGAGACGCCATGACATCGCTCTCCAGGTCAATTAAACGAAAACTTGCCGAGTACATTTTCAAAATTTTCTCGTTCAGTTTAACGGCAATTAGAATTTGTTGACTGTCAAACAGTGAGATTTGAAGCCTCAAACCGTCAATATTGCGAGCATTAGACGACTTAAATAGGGTTGCAAAGTGACTTGCAACCAATAAAATCCTGACAGCTTTTCTGTTCTTGTATATGAACAGCTTATCGAAAAACTCCTTTGCAAATTCAATTGAAGCCTGGGCAACTCGAGATTGGTTCAACGCCAGTAGGACAATACCCCCAGGAGATAACTTCAACATTATATGATCGGAAACTGTGGCCAAGCTCAATATGGCCTTCGCCCACACTTCATGGCAACTTCTATATGGGCCAAGCTCACATTCAAAGGCAATCATGTTCAGATAAATTTGCGCCTTATGCGAACTAAGCAAGACACATCAGTTTGAGTGCCAAACGTGTAGCAATGGAGGACAAGTAACAAGCTACAGTAATCGTTTGCGTCACCAGTGACATTGGAGCTGATTCTGCATTTGGAGCACTTGCTTCGAGTTAATCACGCGTCAAATTGCGGGGAAGATCAAGGGTGAGCGAGGTCAATTAAATATTGACGCTAGACATTAGCAGATATTTGTCTACTAAAATCATCTATCTCGACTCCCTAAACATACCTCCTACATATATGAGCTTGTGGTGCGACGATTTTCATTGCGGGTGGAACGACTTGAGCTGCTTCGACGACCCTACGTTACAGTCCAAGTATTTTAGGGAGATAATGGAACCGCGAGAGAACAGCCCAACTCAGGAATCAAAAAGCCCAATAGAAAGAAAATCACTGTTTTTCGAAAGGATCTTTTCACGCCCAGCAAAACCTCCCAGCGAAGGCAAAAACAATGCGACATATCACAATCCCATGGATGACTACTCCAACATTGAACCGCTTAAACTAAAAGGCTACAACCTGCCAAAGCAAATATTGGATAGAGACTTGGCAGCGGATATCAGAAACTTGATCCCAGCGAGACTTCAACTTCAAGATGATTGGCTTTTAGTGTACTCCCTTGACCACGACGGGGTACTGTTGAACACGTTGTACAGACATTGTGATCCAAAATACGATCCCCATTCGGCAAGTAAAAGGACGGAAATAGGGTTTGGTAATCAAGTTGTTTCATCCATGATTGGCAGTAATCATCAGATTTCACGCCCTCAAGGGTTTGTACTCGTTCTACGAGACGAAATGAACCAAGTGTTCGGATGTTACTTGAATGAGCATTTACGTCCTGTGGAATCTAAAAGATATTACGGTAATGGCGAGTGCTTTTTATGGAAGCTGGAGCGAGTTCCCCAGCATAACCATCAGACTCGTTTTAAGGCCTTCATGTACACAGGAATTAATGACAACATCATCTATTCCAACACCCAATTCATAGCTGTTGGTTCGCTGAACGGACAAAATGGTTTGTATATTAATCAAAACCTTGATGATGGTATAAGTTATCGTTGCGAAACTTTTGGCAACGAAGTGCTCAACGAAGCTGACGAAGCAGTTAAGATGGGAAGATTCAAGATTTATGGGCTAGAAATCTGGCGTATTGGATAGCTTGGATGTAATCAAAAAGTACACTGGAGGCTCTTTGGATGTATGACATGTTGGTACAATAACCCCTTCCACATCAGCGATCGAAAACGGATGGATGCAAAACTTGATGTTGAACCATATGTCTAGGAGTTGTGCATTGAGTGCATGGAAATGTAATTTCTTCATATTTATCCATATACCAAATTTTTCCTTTTCAGTGAGCATATACATGCTCGTACACATGCTTATACTCGTGCTCAAACATTCCCTGATATATGCTCATACTAAAAGTCTAAGCGTTTAAAAGTCTAAGCGTTTAAAAGTCTAAGCTTTTATTATTATCCGTTGAGGAATTCTATACACAAGGATTAGATATAAATCACTTTCGCGGTATAAAAGGCCAATAAATTGTTGAAATGAATTGAATAATGCATCTTCGTAATCATCGTTAAATAATTCTCATCCTGAATGGTACAGTAATATGTTGAGTTTACTGTTACCATCACCAGTTGAGTCATAAGGCGAAGTTGAGTGCCTCATGAAGCTAATCCCCATGCGCCAATGGTCAGCTCAAATTAAATCAGGTAAATTAAGTTCTTCAAGTAAACCGAACATGGCTTGATTATCATCAATAAAGTCATTGTTGACAAGATTGACAAGAACATAATTTTCCGCAAATTGAGAAACAAAATCAATGAAATTTCTACGGGTATCATCATCAATCTCAACGACCAGAGCCTGCATGATGTTACCCCACTCTTGCAACAAAGAATAAACTTCGTCCTTCCAGGCAAGAAATGAGGTCTTTTCAACAATGGTCGGTTGTAAAATTTCTTCGCCCGGAAACACACCCCAAGTTACTGCGTTGATATCATCATCATCACAGTTTGTCCACAAAGTGCTGTCTTTATTAACGGCGTAATAAGAAATCACCAGTGAGGCAGATTCCAGTTGAGACTTATTGTGGTTGTCGATCTTGAGCAACAAGTCAGCGAGTAATCCCTTCGGGCACAAAAACTCAAGGTATTGCTTTTGGTATACATATCCATTTTTGGGACCCCATCCATAAGTCTTATCATTGGAACGCACAGCATTGAGAGCCGGTTGAGAGTTCATCGTAAAGATACCTTTGCGATTGAGATTGATGAGATGCTCTCTAATGACGGCGGAATCACTTCCAATAGGGCCATCAGACCAAGGTAAAGATTTGAGGTCACCTTTGATGTAGGAGATCAAAATCTTCGACAAGTCAGCTACCGAGGAAGGTACGCCCCACAAGTCATAAGCCTTCTTCGGGGATTGCCTCAAAAGATCCGTGGCACTAAGGTCGATGTCACCAAAAGCAGGGGATCTAGAGTCCCCCCATCTACCATTAGGAAATTCGTCCCATGTGGCAGTACGAGAAACGTAGGAGTATTTTCTGTTTTGCCAAAAGATGGGTCTGATAGATTCTTTTGAACGTTGAGGATGCAACGATTTTCTCCAGGGTAAAACAGCACCGCCCAAGGATTCATGAGACTTGATCGTTTCGATTAAGTTAAGTTTTTCCAATACCATTACAGTCGATTTCTCAAGATTCATCGTGTAAAAGTGTAAATGATTCACATAACCAGAGTCAATCATCTTACGACACATTTCCAGAACTAATTCGGTACCCTTCTCACGAACCAAAAAGTCGTCATCTTTGATCGGCTCCAAGACATCTAAAAAGTGTTGAGGAATGGAAACTTCAGACCATTTGGCTCTGCGAATGAAAGCGGCATACGTTGAAATAGGCATGATACCGGGAATGATAGGCAAATCGATTCCAATTTTTCTGAGTTTGGCGCACCATGTGAGAAAATTGTCAACATCATAAAACATTTGAGTGATAATAAAATCAGCACCCACATCACACTTCTCCTTTAAGTAACGTAATACCTTTTCTTCATCCTCCTCCTCGGGATGTCCTTCGGGGTACGCAGCTACCCCGATATTGAAGTGATCACCGTAGTTTTTTCTGATGTAACTAATCAAATCCTTCGCATACTTGAAATCACCGGTAGATTCCGATCCATCAAGGGGAGGATCACCACGCAAAGCTAAGATGTTCTGACATCCAGAGTCATAAGCCTTTTTCAAAGCTTCGTCAATAAGTTCAACTTTCATATTAGTGCACGTCAAATGCATGCATGTTTCAAGACCGAGGGTCAGTTGAGCAGTGTAGACCATTTCATTGGTGAGTGTAGACGACCGACCACCAGCGTTCCACGTTATATCGATAAAAACAGGGTTCAAATCGTACATTCTGTCCATCCGGTCGTACAAGTTTTGTACACCTTGAGAAGTTTTCGGAACAAAGAACTCAAACGAGAACGTCGCCGGTGGAGGGTTGGTTATCGAATGAGCCTGCTTTAACTTTTCAGAGATTCTCATTATGGAGTTCAACTGATGAAATTTTTGGGTGCTTTTTTTTCGCTCTATGATCAACGTGAGTCACATGTAGGTAGGAGCTTGAATATGCCCGCTTGCGGATGCATCAGCGTGGGGTTGGGACACCTTAAACTTGCATAAGTGAGGAATCACATTAAATAGGACAATTGTGGCAAACAATAGCTTGGTGGTTATTGCTACAATTGTGCTACAACATGGTAAAGAGTTTGATATCAATATATAACCTGAAGATCAAATTGTCGACCTTTCACTCTATATGCATGACAAGTGCTCACGTGGGATAACAAAAGGGGCATCGATGCATCAGAAAATAAACTACAACTCGTCGCCGATACCGGCGTCAAGCGAAAGCACCGTCTCAATTTGGCGATCATATTCCGACCACTCCAGAATAAGTCGCTTTGCCTTCGTGAGTTTGTTTTCTTTAGTCAACGGGTCATTGCACAAATCAATAGATTTCGCTGTATCTTTCCAATCCAGGTTGCACCACGTTTCGCACCAAAGCCATTCTTGAGGAAGACTAAAAATCGGAATCACGTTTTGGAGGTTATTTGGTAAATCTTGATCGAGATTTGCCAACGAGTTGGGATCACTAGAAAGCTTTTGGTAATGACTTCTTAACCAGTCCCCTGCATGTAAAGCCCGAAACCTCGTGAGGTCAACAACAAATAAAGCTGATATGTGATACCTGAGGTTCTCGCCAAGGATGTTTTCCCAATAACCTTGCTTCCAAAACATATAACCCTTCATTTCCTCACGATCTTCACACATGGGAGTGAATGCGTATGGTTTGCCTTCCAAATCTAGATCCATCAACTCACCTAAATCAGTGCGTACCACTTGATCAGCATCCACGTATATAATACGGGAAAGGTTGGAAGGAAAAAGTTCATCCAAGAACAAGATTTTATAGCCCCATATCTGACGCTGCTTATCATCCTGTTGACGCAAAAATCGTGGCCATTTATAGCTAACCAATTCATAGTCATAACCATAATAAGCAGCTAATGCAGGAAGCGTTACTGATTTGAACTCTTCACTAAGAAAGTTTTCAAGCAACCAAAATTTAAGAGGTCTCTTAGTATGCTGACGTACGGACGCAGTCATGATACCCATAAGTCGTTCATACAACTCACCACCGGCGATAGAGAAAATGTTGATGGTATCTCCGTCATCTTGGAAGTCCCAAGCAAACTCGTTTGATGTACGAGCATGCACATTATACGCAGACAAGTCCCACATTTCGAATTGCACTTCAGTAGGACGGATGTTTGAATCAAATTTTTCTCTCGCCGATAGTAAATCACCGTTGATTGCCCGCATAGTCACAATAGTCCCAGGCTTTGCTGGAAGTTGAAAATATCCGAGGGCCGACATGACAGTAGTATCATGACCGTTGTCAAGTGAAAGGATCATCAGTGGGTGACGACCAGAATGAATATCACGAGCATATCCTTCGATAATCAATTCGCTAAGCTCAAATTCCGCATAGCTGTCACTGAGGCACACCAAATTCTCGAGGTCAACATTTGCATCACCTCTCTGCACTTTCCAACGACTGGGAACTACTATGTCGGCGTCAAATATAAGGTTTTCGGGTAGCTTTGTTTTTGTTGATGCGTTCAGCAACCATTGACCTTTTTCATCAAATTTAACCAAGGCCCTAGGATAGTTGCTCACAAAAGCATGAGTCAAACTTGTGATAAGGTTTCTTTGCGGTTGCAATATAACTTTGGTGTGCACGAACTGCATATCACGAACAGAATCTATGATTGATGACCAAAGGGCTGCTTGAGTGTCTACGGGATCAACGATCAAGAGAACTTCAACAGGTGCATCCACAGGACCGTAAGTTATAACGTTGCTTGTGTCAAGAATACTGAAATCATATCTTTGAACATCTTTCACAAACATATCATCATCTTTATGGAATGAAGTCGCCAACGTCAGTGTGACGAGATCAAACCATTCAGCTTCAGATAAACCAGAATTGAGGGCGATAGCAGTTTTGTTTAAACTTTCAAAGAAGGGTGGATAGGCGTTGAATATTTCAGGAAGGATACTCAAGCGTTGCCCATTTTCGTAATCTATCAAATATCTTAATTCACCATGTGTAAGAGCCGGACTGCTCAATCGAAAGTACCTTGCGTTGTACAACATGAAATCATGATGCATTGGTAACTGCTTTCGTTCTAAAATTTTGCCATAGTATCTGAGTCCCGCACCTTTCGGTTTCCATTCCACCAAATGTGCTTGAAGTCTCTCGATTTCTCCCTTTGTCAATGAAGCCAAATTAAATTGCGACTTGAATTCGTTTTCGAAGCAACCACCGGTATCGATGATGTGTACAATCACTCCATCAGATTCAACAAGCTTGATAATTTCAATCAATTGGGATATCAACGAAGGGTGATGAAAATCTCCAACCAACCAGAACGATCCCGCTTGATTCTGTCCACCCCTCTTTCGAGAAATTAAGATCAGATTATCGACCAACTCCTTGTCGACATGCTTGTATATCACTTTAGAAGGATCTTCAGGAATAACTCTAGAATTACGTTCTTTTTTCGCTCGATCATAAAGTACTGTTCGTAAAGGTTGCTCCACAGCTATTCCCAGTCGTAAACGATCTCTTATGATATGTACGTCCTGGCTCACTTGCTTTCCCATACCAGCCTTCCAGTTAGAACTCAAGCTCATGAAAACTCCATTGACTGCTAGCAGAGGTTCATTAACCGAAAACGCTCGTGCTGTGTGGACGTACACTTCCGGATCGAAATCGGGATCATCTGGAATCAAATCTAACACTTGTTTCGATTCCTCATCCGTAGTGGCTTCCATGTACTTGTACAAAAACGCCAACGCTTCCTGTTTGGCAGTGCCTTGACTTACAATATGGTAAAATTTCGAGGCAACGACCTCATCCCTATCATCTCCCGGAAGAGCAACCAATCCAACTTGCTGGGGAATACCATTATCCAAAATCAGTTTTGCAATCACAAAAAATGCTCTCAACTGTGATTTATCTCCCATATTGATGAACACAACAACATCATGGATGTTCTCTTTAAGAAGGGGAATATGCTCTCCTGGCTGCAAATATATATCTTGATCGATGGTGAATTCTGCATACATCTCATCATTTTCAATATCATTGAAGTAGACCACTCCTCGCTTCAAATATTTCAGATACTTGTGCCTCCACACCTGGAAGCGATTCTCATTATTTCCGAGTATCAGATTGCCAGTAGCAAAGTGTGATTCCTTGACTGCACTCATGAGGGCATATTTGCTAATTAAGAACTTTGCTTGAGTGGTATTGAACCCTAGACGAGTCAAATCACCAATGATGGCATATTCTCGAGTCACCGTTTCCATTAATTTGACAATGTCAACCTCCAACCCATGGATTGGAGCGCCATTCACGTATATCCCATAGGAATCAGCACCGAGTCCTAGCTGAGAATTTTTTGATGCAGCCTCAATTACTTCTTGCTTTGTTTTTAGTTTTGATAAGAATGGGGCGTAATGAGGTAGTCTCCTGGTAATGTGTTGGAGAGTTTCCAATGGCTTTGTGGAATCGAGTACGTAACTGGCAATTTTGTAACCTAAATTCTCATCGTAAACTGGGAACCATTCATCGAGTGCATCGATCTGTTCAATCATAGACATCTTCAAAGGTGGAACGCGAAATTTGCGCTTAGTTGACACGATGTTGTTAGGATCAATCGCCAAATATTCTGTGTTCTTGGCCTTCATTGTGATACCAAATCCACTAAGTCGCTCTCGTTGTTTAAGTACTGGCACATATCGCCACACTAGCCTTATTTCATCTCTTGTCAATTTCTCGAGTAGACGCGCCAACTCTCTCTTACTCGTAAGCGTGTGAGAACCATAGTAAATGACAAGTGGCTTCCTTGAGTCGCCTAAAACGCGATCAAACGGTTTCAGAAGAGAGCTCTTGGTAAAGCAAAAGTCTCTCACAATTTCCCCATTACTGTTCAAATATCCAGGTTTCCGCGATGTATCATTATCATAATGGGCCAAAATCCGAGGATGTCGGAATTTATAATTCAATTCCCAATCAATAATTGACTGATCAAACAGTGGCAACTTCAACGTACGCTTTACACTCTCGTAAAATGTTTCAGGTGTGCTAGACGTCACATAACACTGGATGGTTTGCAAATAATTTTTGTCACAATTGGCAGCAATTGACTCCACAAGGTAGTACTCAAATGGGCTGGACAAGCCATGACTCAATAAATCAAACTGGACCAGAGCTGTGACCACTCCGATCAACCAGAATATTAAGTGCATGTAATAATAAGGGGCAGATGTCGATTGGGTGGCGCGCGGATGGTAGCGTCATCACAGTAATAAACTAAAAATTAAATCAAAATCATATATAGTACATCGTGCAAACATTAAGAGTTAAAAGGTAAGCTCGAGAAGCTCTTCCATTGACATCATTTTAACAACTTTTCTCTTCCGCCGTAATTTAGGGTACAGCTCAAGTCGACTTTGCTTCTGTAGTCTAAATGACTTACCAGAAGAGAGGCGTGAAAGGCTTGTTGAAATGTTCTTTTCTTTCTCATTCCACTCAATCATGTCTTCGACTTTCAAGAGTGCAACTATTTTTCGTCGAGGATACTTGTCTTGCTCGCCAAAATAGGTCTTGCCTGGTGTGGATGTAAAAGTGTACACAAATGGTACAGTCTTGTACAAGTTTGAATTCAATGATTTCCCGCTTTGAAAGAAGTTTGCAGGTGACCCTAAAATTGGTCGTACTCGAAATGCCACGCGCTTTTTGTCAAACTTTTCGCAGGCCAGACAAGACTGTACCTCAACGGGGTCGTCATCAACATCATCGAGCGTCAAGTCAATTAAATCTCGATATGAGGCTACCTTTGATGGGTGTGTAGTGTCTAAACCCTCTACCTCAGCTGCACATGATTGCTCATCTTCGTCTTCTATGACGATTATAGAAGTGCTGGACTCAGACTTTTCTGAATTGATAGTTTCTGGCTCTTGACACCATTTATTGTCTTGTAACCTTCTTTGAATTGCGATGAGTCGCGAACGTCTTAATTCGTTTCCGGACAACTTCCCTGAAACTCCGCCTAATTTCCGAGCTTCCTTAAGTAACCCAAATCTTTTGAGTCTTTCGTCTCGCATACCACTTGCATTATGAGCTCCACCCAATCGATTCATTTCACATCTATAACCACTTTTTGGGATGGTACCAGAACGTAAGAGAAGATAGCGATCGCGTAGCTTATCTAGCAATTTGTAAAAAGCAGCGTTATGGGGGCCATGGACATTGTGAGCTAGCTCATGGAGGAATGTCTCAATAACATCTTCAAGCGGCAAGAACAGTCGATCATTGGAATGAAATCGCAAACGCAACATGATTTTCTGGCCGTGATTCACATTAAGTCCTAGTAGGTTTGGTGATTTGGGGTACATTTCGCAAAGCGTCCCCACCTTGAACCCAAATTCGTTAATTAGGGAGGCCGTCATACGAGCAACATCGTGGAGCATATCTCGCGCTGCATCTCGATCCGGAAACCTCTTAAGTGAACCGATATTCGAAATGTTTGCAACGGGGGAAACCAACGGACTGGTTTTAGACGTAGGAAATCCTCCGCGGCCGAGGACGACCATGGCAGTATAGTGAGCCCAGACAAGATAATAACTTTTTGGAAATAATGCGAATTAAGGGTTTGAGGCCCGCTTACGATACTTACGATCATTACGCTCATCCCTTGATCATTGAGGTGCAATTAGAGATGTGACAATACTGGGATTTGTTATATATGAATCAGCTATGTTCATCACATGTTCATCACATCATAATCATTTCGAGTACTTTTGTGCACAGGTTAACATAGATCAGTTTGAGAGGTCGTGTGTTCTCCCATTCTCACTAATGTGGTAGATTCCCGTGAGCAATATCTTATGCCAACTTTTGATAGCGCGGCATATTTGACTCCATTACTCATCCAATGCCAACCTCAACACCTTTCGAAATAGTCTTCAATGTGGAGATGACGTGCCAATCGTGTGCAGAATCAATCGGTAAGGCTATCAGCCCACTTGTTTCCTCTTATGATTGCGATGTTAAGAATAACACCGTTACAACTACCGGAGGTGTGGCTCCTAGTGAAATTGTTAAAGCGATACAATCAACTGGGCGTGATGCAATTATAAGAGGAACTGGCAAGCCAAATTCTGCAGCGGTTTGCATATTGGAATCATTTGATCCTAAGGATAATGACCACCCAGTGAAGGGGCTTGCCCGGATTGTCAGTGTATCGACGTCCGATTTGTTCATCGACTTGACGATCAATGGGTTACCCAAAGGTGTGTACTACCCTTCGATTCGTTCTGTGGGTAATTTACTGAGAGGCCCACTTAGTACTGGACTGCTCTTCTATCAATTGAGTCCCATCGAAGTGATGGTCCCTTCCGACGAAACGTCAATCATCAACTCGGTTGGGGCTCCTATGGTGGTTGATGGATTCAGTGGTCAACTGTTCCTCCACGCGAATCTCGGGATAACTGATCTTATAGGTCGACTGATTGTGGTTTCTCGTGCCCACGATCTTATTACAGAAGATGCTTTATGTGGTGTCATTGCGCGTCTGGCCGGAGTTTGGGAAAATGACAAAACAGTATGCAGTTGTTCAGGTAAGACTGTATGGGAAGAGCGACAAGACGCTCGTGGTAGAGGTATCAATTGAATATTTTAGTGCAAAAATCATGTATAGTAGCTTTCGAGTCGAATATGCAGTACTGAGGCTTTTTGCGACTTAGCTCCAACAATGCTCACCTTTAAATCGTTATGGCGTCCAGGTCACAAATATTAAGCTATCTTAACGATAGGCTGGAGCAAATCAGTGCTCTGCGGGCAATTAAAGTTTGTGGGCTTAACCAACTGAACTCTGATATTACTGCGGCTCAAGTTGTTGATATCATTCATGAATTTCTTTACTCATTCCAACCGCCATTGGAAGTGGATCAACTTGTGTTGTCGAACAACAACTTCGAAGAATTTCCTTCTAACTTGGCTTTGGTAGCTCGCCTGGTCAAATATCTTGATTTGCATCTGAATAACTTCCGTGGAATACCAGAACTAGGTGAACTATCTCGAGTTGAAATTTTGGATTTGAGCTCAAACAAAATCTCATTTATTTCACCTAACTGGCTCAGGAATATGACACACTTGAAGGTTTTACAACTTAAATCGAACCGGTTGCGCTATTTACCTCTGGCCTTGGGCCGTTTGACCAATTTGAACTTGATAGAGGTTGGGGACAATCCCTTATTGATGCCACTGCTTGATTTGATTCGGCAACTACAAAACCAAACGTCAGACTTAGATTGGGTCCGCGAGTTGAAAAACTATTTGATAGCGAACGGCGCCAAACTTGATGCAAAAATTGCCCAAGAGCAGAGTACAACGAGTCATGCATTTTCCATTCCATCTGCTGGTACTACAACCATCACAACTTCATCTAACTCTGGCGCCGGCGCCATTGGTGAATCTGCAAACGCTGATGCGATCAAACTGGCTCGTGCAACTCGGCGCATGGGACTTATCATGAAAAAAGACGATGACACCGAGGAGACAGGCTCATCTCCAATCCAATTGTCGCGACTGGTCCTGGCATTGGAGCAAATGCAAATTGTAACGCCACCTCCCATCCCTAAATCACCCACCCTGGCGCAAAACCTGCCTGCTCTGCGGAAGCGATCTAATACATTGAAAGAGATCGACAAGCTTTTAGAAAAGAATGACGGCGTTGATACTGAGCATAGACTGGCAGCGTACTTCCGTCGACTTCTGACTCTCCAGGAAAGCGAGGAAGCGACAAACGTTCCTCGCCAGATATCACAACTGCAAATTTCGACCTTAACTCGAGACTCAGGCAATATCAAACCAAGGCGCTCCAGCTTGATTAAAGTGAGCCGTAAGCTTTTATTTGCTTTTAGTGAACTACATTCACTGATCCGTCGTTTCACAGGATTTTGTACAGACAAGAAGATAACTATGAAAATGGTTCTGTCATTGTACACTACGAAGGCCACCATAGACGCTTTGGTTGAGAACTTGGAGGTCATGGATGAAAATACCAACAATACTAGCTTCACTTTAGAACAGATACTGGCAAGTTTACTTCTGTGTATCGGACTGGTTAAACTGATTATTAAGGTATTGGGAGAACTGCTTATCCATTTTATGGAGCATACTGATGTTTGTTTTATTCGTCTGTTGTACCTCACATTTTATGGTTCTATCAACGAATTGTCAAACGCTTATCGTTTGCTCGCCAAGCCACCTCAAATACTGATTCCGGATCCCAAGGTAGCCGTCAACACGAGTAGCAGCTATGATACCGATGATATTGATGAAAGACTTTACAGAGCCATTGATCTGGCTACTGCTGAAGCGATGGTAGTGTTTGGCGAGCTTACGAAGGCGATTTCGGGAGGTGCTTCAAATGGGGCAAATATCGCTAAAGTAAAGGAGCTTACGTCGATTTGCATGACTCTGATGGAAATTACTAAACGGCTTAAGACAAAAATGGTTACAATTCGCAACAATCCCAGTCTTCCTACAAAGAGAGCTTTTTGGGACGAGACTAATCTGTTCCTTAAACTGATCGTGCAAACGTTTATGCATGTCAAGGGCATTATGCAGGATCTTCCAATTTTGAATGAAGTAAGAAGCTCAATGTCGACTTTGACGAAAACGACCAAAGACGTAACCATTTTGTTGGAAGTTTCACTGTACAAACTGATACTGGAGGTCACACTGGCCACTGCTACTCATCCACCTCCTCTTGCCCTGATACCCCTGGTGCTGGCAATCTTCCAAATCACGACGCCTACATCACTGGTGCCACAAGTCCGTACGCCTTTGGTGGCTAGCCTCGGTGCGGCGGCGCAAGCCATCAAGCCGGTAAATCCCGATGGGGGCCCCATGCTTCTGCCCTCGCTTCACTATGCAAAAACCGGAATAAACCCATTCGATGGTCTCGCAGTTGACGCCGAGTCGCGGTAAATGCCGACCCCGCTAGACCGAGTCAAATGTGACTCTCGCGCGGGGCAAGAAAAAATAGCCTTAAAATCTCAAGAAGGGCCTCCACAAGCGACCCACGAGGGTAGCGTGAAAAAAGATCATAGATCGCGATGACCATTGAATTAGAGGAACCTCCGTTGACACAAGACAACTTCCAAGTTGTCAAAGACCTAGTCGCTGGGACCATGGGGGGTGTTGCTCAAGTGTTGGTGGGTCAACCCTTTGACACTGTGAAGGTGAGGTTACAGCTGGCTCCTGAGGGTACCTATAACGGGGCAATGGATGTTATCAAAAAATTGTTGAGTACCGAAGGTCCCGCGGGCTTCTACAAGGGAACATTGACCCCGTTGATCGGGGTAGGTGCCTGTGTCTCTGTTCAATTCTCTGTGAACGAGGGAATGAAGCGTCATTATAATACGGCTTTGGGAGGTAAACCGTTACTGTTAGCGCAATATTTCAACTGTGGTGCTGCTGCAGGATTTGCTAATGGATTTTTGACTGGCCCAATTGAACATATTCGTATTAGATTACAAACTCAGACTGGTGCTGTGAAACAGTTCAATGGACCAGTCGATTGTGCGAAGAAGTTGTTTCAAGCGGGAGGAATTTCCGCGATTTACAAGGGGTTGGGTCCCACTCTCGTAAGGGAATCAGCTGGCTTGGGTATCTATTTTGCTACATACGAGGCCCTTATCAACCGCCAGTCTGTCAAGCGTGAAGAAATCCCTGCTTGGAAGTTGTGTACATTTGGTGGGTTGCTGGGTTACGCCTTGTGGATTGCAATTTATCCTATCGATGTTATCAAGTCTAAAATGCAGACCGATTCGATTACACTGCCCAAGTACTCCAATTCCTTCGCAGTCGTACGTGATCTCATGAGAACTAGAGGCATTGCTGGGTTCTACAAGGGTTTTGTGCCAACAATTTTACGTGCAGCACCCGCAAATGGCGCAACGTTTGCTGTATTCGAACTTTTTATTAGAATGATGGGTTAAACCAAGAGGGTTTTGATAGATATGGTCCGTGTAGTTCCACTATAGTAATAATAATTCATGCCAATTTAAGACTTTTGAAAGAGAATTTAATCTTGCAGTTATTTGGGCTTTATGATGAGTTATATGAGAATTTATCATCTTTAATCATGCTATATTCTATGGAAAAAGTCAATCACTGCCTAATCTCCTAAAGCAAATTCGAAATGTCAACCTTCATGAACCGCAAAATCAACATAAACTGATCAACCTCAAAGGGAAATGCAGTTCGAAACTTGATAACATGCTTCCAACGTTTTGAGCTCATATGCTTGCGTTCTCTATGCAAACGATCCCATAAGTGCCATCCTCCTACATTGTCTCGAACCGTTTGAGTATCAACATTGATGCCATAGGTGCCATACAACAAATCTTTGCCGGCCTCACGTTGAAGATTAGCAGCCCAAATAAGGATGTTACCAAGGTATGACAAGACAGAATAGTCCAAGTTGTTTTGATGAACCTGCTTATTCAGCGGAGTAAGCCTCGTCCGAGTTGTTTCCAAATTGATCTCCGAGTACCCACCGAATAAGTCCAAAAGGTTTGAGTGTTGCTGCAAGGTACGCTTGAAGCCCACTGCCTCGAAGAGAGCAACATTGATGCACAACAAAAAGAAGATCCGTTGCTTTTGGGGATCGCTGAACAACTCATCAGTATGACGCAGCGTAAAGTTAATACCAGTTTGAGCATATTTTGAGAGAGTCAGCGACTGCATCAAAGTTTTCATCTTCACATCATTAGCGTTGAGCTTCAAGATTTGCACAACCGAAAGTCCAATAATCAGCTTCACTGGTTGGATCTCGGGGAGCTTTTCCAGTTTTTTGGTATTATTGATGTTGAGAGGTCTTAAGCGAACCTCGAAAGGCACTTCCAGGGTAGAAGCACCCTTGGAGTTGCCCTCAATACCAGCAATCAACGCAGCTACCAGAGGCTTGCGAGTTAATTCTGACATTGATGGCGTAGGCGGTAAGTTATGAGCGCCTACACTCAGATTGTCTTCATCAAGAGAGCCATTTGTAGAAGCGTTATCACCGCCCGTGAATCCATTCGAAGAAACTGCGGCACTTGCCGCCTCTTTGGCTTCCCGCAATTTAGCTCTCAGCTTCTTCTTTCTCAATTGGGATCGACTTTTCTTTTTCGAGAGCGATCGTTGTTTACGGTTTTCTTCGGGTGTGATGTTCCCATTTTTAACTGGTTCGATTCTGGACGCGTCGTCAATACTGGTGTTACCATCCTCATCACTAATGAACAGCATGTTCGCTAAATCGTCAACGCTGGCATTGGCGGGTGTGCCACATCTCGACACATTACGACTCAGCAGACTTACCAGGCGAGAATTTTGTTGGGAAATCAGTTTTGCTTGGTTTGGAGGAGGTGGTAATTGCAGCAGATGATCATCGTCATTCATGAATTGAGCCAAAATATCGGCCTCCGATTGCTTATGGTTCAAATTCCGGCGACTTTGACGTTTCTTCATTACCTTAGTACGCGGTGGGCTCGTCGAAAAAGATTCGTCTTCCAGGAAATGGATGTCATCAATATCTTGAGTAATCTCCAGCGCCAGAAATTTGAGACTTTTTACTTGGCGGCTTTCGTTGTGGGATTTCATTGGAGTAGGTAGCTTAACCGAGTCGACCATCGTCAGCAGTTCTGACGTCGGCTGGAGAAGATAGTTTAGATCATTTTCAAACAGCGTAATCGGCTCCTTCGTTTGGTGGTGTCGTTGTTGGTGACGTGGGCGTCTTGGTGACCGACTCTTGGCACTTTGAGGAGCTGGCACAATCTTATCCACTTCAGTCATATCCGTTAACAGTTTGAACGAGTTGAAACTGAAAACTAGACAAAATGCTCAATATAATGCTATAACAGGGATACAGCGACAAAAGGAGTAAACTGATCGTGCGTGAAGACCCCTGCTTTTCTATTCGAAATTTTTCCTAACGCGTCAATAATTTGAGGGTAAGTGCTACCACAATGTTTTGAAAGGAGAATGTGAGTCAGATTCTCGAATAAAGCGACACGAAGGGAAGTAACAAAAATAGGAATTAAATGTGCAACCAATTATACTACCGTTAGCATTGCACTTGTATTGGATGCTATCATGATGTAAGCACTTACTCTCGTCGCGTCTTCAACTCCTAATTAGTAGACAGTGCGTCCGCGCGTAATGGCAGGTAACGTGTCTCTGCCCAGTGAGGGGCGAGTACGTTGAATAGGGCACGTCTATGCGCTTTAAACTTTGCTATCTACAGAAATTCATCTATGAAGTAGGCGAATAAAAGTGACCCCATCTGGATCTCTGGAAATAGAGGAGAGGGGAACACAGAGTTTACCCTGTCCTGGCGTGTTTTTTTTTTTTTTCATAAATCGCGCTCACCATTGAAATTTTGTGCGATATTATCGTCTAAATACCTTCATCGGTCCTCGTAACGTACGTATAGCGCGTCTATGAAATGAGGATGTTTTATGCCAGGTGGTTTGGCCACTGCAAACGCTTCTATTGCTTCTTCAATTGTCCAACCTAGACGTTCAATAAGATAGCAACAACAGCAGAAGATGGTTCTGTTTTGACCATAATGGCAATGGACCGCAATTAACGGAGCATTGACATCGGAACTCGTTTCAAGTAAATCATCAACAATAGCTATGAACCGCCGAATGGCGGCTCTATCAGGGACGACCTTAGAAACAGTAGGACACTTGACGTATTTTACTCGCTGGAACAGGCTAGGGTTGTATACCGGGACGTCCAGCGATATGTCAATCACAGCCACCAAAACGCCTTCCACCGGAGCTGTATTGGGCTCTTCGTAAAATCTGGCTTCAAGTACTTGAGGCAGATGGTCGCAATCGCCCTCTTTAAGCGTCTTCATGGCTAACAACGGCGCGTACTCTACAGCGTTCCCAACACGTCTAGTGATATTTCTGGAAATCAGCTGAGTACGTCTCCATTTCTCTTCATTTTTCAATCCCCATTTGTCACCGCTTATTTTGGCTTTCACACTGAGTACCCAAGTCGGGCTTAGGTGGAGTCGCTCAGGGTAGTGACGCTCAATGTGATCAAGAACAGTACCACTAACAAATTCCGGCTTATTCAAAAGAAGCGAGTGTCCAGCTTGAAGAATTTCAATAAATGTGGATATCTCTCTCCGAGCACGAGTATTCAACCACTCGGCGGCTTGTCTCGAGTATTTTGAAGGAGTTATGACATCATCTGCACCGCAAAGGATCAAGGTTTTTTGGTTCGTAGTGTTAGGAGTGGACCCGCTGTCGTTATATCTACTCGTTGCAAGAGCTAGCTCATCATAGGTAGCCTTTCGAAATCCTTGCATGTAGCGCAACACCACTGGGGAGTCAACATCTAAATTCCACCGAAATTGGCGTAACCGTGTCAGAAGCAGCGTGGTGGAGGTTAGCTGCCGAAGCACCAGATGCAGTCGAAGTCCCTTGATGCGATCCCAAACTCTAAATATATCAAACACCTTCGGTACATAAGAAAACAACTTTATCGTTAACGGTAGATGTACCTTCACAGACGTATTATTTTCAGCGAGAGGTGGGGGCGATAACAATATCATCCCCTCAACCTTATTTTCCTCAAGCTTAGCGGCAAGCTTTATCACTAAATGCGTACCCATCAGATGCCCAATGAGTACTATTTTTTTGTTGCTAGGTACTCGTTGATTTACCCATGCCTGCAATAATTCCACGAGTTTATCCGTTTCAAAATCCTCCCACAGCATCAGCCTCCAACTAGATTCCAATTTGGCTTGCTCCTCAGTCAGATAATCAGTAATCGACCTTCCTCGTTGTCTTCGCAGAATGCCAAACCCAGGCAAGTCGATAGACATCACTTCCAGGCATTGGCTTAATAGCCCCATGAGTGGCTCAAAATTGGACATTTGTCCACCCAACCCATGTACGAACACAAATATCGGCAGTTCTTCAACTTCACGGTTCAATTCTTCAAGCTTTTCAGCACCCCCCTTTTTCAAAAAGTTCACCAAGGGATGCTGGATGTGCATGGTGTTAACCGAGATAGAATTAACGGAAAGCAGAGATTGCCGTAGGTCAATTTCAACAATCTTGGAGAATTTTGCCACCAATGAGCAGTCGTTCGGTTCAGTTCGAAGCACAAATTGTTCTAAGGAGTTCGGCTGTCTAAGGACGACAAGACGAAAATACTCCCATACTGTGCGCAACGGAGTACGCGTTCGCTCTTGTTGTTCTTTAGACAAGAGAAGTAACTTCGGATCATCGTAAGAGTGCAGTTGCAGCCTCACTGCAAGAAGCTCGAAGTCCTCTTCATTTTCACTCATACGGCTAATTCTGTGACGCACTTTTGCAAGTACTTTGATAACATCGGTCACGTGCAGAGCCTGATTCCGTTAGTATGGGCAAGATTATTATTGAAGTTTATAGTCACTCTGATGGGATCGCTTCAAATGATGTTGTTCGTGGAGTGTCGTAATGTACTAAAGTTGACATATCGTGTTACAACTTTTCAATCCGACAAACTTCAGTAATTGCAACTATGAATTTATCAACTTACTCTTTGACGACAGCACAACGTCCAATCAAACGTGAAGCTACTATAATACTATTCAAATACCACATCTTTACCATTTTCAATGAATTTGGTAATTTTATCCCTATCCTTTACCCCCTCGGTTTCAACCCCTCCGCTGACATCGAACCCGACGAGATTTTTGATGTACCTTGTTTCGTTAACGTTGTCTGGAGTGAGACCGCCTGCCAAAAGGAATCTCCCATACTGGAGGTTATTGATTGATTCCCAATCAATTGTCTTACCCTCACCCCCAGCTTCGGAATCAAGAAGGGGAATTGCCATACCAGGGAACTGATCCAAATTCGCAAAGTGAACCTTCATATCGTTCTCATCACGATCGAGCACATATCGCGGAATAATTCCAAATTCCAAGTTCTTATTATGAGCAAAAAAGCTCGGCTTATCTTCACTGCCATGCAATTGGATAAAGTCAACACCAATTTCTCGAGCCAACCCATAAACCTCCTCTTCGCTTTGATTTCGAAATACACCAACTGTGAACGGCCCTTGCAGAATAATATTGCGCCGAACTTGGTCAACGTATTGTGGAAACGGTAGTGTTATGTCGATTCCCTCAAATACAGTTCGAACATGGTTTGCTCTCCGTTGATTCTTCACTCCAGCAACAATTTGCTTCGCAACCTCGGTATCCACTGTGCGGCTGCGTCCCGGAACCATGATCATGCCAAGAAGATCAGCTCCATTAGTGATAGCATGTTGCGCTGATTCAGCATCACGTAACCCACAAATTTTCACCACATTGGTCATTGAGTCGTGCGTCTATTCGCACGCACGACGAAAGGTATATACTCTGATGGAGTTTGGAGGTTAAGATCGGTCAAGTGTGCCATCTGATAGGTTTCTTCACCATTATTTCTCTACTATCAGCTATCTTAGTAATTCAACTTAAACGCTCTCACAAAGTGTAAACATTTACTTGTTAGGCTTTGATGACACTGATAGTTTCTGCGCGTGCGACTGACCATATGGACACGCTAGACTACAATCCCTATGATGAGCTACCGAGGCTTTTGAGTACACCGAAGCTGCTAGATGAACTTGATGATATGCTCAAGCATACTCATTTGTACCGTACTCAACTTTCTCGTCGAGTCGTTGCCGAAATTGCGGATTACAATGCTCATCTTCAAGCAACAAGCCTCAAGGAGAACATCACAGATATGACCCATTCCATTGATGCGATCAAAGACGAAGCTCGCAAGTCTGAAACCCAAATCTCCGAGATGACTTTGCTGATTCAAAAGTTGGATTCGTATAAGCGCAATTTGGTGACACTGATGACCATTTTGAAGCGCCTTCAAATGCTTATAAACGCCCACAACCAATTGATGGGAGTAATAACAACGAGGAAGTATGATGAGATCTTTCAAATGCTTCTGGTCGTTCGCGAGTTTTTGGGCTTTTTCCGCCCATATAAGCTGATTGATGAGATAAACAAAATCAATTTGATGGTTCAGAAAACTCAAACTAAATTGGTGAGTGACATTTTGCTTGATTATGAAGAGGCAATGACGACATCTCATAGTGGAAGCAGCGATTTACGAGATGGTGCTCGAATTATTGAGTTGGTTGACCCCAAAAACAAGGACAAGGTATTATCTCAATTTTATAACCTACAACTAAGGGATATAAAGTCCATATTCAGCAATAATGATGAAGCAGGGTCGCTTGATAATTTCAATCGGCGGTATCTTTACTTTGTGCTGGTACTTGACAAAATGGAACTGCACTTTTCTCAGTTGTTCCCGGAAGAATGGAATGTCGAATTGGAGTTATCAAAAGTATTTTGTCAAATGAGTAAGCAAGACCTTCTGCGACTCTTGACGATGTCACTGCATCTGTCCACAATATTGTCTAACTTAACAGCAACTATCGATTTTGAGAAACAGTTGAACGATCGTCTTAACACAGTATTCTTTGATAAGTTGCTTTCAAGCGTTTTTGAAGACCATCTAGACATATGGATAAGTGAGCAAGATAACGTTCTTCGAGGTAAAATGCAAGAGCTTCTTGCCACGCCATTGCTACCAACTGAATTATCCTCAGCTCAAAGTCATGACGAGTTAATGGAGGTCTTGCGCACTAATAATGTGCCTAATATTTCAAATCCACTGATTGATTTGTTTAAGCACTTTCTAAAAGTATCCAGTCAGATACTTAAGCTTTCGAATGGTCCAGTGATTATCAGCTTGGCACGGTTGTTCATTAAGTATTTGTTGGAGTATAATACGCGAGCCCTCGTCCCATTAATACCAGTGGGCGAGGAATCCGTCAATGCAATCGACTGTATCAAATACCTTACGATGGTGATGAATACTAGCGATTATATAATGGGGAACCTTGACGATACTTGGCAGCGCCTAGCTAAAGTAATTCAGCCGCAATTGGTATCGAAGTTACCCTCAGCCGACCCGGTTAGGGAGACATTTCAATCTACAGTGAACAAGGTTGTACAGTGTTTGGTTGTTAAATGCAATCAAGACCTCCGCTGGGTGTGGCGTCAATTTGTTAATCAAAATTGGAATTTGGAAGCGTCACTGGGTTTAAGTAGCTACGTGCCTGATCTCATAAAGGTCGTAACGAAGCAAAACGCCGAATTGATCCTTCCATTGATTATCCGTGACGCGTATTCTCGAAATTATTGTGATAAAATTGTCGAACTGGTCGTTTCAGGATATGCGAATCATCTAGTTGCGATTAAACCGATGACAGTCCTCATGGTGGAGAGAATTCAAAATGATGTAGCTGCTACCAAGCTGGCATTGATGCAGTTACCGTTGTACGCTGATCCGAACTTTCGTGGTGAGGGAAATCCTTCTAAACTGTACGCAAAGCACCTCGAGCTACATTTCGGACATCTTAAGCGTTTATTGAACTTATTGTCAATCTCGTCAGCGTCTATGGAGGATTTCATTGCCGCGTATTTCGATATTATTGGTGATAATCTGGTGACAAATTTTCTCAAAGTCCTCACACTAAAAGGCATTGAGGACCAAAAGCGCTACGTGGAGGTGTTCAAGCTTCAACTAACCGCTGGAGGGGAAGAGTTGGTACGACCGAATCCATTGTTGGTTACACTCGAAGATGATAATGACCACCAATTGTCTAGCCGCCCGGACACTCCTATTTTGCGTGATGAGATTTTTGACTCCAGTCCGACTCCAGAAGTCAAGAGTCCGAGGTTGTTAGCAGCCCAGTTTGGCGCCACTATTCAATCTCAGTCGAATAAGATAACAAACTTGGAACGAAATATTCGTGATATGGGAGAGACCAGAGTGGCTAAGTTCAACGAAAATTTCAAGAAGCTATTCCGCAAAGACGAGTGAGGATTTAACTATTTTTTTTTTAGGTGTTTTACAACATAAAGAAAATGTATCAATTCACTCTCCAGGCGTCTCCAGTTGCTGTAATTGCTCGTCCCAAATCTTGTACTATATAACAATTCCAATAGCCTACAAGTTTCGTAAATTCTTGCTTTCAAACGCGAACTTAGAAAATCGTGAGGCGTGAAGTATAAACATGCTTTGGCGTGGGGTGCGGCTGAAGCTTGCGCCCTACGCGCGTAGTGAATCTGAATCGGTGTCACATCGATATATTAGAACTTGCCTGAACATAGGGCTAGTGAGTCGATTGCTGCCAATATTCATATCAATTGAGTTGGTCAACAAGGGCAAAATATCAACGCGGTTCCTCTGTACACTAGTCATTTTGTGGCATGCGGAGGCGGCTAATGTACTTCTGCATATGCCTTTTTCTACTTTCGGGGTAAACTCTACGATTTAAGTGTCAGAGAACTAACAACTTCCATTTAGATCACCCCGTACTTTTTACATGACGTACACAAGTTGTGTAATGCTCGCGTCATGAAGGTTCGCTCGAGTCTTACCAACATTCCGTATGAACACGATGACGTCATTATTCACTAGAGATTACGCGGGGATTTAGTGACACGAGTAAAACGAAAGCGAACACGTCAACAAAAGGCATTCACACATTATTCTCATGCGAAAACAAAAGTAAAAGGAATCCATTTGGGAGCATAAACCAACCACTAGCATAGGAAGTTTAATTTTACACCTTACTAGCTAGCGTCGTCGCTGGTTGTTTTCCTATTACGGTAAAGGCACGAGCGCGCCAAACTTTTTTTCTCACCGGCAGCCCTCCTTGCAAATCCGTTCAGCAGTTATGGCCCGGTTTAAGTTGGGCAAGAAATCCAAGCGTGACGACACCACGAGCTCACTGCTGACAATGCCTCTGGTGATGACCGAAGACTATGCCTATGGAGGCAATGGACGACACAGTGTTGGCCAGTCACCGCAGGGCTACGTGCCTGGCACAACCGCTGGCACCGTCACCCTGGATCAGACTCTGGTGGCAGGGTCTGTCGGTGGCCCTCCAAGTGTAATGCTGGACCTTCATCCTCACAACGCTAAATTTCTGTCGGGTCATTCTCGGCAACACTCTCGAAGCTTGAAGCCATTGCCTGCCGGGGTCACCACTCCTTGGAAAAGGTTCAAATTGATGAATCTGCCTTTCCCCCGTTATCGCCATGCCGCTAGTGCAGTCACTAGCGACAAGAATGAAGTCTTTTTGATGGGCGGCTTGAAGGAGGGTCTGGTGTTTGGTGATACATGGAAAATCGTACCTCACGTGAGCCACCACGAAATTGTTGGTTACGAGGCCTCCCCCATCGAAGTTGCCCTGATGCAAACTCCTCCAGCTCGGGTGGGACATGCTTCAGTGCTTTGTGGGAACGCTTTTATAGTCTATGGTGGTGACACTGTCGACACTGACGATGCCGGATTCCCTGATAACAACTTTTATTTGTTCAACATCAACAATAATAAGTACACGGTGCCCGGTCATATTCTCAATAAGCCGAACGGACGCTATGGTCATACCCTTGCTGTTGTTCTGCTTACAAATCTGCTGCTGCGACTCTACTTATTCGGCGGTCAATTGGAAAATCTGGTTTACGACGATCTTTACTTCTTTGAGCTCAACACCTTCAAACTGCCAAAGGCAAAATGGGAGTTGGTAGAGCCGCAAAACAACTTCAAACCTCCGCCTTTGACAAATCACTCAATGCTGGTCTACAAAAATAAGCTCTACGTTTTTGGAGGCGTGTACAATAATGAAAAGGTTCTGAATGATTTGTGGTGCTATGACCCTAGTATCAACAAGTGGATGCAGGTCCCTACTACTGGCAGAAATCCTCCTCCCACCAACGAACATTCGGCTTGCGTTGTGGGTGACCGTTTGTTCATATATGGTGGTAACGACTTCAGTGGTATCATATACTCCCTGATGTATGTTCTTGACTTGACCAACTTTTCGTGGCAACGAGTGAACACCGCCGGCGAAGTTGCTGGACCCGGTCCTCGTTGCGGTCATCTGATGACTTACGTCCCTCGCTACCATAAGTTGGTTGTTATGGGTGGCGATAAGAATGATTACGTTAACGAAGATCCACATGACTTTGATGTGTACGACACGATTACCGGTAATGAGGTTGGTACCATGTTATTTGAATTGGATGTGGACTTTGTGGACCATTTCTATGGTAACGACGGGCTTGGTGACGTTACCGAAGCAAACGAGTCACCGGTTGATGATGCTGCACCCATACACTCACCTAACGTGGGCTCGATTGTACCAGTAACCTCGCCGAAGGAACCCAAGCTGTATGCTCGAGACATCGCCCCTCACTCTCGAGACATCATAGACCCAAGGGGTACCGCCCCTCATGCAGACGCTCTTGGATCTCCAATTGCACCTCCAATTACTGATGAATTGGCAGGCAATGAATCCTTTGGTCCTTCCAATGACGATACTCAAGGGTATGCAAACCATGCCAAGCTGTACTCCGCAGGCCCTGAAGACTTTGCTCTGGCTGAAGCACTGCCTATGGTGAAACCCGTGTCCACTCATTCTCATGTGCCCCCGATTCCCAATACTGTTAGTGCCTCATCGGTGGATGAATCTTTGAAATTGAGAAACCGCCGCAGTCTTGATCCAGGTAAACCCGATGGATTGGGGTACGCGACAAATGGTGAAGGTGGCTTTGGATCCAAGGAAGTTAGTGGATTTCCTGGAGCTGCTAATTCAACTGGTGCCGTCGGTGATACTAGCGGTAAATCTGATTTCTCCAATGACCTTCCAAATCAAGATTACTCGGTTCCAAAGATTCCACCACCGCTGGACTCTTACTCCTCTGGATTCAACGAGTCGTCTAATTCTAAGAATTTACCCAGTCACCAGTCAGTTGAGCACAAATCAGCTTCTGTCAAGTCCCCAGCCATTGCAGATGGCATTGACGACACCGCTCCGTTGAGAGTACCGGATTCGCGCGATGATGACCACATCGCCAATCAAAATAATGCTCTCAACAGAACTATAACCAATGATGGTGGAAAACTCAAGGCGTTGGTAGCCGACTTGCTGGCTCAACTTAACCACTTGCGGTCAAACACGAAAGTGCAAATGCAACAGGCTACCCAACGTATTTCTGAGTTGGAAAATGAGAACAAAGAGTTGCGTGAGACTGGCCAACAGCGTACCGCTGAGCATGCGCCCCCCATTCCTGGATCTCTTCCAGGAGTCAGCGCACCGTCTGCCCTGGACGCCGAAGTGGCTCAGCTTCGTCTGCAAATCGCTGAACAAAAGGAGGTCATCGATCATCTCAAATTGCAAGTCGGCCCAACTGATTTGGATATCACCTCGCGTGATCTCAACGATTCCCCTGGTGGTGACCGTTCCCTGATCACTGAAGTTGGTAGACTCAAATTGGAACGTATGGAATATCGTCAAAAAGTCGCTCAGTTGGATGCTGACAAGACTAGGTTAGCGCGTCAAGTCGAGGAATATGAGCCATTTATGCAAAACCACGTGAGTGACTTATCTAAGTTTCAACAGGTCATCGAAACTCAGGAGCGGCAATTGGCTCAATTGAGTCAACTGTTGTTTGACCAAAATAAGCTCTTGGCGGAACTTGATGAAATGAAAACTAAACACGCCAATCTTGAGAGAGATTTTGCCACTTATCGCCAGATTTATCCTGCCGACGACGTAGATGGCACACGTGAAATCGATGATGCGTCGGTGAGTGCTACAAACCCGAGAAGCCTTGCTGCGGAAATGAGAAACATGGTTGAGGTTTGGACAAATCACCTGGCTGATATTAAACAGAGAGCACTCGAACCGACACCCGCCGTCGACAACTTGCACTTGACACAACTTCAATCTCAATTGGATGAATTGATGGCGGTGTCTAAACAAAATGATGAAATGGCATCTCGAGAAATTAACGAGCTCAAAGCACTTGTTGAGGAAAGGCTGAATGGTCTTCGCTCTTTCGAAGAGAAGTATCGTGATGCATTGTCGCTGGTGAACCATACGTCCAAGGCACTCAAATTGAGTCAAGAAGAGGTCCAGAGCCAGAAGCTGATGCTTGACAAGTTGATGAAGGAGAACAATGAACTCAGAATGTTTAAAACTGCAAGCAGACGCACTCTGCTGCGTAGCGCGACACCTATGGGTACCCCAGGTGGACCGGGAGCCGCCGAAGGATTACCACTGGTTGCGCCAATTGCTGAGGACCTGGACGACGAAGATGTTACACGAAACACTCATGCAAATTTGAAGATTAAAGATTTGGAAGCCGACCTTTTTATTTTGGGACAAGAGCGGGACTCATTGAAAGATCAAGTAGTGTCTTTAAAGAAGCAATTGTATATGGCGCAAAACGATGCGCCTTGAGGCAAATGAAGCAATACTGAAAACTCCCTCGGTATGGACTATCAAGGATCTAATATGTAACTTAATACTAAATCTAATGTTGTACTGATTGAAATTTTATTGAAGGCATAGCTCACATACATTTACTACTGTTGAATGTTTTAACTGCAACAGAATCAGTTAATTGATGCAGCAAAAAGGCAAGTAAACAAAACCTTATCATTTCTCTACGCCTTTGGCGGAGGAGGGATGACTTTCGCGTCATCGACTGTCGTAGGATGCCCATCTAACTTCAGAGACTTCTCTGTCTCCTCATCCATATAACTATCGATGTCCAGGGCCTTCGATGCCACAGTGTGCCTCGTTTTCTTCCGAGCTGACGGAGGAGGAGGTACAAATGAGGAAGAACCACTTTGGTCAACGTGGGGTGCCCCTAATGGTGGTGGCGCAGTCAGATAAGTGGAAGTTTTCTCCGATGTAGGTGGAGGTGGAGACATGAAGGTTGAGCCATCATTCGGTTGATACTCTAGACTTTGTTTCGAATCGAACAAAACGTCATCAACTATTGATTCAGCTTTGAATTTGCCGACAACTTCTGGAAGTCTATGCAACAATCCATAACCAACATCGCAACCAAGAATCCCACGATTGTGACCGTGACCCCATGAGCGGTTCAAATTCACCGTCACCGGTCGCAAAATGTCGTAGTCATGATTGTAAACGTAAAAAGTGATTGGGATGTTGTCGTTCAGTGTTCGCAGAAAATGATAGTTGTAATAATTGGAGACCGTACGAGACAAGAGTGCCTCGCCTCCTGCAGTAAGTAATCCTTTACCATTAACGTCATCATTATAGGTAGAATCACATCCAATTATGTAATCCAGAAAAGGAACCATACCACTGTGGAATGCAGGAGAGCCTTGATGAGTGGCGAGAATACGCCAAACATATGTGGCTGTGTTCAAGTGTTGAGATTGCAAAGTAACACCGGTCGAAGACATGCCCGATGATTCTAAAGGAAGAGATACTTGACGAATCAAGCCTCCTTTTGCATTCCACACGTCCAACACTAAAGGTTGATTTCGCGCAGCCAATGTGGCAATCTCTTGATTAATGATATCAAAATTCACCGCGCCTGCTTGTTCTGATGTAACCTGACCTCCGTAGTTAATAGACCCATCTTCATTTATCAGATATTGGACATTTGAAACATAAGGGTTTGTCATAGGTAATTCGTGGTTGTTTATTTTGACAATGTAATCAAACCACAGTTCAAGTCCTGCTTGATGAGCAGCTGAGTGAGGCGCAACTTTCACAACCCTCAATCCGTATCCACGATTGTTGAATTGAAGACAATTTTTGAAGTATGAGTCACCATTGAGAGAATCCTGAGGGCTTCCACCTTCAAACCGATCCACGAGCTTCTTTGCAAAGGAAAACATACGTGGGCTTTCGGAGGAGCGCGACAAAAAAAAAAAAAAGATAACAACCTTAGCCCCACAACCAGGCATAGCGTTTGATATATGTGGAATTATCAAAGTTCGTTCTATTCATTACCCATTATATTATAAAAATCATCAAATCATGCGGCGTTGGCAAGCCCTGCCGATAATGCCAACGACCAAGTGCGAGACATACCATTATCCAAGTGGTTTGGATTCCAATTGGAGTCGGAGAAAAACTCATAAGCAGACTTGGGATCGAAGAGCGCTTGGTTGAGGCGCAAAATACCCGTCCAGCCCAGATCAACATTGTCGAGGAACGTCGAAATTTGGCTATCCCACTCCTGTTCAACGAAAGTGGATCCCCTGATCATCAGCGACACTGGAGTCAAAGGGATCATGTGAATCCCATGAACGTATTCGGGATTCTTATCAGGGGCACCGAAAAATGTGGTGTACGCCATTTTGTTTTCGAAAATAATACCTGCCACCCGGTTAGGTTGGTATTCCGTAGGAACAATGTCATTGCCATCGGAAAAGTAGATGTAATCGTTCATCGACCGCTTCGTAACGGCGAGCATCAAATCTCCCCGAGCTTCCATAGCACCATCGCCAATCACTTGACCCCAAAGTTTCATGCCGTAGGAAAAGTTGTAATCTTCAGATGAAGATTCTTGATTCTTCCCATCGCCGGAAGCGAACAAGCCAGCAGCCCACGAATGACCCGAAAACCAGTCAAACGACCGGAATTGTGGGTAGAATGTATCAGAGTCCAGTGGGTTGGCCACATCTCTGATTAATGAGTTAACCCATTCCTTATTGTCATCAGCCCAGGACCCTCCGTACTTCTTGTCGATGTAACCAACGATAGCAGCAGCGTGCACAAAGTAACCATAGTGGAAGTGGTGGTCGTTGTAGTACGAGGAGCCAAAGTCTGCACCAGTGTCACCTTCCTGGGCAGAAGATGAGGTAACTCCCTTGTACCGAGTGTCATACATCAAAGGGTAGGTTTGCTTGTTGTTGAGGAACTGATCGAACGCTTTCTTGACTTGTTCAAGAGTAGCTTTTGCAACATCATCGTCCTTCAAAACATCGGAAATTACCAACAAAATGTACGCATACTTGTCCAAGACCTTACCCGAAAAGTAGTTGGAACCCATACCTTGAACGGTACCAGGAATATCCGCAGCAATTTCTTCGTTAGCAACCGAGGCCAAAAGCAGCAATTGGTCAGGGCTGTAAGTCAATTGACCTTGAACTTGTGGCAAAAACCCAAGCTCGCTATTGAGCGACTCCAGCATTATGATTTGAGGAGTCAAGAAACCGGTCATCATGCCTTTAGTGCTCAGAGCTAACTGCAAGCTGGTGACGTAGTTTCTCGTTTCACCCAGAAGCGAGGCAACGTGATGGGGCAACACAAACACGAGAGGAGCTTGCAGCTGCGATTCACCCTTAACGGAGTAGTCAAAGGAGTAGGTAGCTGAGGCGCCGTTAACAGACCCACCAAGATCACAACCATCCACGTACATTCCTGCAGCTTGATCGAAGTAAGCATCAGCCTTTGTACCATCGCGCTTCGAGCCTGAGTCGGTAGGAGCTTTGGCAATTTGGATGATCAAGCCATCAACCAGGCCCAGAGCCTTGAGGTTATAGGGGTCCAGAGCCGTCAACTCAAAGTCGGAGACACCATTGGGCAAGGTGACGTAAATCAACCAATCAACACCAGTAAACAACAGAGCACGGTACTTTTGGACGTTGTTCGGTAAGACGTCTGAAGTTTCCCTGGTGAAGGTTTCAACGCCAATGACTGAGTTAACCAACGCAGTTAACAGACCATGGTAGATAGCGGTGACAAAACCCATACCCTGAACCACAGGGATCTCAATGAAGTTTGTCTCGTCCGCAGCATCAGCAGCCAATTCAACCGTTACAGACATCATCCGCTGATTCTTCACCCTCATGTTGTTTTTGTTCTCGCTGAATGAAGTAGCCGCGAAAAGAAGCTCACCTTGTTGCGTCGGGTTATAAAAGTACAGAGGGGTGTCTGCATTATTGCTGTTACCAGTTCCGAACACCTGCTTCAGAGGGTCATTGTGTTGAATGCCAAACCCGTAGTAGTCAGTCTTCCGCCAAAACAAGCCGTACGGCCACGAAAACACCATGTCAGTTTGTTGTCCCAAAAACAAATTGGAATAGAACTTATTGGTTTGGAATGGGGCATCACCATTGTCAACACCCACAGGCACACCAAGAGGAAGCTCGTCTCTGAAAAACACGCTAGGGGGGTCGGCGGTGTCGATGGCAGCTGCAAATAAATCACCCGAGTAACCGTTATTTACCGGGGAATTGGCGCTTTCGCTTGGTGAAGTCGATATGAGCTGCAGCAGTGACAGGCTTAAAGACAGCAGTACCAACGAAGAGTGTTGAGCAATGACAGTTGACGACAGCTCACTGGTAGACAGAGACGGTTCACCAGCAATCAGAATGCTTGCAGACAGCTCCTCCAGGGACTCCACTTGCACCAACGAAGTCGTCAAGCTATATGATGTTGAAATGGAAGTAGCCAGATCAGACTCATTGGAATACCTCGAGACAGTAATATTGACGGGAATCAGAGTGGTCACGAAGTGAGGTGTCTCTGACGGCTCAGACAACACGTTCAGATCATTTCCGACCCTGGAGCTATCGATCACAGGCAACGTCGTTTCATAAGCAGACAGCGCGTCAGTCGCATTGAGAATGGCCACACGGGTGCTCAAGGTGGTCGAACCCAAGGTAAGTGTTGTATTTTGGTATTCCGTAGTAGTCAGCTTAGTAGTGTTAGAGCCCTTTGTAGTCAAAGATAATACCTGGCTTGCTTGGGTAACAGTAACGTTCTTCGTGAAGGTATCAGTGGCAATGGTTTTGTCAATGGTAGAGGTAACCACAGGCTGAGTCACTAACGGATTTTCTTGCGTGACCGTGATGACATGAGTCTCCGAAGGCTCGACATAAGTCGTGGTTGGAACGGTAGTGGCCGAGAACAATGTTGACGTCGTAGTAACAGCAGTGGTAAATATTATCAGGTGAGTCTGGTAAGATGTCTTAGGCGGAGCTGTAGAGATCCGATTTTGGGTGATTGTCGAAGTCTCGTTGATAGTCTTAGCGTCCTTCGTCGAAGTGATCACGTTTTCGGTCGTCATCTCGATTCCCTCAGTTGCCGTGGTGGTGTAGGTGATCCAGTTAGTTGCCATAACGGTTTCAGCGACAGTCAGCTCGAAGGTGGACACCACGCCATCATTAGTAACGGTCTCCACCAGCACCACGTCTGCTTTGGTACGAACAGTGACCTTCTGTGACGTAACGTAGGTAACGGGGCGTGTAGTCTTGGTAACAACTTCAGTCGCTGTTTCGTCCTTAGTAGTAGTCACTTTCTTCCGTTGAGTTACCGGTGCAGGTTGCAGAGATTCGGTAACAACCAGTTGCGATGACTCCTTCACCTTCTCGGTGAACTTCAGTTGAATCGGAGCAGTGGTTGTGGTCGTAGAATACTCAGTGTGCCCATTCACTTGCGTTTTGGTGTCAGTCTCAATGATTGTAGAAGGTAGCGGTGCATTAGACAGTATTTCAGGAGGCAAAGAAGTTGAAACGGTTTCAAACTTGAAGTCTGCGACGGTTTTCAGTGTGGGAGAATCCACATCAGAAGGATTAGGGACCCCCGTTGTCGGTTCCTGCGAAGGGCTGTAGACGGGTTCAACCGTTGACAAAGTTGGCAACGGTGCGACTGGCGTAGATCCCGACAGAGAAGCAAACCAGTTCCAATTCTGCCACCAAGGAGCTTGAGTCGTCGAGGGAAGTTCTGGGGTAGGTTCAAATGCCTGCAGCTGTGGAGATCCGTAAGGAGGCACGTATGTATTTGGTTCAGCATATGTTGGTTCAGCGGGTGTGGTGGAGGTGGCCAGGTCGTGCATAGTTCGGGTGTCCTCGTACACGAACTTCACCTGGATCCCGGCGGTTTCATTTGAAGGGTTGTTCTTCATGATGGCATCGATTTGTTCTTTGAACCCAGGAGGATAGATGTAATTGGTATGGGTGACGGTGTGAACTTCTGACGCAATTGCCAGAGCAACGACCAACGCCACACCAAAACTTTTGAATATCATCGGTAGTACAGTGGTTGAAAGTAGGCCAAATCATGAGAGGAGTAGCGAACTTTATGTTAACGGCGATCAGGGTCCGGGGCTGGTAGTTTTAGATGCGCATAAGTGCACATGCATGAGTCCAGTAGTGACTTGTAGACTATTTCATACAAAATTTAGCGGGACCCTGGACGTTAACGCGTTGTAGCTGGTTACTCTGAACGTTTTGCACCTCATTGACCAGCCCTTCTGCATGAATCTAAAAAATAAACAAGATTATGCATGAGTAACAATCACGGTGACAAAATATTTTTTCACAGTTGCTACCGGATCCTCTAGCGATTACGGCAATGGACATATCAGTATGATATTGAACTAGGCTTCTTAAATTTTCAGATTAGCGTAGAACAACTATTACGGCACGTCATCCATAAATGAAGTTGACGTTTAGCGCGGTCGAGTCATGGAGACGTGTATCAAATTGGTGACGCAGAGTGAACCCTTTCAAATTGACACATTCTTTCATGATTGTTTCAGCTATACTAAACGTTGTTTAAACGACGGTTAATTCGGTCTAACTATAGTGAAAAGCCTCGAAGTGTCGGACCCTGCAAAACAATAGCAGACACCAAGAGAGCAGTATCTTCGCAATTGAAGGCTGGCTGAAAACCGTATTGACCAATTTTGATAACCCTACCCTTGCTTCTAGATATTCATGTTATTTGTTCCGTTCTTCAAGGGTAGACGGTTTGGTCATGGGTTTCTTTTAAGAGGGGCTTTCGGCACAACAAGTATTGAATTCGGGTGGGCCCTGGGATCGCCAGACTAGAGGCGGGTCAATCGCGACTAATTGCTTGCTAGACGACCTAACACAAACAATCCTATTGAGGATCGACAATGCGTAGTCGGCTACAAGAAATGGTGTCTGAAGCGCCGCGTCGGCGCACCGGCGTGTGGCTGGCTTCGTCGCACTGCCTCTTAAGTTGGGAATTTTGTGTTGCACCAACCAGAGAACGACAATGTCAAAAATAATTGTGTTGGGTGCAGGTGTCGTGGGACTCACCACAGCACTTGAGCTCAAACGTGATAATCCCAGCCATGATATTGTCGTGGTAGGGGCTCATCTCCCCGGTGACTTAAATCCCGACTATACACTGCCATTTGCAGGGGCAAACTGGCATTCGTTTGCTGGCCCCAATGACACTCGTTTGCAGAAACTAGACAAGATTGGATATCGCAAGTTTCTCGATCTCGCTGCCAACGAACCTCGCTCGGGAGTTTGGACGATTAAAAACCTGTTATTGATCACCGAGCATTTTGATAAAGGCTCGTTTTCAGTGCCTTGGTTCAATGGTGTTGTGGATGACTTTACTGAGTTGTCGAAGGATCAGCTTACCGACGGTATAGTTGCTGGGTTCTCTTTTAAAGGTGTCGTTATTACTACACCCATATATCTCAATTATCTTCTTCAAAGAAATTTGGAGCTTGGGAACCAGATCCGGCGGATACCAAAAGTAGCCACCCTCGCTAAAGTAAAACAGTTGCACCCAAATGGAGAAGCGGACATTGTCATTAATTGTGCTGGCCTCTTAGTTAAGGATCTTAGTGACCTTAATGACCCCAATCGAAACTATACCATCCGTGGTCAGGTACTTCATGTTCGTAACTGTGCCAAGGCGGAGGTTGAAGTCGAGGGTTTTCAGGGCACCAAAGATGAGATGTTGTATTTGATGCCGCGTAAGGAAGGTGGGTGCATAATTGGAGGGTGCTTCCAACAATCTTTGAATAAGGAAGAAGACAAGGCATTAACTCAACGTATTATCGAACGAGCCATCAAATACGTTCCCGAATTGATCGATCCCGCTTACCAGAATAATCCAAAGGAAATCGATATCGTTCGTGTTAATGTTGGATTCCGGCCATTCAGAGAGGGTGGTGCTCGTATTGAAATCGACGCCGATCGACCATGGCTAATCCACAATTATGGTGCCGGAGGCGGAGGGTACCAAGGATCTTATGGAATGGCAGCCGAGGTAGTCGAGCTCGTGCATAGTCTTACATTGAAAGGTAAATTATAATTTCGATAGCAATACATAGGTCAACTAAGGGCAAGGTCTTTCAATTTACCAGCCAACTTGCGAAGATGGGGGTGACTGTGGTGGCTCAGCAGATTGCTCCCGCCCTGATACTTGATAGGGTTCGGAGGGTCATTGTAAGTCGCAGTAAATACCTCAATGTCCGCGTAACCGTGTTGTACGGGGAACGGACCGGGATTCTGAGGGTCTTTGGGTACTGACATCAGGAGGAAACGGTGACTTGTGCAAGTTAACTGAAACTAGTTCGGTGCGTTGCTGGATGAACGCCTGAAATTACGTCACTGTGAGTGTTATATGCAGATTTTTTGTGTGAGCCGCATGTGGGTGTCGGCAGCATGGCTGTAGTTGGCGGCGACAACATGATCATTGTGAATGCCTACCTATGTACCTCTATGTTTGTATTCAAAACTTACCGGAGTAATTGCTCCTTGACTTCAAACTGCGCTCCAAGGTGGTCAGTATTACCGAAAGTTTGAATCACTCCTTTCTCCAGTGTTCTGTTAATATCGACAACAGCAATCAGCGTATTGAATGGCACCTTCAAATTCTCTTCACGCAACAAGTCCAGAAGGCCATATCCGCATTGGTATAGATGATTCAAAAAGCCAGTAACCACACCACCATGAGTGCAAATCGCGACATTACGGCTAGAAGGGTTGTGCTGAATCAAGTGGTTCCACTCTTTTTCAATTCGATCGATGAAATCAGCCTTTGCCTCACCTACATTACGGAAGTTGGTACCATACTTGGCAAGTGCATCCGTAAGATACATTCCCTGGCACTCACCCATGTCACGCTCACGGAGGTTCGTTGAGTATCGGGTGGGGATATCTGGATGGAATAGTTGAATGTATTGGAGCGTCTGTTTACACCGTTGGAGGTCGGAACTAACGAAGTTTTCGAAAGGGATGCCTCGAAGTGCTATAGCGACCTTTTGCGCTTGTTCAACTCCAGTTTGGTTGAGAGAGGTATCCAAATGACCTTGTAAAATCTTTTGAACGTTCTCATCGGTTTGCCCATGACGGATTACAAACACTCTCAAAACCTCAGGGTCATGATTAGCCACAATCTTGTTGTCTTGAGGGGCCTCCGTGCCGTGATCGTTGGAACCGGGAGTGATGTCATTCAGTAACCCGCTGGTTTGCGTACTCGAACGAGCACTGATGGTGCTCGACACATCAGATGGCAGAGATGAGTTCAGTTGGCGGCTATTGCTCAGGCTAGGGAGGTTGAGCCCCAGGCTCGAACGTGAACCTCGTTCGCTGAATGGTGAACCCTTATTTCCCAGGGCACTTCTCACCTTGAAAGGGCGAGGTACAAACTCTTCGGCGTCGGAAGTGATTTTCGAATAGCACCGAAGCAGATAAAGATGCCTCGTGGAAGCTGTTGATCCGAGTGTGCGCGGTATTAGGCTTGTAGATTCGATACAGGGCTCCTTAACCTTAATGTAGAACTATCCACGTCAATCTACTGACTCGATACAATGATACTGACCGTGTCAACGAGTGATCATCTATGTTGATCGAAACTGCGTTTCGTTTGTTTATTATGCTTCTTTCCCCATGTACCAATGTGATGTGTACTTTCAAAGCATGACGCTCGAAAACTCTAATAAGCGGCTACGTCATGTCTTCATTTGACTTTGTCGGCCGCTTCCTTAAATTGAGCAAGCACGTCCCGCTTTATTTTATAGCCATGTTCATCAGGCTCAGGAAATGTTTTGTCGGTTAAGTCCTTGCCATATTGTTTTATGCTCTCGACACCTTGGTCGAAGAAATTGTTGTACTTTTTGACAAATTTAGGAATGTGGCCATCGCACATTCCCAACATGTCTGCAATCACCAACACTTGGCCCAGGCAATGTGGACCAGCACCAATGCCGATGGTGGGGACTTCTAACCGCTCGGTGATGTATTTTGCGAGTTGATTGGGTATACATTCAAGAACGATACCAAACACGCCAGCCTTTTGTAAAGCTAAGCAGTCCTCATAGATTCTCAAAGCGCTTTCAACCAGAGTGCCTTGTAATTTGAACCCTCCAATGGTATTGTGCTTTTGCGGTAATAACCCCACGTGCCCAATGATGGGAATGCCAATATCAACTAATTTACCGATGGTAGTAAGGGTATCGGGGCTAGCACCCTCGATTTTGATGCCTTGAACTTTGCCTTCCTTGATGATACGAACCAGCGAGTCAATAGCCTGTTCAAGATTCCGCTCAAAGGTACCGAATGGAAGGTCGGCTACAATAAACGAGGATTTGTTACCCCGCGATACCAGTTGAACATGGAACAAGAACTCCTCAAGGGTGAGCTCATTGGTGTCGTCGTACCCGAGGGTCGTCATGGAAAGTGAGTCGCCAACTAAGACGACGTCAACTTCGGCCTTTTCACACATACGTCCCGTTAAGAAATCATGGGCGGTCACCATTTGAATCGGTTGCTTGTTGGCGTACTTTTCATTGATCGACAAAAGTGTCTTACGGGACTCGTGCCGATGAGCCGACCTCACCGCTGACGTGACTGAAAAGCATCTCACTCTGCTCCCAAAAGGGATGATCGATGCGGAAACCCGGGATATGGTCGCGTGAAACATCTGTAACGGCCCTAAGGTCCCCTCAGTTCGAAAGAAAAGTTCTCGTCGTTTATATGTAAGACGTATAACACCGTTAATGCGGCGCATTGATGGTCCTCGGTCTTCGTACAATGCCCGTTGTATTCCGCGGATTGCATGCGATTGTAACCCCCGGTAAATCCTTTGGTGTTTTAATCAAGGTTGAGAGTAACATCTATTGTCCACCTAATAAAACCGTTGCATTTGGAGTGATTCGTTCAATTTACCTTGATTATGTAATCAATCTTATGCAGAAATTCTGGGGTGGGGCACCTGATGAAACCGAGCCCACCCCGAGGTTACAGGATGTGTATTGAATCAATATTTGTGGCAAACACATTGATATAAAAACCTTTCGAATCAAATGATGCATCATGGCATACTAAACCTTCGTGAATCTAATGGGTAAACCTGGACACCAAAGATCTAGTGCCCGCCCTCGTTTAGAGAAGCCTGTGACTTTACAACAATGGCTGTCAGGTTCACACGACTCCCCACCCCATGATGCACTCAGCTTTATTAGCTCAAGCGATTCTGATTTAAGAACTTCAAAGGATGGTAACCCTCGGAATGCTGTTGACAAAATATCATCAACCTTCTTCGATCAACAATCAGAACACCTGCCTAAATTGGATCCAGAAAACAAGCGTTGGCCAGAAGATAAAATACTCGCTCCACAGCTAAACTCCTCACATCTTGTTAAGCTCTGCCGCCAAATTGATCAACTAAAAGTGCAAATGGAAGGATGTACCGAGGTCAATCAACTTGTAAAGGAGTTGATGACGAAGGTACAAGATCATGAGTATATTTTGCAAACTTTGAGGAAGGAACTAAAGTCATTTGAGACTGAGTCAATTGGGAGTGCCCAAAGGTTGAGTAGTATCAAAAAAGAACTACTACATCTAGTTGACCTAATTCATCGAACCGAGGACACCATTTTATCAAAAAGATCAACGCAGCTCAAAACTGCCAAGAGCGATCGAATCACTCAAGCTGGTGTACCACCTCGAAAGGACATTACGAATGTCACTACAAGGTTATCGAGTTCAGTTGAAACAAGTGGTGCCACTTCTGTGGATCTTAGTCTGTATCGGCTTGCAGATATCGCGGACATGCCAAAACTTTTTCCAAATCTTTTATCATTGGCCATAGACAATAATCAGTTGACATCTTTAAACGATGTGAATGAAGGTATCATCTTGTTATCCGCAGCAAACAACAAAATACGATCAGAGAGCTTCGCAAAGTTTACTCGAATACTGCGATTAAATCTCTCTACTAATGAATTGTCAATTGTGCCGTTGAATTTGCTGGCGACATTAACTTTTGCAAACTTTGCGTTCAACAAAATTACCTCCCTTGACGGATTACAGCATTGTTGGCTGTTGCATCATCTTGACTGCTCTCATAATGATTTGGGAGGCACCCTCGATTTGAGTGAATTCATACTTCCACGACTTGAGGTTTTAATATTAGGGAATAACAAAATCACTCTGGTTTTGGGGTTGCGGCGTTTCCCCCGAGTTCGACAATTGTGTTTGGAAGACAACAAGCTAGAAACTTTGGAAATTGATATTCCATTCCTAAAAAAGTTGAATTTGAGCAGCAACCGCCTCGAGCGCATTGTGATAAACAAATGTAAGAGGTTGGAGAAGGCCTTGATGGACCACAACAGCTTGGCCTATACAAAATTTCCATCTCATGTTCGTTCACTTTCTTTGCAACATCAAGTTCACGACCTGATTGTTGAGACAACGCTACATCAAACTCCCATCTTGGAAAAACTAATCTTGGCTGGAGTCGGGCATACGAATTACAGTCCATTAATCTACCTTAGGACGTTGACAATCACGAAGTGTCATTTCAAAGTACTTCCATCGACTTTTTCCACCAATTTCCCAAATTTAGTCAATCTCTTTCTAGACGATAACAAATTGGAGGGAATTGATAGTTTGAACGGATTGATTCGAATGCGAGTGGTATCATTGGTGAAAAATCGATTGAAGTGGAGTAGCATAGCAAGTGCACTTGCCACATCAGCAGCTAATCTTGTTGACCTTGACTTTAGAGATAATCCTGCATGCTTTGAAGTTCTCCCATCAAATCCCAATCTTTTTAGTCTGCAAGTGAGCAGGCAGGAGTCTAGTGAGCAATATGATGGACAATCGATACTTCAGGCTAAGTTAGCTCCAAGCATCAAGGCGCAGTTTCCTCGTTTGCGCCGTATCAATGGAGAGTTTCTAGTTAATTAACGATTTACAGCACAGATTATATACAGGATCGACCTACACTCAACGCAAATATAGGATCTCGCAATTGGGAACCAATATCCAACATGCCTGCTTTTGACAATTCCTTCAAAATGAACCACACCTGCTTGCGGATCAAGGATCCAAAAGTGCTGATTCCTTTTTACGAGGATAATTTTGGCATGAAGTTGCTCACGAAGTTCGACTTCCCCCCAATGAAATTCACGATCTACATGTTGGCTTACGACACTAAGGTAACAAGTGGGAAGAATTGGGCAGACCGTGAAGGTGTTCTTGAATTGTGTCACAATTATGGCACTGAGAATGATCCCAATTTCAAGGTGAACAATGGAAATGGTGAAAAAGATCGCGGTTTTGGTCACATTTGCATATCCGTTGACAATATTGAAGTCGCAGAACTGAAACTTTTGGCTAACAAGGTCAAATTCCAAAAGAAGTTGAGTGATGGTCGTCAGAAAAACATTGCATTTGCTCTCGATCCCGATGGCTACTGGATCGAGTTGATTGAAAACGGCATTGATAAAAAAGACGGAGAGACGAACTATTCCAGTTACCGCTTCAATCACACTATGATTCGGGTGAAGGATCCCAGAAAATCGCTCGAGTTTTATGAGAAAGTTCTTGGCATGGAAGTTTTGAGTAAAAAGTCGTTCGAGGAGGCAAAGTTTACGTTGTACTTTCTTGGGTACAAACATAATAATGTGAGCCATGAAGACAACAAGTTGGCTCAAGCTAGCCGTCAAGGTATCATTGAACTCACCCACAATTGGGGCACCGAAAGTGACCCCGGGTTTAGCTACCATAACGGTAACTCGACAGACAATGGGGCAATTCAAGGGTACGGCCATACATGTGTCTCCTGTGCTGATCCTGCTAAACTTTGTCAGCAAATCGAGCAAGAATATGGTGATAAGGTTCAATGGGGTGTCAAATACAATCAAGGGACTATCAAGAGAATCGCTTTCATCAAAGATCCTGATAACTACTCCATCGAGATTATTCCTTCGTCGTTGTTTGAAAATGGTAGCGCCAATTATGACAAATTGTAAGTAGTCGAATTTAAGTTTGATTGGTAAGCGTGTTAGGTTCTCGCCCATGTGTAATGTATATATGCACGTCAGCGACATATTCGAGAAACTCGCGCGGCGCGAAAATGTGGCGTTGGGTTATTTAACAAGATATGATTTCGCACATGTTCAAGAGATTCTTCTGGCAACTGAATATGGTGTCTCAACAAGCTACCCGAAAAATCGAAGACTTGATTAAGTCGAAGCCGGTCTTTATTGCCTCCAAGGTATGTAACCATCTTCCCGAATTTATCCATCCCCACAACTACTAACAAACAAGACGTACTGCCCTTACTGCAAGCAAGCGAAGGAAACTATCGGAGCAATTACCTCAGATGCTTACATTTTGGAGTTGGATACCTTGGATGATGGCCTGGAACTCCAAGATGCCTTGTATGAGCTCACTGGTCAAAGAACCGTTCCCAATGTCTTCATTGGTGGCGAGCACATTGGTGGTAATTCCGACGTGCAAGAATTAAGGGTTGCCAAGCAATTAGAGCCTAAGATTAAGGCTGCTTTGTAAAGGAATTTTCCGAACCTATGAAGGAAATATATATTAATCATCGATTAGTATTTAGATGAAAAGATGTGGCAAGCATTATAGTCACCCTAAAAGAGAACTTTATTCAAAACACTAGAATTTGTAGTTGTATTCACCATTAACTTCCATTCGCTCATCACTGCGCAGCTTACATTTTGACCGCGAGTGAAAAAACCAAAATCCTGATCTGATGTCGAACATTGGCTTGCAAGTGAGGCAGGCTGTGCCTTCCATAGATCCTGTTGTGGCCGATTATGCTGTGGGCTATATTCAACATCTATTGCATGCCACGGAAGACTCGGTTCTAGCACAACAAGTTTCTATCCAGGATGAGATGAACTACCTCAAAGCCTTACTTCTCAATGCCGGGGGACCGGAGGATAAGGTTGACCCTCTCACCGAAAAGTTCACCAATCAACTCAGCGAACAATTGAAGGCTAACATGGCCAAATTGGAGCTTACAGGGGATACATCTAAACGTTTATTAGACATAAATGTTTTGAAGCAGAATTCACAAAAACGTGACATCAATTCGAGTTTGGCGTTATTGTCCGCTTCTAATGATATTGAACACACAGGAAGAAAAATGGAATCAAAAGTCGATAAGAAGAAGTTGGAGAAACAAGAAAGAAAGATCGCCAAAAAGGTTGCCAAACGGAATAACCAATTTGTCAAATACGAGGCTTCGAGACTTCTTGATGATAAGAAAGAGGACGACTACGACTCATTCTTTTTGGAAATTAATCCTTTGGACTTTGGTTCCAGTGCTGGTAAATCGAAGGATATCAAAATTGATCAGTTCGATTTGTATGTTGGCGATGGGCGTCGTATCCTCAGTGAAGCTCTGTTGACACTTGCTTATGGTCGTAGATACGGTCTTGTCGGTCAAAACGGTATCGGGAAATCCACCTTGTTAAGAGCTCTTTCTCGAAGGGAGTTAGATATTCCCAAACACATTACAATTTTACATGTCGAGCAGGAAATAAGAGGAGATGACACCCCTGCACTTCAGTCGGTGCTTGATGCGGATGTCTGGCGGAAGAATTTGTTGAATGAAGAATCTAAAATCAATGAAAGAATTGCCGAGATCGAAAAGCTTCGTGCTGAATTCGATGAAGATTCGAATGAGGTCAAAAAGCTTGATAATGAACGAGACGATTTGGAGGAGAAGTTGCAAAACGTCAGTGACAAATTGTATGAAATGGAGTCAGATAAGGCAGAGTCAAAGGCTGCTGCCATCCTCTATGGTCTCGGGTTCACGAAGGAAACTCAAAATCTTCCCACAAAGTCCTTTTCTGGTGGTTGGAGAATGCGGTTGTCTCTTGCTCGGGCATTGTTTTGCCAACCCGATTTGTTGTTGTTGGACGAACCTTCTAATATGTTGGATGTACCCTCCATCACTTATTTGGCTAAGTATCTCCAAACCTACGAGAGTACTGTGCTTGTTGTTTCGCACGATCGTGCTTTCCTCAACGAAGTTGCTACTGATATCATTCATCAACATTCTGAGCGTTTGGACTACTACCGTGGATCAAACTTCGATTCATTCTATTCTACTAGGGAAGAGCGCATCAAAAACCAACGAAGAGAGTATGATAATCAAATGGCTTACCGGAAACATTTGCAAGAATTTATCGACAAATTTAGATACAACGCGGCTAAGTCTCTGGAGGCGCAATCCAGAATCAAAAAGCTTGAGAAGTTGCCGATCCTTGAGCCTCCTGAAGATGAAAAGACTGTCTCTTTTAAATTCCCGGATCCCGACACGAAGCTTTCTCCTCCCATCTTGCAAATGCAAGATGTCAGCTTTGGCTATAGCCCTTCGAAGTTGATTCTCAAAAACGTTGAGTTGGATGTGCAAATGGATCTGCGCATTGCTTTTGTTGGTGGGAACGGTACTGGTAAAACTACTCTTCTCAAGTTGTTAATGGATCAGTTGACCCCGATAAGCGGTTTTATTCTGCGTAATGGCAGATTACGGATAGGTTACTTTGCGCAGCATCATGTTGACGCTATGGATTTGACTCTTTCTGCGGTTCTGTGGATGTCGCAAACGTATCCGGGCAAGACGGATGAAGAATATCGGAGACATCTTGGGGCTTTCGGAATCACTGGGCTGTTAGGTCTTCAAAAAATGGAGTTGTTATCTGGTGGTCAAAAGTCAAGAGTGGCTTTTGCGGCACTTTGTTTATCTAACCCCCATATTTTGATCATGGATGAACCGTCGAATCACTTGGATACTCAGGGTTTAGATGCGTTGGCCGAGGCTCTTAATAACTTCAAGGGCGGAGTTTTGATGGTATCGCATGATGTCGATATTATTCTGAAGGTATGTAATGAGATTTGGACCCTGGAAGAGGGGACAGTGAGACGATTTGACGGCACCATCCAAGACTACAAGAAGCATATTCTCGAGTTGGCTGATGCTTCAGGCGTTGTTCGTAAGCATTAGATATATAGGCAAATGATTAGATCAACTGGTTTTCTTTGAATACGGAGTCAAGCGTGCCATCCGCTGACCAATTCTTCAAATCTTGTTCGGTTCCAAGCTTTTTACCATGGAAGAAAATTGTCGGTACCCATTTTCGTCCGCTAATTTCTGTGAAAGCTGCTTCCAACTTGGCAGCTTCCTCTTGATCAGGGAATTTGTCTAATTCGATGAGATGGATCTTTTCCGTGACACCGTAACTTGACCAGACATTGTTGGCATAAACACAATCGGGGCACCACAGTTTTGACAACATCACGAAAGGGTGATCTTGCAATATTTGCTTAGCTTTAGCAAGGTAGTCAGTCATTATCGTGAGTAATTTTTAATAGATCCTGTCGCACTTCAACATTTGACGCAAAAGTATCCACACCTAAGACCACGAGTAAATTGATATATAGCGAAAACTCAAATAAAAACGAATGTATATAAAAATTCTATAAGTATCACGTTCTCCAGATATTGGACCGAAATAAGAATGTTGTATATAAGAGGAGATCCATACCAGCTGAACCAGATTCTCGAATCATTCCGATAATTCAGCGAGGAACTTGATTGAACATATCAAGTATGCCGAAGTAATGGCCCACAACCCCCAAAACAACACAGACATGCCAAATATTGTGAGACGATCCGATATAATCGACCCACCACAACAGCATGAAGTCGTTTGCGTACGGTGTATAGTTTAAATGGGATGGGAAGTGTTTGTTGACGAGAGCATCAAACTGTGACTCTGTCTTAGTATCTTGCAATTCTTCTTCCAACTGCTCGAGTTCCTCTTCCCCATCGTGACCAACGTTGTCCGTAAGTACGTCCTTTGCGGTGTATTCATGAGTGCACTTCGGATTGTCCTCCGTAAAAACAACATCGTATCTCCATCTTTCAGGGAATAAGCCACCATAAAAGACGACACCAAGACCATACCACGTGAATGATTTCCACACAATCGGAAAGAAAAACTTCAACGTATCCAAAACGCCGTCATAGAAACATCTTACAACCCCAGCCGTGACGCCGGAAAACGCAAGACCCACAAAGAAGCCAATACGCAAAGATCTACATTCCGGCTTATCGAAATAGGGGGACCAGTTGAATCCAAAACCAGCTAGGCCGCAAATAATGGAGAAACCAACAATAGCCCTAATCCAAGAAGGATGTTCGTACAACGAGGTATACTCTGCAGTGATTACAGAGCAAGTGATGAGCACTGTAATTCCAGTGTAGTCGACGCAAGCACAATTAGCTCGTGTGGGATAATGAGCAAAACAAGAGTAGGTGTGCCAAACGCAACTACCAAGCAAACATTGAAAGGCGGCGAAGAAAAACGCATACATACTGAGATTATCCTTCCACAGATTCTTTGCGTAGACCTCTGTCGACGGGTAATGCACTAATAATAGGTAAAGCATCGCAAAGAAACCAAGCATATGAGTCCAAATGTTGACAGTCTCGTTATGGTTGAACTTGAACACCGATTTGAACATTGTCCAGTGACTAAGAGAAAAGCGGTATCCATGGACAACGTACTTGTTTTCACGCCAAGAAAGAGGGAGCTGATAATAGTTCAAATATTCCTTCTCTGCTTGCTTGAGGGCCTTGTTGAAATTGAAGAATCGCAAGTGGTTGTACTCCAACTCCTCCAGATAATCAGAGTTTGCATGTGGCTTTATAAAATCATCAATAGCCAAAAGCTTCTCATCAAAATATTGTATGGTGGTGATAATCTTTTCTGAAAGAAGTTCCCTTGACAGACCTTTGGCTTGAGACACGAAATCAGTCAAATCCTCGTTAAAAAGCAGATTATACTGGTCAGCCAAGGTTTTGTACAAATAGTCAAGATTGGTAAACGAATTCAGTAAGACTTGTTTCTTGATGAGGCGTAACCGTAGGTAGACATTGTTCAAATTGTTCATCGAGTACTGTTTGATGGAAGACATGGAAGAGATCGACAGATTCAGGCCACGACGAGATTGAGGTCGGGATTGTGATCGGGACGGTACAGTGAGGTTCTGTTCTTCTTGTATAGCTACCTTGGCAGCTTCATCCTCCTGTTGCTTGAATCGAAAGAAATGGTCGAAGTTGTCGAGTCGTGATTCGATAGACGACAAAAACGCGTCCAAGCGTTCAATCAACTTCTCTTCCAGCAGCATGTCCACTGGTGTAGAGCGCCGCTGGCGAAGTCCCTGCCCAACATCGGTTTGGGTCGTTGTTGTGGATGACGAAGCCATAACCAAAATGCTCGTTCCCCGGATGGGTTGATATAATTGCAGGCACGAAAAAGAAATATAGGTGGTTATGAGCGATGCCTGGAAGTCGCTAAATAAAATTTACCCGTGGGCGTGTTAGGGGTGACACAGATGTCCCTGGAAACTCTCAAGCCAAAAACTTTCCAAACAAAACTGATGCACTGTACATAAAAATCAGTTTTTATTTGTATCTACTTTTAAATCGTACAAGAGAGTACCTTTGTCAACGCGGCTATTGCACCTGTTAATCGGCAAAGCGGATGTCGGCTCGGATCTAACGATGGTATCAAAAACGCCGCAGCCAAGAAAATCCAGGAGGTAACAGGACTGTCACCATGTTGCCTTGTTATCCTTGTCCACAAACGGATTGATGTGCGAACTGCGTGCATACTTGACCCCTATTTTCAAAGTCTTTCATGTCACCCATGGTAACGTCAATGAGATGTCGTAAATGGAAACGGCTGATTTTTTTGTTGTTATCAATTTATCATATGACCAAAGCTTGCTACATCAAAAACGTGGGACAGTGCCAGACACAGTTTACCGTTACGACAAACAGTTCGATGGAGTACTGTGCTAATGACTTACATCTTCGGTAATCTCTGACTTCGGATTATAGCCACGGTATTCAGGGACACAGAACTCGTCATCTAGTTCTTGCCCAGATGCCAACTCTGAATTCTCTTGCATCTTCTCCCTCCATTCCTCAGACGCTTCCAACTCATCTTGCTCTTCGTCATCCTCCATGCCTTCTTTGGAGTATTCGACGAAGTCGTTGTACTCATTCTCTAAATCTTCCTCGCTCATTATTGGTATTTATTGTGGTCGGGTTCGTCAGGTTGCGCGGTAGTCATTCTCGGCTTGCACGGGGTCTACCGTCCACACGGCCAAAAGTGTCACAAAACCTAATTTTCGTAATCGCTGCCCTTGAGCTAATGAACGACATCACCAAAAGCACTGTTTAGTTGTAATAGAAAATTATTGAAGGCATGTAAGTGTAATCACTGCATGGATGCTTCGTGCTACAGTTCCTGAATTATCTCCACTTCGGCCATTATAACACAAAACGTGATTTGCATGAGTACATCGTCAAACTCGAGGCCTGAGTAGCTTGCAAAAGAATTCATTTCTGTACGAAGCCACAAAAGCAAAATGATCAGACTCTGGTACGTAGGCACGACGCCACGCTATCACCGGATCGTTATCGAGGACAAAAAAGCACTTTCTTCTCGGTATGATCAATACATGATGACATTGGCGTTGAAGTCGTGTTCCGTCAACTTGATGGATTCCAAGAAGCCGAACCGTGGCTACACAAAAATTAGAGCTTGCTCCAATCATGGTACTGCTTGGATACTCAGCTTCTGGATGTTAAATCTCCCACATATTCTTACATGATCCGACAGGTGAGGCTGCTGGAGTACAATGGCTGCTAATAGAATTGCCAGCTATCATAATTTACAGGTTTTGTGGCCAATGTCTCCAATGATTACTTAAATATCACTTTGGATCATGAAACATCCGGACGTCAAATCAACGTATGTCATAACATGCTGCAGTTTTCGTCTAAATGTAGCCGAGATCGCAGCCGCATAAGTAGGGATTGTTAAGGGATATAAGTTGTTGAAAAAGCAGTAAGTTAAAGAACCTGTAAAACAAAATAGGCAATTGACGTATATTGCACTACGCTCATGTCGGTTCCAGACGCTTTTTGTGTGATCGAGGGCTTGCTAAAGCAACTTGTCAAAAACAAACACGGCAAATACACACGCAGCAAAAACCAACAGGATATAAACGTAAAAATGACTACTTCAGATGGTTTGGAAGCCAATTTATGTATACGGCCGGTCCTCGGAATTGACACAATCTTGCGTTTCTTTTGTGCGACCATAACAGAAAGCGGTGATCATGCACGTAGCTGACGGGGCAACGGATCATATACGGAATTACCACCGAACAACGTGAAATTTTGTATCTACGTAAACGCTGCCGTATTAAAAGCTAAGTCTTAGTCGACGATCGCTTGTATATTTAGTAATACCCCATTTAGGTTGGTAGCCTGCAAGCTTGTGGTGGACAAAATTTCGAGGGTAGGTGCGGGAAAAAAATCACCAGTGACCCTTCCCATAAGGTAACCTGCCCCGAAGCAATTTGGATTGTGCTACCCGAATTACTGAGCTGGTTTTCCCAAAATGAGTAGCTGGTATGTTCCTGACCAGGACCGTCAGCGCATTATTGAAATTATGGTCCAGGAGATCCGACGTTACGATGGGAACCACAACGCTTCTCAGATTCAGGCATCAGCACGTCAGTTCGAAGAGGCAATGTGGAAACGACTGACCCTGAAGGAGGAGTACTACCGCCAAATTAAGCAGAAGGTTGCACAGTTGAAGGAACAAGGGTTTCGACGCAGTCAACAACAACAACAACAACAACAACAACAACAACAGCAGCAGCAGCAGCAGCAAATCGGTAACCCTTCGACTCAGTTCCAATCTCAGCAACAACGACCTCAGCAGCAACATTTTACGCCTCAAATGAATCAACTGAATCAGTTTGGTGGTTTCAACCCAAACCAGTCTGGACCACAACAGCAACAACCACCCGTGCAACAATATTCAAATTTTACACGAAACCCAGCAGGACAATTGAATCAGGCAGGGCAAATCAGTCAAGCGGGGCAAATCAGCCAAACTGCTCAAATGAACCAACCTGGACAAATCAACCAGAACATGATGCAACGTCAGCAGCAGCAACAGCATCCCACTGGTCAACAACAGCAACAGCAGCAGCCGAACCAACTGGGTCAACCGGACCAGATCAACGCAGCCGCTGCGGCTGCTCGTCAACTTTATCAGCTTCCAATTCCTCAACAATTGTTGGCAAAAATTCCCAATTTACCACCCAATGTCAATACTTGGCGTCAAATTCAACAAGCCTTAAGTCAAGGAATAATCCCCAAGAATTTGATGCCGTTGATCAAGGAATTGCAAACAGCCCATATCAAGGCGCTCAAGCAGCAACAGGCTATTCGGATGGGCCAGAACCAACAACAATTGAACCAAGGTTCGGCGGCGCCGGCGCCCGCCCATGGCAACCAACAACAGCTGTTGGCTAATTATACTCTGGCTATGAACACACAGCAACGTCAGCAATATGTGCAACGTCAAATGCAGAATCAACGTATGCGACAAGTACTGCAGCCTCAACAACAATCGCAACAACAACCTCTGCAACAAGTTCAGCAACAGTCGCATCACCAAGGCCACCCTTCCCAAGTGCAACCACAGCAGCAGCAACTACAACAGCAGCAGCAGCAGCAGCCCCAACTTCAACAACAGCAACAGCAGCAGCAAATGAATCGAAACTCGATCGGTCAACAGGCTACGGTTCAGCAGCAGCAGCAGCAGCAGCAGCAGCAGCAACGTCAGAGTCAAGCACAGCGTTTGCAAATACCCCCTATCACTCAACAGGACTACGTGAAGTACACCCCCGATGCTATGGCAGTACTTAACAACTTACGTCAACAGGGAAAGATGCCACAACAGTTATCTCAACCGGAGCGTGATGCATACATTCAGAAGTTTATTATTATGCAAAAGAAGAAGGAAATGGTTGCCCGTCTCGCCCAACAACAACAACTGGGTCAAAATCAACTGATGCCAAACGCTCGTACCCATCAACAGCCGGTTCCCACAGCTGCACCCAATCAGCCTGTTGCTCCTGTTCAAATTGGGTTACCTCAAGGGCCGCAGCAACAACATTCCCAGCCACTGCGTCCACAACAACAATCTCAGCAACAGTCTCAACCTCAATTTAATGCTCAAGTTAACCAGAATCAAGCTCAACGCCCGCCAGTGTTGCAACAAGGTCAGCAGGCCTCGCCACAACCCGGCTTACTTCCCCCGCAGGCTGGTAATGGGATGCCACAAATATCAGAAGAGGTGAAGGCTCGGCTTAATCAATTGTTTAGAGAGGTACTGAAGAACAATGTGGTGTTGCCAGACGAAACCAACCAGTTGACGCCTCAACAACGAGCGAATGTCCGCGAAAAAATATTGCGTATCTCTCAGCAATACTCCACTATCGATCGCTATATCACATACTTTTACATGATATCTCGTAATGAAGAGATAACGAAAAAGTTGATTCGGATGAAGGTAATGACGGGGCAAATCTTAGAGAATCTGCGACATGATCGTTATCTTGCAAAACCAGAATTGTTGGATCGTCTACAAATTCAATTTCAAAAGTGCTATGACTACGTAAAGGAATTTGTGATCAAGAACCAGAATGGAGGTCAGATTGCTGCGGCGAGTGGTATTGCGCCTAATCAGAACCAGTCTCAATCTCAGGGTCACGCGCAAACTCAAAATCAAAACCAAAGTCAACCTTTCAGTTATCAACAATCTCCCCGTCAGCAACAACAGCCGCCTATACTGCAATCTCAACCTCATCCACCTCAGCAACAGTTTCTTCATGGCCAAGGTCAAATGATGGGAGCAACAAATGCGCCGGCGACGAATATGCTGGCTATGCAGAATATACCTCAATCGGTTCCACAAGGTCAAGTCAGCCTGCACCAAATGAACCTGATGGCGCAGCTGATAAGACAACAACCCCAGCAGTCACCACAACAGTTTGGCAATGGTTCCATGGGCGGTGTTGGTCCAGGTGTGTCACAAATGGCTCCAGCACCGGTTGCAGGAGTGGCTCAACAGATGCCTTCGGCGGGATCCGGAGGATTCAACGAGCAATGGCCTCGCTCACTGCCACAAATGGAAGTGAAGCGGCATACGCCAGTTGTTCAGTCGCAACAACTTTCGCAGCCGCAACCAGGTTCGACACCTGGGCAGCACAGCCAACCGTGGCGTAAAAATGGTAATAAGGGTCCCATTAATGCAGCAAGTATCCCCACCCCAGCTGGCCTTGCTCCGCTGCCAAATGCAATGACGGCAATGAGAACTCCCAATCTGATTCCCACTCCTCATATTGGGCTGCACAGTAACAAGAATACGCCGCAAATGCTGTCGCCGCAAATTTTTAAGAATACTCCTCTGTCACAACAAGGGGATGAGATATTCAGCCATCTGCCGGATGATGTAAAGCTCGCCAGGCGCAGGGAATTACTGTCAACAGATCCAGAACGGTTCTTCTATGCCTCTTTGGCGAATTTGTTGGAGCTTGATGAACCTTTAGAAAAGGGTGAGATTAGCGGAATGAATCCAGGGAAGCTGTCGCCTCTTTCACCCGCACTTACTGAATGGACTTGTGAAATCAAACTGGAGGCATTAACTCTGCTGTTCAGACAAGTACCAGCGATTAGAAGCTTGGCTCAGACCGATATTATTGATACCTGCTCAAAGTTAGCCGTTGAAAGCGCCAAACGGCCAGCGCTGTCAGCATTCGATGATGATATCGATACGTTATTCGGGGAGAAGAAAACCAAGTTGGAAGATTTCGATAAATTCTTGCATGAAACCGTTGGATTTGAAGATTGGAAACTGTTTGTAGTCTCCAGCATCCAATAATCGTTGCTTACGAACTTAGTTAGAAACGTTATCAGTGTATAAAGCAATCGATGGTTTGTTTCAACTATTTAGATGGCTTATTTGTATCTTAAATTAGAGCCTCCCATGGAAGTAAAAATGTTTTAGATTAAATTTTTTTCATGTTTTAGGTTTGGCACGATTTCTCAACCCATTAAGCATGTTTGGGCAGCACCAACAACTCACAGTAACTGCGCACTCACCTTCTGTGCGAGTTTTATGACTAAGGAAGAAAAGATCTCAGTGGCATTTGTGTGTCTAGGCAATATTTGTCGGTCACCCATGGCTGAAGCCATATTCAAGCATAAGGTCGAAGAGTTAGGATATGGCGACAGGTTTGACAGAATTGATTCATTTGGAACGGCCGCCTATCATGTCGGGGAGCTGCCTGACCACAGATCGGTTGCTACATGTCGGAAGCATGGGGTGCCGGTGAACCATTCAGCCCAGCAAATTACTCTGGCCGATTTTGCCGACTTTGAATATGTCATTGCTATGGACGAATCGAACAAAGCTGATCTTTTACATCGGCGTCCTCGCAATAGCAAGGCCAAGGTTGAACTATTTGGGAAATGGAAGAAGGATCCGCAATTCAAAACTATAGTTGACGATCCTTACTACGGTGGTATCAATGGATTTGAGACGAACTTTCAACAAATTTCCCATTTCTCAGAAGAGTTTTTGAGGTCAGAGGTTGTTGGAGAGAATAAATAGTTTCCACAACTATTCGTGAAGTTTGATACTGAATATTTTCCAAGAATTCGAGGCAATCAATATGTAGAGTGAGTGATCTGTAGAGCACACTTCTGTATTCAGTTTTTCTGCTTGATATGATCAATCGCATTTGGCGAGCTTGTCCCAGTCCATTATTTCAAAAATGAGGCATGTTGCCCGACCGAATACAGCTCACTTTTGAGTTTTGACATTTATCTTTAGTAACGTCTACTTTTATGTCGTTTGGAATGGCGCGCGCAACACTCCTTCATCCACCACACCAATGTCGGCGAGAAAACTACAACAAGAGTTCGACAGGGTAAACAAGAAGATCGCTGAAGGACTTCAATCCTTCGATGACACCTATGAGAAACTTACAACGACGGAGCTCCCCTCCCAGAAAGAAAAGTTGGAACTGGATCTCAAGAAAGAGATCAAGAAGTTACAGAGACTGCGGGACCAGCTCAAAATATGGTTGAATGACAGTGGGATCAAGTTGGACAAAAGTGAAATCAAGCGTAATCGTACCCTGATTGAGCATGCTATGGATCTTTTTAAAGAACTTGAAAAGCTGCTGAAGATTAAACAATTTTCGAATGAAGGGTTGGAACTACAACTGCAGGGAGTGCTGCTGGAGGAAGACCGCAAAAAGAAGCAGGCCTGCGAGTACATTAGTACTCAGATTGAAGAGTTGAACCATCAGAACGAGACATTAGAGCTGGAATTACACCACACACGCGGAAAGAAGAAAACACTGAATACTGCAGAAGCTGAAGACATACGTGAAAAAATTGATCGCAATAACAATCATTTAACTCGTTTGGAAACAGTGTTGCGATTGTTGGAGAATGAGGAATTGAATCCAGAGAAGATCGAATTGATCCGCGATGACTTAGATTACTACGTTGAAAGCAATATGGAAGATGACTTCGTTGATTACGATGACTTCTATGATCAATTAGAGATTGATGATACCCATCATGATGTTCATGGCACATTATCACAAGTTGATCACTATCAACAACAACAACAACAACAACAACAACAACAACAACAACAACAACAACAACAACAGCCGCAGTCGCCAGCTGCGCAACCTCCACTTCCCGAGCCCAAAAAAGATGTGAAGAAAAAGGCAATGAGTCCTCCGAAGGTCACGAAAATTCCCGTCAAAAATTCCACGGCTTCTAATTTGACATCGGGTGGGCTTCTGGCTTCACCTGTGGCGCCTAGTGCAACTATCGCGGCTATGGCATCTAACGATACAATTGTGAACGAGGCAGCCCCTCTCAGCAATAATTTGTCGACCCATACCCCATCGGAGGTGACATCAGTAGCGGCAACTCAACCCGCTCTGAAGCCGCCCGTGAGCACTACACAAGGCGCCAATTTGTCAGCCGTGTCTTCGAATCAATCACCACCAGGCCTTGATCCAGTTTCTTCAAGTACCCCTCCAATCGTTGAACTGTCCACCCCCCAGGCGAGATTGCAGCAACCGCTTCCATTTGCTCAGATCTCGCATTTATTAGAGAGTCTGCTTCTTCATTGTCCCGACTCTATCGATGCCGAAAAACCCAGGCAATACAACCCCGTCAACATCCATCCTCTGTCGATAGATTATCCACAAGAGCCCATGCTGGAGCTTAACCTGGCACGGTTGATGCAGAAATTTGAGGTGGACACTTTGCAATTCTGTTTTTACTATCTGGAAGGCCCCGACGTTTTAGCTCGGTACCACGCGGCGAAAGAACTCTCCAAGCGGGGCTGGGTTTTCAACACCGAGACTAAGCAATGGTTTTTGAGAGATACACATGCCGCTAAGCGTGGAACCACACCGAAATTGGCTGGAGACTCGAGTAATCAGGAGGAGAATAACTACAAGTACTTTGACTACGAGAACAACTGGTTGATTCGCCGTCGAGAAAACTTCATGTTTCCCAAAGAGATCCAAGAAACTTTTTAGGCTTCTTAATTAATTTAATATGTATCATAGCAAATCAATATTACATTTTGACTTCTCACTTGCAATCGAGATAATAATAGAAGCTCAATAGTTATTGGAAAACACCTATGAAATATACGGCATTGGTAAGACTTGCATGCCAATTCAATATCTGAGATCGCGGTGGCATTGGTGCCTAATAGAGATGGCATTTTTCTCAAGATTCCGTTCTATAACATCAGAATAATAAAGTGAACATCTTTACCGATGTGTAGTTGGATCAGCGTATATGAGTCCCGACGCTTGCTTGTAGGGGCCCTTTTCAAGCGATAAGCTGCACGCCATTCAAATACTCGTGTGTTGACACCAACAACATCTCCATACAAGATCGCTTTATGTTTAACGTCAAATATTACTCGGTTTAACGCCAGGGGAAAGGATGCACAAACAAGTTGATTTTCCCCTGAAGTCCGATGCATTCACAGGAGGCCCCCATTGTGAGTGGCGAAGCATGAGGTCTAGACCTTCCGAAAAAAAATAACCATATCGCGAAGTTGTCAGTCGTTACCAAAGAAGCAGAGATAAGGTTTGATCTAGATATCAGGATCATCAGTGTATATGTGGAGGTTCATGGTCTATCATTTACCAGGTCAACCGATCAGTGTGTCGTTGTGGCACGTCCCCAACGTTGATTTCAACCCCTAAAATGTGGGAGGTGCCTTACCTCCCTGCATTGGCGCGCCTTGCATGAGACACGACCTTCCCATTCCAATGAAGTAATAATTTTGAGATCACAAAAGCCACGCCCTTTCTTAGCATCGCCCTTTTTCTTAGCATCGGCCTTTTTTTCCTACACCAACAGCTCACCTTTCCAACCATACCGATCCGATCGACAGATAACTAAGTGATACTCAGGTATCTTCGTGGCTTCCTTTGAACGTATAACGGGTCGAATTTGTGGATAACTTTTTCTGACAGCTTCCCTGCTTCGCGACTATGATTGTTGACTACCGCTTGTTTTCGAAGCGTGCCGACGGCTGTATAGATGAGCTGCTATGTCAAAAGCTCTCGTGTGAGGGTGCGTGTCCTGATGGGCAAACGTGTACGATGACCACGTTAACCTGCGATCTGTGCCCTCAAATACAATGTCTGACCGATGAACTCACAAGCCTTGGATCACATAAAACCCCAGTAGGGGGGATTGTTGGGGGTGTCGTCGGTGGTGTCGTATTCTTAGCGGTTATTGGGGTGGTCGGCTGGTTGATTTATCGCTACCGCAAGAAGCATCCCGTACAATTCGATGATGACGAAAAAGACGATGATTCAGATTACTGCATCAGCAATATCGATTCCCATAATGGAGATGGTATTGCGCTGCTGAATGAGATCGTAGTCAATCTGGAGAAACTGCTGTCTCGTATGACACGATCGAAGCGCATAAGCTCTTATGAGTCGTTCACTAAACCAACTTATCCTGGCGCAAAGAGGTCGCAGGCGGCCCAAGCGAGACGTGAGCGTCAAAAGCAGATTGTTCGGCAAGCGAATGCTCAACTTAATCCGGCCTATAACGATGTCGCTCCTTCGACATATCGTAATTCGATGGCCACTACGGATTCTACTAGCAATGCGCTGAATATATTGCCGATCGCCTATATCCCAGGGGTCACGGTACGTCCTACGAAGAACAACACACGTTCAATTTACTCGTCGGAGCTGGAATCTATTTTCTCCGACCTTAACACAATCGAAAATGCTCTGATTATTGGCGACGTTGTACGTGCCAACAATACAGCAAATCCTGCCATGTTAACACAAACTGGAGACGCCACGATGACAGCTATCAAGGCTCAGCCAAGGTTGGTAAATGTTGAAAAAATCGAGGAGGAAGAAGAACTGGAAGAGGAGGACTATATTCCCCAGGATCTTGCCGATGAATCTGCCGTCGTTGCACATTCATCTACTGTAGAGGAAGATCTGGATCTGGACATTGACCTGGACATTGGGGAGATCACAAGAGCGGCGTCATTCCGTCGGCCAAAACCACCTATGGCTAGGCCTGACAGTATGACAATCTCATCAAGTCACACCGATGAAACGCATATCTCGTTGGCTTCGCCTCTGATCATTGCCCCTGGACACGCCCCATTGACCTTCGTTAGTCTGGTGCCACTCAGTACAATCAGTCACCATTCGAATACCTCTGAGGTCGCGTTATCCGAACGAGAACTTGTGCTTGAGTCGGGAGCTGTTCGAAATCGCACATCCCAACAACCAGAAATCGCACTTGATTTCATCAATTTCGACACACCTAGGGGTGAAATCTCTTCTCTTGAGAATGATTACGTTTTGGACACACCCCTCTTCCGAAGAGATGAGGACACGCGCTCTCCATTTGATGATCCAGAGTAATTTCGTGGTCTCTTAACAATATCAATTTGGCTTTATATTTTAACGATCGCATAAGTACAATCTATCCCGTATTTAGGCTCTGGGGCGGGTTTCAACGCCGTTCGCAATACGTCATCGTGCTTAATTGGAATTGTGATCGTAACTACACATCAAAGGTGATACGTGGTACATAGCAAATACGCGGAGTGGATTCGAACTAAAGGACTTGGCTCGACGAACCCCAACAAAGTAATATTCTTTGATTGAAGACAATAACTTATCTCGAAGAGTTTGAATTTTGGAAATAGACATGCAAGCTGGAATAATTGCAATGAATCAAATTTACTTGGGTTTCATCACGCGTTTGGAAGACTTCCCGCTGAATGCTTATCGCGTTATAAAGATGACATCAATCTTACAACAAGTATAATGCTTTTTCGCTTGGATATCTGAACTCTACTTTGATTACAAAGATTGTAGTAATAGGGATTACAGCAATTATAGTTAGTGTCTCTGATCCTATGACTAAGGACGCTGCATAATTATGTATGATGAAATGGAGTGGCCTACACTCGAGTAAAAACTCGGTTACACAATGAAATCAAATGATTTGCGTTAATAAACACTGACCGGTGCAATATGTGCCATCTCCATAGACACTCTGCCGCGTAATCACTTAGCTGCATTCACTAGGTAGGCTAATCTACTCAATTACGTGACAATGGATTACTCCATTGATGTTTCAAAACAGTTACAACGGCTCACACGAAGCATTGACTAATGGTTATAGTCCAAAAACATTTTTTCGGGCATCTCTACTCCATTCTCTCTCCACAGGCACGTGAAGGGGTGTGCGGTGCACAGAAAGCATCTATAGCTGTCCGTATAAAAAAAAGTGTACACCCGCAATTTTTCACCCCACGTACCTATTTTCATGTCGATTGAAGAAAAATTCATTAACACCATCAGACTTCTTGCAGTCGACGAGGTGTCGAAGGCCAATTCTGGTCACCCTGGTGCTCCCCTTGGCTTGGCACCTACTGCTCATGTTATCTTCAAGAACATGAAGTTCAACCCCAAGGAGCCCAATTGGCCCAACAGAGACAGATTTGTCTTGTCCAATGGCCATGCCTGTGCTCTTTTGTACGCTATGTTGTGCCTTTACGGATACAAGACTACCGTTGATGACTTGAAGCAGTTCAGACAAGTCAATTCGAAGACCCCTGGTCACCCTGAAGCCGACATTGACGGTGTTGAAGTTACTACCGGTCCTTTGGGTCAAGGTATTTCTAATGCTGTTGGGTTGGCTATTGCCCAAAAGCAATTTGCTGCCAGATTCAACACCGACAAATACACCGTTTCCGACAACTACACCTACTGTATCTTGGGTGACGGTTGCTTGATGGAAGGTGTCTCCTCGGAAGCTTCCTCTCTTGCTGGTCACTTGCAATTGGACAACTTGATTGCTTTCTGGGATGACAACCACATCACCATTGATGGTGACACCAACGTCGCTTTCACCGAAAACGTCCTTGAAAGATACAAGGCCTACGGCTGGAATGTCTTGCACGTGGCCAATGGTGACGACGACATTGACGCCATTCAAAAAGCCATTGATGAAGCCAAGCAAACCAAGGGTAAGCCCACCTTGATTAAGGTTACCACTGTCATTGGTTACGGGTCGTTGCTTCAAGGCACTCACGGTGTCCACGGTGCTCCCCTTAAGGCCGATGATGTTGCCCAACTCAAGAAGAAGTTTGGTTTCGACCCCGAACAATCGTTCGTCATTCCCGCCGAAGTCGAAGAGTTTGCTGCCAAGCACGTCACCAAAAACTTGAAGGTTTACAATGACTGGATCAACCTTGTCAAGAACTACGTTGCTGAAGAAAAGCAAGGTGCCGAACTTCAAAGAAGAATTGATGGCAAGTTGCCTGCCGACTGGACCAAGGCTTTGCCCACTTACACTAGCTCGGACAAGGCTTTGGCCACCAGAAAGCTTTCGGAAATGGTCCTTGACAACATTACCGCTGAACTCCCTGAGCTCATTGGTGGCTCTGCTGATTTGACCGGTTCCAACTTGACCAAGGCTAAGGGCACTATTGACTTCCAACCTCCTTCCACTGGTCTCGGCGACTACGATGGTGTCTACATCAGATATGGTGTCAGAGAACACGGTATGGGTGCCATCATGAACGGTATTCACGCCTTTGGGGCCGGTTACAAGGCCTTTGGTGGTACCTTCCTTAACTTCGTTTCTTACGCCTCCGGTGCCGTGAGATTGTCGGCTCTCTCCGAATTCCCCGTCATTTGGGTTGCCACCCACGACTCCATTGGTTTGGGTGAAGATGGCCCTACTCACCAGCCTATCGAAACCTTGGCTCACTTCAGAGCTACTCCCAACTTGATGGTGTGGAGACCCGCCGACGGTAATGAAGTCTCGGCTGCTTACCAAGCGGCGATTGAATCGACCCACACTCCTTCGATCATCGCTTTGACTAGACAAAACTTGCCCCAATTGGAACACTCTTCTATTGAGAATGCTTTGAAGGGCGGTTATGTTGTGTACCCTGTCGAGAACCCGGACTTGATCATTGTCTCTTCTGGTTCTGAAGTGTCTTTGTCGATTGACACTGCTAAGAAGATGGCTGGTGAAGGTTACAAGGTCAGAGTTGTTTCTATGGCTGAATTCCTCACCTTCGACAAGCAACCCGAAGACTACAAGTTGTCTGTTTTGCCCGACGGCGTTCCCATCATGTCGCTCGAAGTCATGTCTACTTTCGGCTGGTCTAAGTACTCGCATGAACAATTCGGTTTGAACACCTTCGGTGCTTCGGGTAAGGGTCCCGACGTGTACAAGAAGTTTGGCTTCACCGTCGATGGTGTGTCCGACAAGGCTGCTAAAGTAATTGAATTCTACCAAGGCAAGCAATTGGTGTCGCCTTTGAAGAGAGCCTTCAACTAAATTTGAATTATGAAATATACGAAGAGGATGATTATTGTAGGTTTGAGGCTTGCGAGTTTTGCTAAGGCCTAACTGTATTAAAAAGATATAGGCGTCGCGGTTATTCGACTCTTAGGTATTCCGTAACGAATCGGGTGCAGCGATTTCGACATTGAAAAACCGTAAATCAGCTTTAAAGATTTAGTTCCTCGAACTCAAGGATGATAAGTGTAAGATTCAATTTGAAATGCACATTTGATCTCATACGTGAGATTTCGGATCCCACTGATCATTTTGGATAAACTCAATAAGCAGTCTTGACTCGGTCTGTAACAAGGGGTGTGAGGAGACTGTTGTCAAGAACTTTTCAAGACCTTGACGCCGTTTCTCAATGTTGACATCATTGAATTTGTTAGATGTCAAAATGATCTTGGCAGGGAGAGGGGGGATGATTACTCTAGTCAGCTCTTGTTCCAATATCTTCCGGAAGGCAACGAAGTCACTGTATCGCCGACGAAGCCGTGATTGGCGCTTGCGGAACGCTGGAATATTAGTTCGACACACGATCTCATAATCGGTGTAGGGGTTGCCACCCAGATTATGAGTCACTGGGTTACGAACTTCAATCTCGAAGAAGTTCTCTGGTTCTCCGTATATCTCTTGGCTGTCTCTGGGAGCCAGGGTGTTGATGATATCGCTGATCGGTTTGAAGGTCATAGCGTCAGAATAGTTCGCACGTTATTTGTGGGAGTCGGGAATCTAGGTTAGGGGCACGAGACGCAAATTACCAAGGATGATCGTGGTTCCAACCTCCACAAGTATTGAGCTCTTCCAGCGCTATGCATAAAATGCAGCCAGACGAAGTGATCGATCGATTATGACCAAAATAAAAAAGGCTAGCGCTAAGATTCCTTGCGTAGTGTTCAGGTGAATTGTGTAGCAACAAAAAGAAAAGTACACCACCAAATCCGCCAAATGCAACGGTATTGACAACTTCTAGAGTAAGGACTCTACTGTTGGTGCTATGCAATATGTTGCAAGTTGGTGATTAGTATACAATAGGGATTCTAAACTAAGAAATCACAATGAACCTCTGTCTGAATTGAAATCTGGTTTCAAAAACAGAACTTTAATAGTTATATCACTAAGATGAACCAATCTGCAATGCAAATAGATAGTTGAGTCAAGTATTACGAGACTAATTTCATCATGTTGGTTTCAAAGCTTGTGTCAATTTCTTACCACTTCTACAAGACTGAAGAAAATTGGCCACATCGTAATATATCCCTTGATCGATGCGTTAATCAAAAATTTGTGGAATGACTGACAGTTCCCAATAGCGGTTCATTCGTTTCATTTGCAATATTGTCTGTTAAGCTGAATTTTGTAATGAATCGTTCATATGATACTGGAATGCTACCGCATCAATCAAACACTTAAAAACGATATAAACTCATAGACTGGGCTAAATAAGCATAGCCATCTATTGGGTTTGAGCTAGAGACAATTCCAGTCGACTACGAGTGCTAAACGCAATTCCATTTATATCTATTATACAGTCAATATAGGTGATCTAAATTAGTCGAAGGTCTTCTTGGTACCTTGGAAAGATGCAGCTGAGGGACCTCTGGAAGGAGTACCTTGTCTCGAGGGAGTGCCAGATCTGTCTCTGCCACCTCTGAAGCCACCTCTGCCGCCTCTGAAACCTCCCCTGTCACCTCTGTTACCACCAGACGGTCTGGTCGAAGGGTCTCTCGGGGTCGAGAAGTCTAATCTGATGGGTCTGTTGAACACGTATTCGCCGTTCAAGGCCTCCAAAGCAGCCTTGGCTTCATCAACGGAGCCCATTTGAATGTAACCAAAGCCCTTAGGTTGCTGCGTGTCGGGATGAGTGGGCAATCTGCAAGAAATTACAGTACCGTGTTCACCGAAAATGTTGAACAATTCATCACGGTCAGCATCGAAAGCCAAGTTACCGATGAACAAAGTGTCAGAGGGGGGCGACTGGGAGTCGCCGAATTGCTTAGCTCTGTTTTCAGTGCTAGACTGCTTGGGCTTGCCAGTCGACAAGTCCAAGTTGATGGGTCTACCGTCGATCTCACGGCCTTGGAATTGGTCAAGAGCGTTTTGGGCAGCTTCCTTGGTTTCAAAGTCAACGTAACCGTAACCTCTAGATCTACCAGTACCGCGTTCCATCATAACTCTGGCGCCGATCACGCCACCCAAAGGTTCAAATTCACGCTTAAGCCAGTCATCATCAATGTTCCACGAGAGTCGACCAACAAACAAAGTAGCCGGTTCGGACTCCTCAGTTTTAGCCTTCTTAGTTTGGACATCGGCGGGTTCAGAGTCTTCAGCCTTTCTCTTGGTGGAGGTCTTGTCTTCCGAGTCCGAATCAGAGTCCGAGTCCGAATCAGAATCCGAGTCCGAGTCGGACTCAGAGCTCGAGCTAGACGACAGAGCATCAACCTTCTTGGTCTCCTTGCCTTCATCACCAGAGGATTCATCATCAGCTTCGGAGTCGGAAGACGAGTCGGAGGAGCTCAGCGCGTCCGAGCTTGACTTTGAAGACGAGGTAGACGATTCAGTGGTCGCTTCCTTCGAAGCTTCCTTGTCCTCAGCTTCATCTTCCGAGTCCAGGGAGGAGTCAGAGTCGGAAGAAGAGGAAGAGGAGCTGGATGAGTCAGAGTCAGAGTCAGATGAAGCCTTGGAAGCCTTAGCGTCCTTTGATTCTTCCTCAGAGTCCAGCGACTCAGAGTCTGACGAAGACTCAGAAGACAGAGACGACGACAGAGACGATGACAGCGACGACGACAGCGACGACTCAGAGTCCAGAGACTCTTGCTTCTTCACAGGTTTGGCATTCTTGCCGGATTTTGAAACTTTAGCCATTGTTCCCTATAGTATTTGAAAAATATAAAGCAAACGAGGCCATCTCATCGTTAATCCTGTGCGTGGAGTTCTCTGCAGGATGTTCATCTCATCGGAACCCACAACAACCAAATAGTGACAAACTCCAATATTCTGTAGGGACATTGCATGAGTAAAATTGTGACAGTTGAACTTTCAAAATCGTACTTTCACTTTATTCGCTAACCATTCTTAGATTAAACGCCCTTGTATCGAGCACCTTCGTTTAGATTTTCAAGTCACGTGCGTAATGTTCGTTTTCAGAATGATGTATCGTTTTGCGCGACGTGAGACATTCGTGCGGAGCATTCCTCAAATTTTGCAGTTTTCTGACTTCCCCTCACTTAAGTGTTCATAAAAGTAGCGCGCCGATACCGGCACAGCATATTTTTGACGTCATCAACGATTAATTACGCAAACGACTCCATCTAAACTAAACCAATAGGAGACATTTTATGTTGATCTCGAGACATCGCTGAACTTTGATCGAGACGTTCTTCAAGCCTGAACGGAGTCTCGATAACTCAAACTAGGTTCACCAAGTCGGGCTCCCGCATTGGTCCTACATATAGGCCGCCTATACCGGCCTTTGAGGACATTAAAAGTGTCCAACCCCACTTACTCACAGAATTATGATGTCTATTCGTCTGTTTCTGACCACAATAGTGGCAACAGCCCGAAAGCTGGTTCCGCCAGCCACATTGGTAATGGCCAATATGCTCAAGGATCCTCTGGTCAAATATAAAGCCTTCAAAGGCGTCGATTTACCAAACAGGCAGTGGCCTAACAAACAAATTACCAGGGCACCTCGGTGGCTTAACACTGATTTACGCGATGGTAATCAGTCTCTTCCTGATCCGATGCTGATCCTGCAAAAGAAGGAGTTTTTCCACAAATTGGTCGACATGGGCTTCAAAGAAATTGAAGTGGCTTTTCCCTCCGCGTCCCAAACTGATTTTGACTTCACACGCTACGCTGTTGAAAATGCACCTGACGATGTCATGATCCAGGTGTTGACCCAACTGAGAGAGCACTTGGTTCGCCGCACGGTTGAATCGGTGAAGGGGGCCAAGAAAGCGTGCATTCACACTTACTTGGCTACCTCAAACGTTTTCAGAGATGTCGTATTTAATATGTCAAAGGAAGAGGCAATTGCTAAAGCCGTCGAGACGACGAAATTGGTCAGATCGCTCACGAAAGATGACCATGCTATGCAAGAGACTGAATGGACTTATGAATTCTCCCCTGAATGTTTCTCTGACACCCCTACGGATTTTGCAGTTGAAATCTGCGAAGCCGTCAAAGCTGCCTGGGAGCCTACCGTTGAGCAACCTATCATCTTCAATCTTCCTGCCACTGTTGAAGTTGCGGGTCCCAATGTGTACGCTGATCAAATCGAATACTTTTGCAACAACATTTCGGAAAGAGAAAAATGCATTATCTCGGTGCACCCTCACAACGATCGTGGCTGTTCGGTTGCTGCTGCGGAACTTGGCTTGTTAGCAGGTGCTGACAGAGTCGAAGGGTGCTTGTTTGGCTCGGGTGAAAGAACCGGTAATGTTGACTTGGTAACGGTGGCTCTCAACATGTACACGCACGGGGTCAGTCCTAATCTTGACTTCTCTAACATCGAAGAAATCATTGAGATCGCCGAGCGTTGCACGAAGATTCATGTGCACCCCAGAGCTCCCTACGGTGGCTCTCTTGTGGTGTGTGCATTTTCAGGATCTCATCAAGACGCTATCAAGAAGGGTTTCTCCAAGCACGAAAAGTCAAACGATGGCGAATGGAGAATTCCTTACTTGCCGTTGGACCCTAAAGATATTGGCCGCTCGTATGAGGCTGTCATTAGAGTCAACTCGCAATCAGGTAAAGGTGGGGCCGCATGGGTCATTTTGCGTTCTCTCGGTTTAGATTTGCCCCGAGGCATGCAAGTGGCGTTTTCATCCGCAGTTCAATCTCATGCCGACTCGTTGGGTCGTGAGTTGAAGACTGAGGAAATTACCGAGCTTTGTCAATCCTTATACTTCTCGCTGTCGCCTATTTCTTTGAAGGATTTCGAAATCACCAAGAAGCGTGATTCCAACGACAGAGAGGTGTTCGTTATTTTGAACAATGGTGGATCTAAGGATACTATTGCCGGTGTTGGGAATGGTCCCATTTCTGCATTTGTTGATGCCATCAACAGTAAATTTGGTCTGAATTTTGAAGTCTTGAATTATACGGAGCACTCACTTGGTAAGGACTCGCAATCGAAGGCTGCAACTTATGTGGAGTTGTCGTACAAGGATGTGTCCGGCAATAAGGTTAGTAGATGGGGCTGCGGGATCAATCCCGATGTTTCGCAGGCATCATTCGAAGCCATTTTATCGGTTTTGAACAAGGCAATTGAGGCTGGTGAGATTGTTGTTTAGTTTTCATAGTTTAGGATAATTTACGAAAGATAAATTCGATACATGTATCGTGCAGTTATGAGCGCGGCAAAGCACGCGATTGAGAAGATACTCTAAGTCATCCCCCACAACACCGAACCAAGTATAGAAACTCTTCATACAGATGGCTACTAACCTATCACGAGAAGAGAAGCTCGCTCTACGACGTGCCAAGCTTCAAGAAATCAAGCGGCAAAAAGATTTGCAAGGTCGCTCAGAGTCTGCGGCAGAACCACAACTCACTTTTGCAATTAAAACCATCAAGAATACTCAACCGGTCAATCAAAAAAAACGCAAGGGCTACGTATTTGATGAGGAGAATCTGAATGAGGGCATTAAAAAGTTCGCTCCACCGAAAGGGTCATCAAATACACGGCACGAATCAGTTTCTGGAGATGAAGTAGACGAGCTCGATAAGTTTGTCAGCACGCTCTCCCAAACTACAACACCTGAGTTCAATGTGGTACCAGAGCATGATATCTTTGACGAGAATCTTGAAGAGGTGGAGGAGGATAGTCTTCTCACATCCAAGCTCGCAAAGTTGAATCAAGAGAAGATCCTCATCGCGCCACCTCCATCAACGACATATGGTGCTGTCAGGAAATGCTTTTACAATGAGCCAGCTGATATTGATGACGCTGAAATGGATCTTATCCGACACCTGTGGGGTGTGGTGGATGTTGAGGGTGATACCCCCCCTAAACCCGTCACTTCGTGGCAAGAAATGCAGTTGCCTTCGAATTTGATGGCAACTATAGCGGAGTATGGTTATGATAAGCCATCTCCCATTCAAGCGCAAGCAATTCCTGCACTACTTATGGGGCGGGATTTGGTGGGCATTGCCAAAACCGGATCAGGGAAAACACTAGCATTTTTGCTCCCCTTGCTTCGTCATGTACAAGGGCAACCTCAACTTGAAAGTGGAGATGGCCCCGTGGCACTTGTCCTCACCCCCACTCGTGAATTGGCATTACAGATATACAAAGAAGCTACAAAATTTCTGGGATTTTCTGCCGTGTGCTGTTATGGAGGGATTAGTATCGAGACGCAAATTGCGGATCTCAAGCGTGGTGTGGAGATAATAGTGGGTACACCAGGTAGGGTGATCGACTTACTCGCAGCTAACGGCGGCCGCGTCACCAATTTACATCGGTGCAGTTATGTGGTCATGGACGAAGCAGACAGAATGTTTGACATGGGATTTGAACCGCAAGTCACAAAGATTCTCTCTCAAGTCACAAGGCCGGATCATCAGACTGTCTTATTTTCGGCCACTTTTCCAAAGAAAATGGCGACGCTTGCACGGAGAGTTATGGTTCATAAACCATTGAAAATTACTATTGGTGAGATTTCAACTGTTGCAAGTGAAATACATCAAGAGGTGAAGCTTTTCAATTCAGCCGACTCTTCGAATGTGCATGATGCTAAGTTTGATTACTTAGTTGAAATACTAGCGGATTTTTTCAGACACAACCATGGCAAAGTTTTAATTTTTGTCGAGCTGCAAAGCATGGCTGATACACTTTCAGTGGGTCTTTTGCATGAGAAATTCTCTGCTTTAGCCATACATGGCGGAAAAGATCAAATCGATCGGAAGCATGCAATCAAGATTTTCAGTGATAATGATAGTGATGTTAATGTGTTGATCGCGACGTCGATAGCAGCCAGAGGACTTGATGTCAAGAATCTTAATCTCGTAATTAACTATGACCCTGCCAGCCATTTGGAAGATTACGTTCATCGCGTTGGACGTACTGGACGAGCAGGTGCCAAGGGCCGCGCTATAACTTTCGTTACGTCAAATCAAGAGCGGGCAATTGCCGATTTAGCTCGGGCTTTTAAGGCTAGTGGCCAAAACTTACCGAGTGAATTGGATGTCGCAAATCGCAAATTCTTGAAACTGGTGAAGGAAGGCAAGGCGAAATTTTCTTACGGATTTGGAGGCAAAGGGTTGGAAAACCTCGATGAAAATCGTCAGCTGGAGAAGACCATACAGCACAAGTTGTTTGATGGTGACACTGCAGTTGAGAAACCACCCGTTACGGCAATCTCAAAGCCAGACATACCATTGCCCAGTTTTGAGATCTTCGAAGGATGTGCACCTGAAACTGGTCACAGCAGCTCAAAGTATCACTCCCGTATTGTCATTAACGATCTTCCCCAACTGGCAAGGTGGCACATTGCGCATCGCGAATCTCTTGCTAAAATTATTGATGCTTCTCATGCGTCGGTGACACATAAGGGTCAGTTCTATGCATCTCAAAAGACTGCCCCAACCTGGCCACCAGTAGAGTTTGGTCGCGATGTGAAGCCAGCTCCAAAGCTCTATTTACTAATTGAAGGTGCAACTGAGCACATTGTGAAACACGCCAATAATTTGATTCGAGAACGGATGCTCGAAGGTTTAGACTTGGCAGCTTATGAAGAAAAGAGAAATCCATCCAAAAAATATTCTGTTTGATTGTTTCGAGGATGTGGTAGGATTGGTCAATATATGTCTGAACGGTTCGAAGAGTAAATTGAAATTTTACTCGACTCCTTTTTGTCCAAATACCTTCTTCTGTGAAGACGTTTTATCTCACTTGAAAACACTAATAGACTACCTATTTTAAGCTTTCATTGCTCTTAATCTTGAGTGTGTGCTCAAAACTGTATCATATTAATGAACAACAAAACTTTTTAGCACTTTTTCTCCACATCGTTATAGACTTCCTATTTGGGCATTGCTCTCATCGGATTGTTCCTTTAGTTTTGTTGACTGCCAAACATGGTTGTAGGTCTTGAACCCTAATGCGCACTTATTCCACGTGACTCTTTCACGCACACCTCTCATCCCGCACCCTCACGCCGAGCGCGCTCGTCCCAAGCATACAAAATTTTCACTCCGGTATCGTGATTAACAGAGCCATGTCTTCCTTTGAACCTGTTGTTGTTATCGACGCCAAGGGCCACCTTTTGGGTCGTTTGGCTTCCATTGTGGCCAAGCAAATCTTGAACGGCCAAAAGATCGTCGTTGTTGGTTGCCAAAACATGAACATCTCTGGTTCTCAATTCAGAAACCAACTTACCTTCCACGCTTACTTGCGTAAGGGTACCAGATTCAACAAGACCCACGGTCCCTTCCACTTCAGAGCTCCCTCGAGAATCTTCTACAAGGCTGTCAGAGGTATGGTTCCCCACAAGACTGCCAGAGGTAAGGCTGCCTTGGAAAGACTTAAGGTGTTCGAAGGTATCCCCGCTCCTTACGACAAGAAGAAGAGAGTTGTTGTTCCCCAAGCTCTCAGAGTCTTGAGATTGAAGCCCGGTAGAAAGTACACCACTCTCGGCAAGTTGGCCACCAACGTCGGCTGGAAGTACGAATCGGTTGTTGAAAAGTTGGAAGAAAAGAGAAAGCTCAGATCGGCCGAATACTACGCCAAGAAGGCTGCTTTGGCCAAGAAGGTTGCTGCCGCTCAACAATCTCAACAAGAATCGGAAGTGTCGCAAAAGTTGGCTGCTTTCGGTTACTAATGGTTACGATGTTAATAGGGTGCACTAATACATGTGAAATAAAGGCGTATAATTCAAATGACGCCAGCGTCAATTAAGAATTCTAGATATAACCCGGAGTAAATCTCGACACTTTGCACGGTTCACGTCAGAATCATCCCGACTTGATGTTTTGTGCTTCGCACCAAATAGTTTGGGGCTTCGTTGAGTGCCGTAGCGGAAGTAAGCTTCGACGTTGAAATGGTTGTACAGCTTGATCTTGTTCGGCACAATCGTAAGGTGAATAGTGTTCCAAGCACGTAAGTTTATCTTTTCGATATTCTGCAGATAAATGTCCTCGATAGAATACGGCTTCCCCAAATGAAGTAAACGGATTTGATTGATCCTGGCGTTTCGAAGATTGAAGTGATCTCGATTGTAGTGCAAGTAGCATATAATATGGCTCATAGTTAGATCGCGTGGATCCTGGAAATACAGCTCAGCCAACAGAACAACCAGCGAGTACTTGAACATCATCTTGTTGGTGCCTTGCATTACCACAACCTCAAAATCATTCACGGACAGCTTCGCCCTATCCTTAGCATAGTGCTCAACAAGAGTTCCGTTGAAGATGATCTCATTTGTCACCGTTGCGGTCAGATCACAGGGTGATAAGATGAGATCATCATTGGAAGCTCTTGAAGAAGACATAACACTCGAGAAACCTCGAGAAGGCATGGGACAACGTGTTTGCGTGCGTTTTGTAGTCCTCGAGGGATTGTCTTAAAGCCTCAAGAGAATTCTTTTCCTTATCCCCGTATTCTCGGCTCAGCCAGCTACCCCACACCGATATATACAGGACTGTAAATATGAACTTACACAAAGATAATTACTCGTAGTATTTTTGTATCGCACTACCACTCATGGTAACCCTTTAACTCCCATTGCCTTGCATGACCTCCAGTCATGAACACTGAGATTAATTCTCGAGGTACTGGTAAATTTTCCTCACTCCTTGGTAAGCTACACGGCTTCGATGATACCCTTATGCTCACAGCTATGATCACCTTATTCCAATAAAAAAACGTAAACGTTTTTGTGTTTCAATTTACCCTAATTTCTCCGAGAATGCAAAATGCCGCTGTGCAATCATTCACGGCGTTTTTGATGCTTACTGTGAGTTTAGGTGTTTCAAGCAGGAGTCATCAAGGACAGTTGGATGTAATCCGTCCAACTGAACCACATTAGATTGGTACAACTTCATCCATGAGCAGTTGGAGGAATGAGTTCGGTGGTCCAATTAGCACCAACATGTCGCAGGCTTTGATGATCTTTATGATGAGTCGATTGCAATCGATGTAACTTGATCCCACGAGCTGAAGTATATTCTCGATAACAATCAAGGATGGTTGGTCGCATGTGGTTATAACATTGAGTATTCCATGAAGAGCATCCACATTCTGGTAATTGATTAGTTGAAGCTTGCTTTCTGGAAGCATAGCCGTTCTCGACATTGCTATGACATTGGTGGACAGAGTACCATTGATGTAAATCAATGGATGTGGTGTTTGCAATTCAGACCACCTTTTGAGAGCCTCAAGTATACTTCGTTGTAGTCCGACCCTTGAATTGTCGTGGGAAAGGAAAGTTCGTGTCATATATTGTCGCGAAACGCGACAGTTCACATCAACAAAGGTATTTCTACTAAGTAACGTACATTCTACTCAACTTTTTCCAGCTCAATGCTTTTATCAGGATTAGCGGCTTCGTCGCTTGGCTTTTTATCAAATTCGCCTCGAGCCCATCTTTGAGTTGCTGCTTTTCTTTCCAACCTTTCATTTTCGAGAATCAGTTGAGCGTTGTCAGAGGGAGGTTGTAACAGTTTACGATGCGCCACAATGTCCTTGAGTTTTTTGTTTGCGTGCAACAAACCATACCGCCGGTATTGTTTGATGCAATCGACAAGCTCTTGTCCCTCCTTATCTTGGATATACATCGCAAAGGTGAGTCCCAATTGAGTGAAATACTCATAGTTCAATACCAACTTAGAACCCTCTAAGTCATCTTTGAGAGTCAGTTTTTGATCGATAGGTGTGTTGTAGCCTTCTCCTTCCCCTAATTGCGTACCCAAGTTTCCCAATTTGCTGAAAAGACCAGCCCTGTGAGCGCTGACCATGCCACCATGTTCTTTGATCTTGTAATCACGATAATAGTCTCTGTAGTCATTTATATCAGCCTTCGCTGTGCCGGTCCATCCAATACTCAATAACTCCTCACGGGTGATTTTCAATTTAACTGAGCCAGGAGTTAATCTGAAGAGTTTGATCGGGTTGAAAATACCAAAATACAAAGAAACAAAAATCGCAAAGCACTTGAAAAGATGGAAAGCAAAATAGAAGCACTGTGCGGTGACAGATGATTCTTCAAAAAGATCTCTTTGAAGCTTCACAGCCAAATTGGTGTAACCAAAGTATTTCAGAGCCCAAATCATTGCATGCGCAACTTGATTTGTCAAACAAATGCCAGGTGTGGGACTAATGAAGTCTGGAAGATCGGTATAAAGCCAGGTTAATAAAAATGCCACGAAGGCGTAATATCCAAAAGAGTTGAACTCCCAAATAGGCAAGATTAATTGGCCTGGCCAGCAGTGTTTGGATACTTCCTCGTCTTGAGGCACGGACTTGACAATCTTTTCTGCGTTTGCATCGAATAAAAAGTTACCATCTTCCGTCAAATAACCCGGCGAGGTGGAGACTTTGAAACCAAGTGGCATCCTATTGTAAAACACAGATGGACGAAGTGCAAGTGGCAACATGTTAAAGATGTTGAGAAGATCTTTAAAAGTTGTTGTCAGCTTCAACTGGAAACAGTAGTCCTTATCGGAGTCAGCATTGAATCTTATATACACTTCAAGAAAAGACTCTTCGGCTTCCTCAACATCGTTAAGAATCTGCTCTTCGTCGTGGACAGTAGTCATTGATGAGTGTATTTTTCCGAGTGAACGGTGTCTTAATTTTCCGTGAGCGGTGACGCGGCGCTGGGTGCGGGGAGGGGGCAAAAAAAAATATACCCAGTTCAAAGTGGGGAGCTAACATTTTGAGACTGTTTATGGCATCCAGAAAAGTCATGTGCATGGAGGCATAGTATAAATTTTCAAAGATTTTGACCACCATGAAAGCTTTCTCCGAATTGGGCGCTTGTTGTAGTTCCCATTAAATATCTGTATGCCGTCCTGTACGCTCTACTCATTGCCAAACGCCGCGTGCAAAAATCAATTGACCCCAAGTCTAACCATGGTACCGCTGTTTCTCAAACGAAAGAGTAAGAGCGGTACACCGAGCCTTCTGCCAATGGTGTTATCCCCAATGACTTCGGCACTGCTGGCCCGGCTGGTGGACGCACCGAACAGCTTGTGGACGCTACAAATTCGGATGGAGTCGCCTCCGATAGTGCTATACGGTACACCTGTCGATCTGGCGGGCGCTATAGTCAGTGGTCTTATATTTTTGGATACCACGGATGATACCACTAAGATCGATTTCGTGACGCTAAAAATCGTTCAGCGTATACGATACTCTAAACCATTCATGATTTCCCTGACATCCGTTACGCTGTGTAAAGATTGCCAGGTGCGGTTGACTGAAATCTCGCGATGGGATGTTGTTAAATCGCCCACAGTCTTCAACAAAGGGCGTCATGCGTATCCCTTCTCTGATCTTCTTCCGGGTCTGTTACCACCCCTGAGTAAACTTGGGTCCGCATCCACCAACACATATATTCAATATGACCTCATTGCAGAGGCTAAGGGAACGGATGACTCTCATATTACTTCTGTCAAAATTCCTTTACACATTAGTCGCCTGACTCCACGTGGACCCGACAGAAATTCGTTGAGGGTATTTCCGCCAACAGAAGTGACTGCCGGTGCTGTACTTCCACATGTCTTTTATCCTAAACTGTCTTTCCCCATTGAATTGAGACTTGATAACATCGTTAGTGTTAGCGGTGAGAGGCGTTGGAGAATGCGGAAGCTTGCTTGGAAAATTGAAGAGAATGTGAAAGTTAGGGCGTACACATGCTCTAAACACAAACATAAATTGGAAGCTGTTGAAGCCTCTGAGCGCAAGACCAGATTACTGAACATACAAAATCATATTGTACAAAGTAAGGGCGGCAATTTGCACCATCTGACTATACAAACGAACATGCTGTTGTTGCGGAATCCAAGTCAATACAATGGGCGCAACGCTGAAAACGCACAACAAAGTGAAGGCGGAAATCAGGACGAACCTACAGAATCTGAAGAAGAGCATCAACATCAGGTCGAAGACGCACACGATTCGTTTGTTGAAGATTTTGTACGGAATGGTTTCAGGCTGGCACTGCTAATGCGTGAGGCTCGAGAACACGAGCAAACTCAAAGGCGGCGCAACTTCGAAGAAGATGCGTCGGAGCATATTTATCTCGAGGAAACCCGGGTTGTTTCACATGGAGAAATCAAAAGCGGCTGGAAGCTGGACTTCAGTGGTCGTGGTAAAGTGGAGCTTGTGGCTCACATTGACGTGTACGATTTTTCCACTGGATGGCAAAAACAAGTGACAACAAAGGCTTCAACAGAAGACAATAGGTCGGATTTCAATCATGAAAACGCTCGAGCCAACGCTAATGTTGCTTGCGATGTTGATGACCCAGAGAGCGGAATATTTGTTACTCACACTTTGGTGGTCGAGGTGGTGGTGGCCGAGGAGGTTGTACATGACGTTAATAAGCGACCTGTAGTCAAGCAGGCAAAGTCTCAAATGTCTGTGACGTCGCAGGAGGGCTCTGAGACCTACGAATCAGGTCCTCCAGTGGCTGGAATACCCACTGGAGCAGCTCGAGTGTTAAGAATGCAATTTAAAATGCCATTAACTGAACGTCTGGGACTAGGCATTGCTTGGGATGATGAAGTGCCCCCGATTTACGAGGATATTCGATGCTTAAGTCCTCCCGGTTACAACGACATCACTATGAGTGCGGATGCGGCCGAAGGTCATGAACATGACGTAGTTTTGTCAAATTCGCCGACATTAGGAGTTATCTCGAGGGTTCATACAGAAACAAACTTGAGGAATTTGAATCAAGAGTTTTCATTAGATTCATAAATCAAAGTCACCGATGAATGCATATATCGTCATTAACCGAAACATAAGTAGTCTCATCGTAGAAAGCTGTACTCCTATAACCGATAGCCAGGTTTGATTAACCATCCTAGAGATGAAATATGGTGCCAGTCTTCTTTTTCGTCACAATCAGAAATGGGCTTAGAGCGCCGATTGTCTACAATACTATGACCGCTACATTCGGAGACCACCGGTCACCATCCGCAATCTTAGTGACCGCGCACCCAAAAACGCCACGCAGCTGCGACAACCCCCACTTAAAGTGTGGTCATAATGGGCAAGACGGAAGTCAATTATATCACCTTTAATCAGGATGCACTGTGTGTGGCCGTGGGAGTCACAACGGGTTATCGCATCTTCAGTTGCAGACCACAATTTGCACCTTGTTTGTCCACTACTACTAAGGAGTCTGTTGGTTTGATTGAGATGTTGTACAACAAGTCATTAGTGGCCGAGGTTGCCATTGGGGAAGACCCGGGACAATCGCCCCGAAAACTTAAAATCATCAATACTAAGCGCCAGCTGACAATTTGCGACTTACTCTTTGCAACACTGATTTTAAAAGTTACCCTCACGCTGGATCGTATGGTGGTTTTACTTGAAGATCAGATCTACATCTACGACATCACCACTATGAAACTATTACACACAATTGAGACTCTGCCAAATCCAGGTGGTATTTGCAGCGTATCGCCCGAGCCAGACGTTAATGGTGCGATATTTTTGGCGTATCCTCTGCCTCCAAAAACAATAACACATGACCTGCTACTAGCAACCGGGATCAATACTAATGGAGGCAACAATTCCGTTCAAAATAACGTCCAGCTGGTGTCGAATACACCAAATCGTGTGGGAGACGTGATTCTATTCAATCTCACTACCCTACAACCAGTGCTGGTAATTGAAGCTCACAAGGCGGCGTTGGCTGCGATGGCATTGTCTTCCGATGGTAAGTACTTGGCTACTGCCTCTGGGAAAGGAACAATTATCAGAGTATTTGACGTCGCCACAGGTCAAAAGTTTTATCAATTTCGTCGAGGAACCTACCCGACAAAAATTTACAGCTTGAGGTTTTCATCTGATAACCGGTACATACTAGCAACTCTGAGCTCTGGTACGGTGCACATTTTTCGCTGTGGAGAAGAGGAAGCGCTAGCAACCAAGCTGGCCCGCAAAAAGGCTGTTTTAGGGGCTCAAATTCAACAAGGAACAACAGCTGGTGGAAAAAAGTCGCCAGTCGCAATTAATGCGAGATATACAAAAAGCATACCAGACGATGTTTCGCTGCTGCCTGTCGATTCGTTTGTTGGATCACCAACAACCAGTATATCCGCAATTAATGCAACCGCGACAAATAATTTGGCGCCACTGCTTCACGAGGAGATATATGATGATTTGGGAGCCCATGATTCTCAGTCTGATTCTGATGACGAATTTGAACCTATCGAGGTTGCGAAGCATCGAAAACTTTCGTCAGGTCTGGCAAATCTGTTTCCCACTGACTACGAGGGCACTCGGACTGAACCAATCGTTGATCAAACGCGCTTACTGGTGGCCCGACTAATTCGACACTCATCACAAACATTAGGCCGCAAAGCTGCCCAAAAAATGGGTGATTTCTTGCCACAGAGCTTTTCTCTGATCCTTGAGCCGACACGTCATTTTGCGCTGATCAAGATTGGTCTGGCGAGCAAAGACGTGAAACTGATCGCGTCTCTTCACGCTGAGCTAAATCAGGACGTTGTTCCTCAACTGTACTTGCTGCAGAAGGAAGATAACGATGGTGATGACTCAACTACCACTCAGCGAATGAGTCTGAATGCTCTGGGAGAAACGATAACATTAAACTTGCTACATGTTCATGTGATTACTCTGGAAGGTATGTTTTACCTTTATGGACTAGATCCCGAAAGAGGAGGTGATTGCATTTTATTAGAACAACACCGTTTAGTTGGTAAGGACACACCGTGAGCTCACCCAATTGTACTCAATTTTCGTTCAGCCATTGTTGTAATTAAAGCGAGAAGAGAATGCATTGAATATATTAGATGTAATTTGTGAGGCAGATTGTCGAAACCACGCTTTGCGGTCAATTTCCCGGCCATGTTGTTGATTCCATTAGTGATTCCTTTAGTGATTCCATTAGGGATTCCATTAGGAATTCCATTCATGGGAAATAAATGGAATTTGTGCATCCACGCTATACGTAATCTGTAGTGAACAACAAGTGGTATACATCAATAAAGGTTGTTGTGAATTCCACCCAAGAGTCTGTGTCTATATAATTGAGAAAGGTGCACAGAAGTTCCAGATCGCGATATCTTGAAGTCAGAGGCTAAATACTCGCATCAAGATTTGGTTTTGTCGATACTTCTCAATTTCGAAAATCGAGGTAAATATTTAAAATATACTTAAAACTACCAAAAGCGAACGCACTGCTTAACACTCAATGACGACCAGTAAACGCTAATCGACGTGACATTCCGTAAACTATTTGACAATGGTTTCGAAGGTGGGCAAATATGTGGGGTGACATCACAAGAACCCGAAATTAAAGGTTAATGACGAACTTGAAATGCCCCAAAAGCGATCAAAATATCACTGGAAAAGCAGAAGGAATTACAACTAGCCTAATAATAGCCTATGATACCTTGAAATTCAGTTTATTCTATCAATCGCTTTGTCTTTGTCAGTTGTATCGAATTTTGCTAAATGAAATCTGAGCAAAATTCATCAAATGGTTTTCAGGAATATCTCCAAAGCACTCTTTCAGCTAGATGAATGCAGAGTGAGGTAGTGCGTATAAACTATATTTGTTTTCCTCATTTTTGTGCCAAATGACTAGGTTCTATTCTATGGATTAAAATAATTTCAATAATTTGCAAAATCCTCTCGATAGCTTAGCTGGTAGAGCGTGAGACTGTAATGGAATTGTCATCTCAAGGTCGCGTGTTCGACTCACGCTCGGGAGAATTTCTTTTTACGAGTTTCATTCAAAAAGAGGCACAAGTTCGAAATTCATCCATATTGGTTCCTATTAACCCATGGTTCCGGACTGGTAATAGTTCCACCGAAGAATGAAAAGTATCCTTTTTGGTTGCGTAATGTGTGCGTCCCGACATTATAAGGTAAGAAAGAAATGCATGAATCAGAAGTGTTCGCTAATAACAGATACTTCCTATCAACTTATTCAACCCTGACAGTCAACAGCCATTTCAATCTTTGAATCCCCTTTAACTGAATCTTCCAAGGACTGGCTGCAAAAAATCCTTCGTGGTCAAAATTCGCACCAAAAAAAATCGCCACCGTTTACTCGACCTCTTCCATATATGACTGTCAAGATCACCATCAAAAATGCAGGGAAAACCCACGAGATTGAGCTTCAGGATGACGATGTCGGTAAAGCATTGAAGCTTGCAATTCAAAAGAAAACGCTTATACCGCCTGAGCGTCAGAAGATTTTGATTAAGGGTGGTAAGGTCAACGACGACACTCCAGTTTCAAAGCTTGATTTGTCTAAGCCAATCATGGTCTTAGGTACTCCGGATAAGGAGCTTCCGCAAAAGCCTGTTGAAAAAGTTGTGTTCTTGGAGGATTTAAAACAAGTTATGCTGACAAACAATGAACCTACTGGGCTCACCAATTTGGGTAACACGTGCTATTTGAACTCCTCCTTACAGGCATTATTCAACATAGCTGATGTCAAAAAAGCTGTTAAGTCCTATCAGGGTGGATCCAACGCACTTATCAACTCCATGAAAGAGTTATTCAACCGTATGGAAAAGAAAGAACAACGAATTTCACCCCAATTATTCTTGATCATGTTTCGTCAATTGTTCCCACAATTTGCGGAGAGAGACACAATGGGATACAAACAACAGGATGCGGAGGAAGCGTTTTCTCAGATATTGAGTGAGTTAAGAAGGGAATTTGGTCTCGACGATGATTTTAAGATTACCTTCAAAAACATCACTAAATGTACCGCTGCAACACAAGAAGAAGAAATCGTGACCTTTGAGGATGCTTATAAGCTTAATTGCCACATCGACATCAAGATTAATTTTTTACGAGACGGTATTTTAATGGGGTTGAGGGAGACTATTGAACGTCACAGTGATACGTTGGGTCAAAATGCGGAATATGAGGTGTCACGCACGATAACCCGGTTACCCAAGTATCTCACCGTTCATTTTGTCAGATTTTTCTGGAAAAGGGAGACCTCCACTAAGCTGAAGATTCTTCGGAAGGTCCAATTTCCATTTGAACTTGACTTAGCTGAAATGTTGGACCCGCTGATCAAGCAAGAGAAGATCGAAATGCGTGATAAGTTTCGAAAAGTTTCGAAGGACAATGAGGAGGTGGTTCGTGACTTCAAAAAGCAAAAGCGGGATCCTGCATTGACCCCCATGGAGCAAATGGAGGAAGAGAAGTTGAAGATAGAATCGATCAAAACGAAGTTTCGTGACGACATTCAGCTGATCCTGAAGGTTGATATTGATTCCACTACTGAAAACCCGTCTTCTGTCTATGAATTGCAAGCTGTAATCACTCACCAGGGCTCAACGGCAGAATCAGGGCATTATCAAGCGTTTGTCAAAGATAACGAAGGCTTGGAAGACGATCTTTGGTGGAAGTTCAATGACGACAAAGTGTCTAAAGTCTCTCAAGATAAAATCGAGCAATTAGCCGGTGGCGGGGAGTCGGATCTGGCTTTAATACTTATCTACAGAGCCGCAGGATTAGAATAGATATGAATATAGGGTATGCTAACTGGAAATTGGCTTAATGAAAATATAGTTTTCTTCAATCTTGATGATACTGTATATAGGCTATTGGATTTTATTCGTACAATCGCGGTATCAAATCAGAGGTTTTTTCAAGAGGAGGACACCCACACATCCCAAAATCCACTAAACACCGATAGCTATGGGTAATACCACGTCCAAGCCGGAGACAAAGGTGTTCAACCCCGAACTGCCAGTGGACTTCTCCGCGTCCTTTCTTTCTCAATTGGAAACGAGCGTGGACCTGGATTACTCAAGAGCACAATATGCCGAAAATTACATTCAAGACAGAGTTGCTCAAGAATTGAAGAAGTTGGAGAAGGAGGCCGTGGTTAAGTTCAATAAAACAACGAACGATGCCTTAGCTAAGAACCCCAAACCGGAACTTTCCGTTGCCAAAACTAACGAAAAGATCAGTCAGTTGACTCTGATTCTCCAGGAGAATGCCAAACTCACCGAAGTTCAGTTACCTGAAGAGACTAAAGCGGCACGTGAATCAGTTTTGTCTTGCTTAAAGGCCAATGAAGGTAAGCTGTTGAATTGCTGGGACGAAGTTAAAAAGTTTGAGGAGTTGGTCAAAGCCTTGTAACAGAAGCTTACTAGAAATGGAAGCGTAAATACATATTAATCCCATAGAATAGTTTGTGATTACAATAATACCAGCCTCCGGATGTGGCGTTCATAAAACTGTAGAGCGCGACGAAAAAAATCGAGACTCAGATCCACTAATGTCACTGTTACCTCCCGGGCTTGGGACCACTACGCAAGATGAGAGCCCTGACGTTACTACAGATATCAAATCGCAAGACAGTAAGAACTATGGTATGAGCGGATTGCTGAGTTTTCTCAAGATGGAACAAAATGACCATAATATGTTCGCAATCGGCTCAGACGTTATCAATTATGGTTTGGATTTGCTGGAAGATTCACAAGTTCTTAAAAACTTGGCACTGCCATGGGTGGAAACTCTGCGACTGGAAGTTGAACCATACTTCTCGCTCCCGTCATCGATTCAGCCGGACAATATTATACCCCCGCCCGGTCCTTGCGACTTGAAGATACAGTCATTTTCCGATGAAACGCTTTTCTACATCTTTTATATGAAGCCAAGAGATACACTTCAAGAGTATGCCGCCCGCGAGCTCGTTCTGAGAAATTGGAGGTATCACAAGGATATTCAAGTGTGGCTCACCAAAGACTCCCAGGTTGAGCCTGTCCTCATTTCTCCGGATGTAGAGCGTGGTGTTTACATCTTTTTCGATCCTCACAATTGGACAAAGATAAAAAAGGAGTTTGTTTTGCATTACTCTCTGGTGCAAGCTTAATTGCGTACGATTATCATGGCTATAATTAATGAAGGTTTTATTACTTTTGATATACGACTTTATCAACCTTAACGTTGCCTTCTAAGCAAGTGTATATGTATAGATCACAAGTTGTACCTTGCACATCTAAGATGCAAAAGGAAGGCACATTTTCGGTATCCGCATAGATTCTTTCAAAATCGAGGCTTTCTTCGTATTCTACTACGTTGGGCTCAGGATCTTCTTTGGAAGTCGAGGCGACAACATTCGGCCTCTTAGGTGTTTTGGTGTCATCAAGGCTGTCACTGGTGTTATTCAGCAGGAAATTATTCTCCAGATGATCTTCCAAATCGTTCTTCTCATTGCTACCACCCAGTTCTGAATGTGACACATCGTCAGTGGTACTGGCTTCATCTGTGGCATGTGGAGGTTTCTCATCAATTGAGTTTGAGTCTTGAGTCTTGCTTGTTTTCTCATCATCCAACTCATATTCAGGGAGTTCGAAAGTAAAAGCGCCGCTGGCGGAACCAGGATTAACGAAGAATTTTCCATCCATCGTGTAGGCTTCAATCTTATGTAACCCCCCCCATAACAAAATATCAACATCTAAATCTCGAGCTATCGTCAGCAATACGAGTGGGTCATTTTTCGGGGCGGTTTGAATGCCCAGAGTGAATCCTATTTTGAGCTTGTCAACGGATATCACATTGTATAAAGGAATGACAGTCTCTTCGCCTTTGAGTTCCAGTAATTGTTGAGTCAAAATACCAATGTCATCTTCTTCGCCTTTCACCAAATGTAAGTTTGAGGAGATATCTTTCAAGAATTTCAACGTTGCCACGCTGGCATTCATATTCCCAAGACAGATAACATGCTCAATACCATTTGAAGAAGCCAGTGACCTTTTAAGTAGTTTGATGAATTGTGGAGGCAATTTGCAAGCTCTTGTAGGAATGAAGGAACCCCCAATTGCAAGCACTAACATATTTGTATAAAATTAATGCGGCGCATGTCGTAAGAGATCCTGCGTGAGGCTCCGTCTCCATGCGACTTCCCTTAGCCTGCGTGACTGCGACCAAAAGCTGCCAAGTATCAGTCACTCTGAAGGCCGAACCAACCGAAGCCTAGGCCCCGTAATTAGTATGGAGCTCTGAGATCCAGCCACAAGGGGGATCGGAACGGAGATAGTTCAACTCTACGTCGCTGGTCCCAGGGTACTTTCACTTCAAGTGACTTGATCAACAATATGACTTTACTGGAAGTAAAAGTTGATAAAAGAACTAGTGATGTTTACGTTAATGAAGCACGTTCACTTGGCTTGTTTATTTTTATAGTTCGTTATTCGTCATTTTTCGGGCGCTTAGAAGATGGGGTGTCCTCGTTAACTTCGGCATGGTAGTCCTTGATCAAAGAATCAACATCATCAATGTTCAATTGTCTGATATCACCCAACTTTTTGATCTTCACGGTCACTTCCTTGCATTGGTCGTCCGTCAAATGTAAGTTCAATTGATCAACTCTCAGTTTGATGGCATTCCAACCAGTCAACCGATTAGCAAAGTGAATATAGCGAGTCATCCCGAAATCGGCGGGGTTCAAAATTTCGTAAGTCGAGGGGTTGGCGAGAATGGCCTTGGCGTGGATACCGGCCTTGTGGGTGAAGGCACAGAACCCAGTGATAGGGTTGTTGAACGGAATGTTGACTTGAACAGCATTCGCAACCAAGTTTTCAAGGTCTCTCAACTTATGCACCTTGTACTTAGAAAGGACGTAGTCACGGTCAGCGGCGATCATACGGGCCATCAAACCACCCAAGGGAGTGATCCCGTTACGTTCACCGATCCCAAGCACTGACACATCAATGAGCTTGGCGCCAGCCTCAAGAGCAGTGTAGGCGTTGGCAATAGCACAGCCAGTATCATTATGGAAGTGACACTCAATGTCACAGTTGACAACCAGCTTCAAAGTGCGAACAAGATCATAGACTTGACGAGGGTTAGCACAACCAACGGTATCAGCGATACCGACACGGTTGACGCCAATTTTGTCGACAGTACGATAGATGTTAAGCAAGTCGACAATGTCCGACCGGAACGAGTCTTCGGACGAGAATCTGATTTCGATGCCCTTGGACTTGACGAATTCAATGACTTCGATCGCCAGCTGGGCAATGTAGTTCATGTCCTTACCGTGAGAGTGTTCACGCAAAAACTTGGAGGTACCGATGACGACGTCGACACCATCAACCCCGGTTTCCACGGCGACACGGGCGTCGTCCATGTGGCACCGGATGTGGGTCAAAATCTTCGCCTTCAACCCGAGTTTACAGATCGCCTCACAATCCTTTCTCAGTTGTTCCGAGGCAACGGGCGAGGTAAGCTCAATGTAGTCGACACCAAAGTCGTCGAGAGCTCTAGCGATTTCAATCTTCGTGGCTGTGTCGAAGTGAGCATTGGCAAACTGTTCACCTTCTCTGAGGGTCGACTCAATTAACTGGAACAGGCCCACATTAGATAAGAAATCGGCCGGATTGGGACCGTAAGGGTTGTTTTGCGCCACATCGTGGTGAGAGTCCTCGCTTACCTTGGTGAAGCCTGGGGGAGGGCACATGTTGAGATGAGGGAAAGGCGACAGGCGAGTGATTTTTTATAGTCACAGTGCAGTACCCCACCCCGGCATGATGCATCGAACTCCATTTAAATAAAAAGATTAACAATGCAGGCATTTTAAAGAGACACGGTTTAATCGTTTGCACTTAGATGAATGATATTTCCCCATACCCAATGCTTTTTGGAATCTATAGCGTCAAAATTTTTCACATACCAAAACAACGCCATTAAGCGAAATAAGTTGGGATTCACTTTGCATTACAAATTTGAAAAGTGGCATTTTGCATACGAACTGTGACTCAGACGTGAACTACATACGTAATAGCTCAAACTCCATAAAGATGTTTCATCTTACTATCAAACTAATGAACTTTGCAAGTACAGCATGCTTCGTTAAAACAGCCAGGTAATGTATTACTCAACGGTCTCTAAGGGGCCTCAGAGCCTGAGTATTGCCAGACAAACCCTCGATTTCTGGACTTCCGGCTGATGGCTCTTCACGGGGATGATGGCGATGACGATGGCGATGACGACGATGGCGACGACGACGGCGATGACTCGGGCTAATTAATAGCTCTGGCAAGATATCATTGAATTTTCTGTCGTCAACACGTCGTATTTCGTGGATATCAATGTCACCAGGGAGAAGATGCATATCCAGGAGCTTCGTGATGGTTACCAGTAATTCTCCCGTGCTGTTGATCAATTTTCGATTAAAGCGAAGTACAGGATAGGCATACCTGGGGTCGAACAGGATCAAATCAACAGCTTTATTGAGGTTTTCACAATAGGGCGGGACTTGACCAAGGGGAATTTCATCATAATGAGGTAAAAAAGGTTCTGAGCGAGACCGAGATGTAGGTTTCAGATTCTTCTTGCGACGTGTTTCTGATAAAGCTTGCTTTCTTCGCTGTGAACGTACAGAGCTCGTGCTTCGTCGGCGAACAGGGCGTGAGTATATCAGGTTACGCCTATGGTTAAGCCGAAGTTCGCTTCCATTAGAAGAACGCCGACGTTCTCGACTCCGCGATCGAGAACGCTGCATTCTTGAGGTAGGTCCATTACCTTGAACATTTGAAGCTTTTTTTCGCCGAGGTATTTCTGATGGGGCATTATCATCGCTATTTTGAGTGACATTATTGATCGCATTTGACAGGAATAGTGGATCTTCCGGCAGAATTGTGAGGTTTTCCAATGCATTTGTGGGCATGTCTAACGCCACGGTGTGAACCGCAGAATGTGACAGTGCCTTCACTGCACAATTTGGGTCATCTACTTTGAACGGCAGTGTTGTAGGAGCCACAATTAGCGGCTGTGAGGATTCAGTAATATCAATCGGACCTGATATTCTTGATATTCTCACAGTTCTTTTATCAGGTTTATTATTCGACCAGCTGCTCACGAATCGACCCTCCTCAGATGTATAATTGCTAAATTGGAAGTGGCGGAAAATTGGTGATGTTTCTCGGTCATATACCTCTAAATTTGCCTTTGACGAGACTTTGTCATTCACCTCAAAGGGTGATCGAAATGCTTCCCGCTGAACATGATCAGATGTAGATTTTGGGGTTGAGCTTGATGACTTCGTTGTGGTATCCTTTCTGTGATGTTTTAGCTTACCTTCAGGGAATGGTTGACCTGATGATTTCTTTTGCGTGGAACCACCACTGCTGAATAGCGGTGGCAATAGCTTTTGATTATTATCCAAAAGCTCATTTTGTACTTTATGCAATTCATTCACATCAATTCGTGTTGAGGAATCACCAGATATTTCAGCTTCACGCCGATACTTCTTCCCTCGGAGCAACTTAGGATCAGTGATGATCTCGCCCCACAAATGTCGATCGGGGTATGTTTGACGACCGTGAGCTGGACGGCTTGACTTTAAAATTGCACGACCCAGGGGAACTTCTCGAGCATTCAGATGAGTAGCATCAGTGCCAGCGATAGTAGTCTTTGCAGTCTCAAATCGTTCTAACAGGAGGGACAGACCAGCATGAGGTAATGCTTCTTCCTGCGATGTAGAAGGTTCGAAAAGGGGGGCAGATGGAGCGATAGGGGAAGCGGTTCGTGATGTCCTCAGAGAATTCGGAGCATGTACTCGTTGCCTTTCATAGACTTGACTCTGCGGGGAGATCATATCGAACGACCCAACAGAGGGTGGCAAATACAGGACAAACACGTCAGTTGTTTGAAGCGTGGTTGCTCCACGTTATGCCCAGGAATTCAGTAAATGACCCTTCAAAAAATTCTGCTCCAATCTTTTCAAGTGGTCGACAATTCCGGGCTCGTAGCAGCCTCAAGATATCGATCAACAATGGTTGCCAATACGGAATATAGGGCGGTCGACCAAAATAATGTCGTTGGTGACCTGATCTCTCACTGATAATGCAAATGAATAGATCCTCTCACTTAGCAGCTTCGTGTACCGGGGGACCTCGTGACCCGGCCTGCCAATTTAGGAAGGCTTATCTTACGTCATCAACCTAAAACAGTATTCAGATCTTAGTTTCAAAAAAGAGCTCCCAGAATATTGGAGTTTCTTCATTACGGACATTAGCTCGCGTTTGTACCCCGTGATATAAGCATCTGCAATACTACTGCATGAATCCACAGTTTCTTGCACCTCTTGCGCCCCCTCCATGCGAATGCTCGTTGGTCATGGTCGCCACCCTCGATTAAGCCCAAAACTCTTTTTAGGGAGAACTCGTACTCCTAGAGCAAAGCTTACGCCAATACCTAGTCTCACTCAATCGGCTACTCAATCAAAACTCATGGTGTTGTCAATTGGACCACATGATACCATTGAGGATGTTAAATATCGGATTCAATGCATTCAAGTTAACTAAATACTAGTATTTACTTCTTGCCGTTCGCAATGTTGTCAATTTCCTTTTCCAAGTCATTGATGGTTTGCTTTTGCTCTTCCAACTTCTTTCTCAACTTCTTCAATTGTTCAGCTTCGTGAGCCTTGATGTAGGCGGTTTCTTGAGCTCTTTCCTTTTCAGAGAAAGAACCCTTGTCTTGAACAATCGAGCCATCGAGCAAGGCAGCTCTGGAAACAGAGAAAGCTCTAACGGAAATTCTCGAGGTGGTTCTGATGGTTTGGGCCAACATTGTGTTATTTGAAACTGTAATTTGCTGGAAAAACACCCTTAAATGCGGCACCCGCGGTGCGCTTCTACACAGGAGGCGCACCCTTGATTGGCTGCTACCATTTATAGACGCTTCCCTGGCTTCATAGTTGCATTGTCGTACGATATTGACAAGGCGCTTAATTGGTGAGTTGAATCTCCACGGGTTTCCATGGAAGCTTCGGAGTTTTGATGCTTCCTAAGTTAAATTGACCAAATCAAATTGTACATTTCGATGCGTGGATGTGCTAAAATTCATGTCAGCGAAGATGTAACAAGCCTTCCGTGGTAGCGCCAACAAGTGCGAACATCGTGAACCTCTCGAAATCGACATCGACAGCACTCTCAAGATGGGGAAAAGAAAGACGGCTGCTAAGCCTGTTAAGCAGGTAAAGCAAAAGCTAGAGCTGACATTTACTTGTTTGTTTTGTAACCATGAGCGCTCGGTGATTTGCACATTGGACAAGAAGAACTCGCTCGGTGAACTCAACTGCAAAATCTGTGGTCAATCATTCCAAACAGCAATCAATTCGTTATCACAGCCAGTGGATGTTTACTCAGATTGGATCGATGCTTGCGAAGATCTCGCGGAACAAGCCGATCGTGAAGGGGAGGCCGAAGACAGTGGTGACGATGACAATGACCGCGATCCGATCTTGGACTCGGATGATGATGGCTACTGAGTCAAGAGATCGGTAGTACGATTTACTTAATGGCGTTGGTTTGGAATATGATCAAAATTCAGTCAGGTACAACGAAGGAGGGGATGTGATGGCTCGCAAAAAAATAGAGGCAGTGTATCAAATTGCACTTGCGTTATGAATAGAAATATAATACATCTTATAAGTTTACCTCCTTGTTATCCTACCATACAAGTTATGAGCTCGCGTTGTATTTCGAAGTATTGGCCTAGGTATGCGTGATGACATCATATTTGGATCGACTTAAATTTTTCAAACGTGATTAATATTCTACATTTACAGCCGTGCATCGTCTGAATTTTATTACTCGGTTCCATGATAAGTATCAATATATAAAATTACACGGAATGGCGTGCAGTTTGCAAAATCAATTTAGGTGTTATTTTTAGGGGCTCGAATTTGAGACACTTTAGAATGCGTGTGTGTATACAAATGTTTTCATGCAAAACTGTCGTGTACATGAGTCTCTCCCAAAGCTGATTCAAATGATAACGACGAGAGGTCACAAATTGTGGATCAATCAAAAAGCTCGTGGTATCTGGGTCGTGAAGAGGGCCCTCGTAATGTGTAAAAGTGCAAAGACCAAAATGGACCGGTGTTGCGGCGGTTCAAGATGACCCTCGGCCAGCACGCTCCCTAGCTGGACCTCGTTGCGCCCGGCCTTGGCGATAACGTTGGCGTAGACGTCGTTGTAGACGTAGCAGGTGACCCCAGCCATGGATGCGATAGACTATGCGATGAGCGCGATGAGGCGCGGTGAGCACCCAGGCGATAGAGGGCGAGTGAGACTACAAAATGCCACCGACAAAACACTAGGATCTTGTGAGATCTATGGTTATTTATGTTGGTAGGAGTGATTAGTGTTTCAGGTGATGGTGTGGGGTTGCCTGATCTTAGGGATGAAACGTGTTTGAGCACTACAGTAACCATCACGCATAGGATGATAAATATGGTTGTTTATATCGACTATTAGTCCTCCCATCAGGTATTTGTCGGGTCCACTTGGTTCATTAAAAGCCAGAATACGTGATGTGTACTAGATTCCCTTGATCAACCTCTCTAGAATCATTTGGCTAGCATCGGTTTTCTAACAAGAGAAAGATTCGTTTCACGATATTGTTATCTCCGGTGAGTGATCCGAAATAGCGAAGCTGGTGTCGATAACAACATTACACTCTGGCGCTGGACCTCGTCACAATACACTCATCATTCAATTGAGGAGTGACTGCGCCAAGCCAGTTTCATTTTTATTTATGCAAAAGTATCACTTGATGTCGTCTGCAAGCCTGGGATTGTGTCTTGCCACTAAGCGTGGCCAATCTGACGTACCCTCCCATGCATCAACAAAATGCATCGGTGAATGCTAATTGAAAGGCACATCCTGTGGCAACTTTCAATCGACTGATTCATGAGTGAAGCTTTTAACCAAGCTGTTATATGCCTCATTGATGACCTCACCATACTCCTCTTTCGAAGGTTGATATTTCGGATAGCGATCATCTGCAGGCACCGGTATCTCATTCCGATCTTTACAAGCTAGATTAAGCATACGCTTTTCTAACTCCAAAAGCTTTTCATGAGTGTACTCTAATTCTGGTCCACATTCGTGCCCCTCGGCGCTATTATAAAGATCTTTCAAAGTGATACCTTGCGCCTTGAGCTTCAGCATGTATCCAATAATCGCATCTAAGTCATCAAGATCAACACTGCTTAAATTCTTGCGTATCTCGTCACCCGAAACACCCTCAAGTCTATTAGTACTAACTGGCATGTGATACTTCAGCAACTGCCCAAGTTTCATAAACAGCCCTTCTTCCTTCTCCAAAGATTGGATATTAGTTCTTGAAGCCAGTCGCAGAACAGCGGGTGTGAGCAGTTCCTGAATCAGGGAAACCTCCTCCATTGGAATGACTTTCTCAGTTTCGAAACCCTTTCCGATTCTGTCTTGACCTTCAGCACCAGTACGTTGTATTAATTCGAGAACTTGTTGATGTGCGACCTTTGCATCCGGATTCTGGAGAATTACCGGATCAATCAATTGAAGGCCTGTTGAAAGCGCCAGATCCAAGAAAATGAACCTAATGAGAGTTTCTTTACCCTCAAGATCAAGCTCTTGTTTCAATTGCATATTCAATAATTGCTGGATTGACGAGCGCAATTCTTGCTTCACCTTCATTGCCCGCGCAATAAATTCCCTCACTTCGGCATCATTGATGTCAAGCTTTTGTTCGGCCTTCTTAGAGAGTAACTTATTGAGTTGTTGTGTAAGCGAATTTGCGTTGGCGCGAGCATCTGAGTTGTCACTACCCAAAGTCCGTTGAAGGAGTTGCTCCATGTTACGCATTGTGTACAACCCAACACGTTCTTTATAAAGGAGAGGGAAGTTGCTGTAATCGCACTCCAAATAAATGATCGACAGTGAATTCTTGACTGCTTGCACCAAGGCAGTAGCGCACGTGAGATCAATGGAATTTCCCTCAAGGGATATATAACTCAAGCGTCTGCAAAATGGTAACGTTTTGGCTATTTCTAACATCAGATCTCTGGAAAAATTATTCCTCTCTAGGTGGCAACGAACGAGTTGAGGGAAAAGAGGCAATCTTTCGAGGACATAGTTGACGCACTCGGCTTCAGGGACAGCATTAATACCTTCTGAGAGTGTCCCAAAAAATCGTTGATTGTTACTCAAATCCAAATACTTGAGATTTGGTAATCTGGTTAAAAATATGTCAAACATCTCTTTGACTTCATCGCAAAATCGCATGTTCGTGGAATTCAAAGAAAGAAATGCCAACAGCGCTTGTGGAATACGTTTCTCGCTTTCAGTAGTCCGAAGTTTTCGAATAACCATTTCAACCATGTCTTGACTTGAAAAATCATTATAACCCAAATCCAAACCACGCGCTTTTGAAGACAAGACCCAATCCAAAAGAACCTTCATGTGTCGATGGTCTAGCTGATTGAAGGCCAACCCTAATCTCAGCGTTTTAATAGAAACAACCCGAGCTATCAATTTTTCAAATAAGTCCAAATCATTGATGCAGCAACCTGTCAAGATGAGTTCCTCAATACCTCCACGGGCAAGTAAAGATGCAACGAAGAGTTCCCAATTCATGTCGCTCCTATTCTCCATATTGCAAACCATTCGATTGATCTCCTCTACCTGCTTCAGCAGTTTCTTTTTCTTTTTGAGCACATTTACGTGTAGGGATGGACACTGTGTTATATCCAACTTACTGAGTTTCACATTGCGAGACATGAACCAACAGAGTAACTCCCAACCATCGTGATCGAGGGGTGTATTGCGCAACAGCAACTTTTCTAACTGGGATTTCAGGGAGATTGCCGAAAGAATTATTTTGAATTGCTCCACTGAAAATTGAACACCATCCAATGACAAGCATACAATAGGGGCAATTCGAATGAAGTCAGCGAACGTTTGAATCTCGATCATCAGGGGTGAGGGATTACGAATTTGCAACAATGGTATGGGCAGCATCAGACCCTTCGGGATTTGCTTGAGAATAGCAGGAATGGGAAGGATCTCACGCAAATGACAACAACGCGTGTACATCAAGTCGAGAGCCATCTTCTTCACCGGTGCCAGATAATAGTCAGAGCGAGGCTTCACAAGGGGTTTGTCAATTGCCACATTTTTCATATGGGAGTCGATGGCAGGCTCATCTGGGTCATTAGAAAGGGATGGGGTTATTGAGGAAGAGATGTCCTCAACCGGATCGTCATCTTTGTCAATAGTACCTAGTGCGCCTGTTCCACCCACTACGATTCCACCTCCTTTACCCATCAAAGAAAGCTCAACTTGCTTCTTTTCCTCATCTGTAAGAGGACGCACGTTGAGACAGCCGTTCTCAACAGTGACATTTCCTACTCTCGGGTTTCGCAGTGGGATTTGTTGTGGTGGATCGATCAAAAATGTGTTCAGCGCGAATGCAACTCTCAAGAGAGGCTTACAAAATTGCTTACTCTCACCCGCATTGACTGACTGCAGATCGAGCAGCAGTTTCGAAGAGCGTGGCAGCTCATTTTGCTGCTCTGAAGTTATCGTACGCCGTCTTAATAATGAGGTAAACTTAGATTGTCCCTGTCCATCTTGTCTCAATGCATCCACATTGACTGGTGACTTCGCTCCACCGTTTACGAGCACCAGCGGCAATGGCAGGGTCTCTGGATGCTCAGGTATTTCATCGCGCAGCCATTCTCTCACCTTACTAGCCTCCTTCCGAATCGTGTGCTCAGAGAACATCCGTACGTACTCATCAAACTGGTTCCCAGATGGTGCCGCCAGCAACAGCAGTCGCCGAGGTGGTGGTGGCTGAACTCGTGAGTTATCGAAATTGAACTGCCTGTTGAAACCAGGAGGCTCTTGAGTGACTGGTGGTGGGGGCGTATTCTCTTCGGGACGAGAATTATGGGGATTGCCTTGAAGCTTGTTTGCTTCAGAGAGAGACAACGATCTGTGCAATTTTCCCTTAAGCTTATTGAAAAATCCACCAGTGGAACTAGCCAGACCCTGACTCAGTACCAGCAGTACCAGACCACGTTTTTTGTATGACTGTTCTGGTTGACTCGACACAGACTCCCGTCTCAACTCTGCCGCCAGCGGCGTTGGGTCAGGTTTTGGGGGTTCGCTTTTCATTGTAGGGAAAGACTCTAGCTTTGGTGGTCGTGGTGATGGTTTTGTACTAGCATCCTTTCGTGAAACATGCTCCTCAGTAACCGGTGGGGCAGGTTCGACCACAGCTCCTGTTTTGGGGGAGCTCGAATCCATGAAGTTGTCCCTGAGAAAGAAGTCGATATCTGCAGCGTTGACGCCGTAGTTCTTGTCGACGATGTCCTTTATAGCATCGTCGATATCATTTGGCGACGCCATGGCGTTGATCAAAATTGTATATGCGGGGTGAAATCGCGAGTCTTTAAAATCGGTCGCCCACAGTTAGTTGCCTATTGTCGTGCGCGGCGGGGACATGCAAATCGAAAGACTGTACTCATTCACAAAGCAAACGTAAATTCCTTGCAGCTCTGACCGTTCTATTTCTTAGGGCTATCTACCTAAAGCAGAGCTATCCCAATAACCCCTTCGAAGAAGTGATTGGTACCGGAAGCCGGCTTCCCGTGCATGCAGGTCACTCCGGCTGATCCTGCGTATATACAGTATGACTGCAAATCATCAGGTCATTTGAACCATGTCTAGCAAGTGATTGCATCAAATTGAATCTTCAGCTTGTGTTGGGCGAGATATCACTTTCAACATCTCAGTCGAGATTCTGCTACAAGATTTGCTACCGTATCCTTCATTGATGCATACCGGAGCGTTGTCCTCAAACGGAAGTATTTTCGTATTATCCCTATCGCGAAGTTGCCAAGATAAAGCAAGTACTCGCCACAACAACATTGCAAATACAAATGTGTATCCACAATAGCATAATGAGACGTCAGAATCAATCCCCTGTTGGATTGGGGTGTACGTTGCTTATAGCGTACCCTTTGCGTCCATGGGGATCTTCATGAGGGGTTCAGGCCGTTTGACGTGAATTGTGCATATAAAATGAGTTTTACACCAACCTGTCATATCCTTGTCATCATACCGAAGTGCGTCATCGTATCATTAGTGCAAATTTGCTCTACTCTGGTAAACCGATGAAAGTTGAATTTACACTTTCACGGTAGCTTCCTTACTAAGTACTTTTCGTGATCTAAAGCTTAACAGATATTTAACTGGAAAACCCATATTGACGTATTCAGGAAAAAAACAAGTGCACCATACATTGAAAACGTCATTTGGCATATGAAGGTATGTTTTTTTTTCATAAACTTACATTAGTATCTATCGAAGGAACAAATCATATGCCTTCCTTTCGAACTCGAAGATGTGGAAAAATGGTTTTCTCGGAGTAGTTTCCCGAAGATGCAAGAAAAAGTTGGCAAAGTTATTATTTAGGAAAAACAGGTCGGTTTTGTCCAATAGCACAGCAAATTGAGTCCAAATTGCCAAAACTCACGAAGATGGGATCACTACTTCGATGTGATATAGATCAAGCAACACTTTTCACAGTTGGAGGGTTGGCCGAGTGGTCTAAGGCGACTGACTTAAGATCAGTTGGACGGTTGTCCGCGCGAGTTCGAACCTCGCATCCTTCAATATATTTTTCTAACATTTACCGTCGTAAGAACTGTATATAACAGCACCTGTACAATCCCGCCACAACGATTTAACAGTTTATACCCGCCTTTGCAACATTCTTGACACTGGTGTGGCTAACCCAATAAATACCCTTATTTCCCTTCTATATAGTCCCTTCATATGCCTGAAATGGACACTAAAATCCCACGTCCTTCAACCCGAACGCAACGCAAATATAAAAACAAGCTTATCAAGAATGAATTCAGTGACTTCCAACAATCCATGTAAGATTGCCTCATACCACATTTGAAAAGATAACCCATACACGCAATCTAGTAACCCATGTTAAATACCCAAGAGTATAAAGTATTTGTCATAAACTGTAATACATAATTCGTTAATCACATTACCTCATGTCACCGGCTTCCTCACTTCATCATTTAGGCTTCTTAACGCTGCCATGCCTTCTGTTGTCATAACATTGATAATCAGGATCTTTGCGTTCACTTCCGTCAACTGAAACACTAAATTAGCTAATCGTGACTCCATTATATCGTGGTTCTCAACCATATACTTCAGCAAGTTCAACATCACCAGCAAAATCAGAACGTATTCGGTAAGTTTCACGCCGAGATCTACACGATTTAAGTCCAAAGCTACCAACTGTCGCAACAGTGTCAAAAAATTGTCCACAACCTTGAAGAATTTCAAGTACCAGAAAAGCAGTAACAGCTGCTTGATTTGATGTTTCGCCAGTGATTCTTCTCGAATTGCTAATCGAAACAGATTCAGCAAGAAATGCAACGTGAACTGCAACAGCTCCAGAGGAGATAACTGATCAATTTCCGTGCACATGTAGTAATAATCGATATTCACCATTGCTGTGGCATACTCCACATTTGTCGCACGTCGATGAATACAAGCTGTAGCACCTTTTCGCCACAGCTCAAGTCTAAGTGAAAATTCGTTTGTGTCGGCTGGTACCTCTGGAACCAACATTGGTAGTAGCAAATCACCAAGTAGTTGATGACGTGCAATCTCTTGATTGACCATGTCCAAATCCTCATCTGGCCACAATCGAACTTCTATAGGAAACTTCTGGTTGACAAACTTCGGATCAAGTAATCCTGAAGGTGAATTCATCAAAACCAGAGTTTGCTTGTCCAAATTGTACACAGACCACCATACTCGATTGAAAAATGTCAGCAGGGATCGGTAGAGACCTAGACGAAGCACGCTGCGACATAATATGCCAACCCAGTTCCAAAGCTGCATCTCGTTGAGCAGAACCACAGCATACACCGCCAACAACAAAAGAATCCGGAGGTTATCAATTGTCGATGGATGATCAGGCGAAGCCATTCCCAAATTCAAGAACTCTACCATCAGTTCGATGGTATCCAGAGAAAAATGCTTTTCGAATGACAGTTTGTCATCGCCTTCAAGTAACGTTCGCGAGTCATACGTTATCGAGCCGATGGCGAGAATAAGATAAATATCGAATGGTATGATCAGCTCGCTCTGAAAGTCTATCTTCAGAAGTTGTTCTCTAGCTTCATCAAGGTTAACAAATGGGTATGTGTGACCAAAGTTTTCCCAGTAATTCATCAACCAAACTTTGGGCAATTCAATGTCTTCCAAGGCAGCTAATGTGGTGAACTCTTCGCGAATCGAACTCAGCAGTAAGGGTTTCATCACTTGACGTTTAATCTGTCGACAAACATGGTTCTTCGATTGCCGGTCGTCGATCGAAATCAACAGTGACACTGATAATCTGGAGTTTCTGGCCCTAGGAGATGCCCTCGAATTGTCATTCAAAGTGGAGTGTTGATGTGATATCGACTGCGGATGAGGCTCAACAAATCTAAATTCAACCGCTCTCTCATCAGATGTTGTTGGGACGTTAGGTGATTGCGGTGGGGCACTGTCTTCTGAAGCATTAGCTAAGCTGGAATCGCTGGACCCTGCTGGAGTCTCAGATTGGTTGACTTCTTTTGGTGTAGATTGTGTATCCTCTTTAGCAATATTCGTCGCATCTTTTGATTCCACAGTATCTCCCGCACCTGACGGCTCCTTGTCTTCTCTTTTACGACGCTTCTGACTTCGATCAACATACTCACACGTCATCTTCGTTTTGATACAAGCAGCACACTCTGGTAACTCTCTCAGACATTTCCTCTTCAATCGGTAACATCGCTCACAGCTATTGTAGTAGTGTGTGTTGGGTGTTTCAAATAGTATGCGATCATTCCAAGTTTCACGGGGTTTAGAGCTGGTTGTTTTATTTCGAGGCAACACGGGATCTAGTCGAAACCGTCCGGTAACAGCGCCATTCCCTAAAGTTCGCCGCCACAGTGGTTCATGGTTCTTTTTGGGCATCAGCGGAGGCAATGACGGAACTTACTCTTATAGAGCAACGGAAAAAGTGCGAGCGGCATTTACCGCTTTGGGAAGATCGGATGAAGGTGATTGATGTGCGGGTTCGACCAGTTTCTCGATATCAAGATCGTCAAAGTCCGGCAGTAAACTTGTAAATTTCGAGTAAATAAAATCCAACAAGATGTTTCCATCTGTCGTGGTAATCGTCCGCCTTTTGGCATTCGCCACCTTTCGCATTATCTCAATCTTTTAATTTACATCACGGATGTCATCACTGCAACGAGTCCGTCCTGCCAAACGATTAGTACAAGCCGGAGGGAAATGTGCACAGGAGGGTGCAGCCTATGGCCAGTGCATTTTGCAAAGCTACCAAACAATGACCCACCACAAGTGTGACAAGGAGTTTGTAAAGTTCCGTCAGTGCGTTCTGGAAGTCATGAAGCGTAACTGATAATCTAAATAAATATTGAGACAAATTTATACTGTTGTTTTACATTAGCAGGAACAGTAGGGGAAGTGAGTTCACACAAGTCTTCAATTTGCGTGTTCTAGCGTCTAGTGGCGGCGTCCAAATTACCTCGGTTAACTCTATTTTTTCTGGGGGGTGCTGCGGAGAACCTTTATCCACCGAAGATAGTGACCCCTCACCAACACCATGATCAACTTTTCTAAGTTGGGATATGGGGCTGACGATTTCAGGAATATTTTGTTATTGCTCAAGGACATACGCAACTCCAATGTTCGCTTGAATTATCAATCACGTCCAGTGATATTATTCTTACTGACATTGATTGCCCTGGCTGGTTTAGGTGTCTACTTCACTGTCCGCAATGTAATACAAAGGTATAAGGATTACACAAGAAAGCAAAGACTCATCAGACCAAATTTGATTCGTCAATCAAGCACCATATTGCAAAATGGTTCTCGAGAGATTTTTATCGACACACCACTGGGTCAGATTACTCGCATCATTATCCCTAAACCCAATATCGATCAATATGCTGCAGACAAGTATCTCTATAAACAGTTCAAAGAAAAGGAGGATCTTTTCTCAAAACATTTTAAGAAACCTGTTGCAGATCTGCGGTTTTTGAACCAATTGATTATTATCTGGAGGATTCTTGTACCAAAGTTATACTGCAAAAACTCCGGTTTGTTGATTGCCCAATGCTTCTTTTTGATCTTCAGAACGTGGTTATCATTGTTGGTGGCTAAGCTAGACGGGCAAATTGTCAAGAATTTGATAGCAGCAAACGGTCGAAAGTTTTCTCGCGATCTTGTGTATTGGTTGCTCATAGCCTTACCAGCCTCTTACACAAATGCTGCCATTAAATACTTAACAGATCGATTGGCTTTGGGATTCCGTTCAAATTTGACCCGCTACATTCACGACATGTATTTGGACAGAATGATGGCGTACTACAAAATCACACTCAACTCAAATGAACTTGAAAACATTGATCAGTACATAACCAACGATGTGGCCAACTTCTGTGATTCGATATCCGGGTTGTTTTCTTCAATGGGTAAACCATTGATTGATCTTATATTCTTTTCAGTTTACCTTCGTGACAACCTTGGCACCGGTGCCATCATCGGAATATTTTCAAATTATTTCCTCACTGCGTTCATGTTGAAAAAAGCTACGCCCCGTTTTGGTGCTCTCACAAAGACCAAAACTCACTTAGAAGGCAAATACTTCAACCAGCATTTAAACCTCATGAACAATTGCGAGGAGATTGGATTTTATCAGGGTTCCTTGATTGAAAAGACGAAATTACGTGAAAACTTCAAGAAACTTGTTAACCACATCAACTTGCAAATCAATACTGCTTTTGGATACTCCATTCTCGAAGATTACGTGCTCAAATACACCTGGTCGGCATGGGGGTACATCTTCGCGGGCTTACCAGTATTTTTGGACGAATTGTGGCCCAAAAATCACAAAACCCTGGAGCCAGATATGGGGGAAACTGAACAGTTGGAAAAGCCAAACTCCGTCGAAAACCAGCGCCAGAATATGCGTCAATTTATTATTAATAAGAGACTCATGTTGTCGCTTGCTGATGCCGGCCTGCGCTTGATGTACTCGATCAAGGATGTTTCTGAGCTCACTGGTTACACTGATAGAGTGTTCAGTCTTTTGACTAACCTCCACAGAGTACATTCTCCTAGATTTGATTTTGGTGACAAGTATGGTATCTCTGACATCAACGGTACCATTCAGCAAAACTACAGTCAAGGTCTCCGTTTTGAACATATTCCGGTAATTATTCCTTCAGAGCAGGGCTCGGAAGGAACAGCTCTTGTGAAGGATATCAATATCAAATTGACTGGTGCGAAGAATCTTTTAATTCTTGGTTCTAATGGATGTGGAAAAACACTGATTGCACGAATTATGGCCGGCTTGTGGCCGTTGTATCTGGGACTTTTGTCAAAGCCAAGTGAGGACGATCTCATGTATTTGCCCCAGAAAACCTATTTTACCACCGGTAATTTGCGTGATCAAATCATCTATCCCTTTTCATACGACGAGATGATCGAGTTGGGTTATAATGATGACTATTTGTACCACATTTTGCGGGAGGTCAAATTGGAATACTTATTAGAACGCGAGGGTAATTTCAACGTTGTCAAGGATTGGAAAGATGTGCTTTCAGGGGGCGAGAAACAGCGGATTCTGATTGCCAGAGTGTTGTTTAAAAGTCCTAAATTTGTTGTCTTGGACGAGGCAACCAACGCTGTGTCAACTGATGTGGAAGACTACTTGTTTGAGTTGTTGAAACAGAAAAAGATTAGCTTCATCACCTTGTCACATCGTCCTCTGTTAATGAAGTACCATGACTTCATCTTGGAGTTGAGGGATCAGTCACACTGGAAATTCCATGACTTGACTCTGGAGGAAAACTTGAGAAGCATTGACGATGAGATCGATGATCTTAAGAAGAAGTTGAATCAAGTCGAAAAGTGGGAGAAGCGCAAGCTTGATATTGAACTGTATCTTGATGGTCACTATCCTGATTTGAGTGAACCTGATCCTAAGTTGTTGGCTGAACAACCAAAAATTGGCGAGTCCACTGAAAAGTTAACTATGAAGTTAGATACCCCACCGAAGTCGTGAATGTATGGATCACATGTCACACATCGTAGAAATTGCAAGCAATATATCTGTTAATGTAATGATTTTAAGTACATCCCTTATAAGTCTTCAAAGATCAATTCAACACATATGGTTCGCTCTGTGAAGCTTACTCCTCCATGTCATAGGCACAGCTTCGTGTGTAATGCTGCCATAGTTGGTCGACAACTTCGAGGTTTCTGTTGCGGAGGTTAATTTCATCGAGATTCTGGTTAACAGTAGTAAGCAGTTGATTCAAAGTTTCCATCAGTTTGATTATTCGAGCCATAAGCTCACTTTCTCTCTTCTCGTTGGGATTTTCCATTAGGATGCGTTAGCTTGATGTAATCAAAACACTGCGCACACGTAGCGGTGCAAATAAACGCCTTCTACAGAATCGAAGGCGATTTGCAAAATGATTTCTGAGAAGAATGAAATGACGTAAAATACAATCAAAATCAACGCGGTGATGAACTTTCAAATCGTGAGGATTTACAAATGGGTATAGAAAATGAGGCTGGTCTCTCCTGAGTGGGAGTCAGCGAATTTAAACTAATCGGAACACGCGCACCCGCCATATTTCAAAGTGGCATCCTTTATGATTTTATCAATAGTAATGATGGTCTTTTAATTACTAGCTGTCTCGTTTGATATGTCCTCTAACTACGGAGGTAACAAATAAGTGACTCTTTACATCTCCTTTACTTAACTGGATTTTATTTCGCTCATCATTTGACACGCGAACTTTTTTACACCGCCACCAATGGTTGAAAAGAACATCCCTAAAAACGGTGATATCTCCAAGGCACCCACCCCCCAAAACACGCCGTCCAGTGTTACGGGGCTGTATATGCGGTCACAGGCACCCACGGTGTCCACTATTGATGAAGAAGTGGAGTCTCAAAACAACCCCGCGGCTCAGTTGGCCCTGAATCCAGCCCTTTTGCAAATGATCCAAGGTAAATTGTCGACGTTGGTTGGCCAGCCTTCTGGATACATTGAAAACTTGTCCCCTGTTGTGAAAAAGCGGGTGTACGGTTTAAAAGCTGTCCAGCAACAACAAATGAAGTTGGAGGCTGAGTTCCAAAAGGAATTGTTGGAATTGGAAAAGAAGTATTTCGGAAAGTATCAACCTTTGTACGAAAGACGGAAGCAAATCATCGTTGGCGAAACTGAACCCACTCAATCCGAAGTCGACGCAGGCGAAGAAATTGAGCGCACGGAGCACCCTGATATCGACCAAAACGATGACAGGGATGCTACTGAAGACGATGATTCCGAAGAGGTTGGTATCCCCAATTTCTGGTTGACGGCACTTGAGAATTTGCAGACGGTGGCGGAAACTATCACCGAGCGTGACTCGGAAGTTTTAGCGAATCTTAAGGATATCAGAATGGAATACTTGTCAACTCCCGGATTCCAACTTATATTTGAGTTTGTGAAGAACGACTTTTTCAAGAATACTATCCTCACCAAAACTTATCACTATCAACCTGAATTGGGATACTCGGGTGATTTTGTTTACGACCATGCTGACGGTTGCGAGATTGACTGGACACTGACCGAAAAGAATGTTACTATCAGCATTGAGCGTCGTAAGCAACGGAACAAAACGACGAAACAAACCAGAACAATCGAAAAGTTAACCCCCACAGAGTCGTTCTTCAACTTCTTCGATCCTCCTAAGCCTCCTAAGCTTGATGACGATGAAGAAGGCGACGAAGACGAAGACGAAGAGGATGATCTTGAAGGCAGACTAGAATTGGACTACCAATTGGGTGAGGAAATTAAGGATAGATTAATTCCTCGCGCGGTGGACTGGTTTACTGGTGACGCGGTCGAGTTGGGTTTCCCTGAAAACTTCGAAGACGATGAGGAATACGAACTGGGCGAAGATGATGAGGAGGACAGTGACGATGATAAACCGAAGGAAAACCCCCCTGAATGCAAGCAACAATAATTGCAAATTAATATGTCGTGAAATCATATAGCTTTTAGGTTTTTTTAGTAGTAATGTTCATTGATGCGCTCTGCTCCCGATCTTAATGCGAGGGGTTTTCATATTTAGCTACGCTCGCGCCAAATCCCGATAGGTGAATCTCCATTATATTGGTCATCGTTGACGTGTTCCCAATCACAGAATACCGTCCGCGCAATTTATCTATCATTGACCATGAAGACATCTTAGATAAGCCAGCAGATTCTTCCGATTATCATTATCTATCTGTCACTTTCACTATCACTTTTCTGTATTCGCATGTATACCCCCAACTCTGAATTTAAATGCGTCTCAACTAGTGACGCCCCCACGAGGAACTTCCCCACCTCTGAAAACCCCACCCGGTGCGCTATCGATATGACCTCTACATGTAGGCTCGACACGACACCATCCTTTTGTGTACACGGAAAAACCGTATAATTATTCTTTAAACAATGTGTCAATGCTACTTATCTCTTATCAGCCCCAAGCGTATCTCAACGAACGGAATCGATAGAACGCCGACGCAAAAGTACCCCAACTTTAGCGCATGGTTATGAGTGTCGAGAGCGCATTGAAAGAGGTAAGACGATGCGTCTGAAGCAAAAGATGCTGATGTCGACTCGATGCCATATATACCTTGTTAGATGCGCCGTTATGTCAACCATATCGCCACGTCTTCTCCTTAATGTTTTCAAAAAAAGGCTCGTCGCCAAGGATGAGTGGAAATCCTATTGGATCAGAGCCGAATCTTCATCCCGTTCGGTCCCAAGTTCATGTTGATGATATGGGGATCCAACTGATTCTTTCGAACCAGGACATCACAGTTAATATCGATCATGTTATCGACAATGATGAGGCTATGATCATTGCTATGGGGTACAAACCTGAATTCAAGCGTGAGTTCTCGTTGTTGACGGTATTTGCCGTATCATTTTCGGTTTTGGGGTTACTACCATCTATAGCGGCATGTTTTGAGTACCAACAAGCGGCTATTGGTATTTCGCCTGTTCCTTGGTTGGTGGCGGTCATATTTGTCACGCTGGTGGCGTTATCATTAGCTGAGGTGGCTCTGGCATTCCCGGTTTCACTGGGGACTCCTTATGCTGTATCAATGCTTTCCCCTCCTAAATATCAAGCACTTTTGACCTGGTTAACTTGTTGGTCAAATTGGCTATGCCAGATCACTGCTGCGCCCGCTTGCAATTACTCCGGAGCTCTGATGATTTTGGCTCTCTATCTGTACACCAACAGTGATTATCTGCCCAGTACAGGTGAAGTATATGCGTTGACCTTGGGTATTTGTGTCGTGCATCTGTTTATTTCCTCATTGCCCACTAAATGGTTAGCTCAATTCAATGCCCTCGGGACCACTTGCAACATTTTGTTCTTGGCGGTAGTTTTCATCATGATTCTTGCTGGGAACAAACGAACTGAAATGTACGACAACACCATTCCCAAGTTCAACTCGAACTCAACTGCATGGGCATTGACCAACCTTACGGATTTTCCTACCGGGATCTCATTCTTGATTTCATTTTTGGGTGTGATCTGGTCTATGTCAGGGTACGATTCCCCCTTCCACCTTGCCGAAGAATGCTCCAATGCTGCAGTAGCCGCCCCAAGAGCTATTGTCCTTACCTCGCTGGTCGGGGGTCTCATTGGGTTTATTTTCATGATTGCCATAGCATATACTTGCGTTGATATTGAGGAAGTGATGGCAGATCCTGAAGGGTTAGGCCAACCATTCGTCACTTACTTGTCGCAGTTTCTTAAGAGAGAAATGGTGCTTGCAGCAGTAGCACTCACAATTGTTTCGTCGTTCTTCATGGGGTGTTCATGCATGTTAGCTGCTCTGAGAGTGACGTTTGCGTATTCAAGAGACGGGATGTTTCCGGGACTGAAATGGTGGAAAAAGGTGAACCCCATTACACAAACTCCCATTAATGCTGTGTGGATTAATTGGTTGCTCGGACAATTATTATTGTTGATCATGTTTGGCGGAGACACTGCCATCGGTGCCATATTTTCAGTTGGGGGTATTGCGGGGTTCGTTTCCTTCACGATGCCCACGTTACTTAAAATCACATATGCTCGGCACACATTCAAGCCCGGTCCATGGAACTTGGGTCGCTGGTCGACTCCGATTGGGATAGTTTCTGTTGCATTTGTGACCTTAATGATTCCAATTCTCTGTTTCCCTACGGACACGGGTTCTGATCTTACACCGTCAAGTATGAATTGGACTGTGGTAGTCTACTTCGGACCGATGTTATTATCATTGGTATATTACTTTGCTGCAGCCCGCAAATGGTACGTGGGGCCAAAGTCAAACTTGGATGAGAATGACATTGTCTACGGTAATGAGGCCCCGCAATCAGAATTGTCGAGCTCTGAAAATGACTTGAAAGGCAACATTGTGAAGGTTGATGAACAATCTATTTAATATGCAAGATTAACAAATATTTTTTGAGTACAGCCACCACCCCTCTAGTCCCCCGCCTCAGTCTCACGTGATATTTTTTCTTGTTTTTTTCGATGGACGAGGCTGAATAGTCCACAGTCTGTGGGTGACTCTACATGAGATGGCGTTCGTCGCTTTGAAGTCAGAATGCACATGCAAATATAACCATCTGCTGATTCCAAGTGGTCCGGCTTAGCAGGCATTAATTTCTTTTGATAGTGCGAACTTTAGATATGAAAGTGTGGCTCAATTTACATGATCACCAGGTCATTAGCAGTACTGGTAGAAATTAGCAGTATAAAATTTGTCCAACACATGCTGCCCTCCACGATGACCCCACATTTTGGGCCACTTGTTATCCGAGGCTGCATGATACAATAGATAAACCAACTCCCGAAGGTGTCCATCGGGCATTTCAATGAGTGACTGAAAAAACCCTTGTTTTTAAAAAGCAGGTCAGTCGGACCAGGTGACATTCGAATCTATGGATGATGGTGGATACACATCCAGTTTGAAGACCGGATGTTAGTCCCGTACATCCGAAGTAATTGAAGTCCCATATGTTTGTCTATTCTTGGGAGTTAACCGAGGCTTACCTTTAGGGTCGTGGTGGTTGTGATGTGCGAAGACCCACATATTTATTGTAAGCTCATTGTACTTAAACTAATGGCCAGACTCATGGACGAAATTGGTTACCTTTGAGAAGGTATCCATACTGGTCATGGAGACAATCCTGGTACTCTTGCTCTAAATGAAGTATTATTTATATGGCCTAACCTCTCACCGCGCAACTATACTCATCCCTTGGTGCAGCTTTTATATTTTCGTACACGGACTTCCTCAACCTTATTTTCTATGGGAGAGCAACTATCACATGCAAAAGCATCCATAGATACACACCAAGATTAAGTTAGAGCAGCGCTACTATCAATATAAATACTTCAAATTCCTTCTAAAGTCTTTATCAAAATGTCTGACGCCTCCAAGCCCACCAACAAGGGTTCTTCACAAGCTTTGCAGTCGAAGACTTTGAATCACTTGTTGTCCTACCCCTTGGTCAAGCTAGTTGTGAACTACTTGTTGTCGTTCACATTCATTCAACTCATCTACCAACAATTGATCAAGCCGGTCTATGATCTCGTTAACCAAGTTGTTTTGGGCAAGTTCGGTAACTACATCAAGCCTGTTGATGAAAAGGCCGACCAATTGTTAACCGAAGTCGTTGACAAGACCGTCATCCCGCAAGGGGAAAAGCTTGTCCACAACGTGAGAGAAACCGTTGACTACCCTTTGAAGACTTACGTTAAACCCGCCAACGACTACACCATCAAGACCGTCCACCAGTACTTGCCTGATCAGCAATTCAAATTCGACGACAACATCAATGAACTCGAAAAGTCTGTTAAAATTGCTAAGCAATTGGGTTCGAGCCTTTACAACACCGTCAAAACTAAGCTGAACGAAGTGTCTAACAATGTTTTGACCACCTACAAGGAAGAGGTCGCCGCGTCCAAAGAAACTTCAACCATTGGCAAGAACATCTCTGCCGGTGTCAACACTGCTGCCAAGTCGTATGAAACTTACGTGAAGCCTTTGCAAGAACAAACCTCCGCGGTGATCAACGACGTTACGCAAAAGGGCAAAGCTAAGACTGAAGAGCTCGTTGACAGCGCTAAGAACAACATCTCGGGCGTGAAGAAGAATGTCGAGGCTACTGCTGAAAAGGTTGACCAAGAACTTGCCCGTCCCAACGGTGCTGTTTCTGCCTCCGCCTAATTTAGTATAACATGTTTTATGAGAATTAATCGATACCCTAAAGTTCGTAACAACATCTTTCTGCATACGAATGTGATTTGCCCACGCGGACCTCCAACAGCACGTGGGGTCTCAAAAGACCCTTCCCGCAAACTAGTAAATATACGTAAACACGTGAACCTCCGAAAGTCAAAAGCTTAAGAGCATCGAGGTTAGTTGATTAGGCGGATTATAACAAATTCATCTAGCTGTAACCCTATTATGTTCGCGTCACAGTGTTATCAAGATTAACTATAATACCATGTATTTAGTATTCACGGATATAACTCACGGGATTAGCGACGCACTGATTTACTTTGAACTGTCTGGAATCTAAGATACTGCGACTGATTCCAATTGCCACATCCACGGTTTGTTTCAGATGGTCGTGCTCTAAAATCAAACCCTGGTTCTTTCTTTCGTTTTTGAACCGGCGTAGGTCACGATACACTGCTTGTTCGTGGGCCTTTGCTTCATTCAGAAGCAACTTCCAGTCAAAAGAATCAAAGTCCCAAAGAACCAGTTGCATACCGAATTGGTGCAAGATTGCACGAACTCTGTTGTCCATGCCGCCAAAGGGTGGACGGAACCATTTCGGTAAATGGTTTCCAGTGGCATTCATTGCCCAAACCGACCACTCGATTTGAGCAACGATTTGCTCATTAGTCAAAGAAGGAAGAAAGCCATGCGACCAGGTGTGCGAGGCCATCAAGTGACCTTCTCGAACAGCTCGTTGGTAGATTTCGGGCCATTGGATAACGTTGATACCCAACGTGAAAAACGTAGTCGGTGAACGTAAGGCATCTAATAAGGGAATCGTGTGAGGGGTAGGCCCATCATCAAACGTTTGCGAGAGAACAGGGCATGTGTAAACGTCATCAGACGTCACACAGTGGTAACAATCGAACAGGCAATGATCCCTCACACCCAAGCAATCGCCTTGGTCGTGCAACGGGACGTCAGGAACTTTGTCAAAGTTGATGAAGTCAAGAGGGATGTAAGGGGGATCTAACCCTGGCCACTCGTCCAAACCAGTGAAATCCTTCAACCAGTCCGGGAATGGTTGTTTGGACGACACGAGAATAGCCGCCGACAAAACACCTGTGATCACGTTAAACTTCATGCTTTTCTCGAGTCATAGAGGTTTCGGGTGTTTTATATGTATTTCAATGCTTGAGGATTTTGCAAAGAAAGGCTAAGTATGCAAGTTCTAGATTCTCTCATCTGAAAGAATACTCTGCACATCGCGGATTAAATACTCTCTCATGTTACTTAGGCTTCCGTTTTGGTTTAAGTCTACATATTTGGGAGATTTGTATCGGAGTAGCACAGTGCAATTACTCTGCCACTTCTCAATGCTTCAAGTTTGTAGCTGGACTTGAATCTTTGATTATACTCGTGAAGGAAAGAAATGAGAATTCACAAAAAATTTGAAGCAATCCTTACTTTTAGGGAACATCAAGCTTCTTGTCCTAATATGTGTAAACGTCGTCAAACTTATCGAGTAATTGTGCTCATCCGGCAAACTGAGCCATTGAAAGCTATTTTTTGGCCTTCTTCCTGATCTGAGCTGTAAGATCATTGGCAGGTCGCTTTTTAATTAGGTTTTGAAGGTTGTTAACAGGAAGCTTCTGCAGCTGTGACGAGCTCTGCAAACATTCAGAGCATAATCCTCGGAAGTTGAAGACGTTGGCCTCTTCAAGTATTGACTTAGTATCCATTATACTTTGAGAACGATTTGAATAATCAATACTTTTTGTGTCTCGTAGGAATCGTTTATACGATGAGAGCAGTGTAATAGGTAGGATTGTTTCATCTTGTGCAGAATTGAACTCGTCCAGCTTTAAGGTGCATCCGATCAATCCAACAACATCTCCCAATCTGAATTCCTGTCGAAAACCTATCTCATGGTAAAAGCTCTTAGTTGAAACTTTCGAATGCCTACCTTCAACAATCAAATGTTCAAGAAATCTTCCCTTTGGGTCATCAGGGAATAACGGGATGGATTTCACTGCGAGACCATCTTTAGCATAGATATTTCCATGTTGCCAACCATCTCCCAAATACTTAGCGATCTCATTGGCATCGGCTCCAGGGATATCAAGACAACGTTTCCACTTTTGATCATTTGTGACATTTCCAACAATACGCATCCACCATCGCAAAAGCTTTGGACCGCTTGCAACACGTTTGAAAGGATTACGATCCAGGTTTGGAAACAAGTACAGCGGTGAAGCTTTCGTGAAGAATGCGATATGTAATCTTCGTTTAGGTGGAAGTGAGATAAATATCTTGCTGTTGATTGAATCATCCTTAAATTTGGGATATGAATTCCACCGCTGGATTAATGAATTGTCATCTTTGAGCATCTTTTGGAGACGCCGGATGCGGTATACTGTTTCGGGATCTGTGGAAAACAGTTTCGATGACTCTTCTTGGCAATTTTTTCGAGGGGTTTTGTAGTTGTTTGGCGAATATTTTAAGACCCACTGAAGGCATACTTCCACGACTTTTCCCACCTTAAAATCGAGTCGCTCAAGTCCAACAGTATCGCATTTGGGTACGAAAACGTATTGTTCAAAATACGCGTTGTATACTTGCAAATAAACAAATATTTCAATACCCATCACCACAATATTGTCCTCGGTCAAGAGTTCAAAATAATGTCGAACCTTATAAGAGACGGGGCGCGGATTTCCCAGGATTAGTGGTTTTACATTTACTGCGTCCAGCTGCATGTAAACTAATCGCCAATTCCTGGTAGGTAACACATTTGCTACCTCTTTCAACAAGCCATCCATTATGATGTGAGAAATTTCTAGAGACGCGCGCTACAAAGCAGGACGCGCTTCCATACAGATATGTCAATTATAATCGAACAAATTTAACTGTGATGAGCTACTAGATTGGGAAACCCCCAGCATTTGAAACCCATAGGCCTAGCGACATAGCAGAGTCCCTCGGTTTCAATCCCATCGTAACCCTCATGACGCGTCCATTCCGTTCCAACGACGTAACTTGTGGTGAACATGGCGCCCTTTCTGTATACATCGGCCTTAGCATATAATACAGCACCACCGACTGAATCCAATGGAACGTAATAGTCAAGATCGCCTTCATGGCTATCCTTTTCTCCGTTCTTATTCTCGGCAAAATGGTTAAAATGCCACATGTTGTGATCATCGTGAGGTGTCCATTTCTGATCCCATTCATCCCACTTGTTTTCATCCATAAACCTCAAGTCGTCATCATTCGGTTTTGCCCGTGGTCCTCTCCATGAGTTTTTATCGTAATCGGTGATATCACCCACGCTGATTCGTGGCACGATTATATCGAGATCCAGTTTAATGAATTTCTCAAGCGTATTGTTATAGGCAAAGTCCACGACATCGGCATCGATAAATAAGGTATACTCATGATCTTCCAAACTGTTGTATAAGAGGAAGTTCCGCGAGCGAGCAATATTCCGACGACGCTTCCGCTGAACGTAACTTCTGTGGCGTTCGTCTCTTGTGAACCCGAGGTCTTTCTCAAGAAAAGGAGCGTAAATGAGGGTGACCTTGTTCACCATATGCGGCTGCATCAACCTATTGATCCTGCTATCAACGTTTCTGAATTCTTCGTGTGATGCAAATAAAAATGCATACGAGTAATCGTAATCGGGTTGGCGTTGAGACTCGAGGGTATTCATGAGATCCTCGAAATTTCTGTCCTTTCCATATGATCCACTACCGCCAATAGAAGACAAGAATAAAACAGAAGGCTTGGGGCCAGAATAGTGTGTATCATAGGTTATCTTGGTAAAATTGGCGTACACATCATGAAATTCCACTCGCTTGAAATTTTGCACCGGTCTTGGAGTATCAACGACCTTTAAAGGTTTAATCAGTAAAGGTCGTTCAGGTAATGCAAAGAATACAAATGGTAGTATCACAAGAATGACCACACAGGCTGTCAAGACGAGTCTCGGGATCTTCAACATGACTGTCACTAAAATTAGGGTGAGTCGCGAAGTTTATATACGATCCCGACCATACTAGACCCTTGAACAGCCACACTTCGCGCAGTAATATACACAAGAGGTCCAAAATCTAAGGAGAGGCATATCGATAACGAATACCCATCAACTTCCATTTTCTTCCCTGAAAGAGAGAAGCATCTACGTAGCATTTGTTGTGAGGTGTCCCATTTAGTATGGCTCTCAGCCCATTTCGATTCATTCCATATACAGGAGCTTCCACACAGGAGGGTATTGTGAAGAAATTGCCTAGCGATACATTTACACGAAGTCAGCACCGCGTAAGAGTCACTTTTGGGTTAGATCATCTCTTCGGAATGCTACACGTGGCTGTGCATGCCCCTTACTCTTGAAGGTACATATGCATGTTGACCTAATAGGCTGCGTTGAACAGCGTCTGACTTGGGGACAGTATCATGTTCACTATGGTGCTATTGTAAGAGCGTTGGGCTTACTCCAGTTCTGGTGGATTGTGGGCTAACCAAATTGGCAATTCTCACGCCGTCCTTCACATTAGTGCTGCATGTCATAGAGTGCGATTTCTTGGAGAGCGCCACCAATCGTCAGATGTTAACACTTTTAGACTTGGGAGATGACCTCTTAGTTACTGTCATACCTCAATACCTTCGACCCCGTGATACGCTTCGTTTATCATTAACTTGCAAACTGGCTTATGCCCGCTTCTGGTACCCACAGTCACCCATCTACAAGACATTATACAACCAGTTATTCACGAATAACGACAATGACCATACTACAGTGGATCAAGGATTGACATGGGAAGAGTTGTTTCGGTTGAGAACTGATCCTGACCAGCGATTATATACTTGGGGCCTGGGAGCTCATCGTCGCCTCGGGTATGACATATCCCAAATTCCCTTCAGGCAGCGGAACGGCGTTGGGATACCTTATCCACGAAATGTTTCAGAAACAAATGGTCATATTATCGTTGATATTAGGGCAACTGGTTATGCCTTTTTGATCTTAACCATCCTGGGTCAATTATATTACACTGGGTGGCTGTTTCGTCAAGATGTGGGTCATCATACTCCAAGTGCATCAAATATCGATCAATGGGCACCAGGGAATCCAAACGAGTCCCAGGAAATTTCTCGTGGTCGTTTAGGGACTTTGTGGTATCGATATGATCGGCCAGATGATGCCTTCGATCGCGATCCTCCTAGTGGTCGACGTCGAGCTCCCAACACCAATCTTGAAGGTCCCCCCGAATCTAGAGGGGTTGACTTGTTACTGCCTTTAAGTGGACTTGGCTTTGAACACATTCTTCGCCCGTTTCAAAGCAAAAGTGACGTAACCGATGCGAGTGACAACGTTTTCAAAGCTGGTCAATCTCCCGCTCACTTTGCATCTTCTGCACAAAGTCAAATAAAGGAGAGTGATTCGATCAAACCGTTACGTTTACCCTATGACGCACAACTTATACTGATTCTGGGTGGTCGACAACATGTGATTGCACTTGATGACCAGAACCGCGTGTTTCAATGGGATACAACTACCAAAAGTTCTCAGGGCGTAGAACTTGATTTCGGTACAAGCGCTTTCATCAATAAGATCCATGCTGGTTGGAATTTAGCGGCCTACTATAGCGTTGATGAAGGTATCAGAGTCTGGTATGGACGTGAATCAGTAACCCCTACTCTGGGGCCGCGAGTCAAGGCCACACTGGTAATCGTACCACATACAAAGGGCGAAATCGAGGACTTTGCGGTTTTGACTGATTGTGTTTTGTTCATCCGAAAACTGAATGGGCGACTCTATCGAGCATCGTGCCCAGCGAGTGCCTGGGTTGAATCGGAAGATGAACCTCGAGTGGAAGAGCTCTCCCCGGTCGAGGCGTACAATGAATGGTTAGATGACTACAACCGTTCCAATGGAACCGACCACAAATTCACTCGCATCAATAGTACCTATCGAAACTTTGTTTTGTTCACTAATGGCGACCAAGTATTGCTAGGAAATTTGAACAACTTAGATGCTGTTGATTTACAGCCGGCACTCCAAAATCGTCAAATTAAGCTGGTGGTAATGGGCGACTACCATTATTTGGCATTAACCGGTGATGGAAAGTGTTTAGCTTGGGGTTTAGAGCTGCAGAATTGTGGATGCTTGGGTTTAGGCTTTGCTGAACCTTTAGTTACAAATCACCCACAACAAGTCTCCAGGGAAAACGGTCGAGCTCTACTAGTCAAAGCTCCTATTGAAGTACCACCTCCGGACGGTCTGAGGGCATGGGTGCAGCTTGCCGCCAGTGGATGGCAATCGGGAGGTATAGTCGTATAGTTTAATTGAAATCATTGGAAGAATATCTCGTTGAATCAAGCATAAGTGTTTATATGAACGCAACCGATTAACGGCGTTTTCTCTGACTTCGCTTATACGACGGAGGCGAGCGCCGAGAAATTCGCGCTCGGAGTGACCCATTTTTCTCTCACCAAATCGCCATTTGCAAACCACATAGCCGTCCATGTCGGAGCATCTTTCGGTGAATCTGCCTCGAAACAGAGGGAGCTCGTTTGGTCAGAGTACCCTGCCTATTCGAATTTCATCAAACTCGATCGGCTCAAACCATTTGACTCCAACCACTTCCACTCATTCCACCAGCAGCGCCACGCGCCAGCGACGGTCCTCCCTGATTATACAACACTTGGAGCCTGACTCCCACGAAACAAAGATTGACCAGCAGTTAAACCCGAATCTTAATGCAAACTGGGTCAACTTCAAAGGTGCGTGGATTGTCCACTTTGTTATCATCGTGTTTGTCAAAGTTTTTTTCAACTTCTTAACGGTCCTCGATGATGACTGGAAGTGGACATTGACGAACTTAACTTACAATATCGGTCTGTATATCATGTTTCATCAAGTCAAGGGTATACCGTTTGAATTTAATCTGGGGGCCTACGACAACTTGACTATGTGGGAACAAATCGACAATGGTGACCAGTATACACCGACGAAGAAGTTCTTGATGATGGTTCCCATCTGCTTATTTTTGATCCTGACTCATTACTCCCACTACAACCTCAACTTGTTTCTTTTGAATGGCGTGCTGTGCTTGTGTGTAGTGATCCCTAAATTGGCGATCTCCCATAGATTGCGTGTGACTCTCTACTGAAGAAATCGAATGAAATCAATGCAACAGCGACTATGTTTGATATCAACATATCAATGGCTTTTTTGGAAAGGAAACCAACCATTGAGATATGCTCTGTCCCACGTGACAGTTCCTATTTTTTTTGCCTGCATGCACATAGTTAGGGATAAATTTAACCTCTTTGACTCCTATTTGTAAAGGTACCCTAATTAGCTTGTCAATGAATATTATAAACCTTCGTAACTAATAATCATCGATCATCTTGAGTTTCATGGTGATTGGAAATTGACCTCGTTTCTTAGCCGAGTCAATTTTGAGTCCTTATGCACTTATTATGGATTGCTCATCCTGCGCGGACTCACAAAACTGGGGTGACTCCGATTTAATTGCACCCCGATTGAAAAATTATATAAGGCGCAGCCCCGTCTACCAAAAATTATCACCAACACAATAATGGCTTACAACCTTTCGGAAGCGCACAAGATCCTCGTGTCGTCCTCGCTCAAGGAATCTGACCCTGAAGTTTACGGTATCATTCAAGATGAAATTGACCGTCAAAAGCACTCGATCGTTTTGATTGCTTCGGAAAACTTCACCACCACTGCCGTTTTCGACGCTTTGGGGACCCCCATGTGCAACAAGTACTCTGAGGGTTACCCTGGTGCTCGTTACTACGGTGGTAACGAAAACATTGACCGTATCGAATTGCTTTGTCAAGAAAGAGCCTTGAAGGCTTTCCACTTGACCCCTGACAAGTGGGGTGTCAACGTCCAAACTCTTTCTGGCTCGCCTGCCAACTTGCAAGTGTACCAAGCCATCATGAAGCCCCACGACAGATTGATGGGTCTCGACTTGCCTCACGGTGGTCACTTGTCCCACGGTTACCAAACCGACACCAGAAAGATCTCGGCTGTCTCAACTTACTTTGAAACCATGCCTTACAGAGTTGACCTCGAAACCGGTTTGATTGACTACGACATGTTGGAAAAGACCGCTGTTCTTTACAGACCTAAGGTGTTGGTTGCCGGTACTTCGGCTTACTGCAGATTGATCGACTACAAGAGAATGAGAGAAATTGCCGACAAGGTCGGTGCCTACCTTGTCGTTGACATGGCTCACATCTCCGGTTTGATTGCTGCTGGTGTGATTCCCTCTCCTTTTGAATATGCTGATATCGTCACCACTACCACTCACAAGTCGTTGAGAGGTCCCAGAGGTGCTATGATCTTCTTCAGAAGAGGTGTGAGATCTGTCAACCCCAAGACCGGCCAAGAAATCATGTATGACCTCGAAAACCCCATCAACTTTTCGGTATTCCCCGGTCACCAAGGTGGCCCTCACAACCACACTATCACTGCTCTTGCCACTGCTTTGAAGCAAGCTGCTACTCCTGAATTCAAGGAATACCAAGAACAAGTCTTGAAGAACGCCAAGGTTCTCGAACAAAAGTTCCATGAAAAGGGCTACAAGTTGGTTTCTGACGGTACTGACTCGCACATGGTGTTGGTTTCCCTCAAGGACAAGGGTATCGATGGTGCCAGAGTTGAAGCCGTGTGTGAAAAGATTAACATCGCTTTGAACAAGAACTCCATTCCCGGTGACAAGTCTGCTCTTGTTCCCGGTGGTGTGAGAATCGGTGCTCCTGCCATGACCTCGAGAGGTTTGGGTGAAACCGACTTCGCCAAGATTGTGGACTACATTGACTTCGCTGTCAACTACGCTAAGGATGTTCAGGCCAGCTTGCCTAAGGAAGCTAACAAGTTGAAGGACTTTAAGGCTAAGGTTCTCGGTGAAGAAGACCCTCGCTTGGTTCAAGTCAAGAAGGAAATCTCGGAATGGGCCGGTGCCTTTCCCCTTTCCGTCTAGACTGAAAACTTACAACGTTCAACACAAATTATAATGATTATATAACGATGGCTAATGAAAAATTCAACATTTCGCAAATTAACATTCATTGCAAGCCACTTTGCAACCTGTAAGCCCTTGGACTTCTTTGGTTACCAGAGATATTTCTGACGAGTAGTTGTGGTCACTTTAGACGCATCATAACTGCTTTGCTTGTAGTCCTCTAGACCGCCACTTCCGCATGTCGCATGATGATCTGTATTGTTTTAGTGAAGAGATAATGATTCTTTAAGTGCTTTAATTGGCCTCAATTGGTCACACTCCGTATACGTACGTATGTGCTTTGCAAATTTATATTACTATAGCCTTATCAGTTATCTTCTGCAATCAGAACGAGATCTCAAAGAATTCCGGGGTTTGTAATGTGTACAGCCCACTTGAAGCTTGTCTGAGTAATCATACCTTAAAATAAGTTAACGTGGAGGTTCCCGAGAGAGAATTCTTCGAACAACCCCAAAATTCATGGCATGCTGAAATTCTTCATAACAACAACTGCCATATCTTGTACTTGATTGGTGATTACCATAAGGAGGCTTTGTCCGTGTGAAGGGTACCATCCACATTGCGATGTCGAACCCCGAAATTTCGGATATTCCCGTCCTCACTCCTAGTTAATCGGCCTTGATGCGATAGCTTCATACCGAATTAGTATAAAAAGAATGGGATTTGCCTCGTAATCAATCAATCAACACATCAATGTCTGCTCAACTTATCAAATCATCTTACGGCAAAGCCAATGTCAAGTTTCTCAAGGTGAAGAAGAGTGAGGAGAACCCAAAGCACCATGAGATCATCGAAGCCAACGTCCAAGTGCTTTTGCGGGGAGGTTTTGATGAATCCTACACTAAGGCTGACAACTCGCTGATTGTGCCCACTGATACGGTGAAGAACACTATTTTGGTCGAAGCTAAAACCACTGACGTTTGGCCCAGTGAAAGATTTGCTTGTCACTTGGCTAAGCATTTCACTCTTAAGTACTGCCACGTCGTGGGAGTTGAAGTCAATATCATTGAACAGAAATGGGGACGTATTCAAATGTCAGATGGCACTGAGCACCCCCACTCCTTCCAACACCAAGGACCTGAAACTAAGCGGGTGTACTTTGACTATGACAAGCTTACTGGTCAGATCAAGATCGTGTCTAGCATTAAGGACTTGACGGTGCTTAAGTCGACGGGGCTGGAATTCCATGGCTACAATGAATGTGATTACACCACCTTGAAACCTACTTGGGACCGGATCTTACTGACTGACGTTGATGCTCAATGGGAATTCGACACTACCCAGATGCCAACTTTGCACGCGGTCTTTAGAGCGGCCAACCGTGGGGTGTTCGACCAGGCCTACGACGTAGCTCGCAGAGTGACATTGGAAACTTTCGCTACTGAAGTCCTGGCTCTGGTTCAAGCCACGATGTACAACATGCTGACTCAAATCCTCGCGGAAGTTCCTGAGATCAAGGAAGTGCTGTACGCTTTACCCAACAAGCACTTTATCTTGTTCAATTTGGAGTGGAAGGGTATCGAAAACAATGACGACTTGTACTACCCCGCGTCCGACCCCAACGGTTACATCAAGCTGACCGTCGGCCGCAAGACTGGGCCCAAGTTGTAGAGATCAATTCTTAGCCAACAGTCGTAATGTAATTACATTTGAAAAATTGTAAGAACTCGCCACTATCGCCATACTCTTGTTTTGCTTAGGCGACAATGATCAAATGGGAATAATCACATTTAATCAAAACCAAGAAGCGTTCTCAAGGCCATGTGATACCGTCGAGGCCGCGTAGTGAATAATTGTAACAAGTGTAGGACTGCTCGAACGGAGACTAAAGCAAAGCTTCTGCGAAATAGAAATAAGACACATTCATTTACTATGTACAGAGTGGCACTGCTTATTCGATGATTCTAGTCACCAAACCAGTACCCACGGTCTTACCACCTTCTCTCAAGTTGAATCTTTGGTTCAATTCGATGGGAGTCTTTCTCGCCAATTCGACAACCATTTCGACGTTGTCACCGGGTTGCACCATGGTCAGGGCGTCAACGCCTTCGGGGAACAGCAAGGTACCGGTAACGTCAGTGGTTCTGATGAACAATTGAGGCTTGTAGTTAGCACCGAAGCCAGAGTGACGACCACCTTCAGCGGTAGGCAAGATGTAAAGCGACGCCAAGAACTTGGTGTGCGACTTAACGGTACCGGGCTTAGCCAAGACCATACCTCTCTTGACTTGGTCTCTCTTGACACCTCTCAACAAGATACCAGCGTTGTCACCAGCTTGAGCTTGGTCCAATTCCTTCTTGAACATTTCCACACCAGTAACGGTGGTGATCAAAGGCTTGTCGAAACCGCCAACGATTTCAACTTCTTCACCCTTCTTCAAGGCACCAGCTTCAACTCTACCAGTGACAACGGTACCTCTACCCGAGATCGAGAACACGGATTCGACGGGCATCAAGAAAGGTTGTTCCAAGTCTCTTTGGGGGGTGGGGATGTGTTCATCAACAGAGTCCATCAACTTTTCAATGGCTTGAGCACCGATTTCCGGTTGCTTGCCTTCCAAAGCGCAAAGAGCAGAACCCATGATGACGGGGGTGTTGTCACCGTCAAAACCGTAAGTGTTAAGCAATTCTCTAATTTCCATTTCAACCAATTCCAACATTTCTTCGTCGTCAACCATGTCAACCTTGTTGCAGAAGACAACCAAGTTTTGGATACCGACTTGACGGGCCAACAACAAGTGTTCCTTGGTTTGCAACATGACACCGTCAGTGCACGAAAGCACAATGATGGCACCGTCCATTTGGGCGGCACCGGTAATCATGTTCTTGATGTAATCGGCGTGACCGGGACAGTCAACGTGCGAGTAGTGTCTCTTGTCGGTTTCGTATTCGACGTGAGCAGTAGAAATGGTGATACCTCTGGCTCTTTCTTCGGGGGCTCTGTCAATCGACGAGTAGTCCAAGAAAGCGGCACCACCCTTTTCCGACAACACCTTGGTGATGGCGGCGGTCAAAGTGGTCTTACCGTGATCGACGTGACCGATGGTACCCACGTTGACGTGAGGCTTGGATCTGTCAAAGGCGGCATAGCCTCTCACAGCAGTCTTGGACACAGCCGTGGCTCTAAGCGAGGCCACCCGCAAGGAGCTTGTCAATTGTCTGAACATGGCACTGAGGAGGAAGTGAAAATTTTTCGCATCAATATAGGTTGGATCGGGTCACGTGTGGCGTTACTTGAAACTCCGTTGGTATAATCGTATGATCACTACTTTAATATGGATAACACTCATCAAGTTCTGCTGGACCATTGTTCAATCTGTTAATGATTCTTAAGCCATCGAAGTTGAATTTAGTATCACATTTCCGTCGATCTATATTTTAAATAACAAGTGTGTCTGGGGAGATCAACGCGAAATGTGAACACTAGTAGTTCGACTCGTGGAATTAACAATTTCCAGTAATTAACAATTTATCAAAAATTATCGGTAAAAGAATTTTATTTACTTGGGACATCCGGAATTATTCTAGTAATCTTCGTTCTTCTTCTGACTCTTCATGAGCGGCTTCATGAATGTCCTCCCGTTCATTTTCGGAGACAATCCTTTCGATTTGAGCCCGCTCAGCTAATTGGGCCAGAACACCCGAGTTTCGGAAATAGTCATAGTAGAGACAAAGAGCCAAAAGTGTTCCCTGAAGTAGGGCTGCCACAAAATAGGAGATCCAAGAACTCCAATGGGAGCCTTTGGTAAAGTAAAGGGTGGCTGCGAACACAAACCCACCGGGGGTTTGAATACACATCATCCCCACTGAAAGCGTACCCGGATGTTTCAAATGATAGGTAGTCCAAATCTGAGGTACGTACTTGACGACCGTCAAAGCAGTGGAAAGCAAACCATTGGTGTTGGCAATAGCATAAAGCCACCTCTTCTTCGTGTACAAGCCCACAATCACCTCCACAAGCGACACCAACGCATGAGCCCAGACAATGTTGCCTACTCGAACAATTCGAGCGTACTCTTCGCGATCCTGCTTAACCGAATGATTAGTCCAGATGAGAACAAACACCAAGATCAAAATGGCACAGATACACTGGACACCGATCTGGATAAGATTTAGCTGAGAGTTGATACAGTTGAACGGCGACAATGCGCCCAGGTAACAACACTCACGAGCTTTTGAAGAAATGAGTATGATATTGGTGAAGGTAAAAATCGACAGCAGCGATCCCAACAAAAGGAAAGTAGCACTCAACCCTTCTGATGTCCGTTTAAGCCAGATGCGTCGGTACTGAGGGATATAACTGATGATAATTCCCAACGTGATCAATATCGAGAACACGAAATTGATAGTTGACGCACCCTCATACTTAGAACAGTGGTCTGACGCCATAACCGTTATCAATTGTAGTGAATCCGGTCCGTAGGAGGACGACACACGTGTTGGATGGTTGAGGTAGCGGGTGGGGTAAATTGGGTCACCTGTTTGTGCGTGGTTGACTAGGGTGCGAAAACCAAGATTTATGCGACCTAGACCACAACTGAGCTTTGACGAAAGACAAAGCAGTCGGCGGTTTTACGGAGGCTGTGATGACTATATAATGAAGATTATTGATACTAGCGATCAGGCAGTAGTGAATTGTCGCATTGATAAACAATAAGTGGCATTCATCTTGGAAATTATATTGTGGTGATCCTCTTTGTCCGGGAGATCATCCCCCTTTGAGATTGCATGTAAGTGATCATTCTTCAAAATTATATGAAACACTCACCACATCTGAAACAACCCACACCTGCTGCTACCACACGGTTGAATTATAACAACATCTTTTCCTGGCGCGCGTAAATTTAGTGTTATCACTGCCCTTACACGCGTACCACACCCCCCATGGCCGATTGGTTGGCAGAGATTGCTCTGTCGAGCCAGGTTTCGGCGCCGGCGCCGGGATCGTCCAAATTCATCGCTGGGGTTCTTTTGGACCTGAACCAGATCCTTGTGGAGCCGGTGTCGCAGTACGCCTCTCTCATCACTGATGGGGTGGATGAATTAGCCGGATTTCTCCATAAGGTGAATCAAGGACGTACAATCCCCAGCGCCCTCGAAAGCTTGTTGAATGGTGTGCCATTGTCGCCACATCCCCCGACTCGAAGTGTGTCTCCGATGCCGCAAACAACCCCGGCAATGCGGCACCTGGTGCTGCCGGCAGCACCACCCAAATTCAATCCACAGCAACCCTCACCTACTCGAGCGGAGAGAGTCCCGCTAACGCAATCTACACCAGCATCTCGACATCAGGGTCTGCTTGCGGGTCCACAAAGAGTCCATCCACTGCCCAACTCACCTACGAAATCGCAAGCCAAGCCACTGCCGCTCCGACAAGTTCATGATGCGGCTACTCTAGGAGCACCTCAACTTCTCCCCAGTCGTCAACTATTACCTCGAGATCCAGTGTCTCCATCACGATCGAACAACACTGGCAATGCTGACGACTCTTTTGAAGCAGTGTTGGGAGCTGCCAGACAAAGTTTAGCTGAGAAGCGGCGAATGCAGCGTTTACCAACGTCACCCATGCGTATGCAGTTCAAACCGAAAGCATCAACTCAGACGCCACCAAATCTTGATCTGGATCAATTATCCCCGATTCGACTTCCTAAAACGTTACTTGGTTTCAACTCCGCAAACAGCCTTGCCAAAAAACCATTGTCCGCTGCATCACCAATACGACAAGTCAAAACGTCGAAAATTCTATCCCATACCCCGTCATCAATTGCAAAGTCTCCCGAGTCGCGGCCACCACCACAGTCATTCCGTGACACTTTGACAAGTGGTCATTTGCAATTAACACAGTTTGAGCTGAATCAACTCTCATCAAGGAAACCGCTGGAGTTCCAAGATGCACCTCTAGTTAAGGCCGATGAACAAACCAATGTCGCCTTAGAAGAAGCTTGTGATCAGACACGACCTGTTGCAGTGCCCTCAATAACTGCAACACCAGCAAAACCCTTACCAAAGTCCGACGATGCTACTATAATCTCACCCGTGGATACCACAAAAATCAGAGCCGAATTCCGTGCCCAATCGCGCGATTTGGCGGCTATGCTGCTTAAACTGCCCTCCGTCAAAGCTTCCACATCGGTTCCTACGACTACGATTCCGTCCAAAGAGCAAAGCACGGTATCTGCGCCTCCACGAAAAGTACCGTCTTTGGTGTCGTTCTCCTCATCGCCGAAAGTGCACAGAGTGACGAAACCTCGAACTAATGAAAGTCGCAATAGACTTTTGACAGCCACTCTCAACTCGTCACCCAACAGGTTGCCGCGTGACTGGAGAACACCTCGTCATGATTCTGTAAGAGTTCCACATATCCCCAAGATTCTGACCACTCCCAAACTCACCAAACTCCCGCTGTTAAATCCTCGGACGGCTTCATCAAAGAAACCTCGAAATCAAGGAAATGCTGTGCCCCTTCCAATGGAAGCTCGTGGAATTGCTCGTAACAAAAGAAAGGAAGAGTTGCCAGTTCCACTGGCTAAGCGGTCAGCAGTGTCTTCCTCTAATACTAATGGATCAGGAGCCACTACTGCGACGGTAGCACTGTCCATGGCCAATGGGGCGGGAACTACGTTCACTATTAAGACACCTTCCAGGTCCAATGGAGCCGGAACTGCTTTCAGTACGTTGACTTCTGCCCCGACCAATGGTCATCGAAGTCTGTCGCAACAAGGTGTCTCACGCGGAGTTTCGGATACCAAGAAATCGAGCGGGGCGTTCGTCCCCATTTGGCGCCAACTAAAGGATAAAACCTTGGGAGCTCCCACCGTTTCATTGCCCACTGCTGGTACAGTGGGCACTCCTGATACCCTACCACATATATCGAGTAGCCCTGAGCAAGGCGGAGACAAAGCTTCACACAGCAATCACCGAATCTACGAGAAATGGGCTGCTAGCCCTGAACTCAGACGAAGAGTGAAGAATAACCGGAACAAGGATCCTACCCAATTCTTTGTACCGCCTCAACATTACGATTGGCGGGCTGTATTTGACAACTCGCTGTCGAAATGGCGGGCTCGAGTGTCACCATACTCCTCACCGCTAAAACGAGACGTCGAGCGTGAAGTGAAGTCATACGCTGAGCAAATGGGTTACCGATAGTAATATCTATCAATGATAGCACCAAAAAATATACAGTGCCACCATTTAGACCATTAAGTAACTGATTGATTCGCGATTAGGGTTACAGATTATCATTTGCGGGTAACTTACGGCTGGCTAATTTTATGTCATCGCACGCCCCCGGGCTCACAACGCGACTACTATAAATGAGCGACGATACTCGGACTCATTTTTTTTTCTTTGTCGACGTACTTCATAGGATCATTTCTATAGTATACGTCTCTCTTTGACTCTATTAATGAGCCATCGTTTCCAACTTGGAAGATGAGAGAACTACCCCGCAGCCCTCAAAGTGAGATGTGTTTTGCTTGTCCGTGGTTCTTAGCAGCCCGGCCATCTTTACTTGCCGAGTATCACGGTCACCTTCTGGGTGCACCGATCTCGGAGCAATGATCTTTACCCCTTTGACTATGCCTTTTCGGAGGAAAGTCGCTGGGGTGGGCGGCGGCGGTTGTCTGACAAGTTACGAATTCGAGAGAAACGGTATATTAGTCGTACGGTTGACCGGAACACGTGATGTTTTACGCAGCCAGTCGAAAGGTTTTGGCTACTGTGTAAAATGTCGCCAGTGCCTTTTCAGTAAATATAAACTTTAGGGTGCTGCTAGGCGTCAATACGACACCGGCATCACGCCGATCATTATTCCTTAAGTGGATGGAGTTTCGGGGTCCGTCAGGGTATGAGGTCATCGGCAGAAAAAAAAGCAACGTGCCACGGCCATGGCCACGGCAATGGCCACGGGAATCCGACCCTAGGGGGGCAGGGTCTAAGCCTCGCTGGCTAGCCGATGGATCCACCACTGTGCCATCATGTTGCATTGACCGTGCTTACCCCTAAACCTTGACAGAGATCGGCGAGCGGGCGCATGGTGGGACAAAACTTAATCGTGCACGGTTGCTGGTTAATTGGATAACCTTTCTCGGCATTAAACAATATACGCGGGTTGCAGGTGACAAATTCCAGCGGTTGGTTCTGTACCGATCCCCAAAAGTGACGTCGTTTCCCTCGCAGCCTCAATCTAATTATGTCAGGCATCGTTGACATTAGATGCTGACGGGAACGACAACATTTACGACGGTCGGATTTGTGCAGATCTATCACGGATGGAGAGGGGGGTGTCGCCATCAGGTGGTATTCCATTTATTAGCAACGAGGCGGCGATGTTGGGCGGCTATTTCGGTGACAACGGCTCACCACCTGATTTTGGCTAGACGTCGATGAGCGAAAGCAGCAATCGACATGAGCGATGGAGACACCCGGAGAAGGGCGGGATCGACATTGACAATCATTCATTCAAAGATATCCTAACTCCTATAAACTATCATAAATAAAAAAAAAAATAAAACGGTAAAATTCTGATGGGGTCAAGTAAACAGTTGTAGTCGCTAATCAGTGTATTTGAGCTGTTATCACCTTTTTTTGTTTTGGATTCACAAGCAAAGAGAATAGAAAAAAAAAGCACCAGCTTATCCGTGGGTGATGCCCGCTTCAAACGCGGCGTTGACGACGCTCATCGAGTAGGCGGGCCCGAACCCGTGGCACTTTTCTTGACCCCGTAATCTATTCATTATCAGTTGGATATCTTCGGTTTCTAGCTCGATCCCGGCCTCCTCCAGGCGCGCCAAGAGATAGTCCCACACGGCGCCAATCGCCAACAACTTGTCTTCCAGATCGGGCAGGGTGTACACGCGGTTGACGTGGTCGGCCTTGATCTCGTGCGAGGTGCCGTCGAGCAACCCGCGGAAGAACTGGTCCTGGGAGAGGGGGAACTCAAACGCGCTGACGTTCAGGGTGTTGGTCGTGGGGAGCGATTGCTGCGAGTCCGGCAGCGTCGACGACGGCAGCACGTTGGCCTTGAGCTGCTGGTTTTCCAGCTGGATGTTCATGTTGTGGGCACGCATACACTCGAGCTGGTCCATGAGCCGCTGGCGCTCTTCCTCCAGCTGGACAAGTTTCGCCTCCAACTCCTTTAACCGCGTCTCCTTACGTTCACGGAATGCTCGTTGTGCCTGGCGGTTCTGCGCCTTTCTCTTCAACGCCAACTCCTCCGGGGTGAGCTCGGAATCGTCGCGAGCGATGAGGAGGCGGTCCTGCTCGTTGGCGAGGTCGCGCTTCAGCTTCTTTTTGCCCCGGGGGGCGGTGCCAGCGGTGTGGTTGGAGGTGGCGCTGTTGGCGTCGCCGGCGGCGTCGTCGCCGACCAGGATGGGCAGGGCGAACATGTTGTTGCCCTGGGCGAACTGGGAGTCGCCGAACTGGTTGAAGTCGAGCCCCATGGGGGGCACCGCCATGGGGGAGGGGCCGGGGGCGAACGCGGTGGGGATGTCGCAGGGGACCAGGGCCAAGTCGACGTCGAAGGCGTCGTACATCGGCGGCGGAAGCTGCTGCTGGTCCGGGTGCGTCCACAAGTCTTCCATTTTCACGTCCATAGGGGGTCGGGCAAAGCAGCCGAATGCGTCAAAGATATAGATTTGTGGATGACGTCGATTGCCGGCAATGATTTCGCACTTGGGGCATATTTGGGCGGGTTCGGAGCGTGCCGCGTGCAGGACGGAAAAAAAGTCGAAGCGAGGCGGTATGGGGGGCCAGGAGCCCCCGTACGGGTAACGCCCACAAATGTTCACCCACCGTCAAAGGCGGGTGGGGTTGGGGCCACTCTCTCCCTTTCAGCAATATGTCTCCACGTGGAATTTTCTAGTTGTCGTCGCTCCCAGGGGTGTAGAGGCTACGGCTCCCGTCAATGTCGCGCATTAGCCTTTTTCACTAGCTCCCGCGCGGCGCTGGTGTCGTTTAGTTCAGGGCTTGGCACCGACTCACCCACTGAAACCAAACGAGGCTTTTTTGCCATATCATATCTGGCTGCTGCTGGTGTTGGGGGCGGACCAACGATAAAAATGTCGCCTGCCTCATGTGGTGGAACGCAGGGCCAGGGCTGCGTGTGCAAAACCGTTTGTCGCGGTGTTACTCCTCACGACCCCCCGCCCATGTGCACCACCACAACAGTGGCGACAGCATGAGGCCCCAAAACTGGTCCTGTAGAACCGGCTAAATTTCTCGTCGATTGCCGCCACCGGGTTTGCCGAGGACTTCCGCTGTCAGAAATAAGTGTTATACCAGGGGAGATGAGAGTGGGGCGCCGATCGGGCGATGTCGCCGTGGGGAGACATTGGGCGACCTGGGGGTGAGAGGCTTAGGCACCTCATCAAAGACGCTGACGTGACGTTTTGTGAGGTTATTCCGAAGCTGCTAGCGCTTTAGGTGCCAAGTGCGGGGGCGGAATTGTTCGGCGGAAATGTCGACACGGCTGCCGGCACTGTCGGCAGCTGCGGCGTCGCCAAAGCAACCACCTAGCGACACAATTCTCGACTCACGCCATGCACCATCGACACCGCTCTTCGGCACGATGATCACATCACCGGCCACAAACGGGCGCTCGTCGCTGCTGATGGCAATGGTCGATAGCGAGTGCTCATTACATGTACGCCTGGACATGACCAGGTGCGATGCGTCTTTCCCCCCACGCTCGGGCGCAAGTCACAAGTGAAAAGGGTGCTGGGGCGGGTGCCAGCGGGATCAGCGCAACCCTAACTGGCCTGGCTCTGGCGTGTAGGAAAAGCCACTTGCGGTGGATTGACGTGCGTTTGCCGAGCCGAGCCATCGCTGACAATATCTGGGGGGGTTTAGGGGGAGGGGGTGTGCGACGACACGGCTTACCCATGGGGCTTAGCTGGGACTAATCGTGTCGACATGACACATGTCACCGCGTCAGGAAGCGTGATGAGATCCACAGGGGACACGATGCCAGTGGCGTGGCGCCCGAGGGGTGTCATTGGTGGGCACGGTAGCACGGCTGCCGTTATTGTGGCGGGGCTCGGAGAGTGCGGCTCATGCGCACTGGCGACCTCGACCAGGCCCGCGAATAGCCGAGGGGGTGCTTCATATATAGCCAGCCCCACCGCCACGGGCGTATGCTACAGTTAGCGATGCCAGGTGCGATCTTGACACCTTCCCAAAACACCTGAGCCACCCCCGAGATCGTCTACGTGGCGACGGTGACGCCAGCGACGGGGCGTGAGGGGAAACAGCCAGGAGCAGCCTGTACCGTTTCTAATTATGCCGAAGCAACCGGGGGGCGACGACGGCGGGACAATGCCGACGACAAGCCCACAAGCATCACAAGCACGCGGTGCCTTGTGTTCTTTGTACGTTCGAGAGCCACCCGACATCGGCATCGCCTGGTGCATATCGATGACAAAAGCCGAATTAGACTTTGATCAATAGCTCACGTGATGCACCCATCGATCTTACTAAAATCTGTGAGCAAAAAAGCACCTCGAGGAACCTCCCTCATCCCGAAGATTTTTTTTCGAAGTTGCGAGAAAAAAGAAAAAAAAAAAAACCAAAATGCCGTACTGGTCTCTGCGGCGACTCGCGACCGCCGCAACGAAAAAAAGACTTATATCTACGGCGGTCCCGGCGTCGGGTACCCGGGGGGAGAAGTAGACGTACACGCATTAGCGACGACGCCGTGAGTGATTTGCACTAAACAGCCCACTACCCCGTATCGGGGCCGACATGAAGCATATCGGGTGATTGTCATGGTGGTGAGCCCCGGGGTGCTCGCGATTACCAGGTGTCGTGAGCGAAGAGATCAATGGAGCTAAGCCGTGTGGGGTTGATCGATAGGCAGGGGGTGCACTTAAATTTACGATATCACCAGATCAACTCCCGGTGACATTGCAACCGATTTTGACACATTGGTGACCTCGGTTATTTGGGACATGGCATGAATAGGGGTTACGGGATTCCTTGGCCTGTCACCTCTGCTGCTGCCTTTCCTCTCCAAGCTCTGGTTGCCGTTTACAGAGGGCGCGCGCCCTTTATCGGGCAGCTCGAGGGCCAGCCGCGGTGCCTGTTCCGGGGTACAAACGCCGTATTGTCCTGCACACAAGCGCGATAACAGAGACGGTGCCCATCGACATTTCTCCAGGTTTCACGCACCCAGCAAACGAATTTTAATTATCGTTGGTTTCTCGATTACACCCATTTTTTTTAGTTTCATTCTATTGGAAAAACCATGGGTGACAAACGCGATTCCGAAGTCGTCCAGGACTCGGTGGACTCACACGACTTTTCCAACAATAGCGTCTCGGCCAAACCCGGGGTGTGGACCCGGTTCAAGGACTCGTTCAAACCGGCGGAAGTTGACGAAAAAGCTGGCGATGACCTTGCTCTGACAGATGATTTGGAAAGTGGAGCCATGAACGCTGACGGCGGCCAGAAGGGCGAGTCGTTAAAGCGTGGTTTGAAGCAACGCCACATCCAGATGATTGCCATTGGTGGTTCTATCGGTACCGGTTTATTCGTTGGTTCCGGAGGTTCTTTGCGTACGGGTGGTCCCGCGGCGCTTTTGATTGCTTGGGGTCTCGTGCTGACGATGTTGGTCCCCGTGGTGATGTCGCTCGGTGAGCTCTGTGTCGCCTTCCCCGTCACCGGGTCGTTCTCGACGTACGCGGTGCGGTTCATCAGTCCCCTGTGGGGTTTCTCCATCGGGGTCATCTACGCGCTCATGTGGTTGATTGTGTTCCCCTTGGAGTTGGTGGCGCTGGCAATGTGTATTTTGTACTGGAACGATAAGATTAATCCAGTGGCATGGGTATCGCTTTTCTACGTTTTCATCATTGCTATCAACTTGTTTGGTGTCAAAGGGTACGGTGAGGCTGAGTACTTCTTGACCATCGTCAAGATTATCGCCATCACTGGTTTCATTATCCTTGGTGTCGTGCTTGTATGTGGTGGTGGTCCCACCCATGAATTCATCGGGGCTAAATACTACCATAATCCTGGTGCTTTCGCCCACGGGTTTAAAGGGGTGGCCACTACTTTCGTCACCGCCCTGTACTCTATGGCGGGGGCGGAAATGGTGGGGTTGGCGTCAGCCGAAACTAAGAACCCTCAAAAGGTGTTGCCTAAAGCCGTGCGGCAAGTGTTCATCCGGTTGGTGTTGTTCTACTTGTTGACGCTCATGTTCATCGGCTTCCTCGTCCCCTACAACGACCCGCAGTTGCTTGGTTCCAACACCAACTCGACGCTGCCGTTCGTCATTGCCATCAAAAACGCCAAGATCTATGCCCTCCCCTCGATCTTTAACGCCTGTATCTTGTTCACCGTGGTGCTGGTGGGTAACCTGGCGGTGTACGGGTGTCTGCGTACCCTCCATTCGCTTGGTGAACAAGGGTTGTTGCCGCGGATCTTCGGCTACATCGACCGCCGTGGCCGTCCCATGGTTGCCCTCGCTACCCTGGCCATCTTCGGTGCCTTGTGTTTCCTTTCCGCTTACGAAAACCAGGGTGAAGTGTTCGCCTGGATGTTGTCGGTACTGGGTTTGGCCACGGTGTTTGTGTGGTTCAACATTGCCCTCTGCCACGTCCGGGTGCGGTGGGCACTTTACGCTCAAGGTCGCTCGACGCTGGAGTTGCTTTACAAGGCGCCCACCGGGATCATCGGCTCCATCTACGCCATGGGGTTCTTGCTCGTGGTGCTTGTGCTCCAGTTCTGGTCCCTGTTGTGGCCCATTGGCCACGACGGCAGAGCGCTGGCGTATTCGTTCTTCCAGGCATACCTCTGTGCTCCCATCATGTTGGTGTTGTTCGTGGGTCACAACATCTATATCCGCCGCAAGTTGGGCCGCTGGGTGTTGCTCATTCCGCTTAAGGAGGTGGACTTGGATACCGGCCGTCGTCAAATGGACATGGACATCATCCGGGCCGAGATCCAGCAGGAGAAGGACGCGATGGCGTTGAAACCATTCTATGTGAGATGGTTCAAGTACTGGTGCTAAATCTTGCACCAGCTCATGATTAATGACGATTAATGATTGAAAAAAATTGTATATACATAAATTGCATGATAGAGAAAATATTAGAGTAATGAACTGATACGATTGCATAGCCTAAGTTAATGTTACTAGATGCTAACGTAATGAAGAGTGAAATTATCCTACCTGGTTTGGAATTGCATGCTGATAGTTAAGGGCACTCATTACAGGGTTACTTGTTGTCAAAGTAAGCGTTCTCCAGCAATGGCGTCACACACGAGTATTGTGAGTCATAGAGTCTTGTAAACTGCATACAATGCGCCTATGGGTGCAAAATTTTCTTTCTCAGCGCTTGCTGTGCGAGTCTCCAATATTACTGTTGACGAAAAAACTGAAAACTCCATGTTCGGTAAATGCACGACTGTTTCGTCGTTATGCGGAATCGCACTACCCCAGGTCTATTTACAAACTTTAACCATGATTACATCCAGGTATGGACCCTTCTAACGTCTCAAAACAAGGTGATTTTAAAACTACATTACAGGTATTTTCGCTAATTATAATGCTGAACTCGTCATGATAATGTATGGCCGCCGTGCGCTGCCAACCTTCAGCCTTGTGAGATTTCTCCATTGATATGTGGCTGATTGATGAAGTTTCAAATCAATCTCTAGTATATTGCGTCACAATGCTCGGATGAAGGTCCTCATCTGGTAGAACCCACTGATATTGTTACAATCGCAGCGTCTGGACGCCAGGCATAGGGAATCTAAAAGGAACTCGATTGTGCGTCGAAAATACAGTCTGTTTTACAAGGGCCATTAGGCAAGTAGTAAGATTTGTCATTGTGATGAAGATGGTATCAAATAAAGGGTCAACGTAATGTTAAATGGAAGAATTGAGTTGAGTTTACCTCTTTCATGATATGTACAGCCCAATTCTGCATATTACCCATGAACTGTTCGCTTAGATGATATCCTCTCACAAAAGTCCACGTAAAGAGAATTATTCAGAATCCAAAAGATTCGAATGTTTGTGTCAAAGTAATAGGAACTACACGAGAAGTATGCTATAAAGGCTATTGAAATGAATTTTCAATCAAGCAAATTAAAAGAAAAAAAATAGTTGAAATTTTTTTTTCAAATAATTTTAGCTGAGTGCTGCAGTATATCATATGCAGGATTAACAGATCAAGCTTCACCACAAGAATTTAGACTGATCAGCCCATTTCTCTCAACCTTATCGTAATCTAAGTGAGCGTATATTTTGTTTCATAAACTTTCCGAAAGCCAACACAATCACTGACACACAAGTTTTCCCTCCAAATTGCAGTCCTGCACATAAGAGTCAAGTCTGCATGTATTGTGTAACTCTCAATCAAATCTTTCCATCACATAATCTACACTCTAAACAAGGTTGAACAACTACATTGCGATGTATACCATTCAAATAGCACTTGTGACAGCAACTGAGAATTTTTTTAAATTTTCCGTGGAGAATTCAAAAAGTGTGATATAAAATCAGGAAAAATCGATAAAATCATTCTGTTTGCTTCATAAAATTTGTTGGCACTGGAAGTATGTCTGATGTGATTTTGGGCGAGTTGACTNTTTTTTTTTTTTTTTTTCTAGCGGAATTTTTTTTTGGACGACTTTGAGTTTGCAACGTAGTCTATTACATTGACTAAGCATTGAAACTGAGTTGTGATGTTTCTAGCAGTGGTAATTCAGGTTAAACACCTCATCTATGTTTAATGTGTATATGCAGGTGCATGAGGGAGATGCAGAACACAAGAAGGTGTGCTAATATATGTACTTGCAATGTAGCCAACCCAGTTATATCAATGTCACTGTAGTTATTGATCATGTATTCCTAGTCTGGAGGGTTTAGGGGGGCGCCGACATAGGAATTGACACATATATCACGCCTTCAATTTTAAGGTTTTGCACACAAGCATTGCATGTGCATATGGTCCGAGAACTTTCAATCAGGTAGTTCTTCACATGTATGAGACTTTAAAACGAAACAAAATACACCACTAGAAAGCATACGGCACAAATAGTTTTACAACCTCAAATGGAATTTTTCTGAATTTTTTTATAAAAAACTTCAAAATGTGTTATAAAATCAGGAAAATTTGGTACAGACTTCTAATTAGCACCATGTTATTCTTTGGCACCAGAAGTATAGTAGATAAATATTTGGGTCAATTGATGTGAGGTTTGAAGCAGTTTCAGCAATGTTAAAAGCATGATTCAACAAAGATCGATAATAATAAAGTTTTTGCTTCATAATATTTGTTGCAATCTGAAGTATATTTATTGTCGTTTTGGTTGAGTTAACGACAAAGTTGACATAGTTTCAGCACTCACACTCTTCTTGCATTATCTGCAGCATGAGTGTGTACATGCAGTACGCAAGATAATCATAGCGTTAGCAATTGCAAATTGCAAGTAAGTGAAATACGTTGGAAGCTCCATGATTGTAGCACGTTGTACTACGGGCTGCGGAGCTTCCATTTAATTAAATGGGGTATCATGTAGCTTACAAACGCGTTTTTAGGTTAATCCTGCATATAATGATTGACACTTAAAGCTAAACTTTCATCGTTAGTAGCGAGTTGTATGAGTTCTAACACCTCTTCTATGGATGAAAAAGTTTAACTATGTGCACAGTCATTAGAAGACGCTTTCAAGATGGAAGTTTAAGTAAAAAAAAAATTCTTTTTCATTTATGTTTCGATTCCATACAACACATCATGAGCCTAATGTGCACAGACTGCTGCTTTTGTTGGTCATAGCAATAGTTTGCAATATCGATTGAAAGAGACGGTGTATGACATGCTCCATAATAATTGTGGCATGCGCAAAATGCCCAGTCGGAAGTCGCAGTTAGTGGCCACGTGACCATCGGAAGTAATTTTTACGGTTATAAACCGAGGGTAGGTTTCCAGTTGATGTGGTAGTTTGTTTTAAGGAAATACGTGATTGCTGTTTGTCGTAGTGTCATTTTCAAGTTGGGTCATTTGACGAACAAAATGTACTGTTTACTCTGTAATCTGCACGAAATTTTGTGATATCAGAAGCGTTAGAGCGTTAAAGTTGATTGTGTAAGTTATTACAGCGTGTTAACGTTGTTGTAGTATATTTAACCGATGTCTAATAATAAGGGTATGCGAGAATAAAGGGTATTAAAACCACTTGTGTGCAAACAGTGATATTGGGGATGCCACTGGGTTCAAGCAGTTGATTACAGCGCGTGGGTAATGGAGCTCCGCGAGCGATTGAGGGTATTGAGGGAGTGGAGACTGGCCATGGAGTTGCGAGGCGAGTAGTGCGGACGTTGCGGCGGCAGGGGCGGCTCCACGTCACTGACAGTATCAGTGGAATTCAGCCACATCCCCGAAAGGCGGCGTGCGAGATGATCAAGCCCCTGGGTATCCGGGAACGGGTACACCGAGATTTTGAGGTGGTGCCACGGTCCGTGGTCCCAAACGCTGCGCTCGACGTACTCCACCACCAGCAGCAGCACTTCGGGAGACAGCGGCTCTTCCTTCGCCCCCCAAAGACCACGCCAACTGCTGGTGAACTTCAGCATGTGGGCCAATGAGTCGTTGAGCCCCTTCATGAGCAGATTGCCTCCACTGAGGCGGCGACACTCGTCAGCGCCCGTCACTATCTGGTGGTAAATAAGCGCGAGGTAGTCGCCAAGGCGGGCTGGTGTCCACTTGGAGCGTATTAGCGCCACCGTCGCCAGAGGGTACTGGTCCCATCGGAGCATGTGGCTGCGATAAAGCGGCTCAAAATCAATTTTCTCGAAGAGGCAGGCCACATGATACGAGTCAAGCCCGGCGTCGGTAACTGGCGAGTCATCGGCGTCCACTGTTCGTTTGTATAGGGGCATAATGTAATTAAGTAAGATGTGGACATCAGTGGTGGCGCCCCAAGCACGCAGAATCAGCGCTCCTTGAGGAAGCTTCTCGCGGTGGGCAGCACTGAACCCACAAAGCTCAATGTCGCCATCGTCATCTTCATTGGGCGGCGGCGGTGCGGTTTTCACCAGGAACAATACTTTAGCAAGTTGACGATACACTGATTCGTTTCGCCAGAGCGATAGCAGCACCATCCTCAGCGCCGCGGGATGATGACACACTGCGGTCACTAAAGCCCTCACCACGAGCGCGAGGGCCCGCGAGTGGCGCCCCCGGTGTTGGAACAGATCATACAGCGCCAACAGTTTGATTAACGTGGTAATGGCGGCACACAGAGCGTAGCTGAGACCGCCGTCGATGTTGGTGTTCGCGAGACGGCGCGTAGGGTCTTGCGGTGCCGGCACCGGCGCCAGCGACGTCGCCACGATAAAGTTATAAAGCGCCAGCGCCAACATGGGGTCGCTGGCCTTGGACACCACCGGACAAAGCGACATCACCGCGTAGTCTCGCGTAGTGGTGGGCGCCGGCAGCACTTTTACCAGCGCCGGCAACTCGTCGTACACGCGCCCCATCGGGGTAAATAACGTCTGGAGGAGGTCGGCACGTGAACTGAGGTACCACAAAAACTGCGCCAGCACTTGAAATGATGGTCCCGTTTTGCGGAGATGCCCGATAAGCAGCACCACGAGCTCGGCGCCGTACTTGTTCGCTATGAGCGGCACCGCCCGCTTATTACACTGGACAAGTTCCCACACCAACAGCACCGTTTCCACCGTTAACATCGACAGTGACCCTTGGGAAATGACGGCGGTGAAGATGAAATCTAGGTCGTCCTCACCAAGGCGACTGAAATAGTGGCGCACCATGTTTCTAGGGCCCAGCGGCGGTACGGGGTACGACACCATGAGCACCACCAACTGCAGACACACGGTGACGAAGTGGCGCCGCGTTTCGGTGAGCGACGCCAGCGCCGGGTACTCGAGCTTGCCGTGAGTGTTGTCGGTGGCACGGCACCACAGGTTAAGCATCAGACACACCAGGGTGAGGAGCGCCACCCGCGGCGCCTCGCTCACAAGCCACAGAAGGCACCTCAGCCCCTGGACCACAAGCAGGTGCGGGTCGCGCGTCATCCCCTCGGCCACCACCACCATTACCGCTCGGAGCACGTCAAGCCGGTTGGCGTCGACGACGACGTTGGGGTCAGTGTAAGGTCGCGTCTGCGGCTGGCCCAATCCGGGCTCCCACATGGCGCCGGCGTCGCTATCGCTGGTAAAACCGGGGCGGTGGAGAAGCGCTAATAGCGCTTTTAGTAAGTCGGGTGCTAAGTGCGGGGGCACGTCGCTTGCCGCCGAGTGGAGCGTAGCAAGCTCACCAAGCATCTTGTCGAAGGGACGCGTGTCCCACCACATGGCGTCGCCGGCGCCCACTTCGTAGCCGTAGGGCACTAACCGCACAAGCCACCGGAGACAGCTAAGTAAGTGGCGCGTGGGCATGTCGCCGGCGTCCTCAACCACTTTTGCCGCCACCACCCTCACCATCATCACGTAGTTCACTTGGTTGCCCTCCCACACCTGCTTGAGGAGATGGGGGGCCGCCGCCGTTTCGATGTCGCCGGCCAGGAGCGGGGTTTCCCAGAACACACGCCACCAGCGGCTGCGCCAGGGAACCACGTGTCCCTGGCGGAGCCGGGCGAAGTGGGCCAGCAATGGCGCTTCCAGGGTCATTGTCGCCAGAAGCAGTGGAGGGGGTGCCTTGTGCCGATGAGAGTGCGACCACGCGGGTGCCGCGACCGCCTGATCTCAGTCTGAGATTGTTGGGTAAAAATGAGACAAAAATGAGACAAAACTGTTTGAAATCATTATACAGAGTTTTTCGTTACTTTTTGAAATGAAGGGTTTGAATATGAGAGTGAAGGAAACGCTACGTGAACTAGTTAAATTTGGTGATGGAGAAGACGGCGTGCGACGGAGATATGAGGTTACTGGCGGAGAATGGTGCGACTGTTGCATTCGATGCAGGCAACCAAAGATGAGTAATCCAATACAACTTCAACGCTTAGTTTAGCTTATTTAATTGTTATCATTCATTATTACGTTAAACATCTAGACCAATTGTAATGCGTATCTAGTCAAGTCTCATAAACGCAGGGCGGGATATTCAGCGGAGTCAATCCTGGACTTTCGCCACCATCTTGACAAACCGCAACATCTCCGACCGGAGCTTGACCAACTCGACATTTTTAATCATCAACTTGCCATTCATACGGGTGACAATCGTCTTGACGGTAGCGTTGATGGTGGCATGGGGCAAGCCACAAACTTTGACCCAGTCTACATGCTGGTACGGGTTAGGCAACGGACGACCTAACTTTTCCAGCTTAAGCTGGATCAACTTACTTTCACGGGTGACCGCGAGCTTAAAGCACCCGACAATCAACTGCTTCAACTCAAAGTCCATGGCGCAGTAGTTGGCGAAATTGTTCAGCTGATTGAGGTACCGAAGCAAGTAGATAATGTCCATGTACCGGAACAAGTAGATCACCCCCTTCATGAAGATGGGGAGCGTCAACCGCAACCGCAGCACTAAAATTAACAAAAACTTGTCCAAGGGTAATTCTTTAGAGTCAACTTTGGGCGACTCCGGAGGGAACGAGTTGTAGATCTTCGTGGCAATGTACTTCACCATCACCGCCATCAACTTCTGGCGTTCATACCGGTGCTGTTCGGGGGTGAGCGCCGACTTAGAGCCGGAGTGGGGGCCAAAGAGAAGTCCCAGCGCCGGGGCGCCGATCTGAGTGTTCAACAGGTTGAACACGGTCCGCGGACTCGCGCGAGGCGACGCCTGGGGCGACTGCTGCGGGGTTTCGTGGCCGGTGCGATAGTTGCGCAGGCCAATCAGCCCTGGCGAACCAGGATCGCCGGTCAACGGCGACATCGGGAGGAAGCGCCGGCGGTCGGCGGTGCGGAGCGACATCATCAGCGCCAGGTCGTCGTCACTGAGGTCGTGGTCACTGCAGAGCGAGGGCATGTCGGCGCCAAACGCTGCCGCCGCTGCTGCCGCCGCCAGCGGCCGGGAGTCGACCACGTCGTGGGTGTCAAAAATCGCAAGCTGTTTAGTGGATCGGGACTTCATCTCAACAGAAGTGCCGCTATTATCGTCTAGAGATACCATCGTGTGTCAATCTTTTGTAGTGTTCAAGCGCCGAAAATTCACCTAATAGGTAATAAAAAACATGACGGAAACTGGGGGCACAAACGGGAAAAATAAATTGGGGAAAACAAAAGGGATAGGAAATGTGATGGCTCGTGTCAATTCAATAAACACCAAGGCAAACCAAACGTTGTTGAAACGGGGAGGGCACAAGATGGATGGGGATGGAGACGATAAATGCGAAAGAAAAGAAGAGGGATGTGACTCATGAGGGCGCGCGAAGCTAGCCACACTTTTGCTCCGATGGGCTGTGTGCAGGACTCGGGTGATTAAGGATGTGTCACCCACAGTAAGCTAGTCAGGCTACGGGGAATGAGTCATGAAGCGTACTGACTCGCTGAGATCACGCTATGCTGAAAAATCATTTGTGGTGTGACATAGGTGACGGCCACATCTCAATGATTGACGGTGGTTGTGAGCTAAACCTTCAATCAAGAAGTCTTGGTTTTTAGTGTACCGTGACTCATGCTCGGGTCCCGGGCTCGATTGCATAATTACGGGACCGGGTATAAAATCAAGGCCGATTGTGTAAGCCTCCCCGATGTCGTGGCCACCTTTGACAGCACGACATCGCTTGCGGTGTCTGTTCTCTTCCAATACCGAGCCCACGAACTTTTTCAGCAATTGCTTAACTTTGTAAATCCCTCACTCTCTCGGAAATTCCCCCTCTGCAGTAACTAAAAACACTTGCACTGTTCAAAACACTAAAAGAGTATCATATCCGAAACATACCCTAACCTTGCTAAGCCAAGACAACCTGTTGCATCTCTGCCCCTTCTCGAAGTATATTTAAATATATTAAATTCCTGCCGCACCCTGCCTCTCACCTGCCCTCACCCACGCTCTCCCTGTGTTTCTGGGATATGTGCGATCCCCGCGAAAATCACCGCTAGCCATGGCAGAAGACATGAGGCCTCTACGCAATTACAAGGACGCCATCCGTGCCCTTAACGCGCTCCAGCTGAACTACGCGCTGATCGAAGCCACCCGCAAGCTCGGCCCCAACGTCGACCGCAATCAATTGCTGATCAACGAGGTGTACGAGTACTGCCGCCGTCTCGGATACCAGCCCCAGGACTTTGACCGCCTCAACATCATCCACGTCACCGGCACCAAGGGCAAGGGGCTGACGTGTGCGTTTGCCGAGCTGATCCTCGGCCAGTACCGTGGCCACGGGCGCATTCTGAAGGTGGGGCTTTTCACGCTGCCCCATTTGAAGCTGGTGCGAGAGCGCATCCGGATCGACGGCGCCCCGATCTCGGAACTGAAGTTTGCCCGCTACTTTTTCGAAGTGTACGACAAGTTGTCGCTGACGACGTCTGACCCTAACGAATTCCCCACCCTCCAGCCGTCGAATGAAGTGAAGCCGATGTACTTTAAGTACTTGACGCTCTTGCTGTTCCACGTGTTTATGAGTGAAGGCGTCGACACTGCCATCTACGAAGTCGGTGTCGGCGGTGAGTACGACTCCACTAATATCATCCAGCACCCCACTGCCACCGGTATCTCCACTTTGGGAATCGACCACACGTTCATGTTGGGCGACAACATCAAGCTGATCACCTGGAACAAGACCGGTATCTTCAAGCAAGGAAGCCCCGCGTTCGTGTCGCCGCAACCGGAATACCCTGATCTGATCCCTATCATCGAAGAAAGAGCTAAAGAACGCCAAGTTTCGGAGCTTGTGCTCGTTGATCCCAACCAGGTGTTGCCTCCTGACCAGAAATTAGGTCTCGCCGGTGACTTCCAAAGAAATAATGCCGCTCTTGCCGTGAGCTTAGTTGATGCTCATCTCCGTAAACTTGGCTACCAAGGCGACGACGTCATTGAAGATGGTCACCTCCCCGACCAGTTTAGCGAGGGATTGGCCAAAGCTGAATGGCCCGGGAGATGCCAAACTATCTTGAACAAACCTGAACGCATTAACTGGTACATTGATGGCGCTCACACTCTCGAACTGATGGCACAACTGCTGCGGTGGTTCGTCCAACAAATGGAACCGAAAAAGAAACAAGGCCTTCGAGTGCTTCTTTTCAATCAACAACTGAGAGAAAATGCCGACGATCTCTTGGTGACGTTGTACAACACCGTGTACCCCAACTGCAAGTTTGACCACGTCATCTTCACCACCAACATCACCTGGTCAGACGGCAAGTACGACGACGACTTGGTGCTGATGAACACCCTGAAGAAACAGGTCGACGAGATGGTTATCCAGAAACAACTCGCACAAGTGTGGGCTCTGCGAGACGCGTCCACTGGCAATAACAGTCGTAAGCACATCTTCCCCGATATCGAAACCGGGGTCAACTTCATCAAGCTGTTGACCAGTCTGCCCGACTACGCTCCTGCCGCCAGCGGGGAAGTGGACGTGTTTGTGTGTGGCTCTCTCCACTTGGTAGGGGGTTTCCTTGTGGTTCTAGATGGAGACAAGGAGCAAGCTTGAGGCGGAGACGGAAGGAGCATCATCATGACTGTTGTATCGAACCACTACTACTACTATTCGTTTTGAGAGAAAACTGATGGGTAGATTTGCACAAGATTACACATTGTTCGAGCATACACGTGAATGCCACTCTTTGACATTTGATAAACTAATATAGATCTCGACCACATCAACCCGTGCTACTAAGCGCTGCCCTAATCGACACAATACTAATATCACTAGTTTAACCGTTTATTACCTAATGTACACTCTACGCGTTGGCGTTGACAATGCTCTCCCGGGTCAGCTTCACCACTTCATTAACCCCAGTAAGCGCCTGCTTCCACTGGCTCAACGCCTGCTTGACCGTGGCCCAGTCGGCGGTGTGATCAGTGCCGGCAATGATGAACTTGTTGGCCCGGGTCAAGAAGAACACTTCCAGAACCTGGTCCAACTTCCCTTCGATCACACCCGCCTTGATCGCTTGCACAAGAAGCGCTTCCAATTCGGCGCCTTGGGCAACGGGGATGTCGGAGTAGTTGTATTCGACTTGTTCGGGGTGGTCCGAGAAGAACTTGGCCACTTGAAGGATACGCGACTTGGCAACGACTTCAGGGGTCAGTTGCACCGGTTCACCACGCACGTAGTGGTCAAATAACGCCACCTTGGCGTCGTTCTTGTTGGCGGCGATCGCCTTGGCCACGTTTTGGTTGACCAAGAACGACACATCCACCACCTCCAGAGCGAGGACAAAGTCGATGAGACTATGGAGTTGAGCCAAGTCGAGCTCGAATTGCTTGCTGAAGTCGGCAATGATGTTCAACAGGGTCAAGGTGTGCTTAGTGTCCAATTCGATAAACTTCCAGAACACGCGGCTAATCTCGTCTTGAGGCACTTGCGCCGCCTTCAACCATTGCACGAGGTTGTGGCCGATGTTTTCTTCAAACAAGCTGAAGTCCAACCGCAGCTTGTCGATGACGGTGAAAATGTATTCCAAGATGGCAACCCGAGTGGCCAGCGACTCCGGCAACAAGTTGAACAAGGTGTTGAGCACCGAGATGATGGTGGTGGGCTTCAACACTTTACGGTCACGCAACGACGGCTGCTTGGCGGGGACGGTCGCCTCTAAGAGCTTGTAGATGGGGGCGTTCTTGTCGTCGATCACCAGCTTGAAGTCGCGAGAAGCATTGATAAGGATGTGGATCAACAAGTTCATCAGGGCCTCGTACTCCTTATCCAGCAACTTGGCGTAGGTCTCCGGGGTCAGGAAGTCGTAGATCGTCTTGGTCAACTCGGCGCGGTTGGTGGGCTCGCTCGAGCCCTTGGTGGGGAAAAACGGGACCACCGCATCGGTGAACGCAGTGTTCTGGTTGGCAGCGTCAATGATGCCAGCGTACTCCTTGACGGAGTCGCTTAACTCGCTGTCCACGACAATAACCGACGCCATAACTGTGAGGGATGCCCTCGACCGCTGAAAATCTTTTCGCACTGGGGGAGTGAGCGGCGGAAGCCACCACCTAGCGGAACTAAGAAAATTGATAAGAAATTTTATATGAATGAAAAATAGTCGTGGGAAGTAACAAGGTACTTTTTATCTATGAATTTTTGAAAACGCTGCTTCGTTCTAAATTAGTCATCTATCGACTGTCTGGATTAAGTGCGGCGGTGGCATTTACGCGTACCGAAAATTACGTGCAGACAAAGGAATTAATCTTAGCGTATATTCAGTCTAGTAAAAAGATTGTTTCTTCGAATGTGGACTTGCTCTAAATAGAGATCAACATCGATGTCTGTGTAACGGAAGAGCAATTCGCAAGATCTCGATCATTGAAGCTAATGGCTGGATGTGCCACAGCAGGCTTTTCTGACATCAATCCAATTAAACCTCAACATGAATTTATGACAATTCAATCATAATTCGGAACCTGAGTCGGTTACCGAAGTCTCATTGGCAACCACTGTCGCTTTGATACTTGCTTTCTCATCGTGAGCAGACTCAAACAAAGCAGGCACATCGGTTGTATCGACCACCTCTTGGGGAATTGTATCCGGGTCGTCTGGGTTATAAAGCACAATCCCGTTCGATCGAGCGTTCTTACGCTCTTGCCTTTTGTAAAGGTAGAGAATGAGAATCGTCCACACAATCAGAGCAAACGCCAGAGCAGCGGTAAGCGAATACCCTTTGAGATAGCGCGGAGACTCCACCGTTTTCCATACAAGTAATGAGATCCATGCCGACAGCTGTTGGCCCATGATGTTCATAATCACAATACAAATATATCGTTGGATAACATCAAAGCGAACCATATCCCCCTGCCATGAAAACATACAAGGAGCCATTACCCATCCAAAGTACTGGAGACAAAAGGCAAACCACTTCGCTCCCTCAGGGATGTTCCATACTGCAAGAAGAACATTTCCCAAAATGTTAAACACTTGAGAGAACACAATTGCACCCCATCTGGATGAAGCCCAATCTGCTATAGAGCATGTCAATATCAAATAGAACATACCCAAAGCTGGAGTCAAGGCTGTATAATCTTGAAGTGGACCTTGAGCAAACCTGGGTGACCCGTCAGCTTTGGTGAGAGACTTAAGCCAGAGGGAATACGAACCCAGCGTCGCGTTACTATTGTTCCAAAGTAAGATGTCCCAGATACTGAGAACGTACACGTGCCACGAGGAAAGAACCGTCTTCCACGTACGCCAATCGAAGATAAGCTTCCCGGCGTCCTTTTGAGGAGGAGCATCTTTTCCGTCATCCTTCATTCGCTTCCGTGCAATTCGAATATCGTCATCAGACAAGAAGATCGAATAGCAATCCGTAGGCGTTCCCGGAATCATGTACATACCAACAATACCAACGAAAGCTGATACGATCCCATCCACAATGAAAATCCATTGCCACGCTTTTAAGCCATTAACTCCATCGAGATGACGTTCAATAGCCCCTGAAATTAACCCCGATGTTAACACACCCAAATACTGACCCATATAATAGAACCCAGCACGTCGGGTAACTTCGCCTGTGCTCAGTTTGAACCACAGGCCAAACAAAGCCATGTAAGCCAAGTACAGAGGAGCTTCGGCTGCCCCAATGAAGAATCGAATAGCTTTTAACCCTCCAACCAGGGTGACTCGATAAGTACACACCGTAAGAATCGACCAGGTGATATCAACGGCTGGAATGACATAATTGAGTGGCCAGGCATACATAATGTAGATAAATGGGATCTGAAACACGATGTTGCCGATAGTGAACATTGATTGAACCTCAACTAAATCATTTCCTGTCATGTTGATGCCTTCCTTGAGCCCACCAATGTAAGCTGAGTTCAAATTGGACTGATCCAAGTATTTGATGAGATAGGCAACAAGTGAGTAGCATGTTAAAAGCAAGTCCACCTTTAAGATGACTTTACGTTCAGCAGGGGTATCATTGTCGTGAAACCAGTGATACCATTTGCGGTTTTTTCTCACATACTTATTCACTCGGTACTCATACTCGTCAAAGAACTTGTACCATGGACGACCCTTCTCTGTACGGTACTCAAGTTTCTGGTGTTCAGCTGACAGTAGTTTTAAATCCTCCTTGGTGTCCACGCTTAATTCTTCTTGGGATTCAGGCAGTTGTAAGCCAGCCGTGTCTTCGTCAACAATCCGCCGTTTAGGAAAGACGCCCCACTTGAGACGCTGAAGGTAAATCGACATACTGTGATTGCATCCGTATTCCTCGGGGGATCATTAAGTTATATGCCTATCTTCGGACATTGTGGATACCTCAAAGCTGTGGCCTGGCTCTCTTCAACCATTGCAATTATCAGCACACTTCACGTGAGCATAAACGCCAAAATACTCAGATTTGACATCAATAAACTTGTGATAAATTGGAAGGTGTAGGGCGGTCACTTAACTCGATCAATTACCCAGTTGATCATTTGAAATAATACCAAGCTAGGGATCCCAATCGCCTGGGGTTTTTCGATTTTGTATCTCGCCTTGCACGCAAGGCGTTATCTCACCCAAGAGCGCCGTGCGACGGCTTAACTATGGCTTCTACGAGTACCCGAGGTTAATATAATTCATGTCTACGCTTTTGAGAACTTCGAGCTATTATGATTTCAATCCTACTGCCATCATGTTGAATCATCGAGTTTGCAGTTCAAATTCGATTACTTCGGATTGCAATATCCCAATGATCGATACTTCAAACTGTTATTGTGAGCGATACCAGCTACGCCACAGTTTGATCAAAGCGTTTAAACTTTGATGCAATTAATTAGTACCGTGTGTGGGGTCCAATCGATTCGGATACTCTGGGACGTGTACTCTATAATTCTAATCTAATCGAATATCTAGCATGCCCGTCTACGGGCTGGGCGAAGGCTCCTCCTTCCAGTGAGCGAGATTCATGTCGTCCATCGCCGCTTCTAGCTCTTCCATCCCGGGCATGTGGCCCGGGTTAGGACGGTTGGGAATGATCTTCAACCCTTTCATGGCTTCATCAATCGCTTCCTGCTGCTCCTTGCTCCACCCGTCATAGGGCTTAAAACCTGATGGTTGAGCATTTGCTTGATCAACAGGGGCCCCATTCTGTGGAGTAACAGGTGGAAGCTGTATGACGGGTTTTGGTTTTTCTGGTTTCTTGACTTTGTCAGCAGTAAACAGTTGAGTGCCAGTGAACCATACTTTGGCCAAGTAGTCCAATTGATTTCCCTGATTGCTGAAATCAAACGTTTTCCCGGGACGAGCGATATCGGTGAACCACGTAGCATTGACCAGATTGTAAGCGCAATAATGATAGCCAGAGCATATGGGGTTTTTGTTCCAACCCTTGGTGGGGAGGTATTTGACAGGGGTATAATCTAGATCGTCCTGCATTTCATCAAAATCGTGTCCACCAAAGGTATCGCCGTCTATAACCACTCCCAGAACTTCTCTGAGTCCATGATACTCCGGTGGAACCACACCTGCTCTGATGCTTAACGCTTTGGCATACAAATCTACCACGTCGTCCCGCTGCCACTCGCGATAAGGGAACCGTCCTTGATCCATAGAAAACAGATTCTTCTTGCACCACAGCATGCCCAGGTTGATCCAAAGAATATTACCACTGCTGTCGATGTGGCCTGGATGAGACGAGCATACTTCAACGATATCGTCAATATCATACATTTGATTCTTACGATCACTGACTTGACCCACGGCCGCAGCCAGGTGTTGGTTGAATTCGTAATCTTCATCTCCTGAAACAGCCATACTGATCCAGTACAACTCCTTGTCACCCCAAACGGCATCAGAGAGAGGTTTTCCCAACGCAAGCATAGTGTTAAGAGCGAGTAATGCTCCGAAATGACGTTGTTTATCGAGCACAACCACCCCTGATTCCTGTAGATGACGCCATCCCACCATGTAGCGGTTCCCTAATGTCTTATTCAGGGTGGCAGCGTAGCCAAATAACTCATCTAGCCCTCCAGCTTGTGGCATAAGCTTGGCAAACATGTTGGTTTCGTCCCACAGATTAGTGTCCATAATTGTACGGTCCTTAAAAAAGTATGTTCCCAGCTTTTTGTATTCGGGAGAATCGAAGAGTTGTTCTGGAGGCACTAACAACACCGAATCAGCGTCCATTAAGATTGCTTCTTTAAATGACAGAAACATTAAGGCAGGACCACGCGTGGAGTAGCCCTTGAAAACTCTCTGGTATCCATTCGTGAGAACATCTTTGATATTGACAAACCTTACGTATTGAGGAGGAAATTCCAGATGGTAGCTTGAATGGTTTGCCAAAAGATCGATGTCGGGTCGGAACTTTTCATTATTTGTTGGTATAAGTCCGTCGGGCCCTAAAAGCAGCTCCACGTCAGCTGTGGCAGTGGTGTTTATGATTTCGATGGTGCGATCATTGAGATCACCTCGATGGATGATTTCGATGGGAAGACGATTGTTGAGTGCTCTCAAAACTCTCACAAGTCGGGCCACTTCCTGGCGGAAGCTGTTTGATGCCGATATGACTATCCCGCGTCCTTGTTGGTGTTGGTGAAGATATTGGATCAAGTCGTGTGACTCTTTGTTGTAGTTCTTACCGAAATCCAGTTCCGGAAAGTCTCCAATCTCGCCTGAAAGGAACGGCAATAGCTTCGATGTAAGCTGGGAATACTCTCCGACACCCTCATTGAGCATACACTTGGAGTATATCCGTAAGTAGCCCATGGCGTCCGCCATGTCCAGCTCCACCCTAGCATTTGTATAGACCTGACCACGATACTCACGTTCTTGAGCTCTTTCTCCTTCGACTCGGTGTTTGAATTTATCCCGGTTGGAAACATGATTAAGGTAGCCGTCGCCGATCAGCTTCAGGAACTCATAATCAGGGTGATTATCGATGAAGTAACGGAGAAACACCCGACACCGATCATCCAAAGAGGCCAGCTCAACTGATTTCCGGTGCTTTTCGTAGTAGCGGGTGAATCCTTTCCAGTCCGAATGCGTGTAGGATTGGTAGTCAAGTTTTTGTCGATAGTCCTCGGGAAAAAGTACCGGTAACGCGAGTCTGTTGGACAAGGGAAGGAGTTTGAATAGGACCCAGCCGATCACAAGTAGCGATAGCACTATCGCCGTGTTTCTGGGGGTTGTTAGCCGCCTCATGCTTAGTGTCAGGGGCTGTGTCGGACGACACTTGAAGTTGCGTCGACAGCACAAAAAGGAAACTCCGGTACAGGGAATCGAACCCTGATTTGCTCGGTGAAAGCGAACCGTGATAGCCATTACACCATACCGGACTTGTTGATGAAAAAAGGTTGAGCTCCTCAAATGAAAATATGAGCATGTTGGTATACATGGATTTGCCACCTACACACTTTTAACTTACTTCTTGACAGTTATACGTCACAAAAGAGGTATGCATTTTATTTTTACCGGCTTTTCTTATCACGAACCACCTATGAAACCAGTTTGAGTACCACTCACTAACCCATCTCGTGCGCACTCATCCCATGGCGCCGTCAGAAGAATGGGTGCTAAACACACCACTGCCTCTTGGTGATGACTGGGTTCCCATATGTCAATACCTGGATATTGACTTTTCCCTCGATCACTTCTTGTTGGCCATGGACAATCTTATCCGTGAACCCAACATCAACTCGACAGTGATCATGCGTGCCGATATCCTCAAGGAACGCCGACTGGATCAGGATCCCAAGCTTACATTTGACGCTGAACTGACTGAACTTCCAGATTTCCCTGGTTCGGAACTGCTGGAGCCGCTCCATCGCAATATAGACGATACCGACTTGCGACAGCCTCCTATCGCCCTTGATCTCAATACAACGCATGAAGTCGTCCGGCGTATCATACCGCGTAATCCTTTCAAGGATTACATCATTAATCAGACGTGTCTTGTGGCTAGAGACGACAAGCAAGGCCTCGTTGTCTACGTACCTCATATCAGCGAGGCATCCGAAACCCCGTTTTACCTCCCACCGGTACAGGCCATTGGGATCTTCTACGGACAATTAACCACCGATGCAACGAAAACAGGGCTTAGTATCCACTATATCCCGTTCGGGTACGAGAAAGGTCCCGAGGCAGTTGCAGCGCTTCGTGCTTCAGACATCAGCAGCAGACCCCAGCGCATTGCGTTAAGACTTTTGAATACTGCTGCCAAACACTCACTAGGACGGAAGACGGGCTATGCTAAGCGAGTCAACCACGATAAAGTGGTGCCGCGAGTCAACTTCCAAAACCGGTACTTGGCACTCAAACAGAAGTATGCCGATCACCTTGTGAACAATTGGCAAGAAAACACCGATCCACGCAAACACGTGTTTGAAGACTTGGCTATTGCTGCTTTCCTCATTGAATTCTGGGCTATCGCCTACGAAAATCCCAAAGAGCAAATGCAATTTCGCGATTTGGGGTGTGGTAATGGCTTGTTGGTCTACATTTTATTGCAGGAGGGCTACAAGGGTGAAGGTATTGACGCTAGAGCACGGAAACTGTGGAGCTCATACCCAGAGCTGGTTCAAAGTCAGCTCAAGGAACAAGTAATCATCCCTCAGATGCTCCTTAAGCCTCACCCGGCGGTGCAAAAGGTGGCTCCTCATATCACCGACAATGGCCGGATGTTCCTTGTGCCTGATTTCACCCTCAACACCGATACCTACTGCTCTGCTGGCAGTCTCTTGGAAAGTCCACGAGTGTGCACGGCTGAGTTTCCTCCAGACACCTTCATCATTGGCAACCACAGTGATGAGTTGACCTGTTGGATTCCACTTTTAGGGTACCCGTTCATTGTAATTCCCTGTTGTCTGCACGCCTTAAGTGGAGCTAAATTCAGATTCCCACTGAAACGAGCTTATTTTGCTTCAGGTAATGGCGTCTCTAGTGGCAACTCACAGTACGGGGCTCTTGTTGACCATGTTGAGGATTTAGCTACGCAAATGGGGTGGCAGGTGGAGAAAGAAATGCTTCGCATCCCCAGTACAAGAAACGCTGCCATCATTGCGACTAAGCATACCCCAGCTTGGTCCCAATTGAATGACGACGCAAAGGAGATTCGCGTCCACGACGTCATACACCTTGAAGGCGGTGCTGAGGGGTGGGTACAAAACTCGGTGGCATTAATGAAGCGAGCACCTCGTGGGCACTGATTTAATTATAGATACGGAACTTATAGATGTAAATAACAGTCAAGCTGAGAATCAGTGAAAATGGATTCTGAATGAAATTCTCTCAGATTAAGGTGGTTGAAAAGCCGTCGAATTGGTCCAGCGTAGACACGAGTCAGTTTTCCACAAATTGAGTGAAAGAAATCCACAGACACTTAATCAAATTATGAGATTGTCAAGTGCAACTTCACCAGGGGTATACTCATGAGGAGCCAGGTGAAAGAGTAGTTTGAAATATCAACCGGCAATGTTGACGATTGCGATAAACACTTGCATCCTCAAATTGAATTGTAACAATCTGTGCACAAAACATCAATGACGTCTCTTCTTCTTCATAAAAAAAGAAGTTACTTGCCTTTGTTGGGTTTCTTAGTTTTTTGAGCTTTCGGAACCTTTGACACGGCCCGTTTCAACATCACTGGGTGCAAGCCGATGTACTTGCCATTCATCTCTTGGAACGCCTTAAGGTAATCGTTTGCATCAGAGAACGCGACGAATCCGTACCCTTTAGGGGTGCCACTTTTGTCCATCACTGCCTTACACTTCGTCACCAGCTTGTATTTGGAGAAGCCTTGTCGCAACAAGTCATCACTGGCATCGGTTCCCAAATTGCCCACAAACAAACGGAAATGAGCGGGATCCCAATCACCTTCATCATCATCAGCCCCTCCACCATTGCGAGAGTCCCGGGACCGACCACCGATTTTTTTCGCCGTGGGGATACGTCTCGAGGCTAATCGACGATCACTGACCATTTAGTGATAGCCGTCTGTCATAGCTGCGCGACACTGGTAACGGGCATCGCGACGCCAACCCTTGACCTTTCCAACCCCCAACACGACCAGTGACAGCCTGGTGCCACGTTTCCGAGGATCTGCGAGTGAACCATGTACATTTTGAGTCGGATCCAGGACCTCATTCGCATCCCGCCCCTGGCATTCAACACGCCGATCCAACATGCCATCACGGATGAGCTCCACAAAAAATACCTGAACAAGGTGATTAATGGATTGGGTTTGGCGATCCTGGTGTGGGATTTACTAAAGATCGAAGACGGTATGCTTAAGACTGGCGATGGTGGCTCCTACGTCGATGTTGAGTTCCGCCTTGTTGTTTTCAAGCCGTTCGTCAACGAGATCCTCCAAGGATGGGTCGCCGGGTGTACCGAAGCTGGTATCAAGCTTCGACTCGACTTCTTCGATGACATTTGGGTCCCCAAAGAATACTTGTTTGAAGGTTGCACTTATAAGAGCGAAGACAACGTGTGGGTGTGGCGTCCTGACGCTGACGATCCCGAAAGCGAGTTGTTTTTCGATATCAACGAAAAGGTTCGTTTCCGAATCGAAGAAGAAATGTTTGTAAACACCAAGCCTAAGCTGGGTTACGAGACTGAGGAGGAGATCGCTAAAAAACCTGCCGCCTACTGGTTGAAAGCATCTATGCAATTGGAAGGTATGGGTTGCACCTCGTGGTGGGACTAGTGAAGAGCAATCAGCATATCTTCACTGCTGACTAGAGGTCAGATAAGGCATGAAAAACACTAATCTAGATATATGATTAGAAACATTCATTCAGGGGATTGGTACTAATGATTTTACAGTAATAATATACACTCATAAATTGCATTGAGTAGTATTCTTGTGATGTTTGATTCGTTATGAGTGCATTACACTTGAATTGTCTACGATGTCATGATCCAACTTCAAAATCCATAAGTAGAAGCTGATCAATGTTGATTCATTGAAATTTGTAATAGCGCAACTCACATTGTAAACAATGCTAGTAACGTTCAATAAAATATACTATTTCAGAGTTGATAAAGGTTTATGAATACAATTCTCATCGTGTCATGTTCATTAAGGACTAGTTATATTGCATGTACTGGGACGTGGAGCTGAACTTCAAGTTACCCTTGATGACCTTGTCCACCGCCTTCAAAAAGTCCTTTTCGTTGGCGACCTTCCTCCGGGCCCGGATGGCAAACATACCGGCTTCAGTACACACCGAGCGCAATTCGGCCCCGGTGGCGTTGGGACACAACCGCGAAATCAACTCCCACCGGATGTCCTTTTCCACCAGCATCGTTTTTGAATGAATGCGGAAGATGTTGGCCCGGCCTTCAAGGTCGGGAAGCGAGAATTCAACCTTACGGTCAATTCTTCCTGGACGCAACAACGCCGGGTCTAAAGTATTGGGTCTATTAGTGGCAAACATCACCTTGATGTTACCTCTGGCATCGAAACCATCAAGCTGAGTAATCAATTCCAACATGGTTCTTTGCACTTCGTTGTCACCACCGGCGCCATCGTCAAATCTGGCCCCACCAATGGCATCAACTTCATCAAAGAAGATGATGCAGGCTTTCTTAGTACGTGCCATTTCGAACAATTCACGCACCATTCTCGCCCCCTCACCCACGTACTTTTGTACTAATTCAGAACCAATAACTCTGATAAAGGTGGCATCAGTACGGTTAGCAACTGCTCTAGCGCAAAGAGTCTTACCAGTACCGGGGGGACCGTAGAGAAGAATACCCTTAGGCGGGTCAATACCAAGCTTGACGAACCGTTCCGGCAGCAACAACGGCAATTCCACCACTTCACGCAACTTTTCAATTTGCTCTTTACAACCACCAATATCGCTATAGGTAACGTCGGGCTTCTCTTCAACAGTCATCATAGTGACACTGGGGTCGATCTTGGGCGGAAGGGGAAGTCTGATTTGGTACTTGTGACGGTCAACCCCAACACGCATGCCTTCTTCAATATCGGTGGGCGACACCGAGTCACCCAAACCAACGACGAACTTAGCAATCTGCTTGATGTTGATGACATACTTGGCACGGTTGTCGGCGTTGAGCATCAGATGCAGTGTCGGCAACCCGCCTTCTCTGGGGGCAGCCTCGATGATCTTGGTGCACCGGGCAACTTGCAACGGCAGTTCTTCACTCATTCTCTGTTTATCACGCATCACGTCCCAAAGCTGGGGAGGCGCAAGACCGGTGTCCAGCTCTTTGATACCGATCAGTTCCTTGATCCGCTCTTCGATCTCCTTCAAGTCCTTTTCGAGCTCCTTGAGCAGTGCCAGGTAGGGGGCGGCGCCGTAAGTTTTGAGCACCTGGATGTCGCCTTCGGAAAGAGGCACGATGTCATCCTTGACTTCGTCCTCGTCGGGAGCAACGTACTTGTCCCAATTGGGGTTCGGCGGCATGGTGGTACTCGTGAGATAGTGGCGGTGAGTGGCAAACGCGGCGCGAAAACTGGGTGTGGGCACCGAAGCCAGTGGAACAACGATATCAAAACGAAATGAGTGACGGTGACGAGATATGAGTGCATAGCAATCGGAGTAGTAAGATGATGGTGATACGAGTTTGATGTTAGTTTTGTTAAGGCTTTCAGCAAAATTTCGCAGTCCTTCTGTTTTGGTTGGTCAAATAACACCTTACATTGTTGGGAATATGTTCTGCTAGGTGAGCCAAATGCAAATTATTGAGGTGGTTTGTGGTTGAGCCGTGTTGCTTTGATTGAGTTGTTGAGAATGTGGATTTTCATACTCCTTCGCAATGGTACTGGTGACGTGAACCAAAATACCCATAATTTCCAATTTCAGTCTCACTTCCAGTACGTGTCTTGTCTAGAGCATCAGATACAACTTGGCGTACCGCTAGGGCCATCGACGTAATTCTGAAAGCCCACTAATGGAAGGGGAAACTTGTGGAAAAGTTTATACCAATTGAGGTATGACCATGGTGTAAGTGTGCTTCAAGTCGATGTGATGTGAACTACAAGCTGTGAAATTGTAATAATGCATTGACTATATACAAAAGACCAACCTCGAGGTTCCTTCGAAGTTTACCTGTCATTGGCTGGGAGGTCAGTGACAAAGAGAATTCAAAAAGAACTGCCACCACCCCCACTTGGTGGGCCCGCAGCGGCAGAGAGCGAGGCACCGAGGCTGAGTATATTGGCCGCCGACACACTCACTCTGTATCCTTCTAGACCACCAAAGTGTTCGAAGCTTATCAGTGGCTGGATGGTGCAAAGACACGCTTGCACCAACCACCGATGTCTTCGAAGCTTATCGGTGGCTGACACAAGGCTCACCCAGCCCCCCCGAAGTCTTCGAAGCTTATCGGGGGGATTGAGTGGTGCGCTGAGAGAAAGAAACTGACTGGAGAGCATTGACAGGGGATGCTGGCCCTTTTATGCCCCTGTACTGTACACTGGCATGGAATCCGAAACTAATGAAGAGTTACCCGCCTTTGCCATTGTGTCCGTCGTCAAGTTAATCTGTGCCTGACTACTGCTGAGCTGATCGGAGATGGCGTGCGCGCCCCGGGCACGAACAGGTCCCAGGGCTGTGCCTCGACGGGCTAAGACCAGGCCGGGGCTGGCTGAACCCACTTCAATGGCGTGTTTCCCGTGCCCATCTTGCATTGCATCGTCAACTGGCGGAGTCTACGCGGGCAAAAAGGGGCTCCACATGAGAAACGAAGTATTCTACAACTATCAAGATGTACCCTTACACGTTGGCTATCTCAAGCACGTCAAGTTGTCCCAGTGGAGCTTCGGGTCATTTACCTAACTTGTTCATTACACGAAATTCTGGCTGGTTCGTCGATGGAATGCGGGGAACGCTATACGTCGTCAACTTTAGACGGGTCAAGTCGGAAACAAAGAATGCACCCGACTTAAGGGGGGTACTATATCCAGGACTGGCCTCCAGCAACAACATAAAAGGCGGGCTACTTGCTCTTCTTCTTCATCATCTTCACCTTTTGCTTGGCGACTTCTTATGAGTTGAAATCCACTCAGGTCTGCCACCACCTGGGACCGTGACCCACTACCATGGTACCCGATACTGACTGACGCTTTCTACTGACGCTACTACTCGCTGTTGAGGCCACTACTCGCTGCTCGCTGTTTGCTGATTTACTAGGTCGCCCCCAGCCACCAAAAACTTCGAAGGATTGGCGGCTGAGTCGACTGCTCGCTGGACTTGACTCGTGTTCTGTCACGCTGCAACCAGTAACACTCCATGACCATCCCGTAGGCGGGGGAGATAGTGCACCTTCATACACATCCCCCATGGGCGGTAGGCAAGACATCCCGTCTGTTTGTATCCGCAACGACAGATTAGCCCTGGTCGGCCAACAAGCGTATGCTCGCGTATGCTTGGACCTCGCGCGAGAACTGATGGCACTCCATCGACTGTCACTGGCCGTGTTTGGACTGGTAAGGGGGGTAGATGGGTCTCCCTTCCCAGGATTTTTGTAGGTTCGGGGTCTGTTTTGTGGCGTGTATAGGCACTTGTATAGGTCTATAGCTAGAATATTCATATAATCGATTGACAAAGTTACTCAACACATAATTGTAGATTCTCTTAACTTTGCATTGCTTGTTATCTAATTTACATCAAGCCGGACTACTGGCTGCATCATACTCAACTGCGCTAACAGACTATGCTCTATATATCTTTGAAAAGAGGCAATTGCACTGATCATGATGTACATTGCTAGTATGCCTATTTAGTAGGGGTGTTGCCCATTTGAAAAAATTCATACAGCGTGCCTTTGTTCAACATTATCACTATCATCAATATTATTAGTTACAAAACCATTGAAACTTGTTCTTACATGAACCTTGAAGAAACAATCGATTAGGTTCATCGTGTAGTCGAGGCGGCTTTATGTGTAACATGGCGAAGTCTTACTGGAGCAGGAATCATTGTGTCACGTAGAGGTGGCTAACTGCATGGCGGCTGCTGCAAATCGATTCAGGCTAAGCTCTGCAGCTTATGGGTCCCTAATGGAATATTGAGGCAAGTAGCACTTTTTGACGGAGGTTTCCTTTTCGAATCCTTTTTGGTGTTTATAAGAATTGATTGGAGTCAAGTACGATTCCGCCAGCAAGTGCATCTGAACTGTCTTACTCTTTACGGAAAGCTAGATCCCATCGATATGAAACATTTTGCGCCCTTGATTTTACGAGATTCGGATGATGTCGTGAATCGGGACAGCCGCTATTGTACCCATTTTTGATCCTCCGCAGATTTAGGTTGGTCTCAGAAAGCACAATGGTGCCTAGATTTATGAATACATCTAATTGAGTACATCCGGTGACAAGATTGGGAACGATTAAATATGGTGCATGTCTACGCCCACGCCTATTATCCTCGTAATTATCCAGGACGTTTTAGGTTCGATGGATTTTGGGTTGGTGTTCGTGAATAGTGACCTAAAAAACGTTATTGAAACTGATCAAAAGTGGATCTAGGGGTATTCTGCTTCCCCAAAAAGGATATATGGGTTTCCCTAACGGTTATATTTGCGCTTACCAAACCCAAATCAAAGACTAATGACACCTCTGTGTTTCTGAGTCACCACAAAATCGATAATTGCGGTGACGTTTGCAAGCTCAGCTAGACTGTATGATTACTTGGGGCTTAAATGAAGGTAATAGAGCCTCCACTTCATTTCAAGATCGACAGATTTAGTTCATACTTCTGGGTATGATCTGGAACACAGCAACAGCTGGTAGTTCACCATGCGAGTCGTTCAAATGACGATTCCCCTTGCGGAAGTTTGATTAACTGCAGGGATATCCGCGTAAATGGTCTCGAGGTGGCAGCGGGCGCCGGTTTGCCAAATCAGTACTACTAAGTGTTCGGATCGGTAGTGGGTCGTGCCCTAGCACAAGTTTTCACCAAAGGCCAGTTCCCATGGGGTTACGCGATAGGCGGCCACATCGCGCGCCGCACGATCTTCCAAGAACGATTAACCGTCCACCTCTCGACATGCTTGCTCGGGTTGGATTGCGCCGGAGCATAGCCCGACCCTATCAGTTGTCGTGGCTTCGTTACCAGTCTAACCAGCCTAACACGCCACTGGACTATACCCCGAAAAAGAACTTGCCCACACCAGGAGAATGGAACCAGCTTAAACAGCACATCCCGGGGGAGACGGTGCAGACCAATACGCTCAAGGATAGAGTGCCGATGTTCCCTCTTGGTAAAGAAAACGTTCCCACCCTCATTCCTCGTCCAGGAGTGCCTCGAGTTGGACCTCAATATACTTTCCGCCAGGTGGTCGATATCTTGAAAAATAAGAAACAGCCGGAACTTATCTACGAAAGTGAGCCTCACCGTCTTTATTTCCTTACCTGTTTCTGTTGCGCTTTGGTATTTGCTGTCTACGCCTGTGTATTGCTAGAGTACGCTTGGTTCCAAGCCAATAAGGACTACGAAGAAAATACCACTGAAAAGAACGAAGTATTGCGCAAACGGGAATGGTTGTTCAGCTTGATGAAGAATGCTTCTTTCGGTATCATTATGGCCGTGGCCGCGTTCGCCGTCGCTAAGTTCCCTACGCGGTTGATCCGTCGTATGTGGTACTTACCTGCGGGTAAGGCCACCAATGCTGCCAAAGGTGTTTCCAGTACTGGCGCTGCAACCACTCCTGAATTTGTCCAGTTTACCGCATATCCGTTATTCCCCGGTCAAGCTACTCCCGTGATCACGGTGCCTTTGGAAAACCTTACTCGTCGTCACACCGCGAGAGTCTGGACCGGTAAAGGGTTTTACGGTACTGCTGACAACTCGTTCTTTTTCTTTGTACTTAAGGAGACTGGTGAACACAAGCGTAATTGGATTGTTGACCGTAAAGGATTCTTCTGGTCCGACGGCAGAGTGTTCGACTACTTGTTTGGCAAGGAGCTGTTAGCTGCTGCTGAAGCCGGGATCCCTTACGACGAGCAAGTGGGGATCATCAACCGCGAGGTGGCGAAGAAGAAGAAGCAACTCCGCAAAGAGCACGGCCCGTTGTGGAGACTTAAAATGGGGGCTAACGAAGCTAAGGCCGACTTGGACAAAGCTGGCTCGTACGTGCAAGGTTTGCGCAAGCCTGACCAAAAGCGTTTAGGCAAGGGCAAATCGTGAGTTGGATCTTGTATATAGTTTATCGAGAAATGCATCGTTTTTCATCTGTACGTGTGATTTAAGCTTTAGTGGCAGTGCGAGCCCGTTTCGTTGATGGCATCTACCGTGTACTCTCATCATCGAATGTTCGCGAAGTAGAGATGACGTCATTGACAGTTTATCAAAACATCCCCTAATTTTTTTTTCTCTCTCGGAGTCGGGGCTGGTTAGATACAGGCCTACATTATCCAGGGGGCACTACTCGATACTTTACGTAGTCTCCTCACCATAACTACTCTACGGAATATCGCCAATTACCCTCGGCGACAATTTCATCGCGTCCGCCACTATATCTCGGTATCGGTTTTCTCCATTCTCGTCGAAAAATTTCACTCACCCCCACTGTTTTTCTTCCCCTCAATTTTTCTCTAAGTTGCTGCATATTGTGTATTTGCCACCGCGCAAAAATTTCACCACTTTACCAGCGACTGGTAGTTGACCCTGACCCTTTCAACTGCTGCAAACATGGCCGTTACGTTGCGTTCGGGACATGCCACGGGGACGAAGGTGCCGCGGAGCCCGCACAAGCGCCGGCGTGGTCTGCGTCTCGCGGCTCGCGAACCGCCGGCACCCCAGCAGCTCCCGCTGCCTAAGCCCGAGCACCTGGACGACGAGGATGACGATATCATTGAGATTAAGTGTCCCACGGACGAGGCTCTTAGCACCAACCCCGACTACATCGCGCTCACGCTGGCGCGGCGGGTGTTGGAGGGGACGTGCCACGACTTGCGACGCCAGATGGTGACGCTCAGCGAGTGGCTGGCGAGGGTGGCGCGGGCACAACTGAAGCGTGAGGTGCTAGCGGTGTACCGGGAAGTGTTGTCGCGGGCGCCGACACCGGCACTGGTGATGACCCTGCCAACAGTACACTGGGACCGCTACAGCGCCGCGCTTGGCGCCCGCGTGGGTGCTGGCGCCTTCGATCCCTCGGAACCCCTGGTGGAGTTCAAGCAGATGCAGATGTTCAAGCGGTGAAAAGTGATTCCGGCAGGTCCCGGGGGCAGCTATCTGTAAATAGACCGACAAACGCTGACAACATCGAAACATCTGGCACCCTCACCGTCCAATACTTGAGGTAAAAAGGGGTGCAACTGAGTACTTGTGGAGGAAATATATATGTCCCTGTATTTTACACAGGGCCCTCGAGCACTAGTGGTTATCGTGGTTACCACATTTTGATGCGAATAACTGGTATATAGTGAGAACGACAATAAATATCAAAACCATCACATCTTGTACAAATACAAACATACGAAGATCCTAGACTTTACCTGGCGAATGTAACGTTACTGTGGTGCCATGCGCTATCAGCTATACGCGCGACGTACAAGGACGAGGCATCAGCGCTACCAGCAGACACTACAAGCATTAATCTGTCAGAGTAAATTTGTGATGCTTTAATAATAGTGTCTTACATCCTGAATGGCATATCTTCGACACCGCGTCTACTTCGAGCTTTCGGTTCATCCGGAGCAGACCAAAAATCAGGCAAGACTGGCAGCACGGCTTCAGCATATGGACTCATGTGCCAAACGCATGGTCTGTGCAATGCTGTAGGGAGTGTCCGGACAGTGGCTTACGTCACACGCATTTCTGTCACCGCCTTTTCGATTATCGCAGAAACAGGAACCAGCAGAGCCCGAATCATCGCAAACGGTTAGTGTGTTAATTCCCTCTCGGTTCACGAACCTTGAATCTTAATTCCGCTATGAGCAGAACGTCAAAAATAAAAAGAAAAACCTAAAAAACTTCTAGCCTAGAGAGTTATGTTTTTTAGCCTCGGTTGAAGCCATCGCTATTCGGCAATAATCGGAATTTTATATGAGCAAATCGGCACTCCTTCATCCCTTCATCACACCTAATCTAATGTTGTTTCTACACTATATAATTCTGTTTGCTTTTGGATAAGCTGATTTGCTATCAACACTTGTGATAAGGTCCCTCGTCAACTAAATTGAACAGCTTGAGCTGTCTCTAGTTGGGTAGCATGCTTGAGCCGCAGACACTGGTAATCTGTCGTCAACCTATGGTATTGTGTATAATATCCAATCGTGTCCGAAACTGAGAGAAAGACTTCAGAATTTGGCCATATACCAAAACGCGCTATCGATAAAAATCATTCGTCGTAATCATTACTACTTAGTCCTCATCCAGGTCGACCTGGAACTTGTCGCTGTTAGCGTCCAAAGGTTGCCACTTCTTGTCGCTGGCGGCAGAAGCAGCGGCGGCACCAGCAGCAGTGGTGGGCTGCTTTTCCATCTTGTCGTTGTTGTTCATGCGAATCAGCGGCAAATGCAGCTCGGTGATCTGCACGGGGTCCTCGTCAAACTGGACCCGGTTGCCTTCGCGCTTCAGCGTGCGGGTGTCGTTGCCCGCCGAACCACCCAACGCCCCGAACAACGGGCCCTGGTATTGTTGGCGGGAGTCCTGGGGCTCGTCGCCCTGGCTGAATTCCTCGAGCTTCTTGGAGAGACCCAGCATCCACCCGTTGATGGTGGTCTTGGCTTCTTCGAACCCTTGGGTGAAAGTTTCCTTTATTTGCTCAATCTCGTCGTACGAGTCGTCGTCGTAGTCGTACTGTTCACGAGGAGGACGTTGACGAGGTTGCTGTTGCTGCAGGCGTCTCGACCGGCGTTGTTGGCGAGCTTGGCGGTCCTCTTCCTCGAATTGCTGTTGCAACTTACGAGCCAAGATCTCGTCTTCAGTCAACAGCCCGTACTTGGCCCCTGCCGCCAACAGCCCTGCAGGCACCTGGCCCGCAGCCTTGCCCGCCAGCGCAGCAGGCGCCGGTACGGGGATGTCGGCCGGATTCAGAGGATCAAAGTAGTAGAGAAGCGCCGAGAACGCGTGTTCCAAGTTACCCTGCGACGCCACAAGCACCGTGGTCACCAACTTAGAGTCGGCGTCCGGGAACGCCAGCAGGAGCTCGTCCTTAAGTTGCTGAACGGGGTCAACGGGACGCTTAGGCATTGGGGGCGCGTCTTCTTCGTTCAGTTCGGCCTTTTGCGACTTTTCAGAAGCAGCGGCGGCTTCTTCCTTTTCCTTAGGCTTGGATTCCCTGTCAGAAGCTTTGTCAGAAGCCTTGACTTCCTCAGTCGTCGCCTTTTCAGCGGCGGCCTTAGTGTCAGTTTCCTTGTCCTTAGTGACAACTGTGGCCTTGTCCTTGTCAGCATTGTCGTCCTTAGCCTTCTCCTTGTCATCCTTAAAGTCATTGGCCTTGTCCGTAGCCTTGTCCGCCAGTTTGTCGGCGGCGGCGGTTTTGGATTCAGGGGCTTTAGCCTTCGATTCGGCCTTGACCGTATCCTCGTCCGAGTCCAACTTCACTTCTTCGGTGGCCTCGGGGTCAATCGACTCCAAAGGCTCGCCCTTCACTGGGGTTAAGTCGTTCTTCTTGACCATGATTGTAAATTAGAGGTCTGATTAACTCGAGGGGGCGCTAAGGTGGCAAGTGCGGCGGCTGGTCCGAGTTTGAGTTATATGCAGGCAAAGTACATGGAAGTCAAACAACACTGGAGTAAGAATTACAATAACCATTTCTCGCGTGATCCCTTTTTGTGTAGTATCAAATATTATGTGTAACGGGGGCTAAATTTACATTAATTGGTTGATAAAAAAAAAAAACTCATATTTCAGATCTAAATGGACACTCATACTTCATGTCTTCACAAGTAGAAGGTAAACTCTAAAAGATGTATACTCGTATACCTTTCAATCACATTTCATTCGAAAACAACAAGCCTAATTCTTCTGAAAGTACCTATTTTTGTAGTGTTAGGGCTGTGGGTATAGCCTTGGCTGCTTCACTATGTGCAGGCGCCATCTATATAAGGTCGCGGCCAAGTTACCGTTCACTAGGAATTTTATATCACTCCGAAGATTAGCTAGGGCTGGTTGTCACTAGACCATTGACTTCACAGTGTGGACAGCGGAGGTAAATTGACGCGGGGCCCACCTTCTTCTAAGGACCAGTCTCATGGCTGTGCCTGTACGTGGAAACCGCTACATCTGTAATCTTAGACTTTTTCATTCAAGCCGTGATGGCTTCCTCAGTAGAAGACTTTTTCGCTTGTTGAGTACGCGACCTTCCCACACACGTTCGTATGTTGCAATGAATCGCGGGGAATCTCAGCTGATATTTGAAACTACTGAAATACATGAAATCTCTGTCCCGGTAGTTTTTCGTTACTATGTAGTCTATGCACTCTATGCTTCACCGTCCTTCATCTTTTGCTTGAGGTCAGCCAACTCCTTCTTTCTTCTAATCAAGTCCAAGTTTTCACACTCTTCCCACGAGTGCTTGTCGCCGTGGCAGTCGACACTGGAGTTCGCCAGTTGTCTGATCAAACAGGTGTTGTACAAGGCGAAGTAGGCGGCGCATCTGTCTCTCCACTTCAAGGGCACCTTGTACTTTTGCAAGTCCTCATCCGAAACTGGTTGTTAGTAGGCTGGGGAAAATTAAAACTGGAACGCCACCACCAATGGTCGAACCCATTGAACACGATATCAATGATGGTAGCAGCAGCAATCGTCGTCACTTACGAAGAGGGGGGAATTCAGTCACCGACATGTTTGGAGGAATTAGTGTCCAATGAGATTCGCACTTTTTCTCATCCCGACGGTGGCCACACCGCGCTACCATGTATACTCTACGACCGAGACCGTCTACTTTAGTCTTCAGCGTTGCCAACGTCAATAATTAGATTATTGTTGGGAAAGATCAATGCTATTATCAAAATGTTTCGAGTAGTGTTCCATCCTGAAACATTCGTGTACGCGTGTCTACACTGAGACTAGTCAATTGTGTATATTTTTCTTTTACAATGCCGTAATGCGATTAGTGGTGGTCCTTAAGGCCCAATCTTTCCTTAAGGGCAAAGTACTGGCACTCGTAGAAAGCGTCCTTGGGCTTGTTGCAGAAGGAGGTGCCCTTGTCCAAGCACTTGTAGTAGTCGATCAAGAGGGCGGCGCACCGGTCGCGGTTGTAGAAGGGAACCTTGTGAAGGTCCAAGTCCTCCTGGGACGCTAGACGGGTTAGTATGCGGGTTCAACAGGTTTTAACAGACGTATAACAGCAGTCTGGGGAGCGGTACATACGGATCGCAGGGTATTGGTACGCCATGGTGTTGGTTATGGTCAAATGCGGATTGGATGAAAAACCGATGAAGGCCTTGTCCTGCAGACAACTTTCCCAAGAGTGCGACCCACTAGCAGTGGAGAACCTTTCCCCCAGAATATAAGAAAGATGACGGCAATAACTACTCCAGTTTAGAAAGTAACGCTAGTCGTCGGGTTTTGGTCGTATTAGGCTCAGTCCACAAAACCACACTATGTAAAAAAAATTGGGTTCGGATTGAGCAATTTTCGTTTGTTCTCTCACATTTGTTAAAATATCGCCAATTTCAACGATATACTTCGTTAATTGGGACAGTGGCAGAGTACAATGTCCGCCAACACGAAACTACAACTAATTTGTTAGCAGTCATAGAATGAGATGTTGGATGGTATCTACTATAATACTGTGACCACATAGCAGACACTAGCGGCCCCTCAGACGTCTTTTTTGTCTTAAACAATGTCTCATTCCGCTGTGGTCTAACTAAGCCAGCGATCGTCCTAAAGCAGCCACGAAGCCCTGAGCCTCTGAGTATCCTCTCGAGCCCAGCGTGACAGCGAAAACGCCCCCCCGGCTAATTATTCTCTTCAGGGGGAACAACCGTCACCAAGCCGAGCCAGTGACGTTGGCTAAGCCCCGCGAGCGTTTGCTTCGTGGTTACACGCCCCGGGGGGTTAATTACACCACCTTTAGACGAGTATTGAGGGTAACACCATCTGTCGTCTCAAGGTGGCCAATCTTCATCTCGCATGATCTGAGGGAAGAGGGGCTGGCCACAACTCAATCAACGGGCGAGCATTCGTCAAAAGTTGCAGTCACCCCAAAATAGCGGCGACAGGCACCGGCCCACAGGCAGATAACCTTTTACTGTGTTGCCAACGGGCAAAGAAAATCATGGAATTATTTTCTTGTCCCAATTAACATGGGCGCGGGCGCCACAACCACCCGCATGTGACGAGAGAAAAGTTAATCTTGTCGACAAATCACGGTTTAGCCGCCGCGAGCGAGATACTTCTGTGTCCCCAACTAATGAGGCGATCACCCATCCCCTAGAGGAATGTGTTTCCGCGGTGTTGCAGCGATAGTATCAGCTGGTAGACGAGACGTCTCAGGGAGGCACCCGAAATGCCCCCTACGTTAGCCTGAAACCAGATGCCACTGACACTGCACTGGAACAGGGTCGTGTAGACGCACCGACGCCTTCGAACCCCGCCCCAGTGCCTGTGGCATCTGGCTAGCGATCGCCCCCCGACATTTACGAATGTAGACACCCCTCCTTGCCATTCGGTGGTGGTGACCACTTTTTGGGTCACAATCGCGGAATCGGATCAATCTTAGGGAAAAGGAGACATGGTGGGGGGGCCATGGCTAATCTCAGGTGCCGTGGGCTCCCCGGAAATAGGACGCCGAGCGTCGGTTGCGAGCGTCGTGCAGCCGGCAGCCTCAGCCCGAAAGAAACAATAGCCAGGAAGGCGATACCCGGGCGACCGGGCCGGGCTGCGTCTGTGGAGGCTTGTGTTTGTGGAGGCAGCTCGAGAAAAAGTGAAACGGCAACTGGCCGTCCGCAGGTCATTTTTTCTGATGAAATTTGGCCAGCACATCACCCGCGGTGGTAATTCCATCTATCGCCGAACGCCGAGTGTGAGTCTCGGCCGGGCGGTCACCTAAGCGAGTCTCGGCCTTTGTTTGTGCTTGACGTGATGGGGGGCGGTTATACGTCCCATTGAGGGTCGTGCCCCAACAGACACTAGCATTGGCGTATCAGCAGAAAAAGCAGGGTAAATAGGCAGGTGGAGAGGCAGGCATGGCAGAGGCATTGCCAGGCATGGCGGGTGAGCAAGGCATATATGGGTACGGATTCCTTGGCTGACGCGATGGCTCCTCCGCCTGTCCCCGATAAGCCTAGCATGGCATGAAAGCAATGGCGATGAGATATGTATACTGAGTAAGATATTGCTAAACCAGTGTTGCCAGAAAATCTCTTGCCACTGGTGGGGGGTTGGCTATGGACAATCTATAATACAAAAAATCGCATAGAATTCGCCACGAGCAGATGAAGTGGCCAATTGAGTCACCAGAGTCACCTTATAAGCGAATACCAATGACCCACTGATCTCCCTAGTAAAGAGTTAGAGTGATGTCTGATCTTGATCGAGGGGCAGATTGATGGAAAGGCTAAGCTGTCGATCAAATTTTTTTCTTGGGGAAGGCGGGGGTTGGTGGAGGGGCGTGGAGGCGGGGCCTTTCTCACCACACTGGGCTCACTTTACTTATTGTCACCGATTTCATCGGTGAGCCTTACTTGGGAAGCCCTGGCCTTGTCATCTCCGGCTAATTACCGCACCGAGAAGATATTTTCGTCGGCTCAGTGCACCTAAAGCAGATGTCCCCGCTCGGGGCTAAGAAAAATAAAATCGCCGCTCATAATAATTTTTCCTCGTTCGTATTGAGGCAAATCCCCGACAGCACTCTTTTGTGCGCCAGAAATAATATTTTTCCTCCGCCTACCACTATCAATATTTTTTCCTTCGCCGCCAAAGCGCAAAAAAAAAAAATTATTATGCTCCTCCCAAAAATTCTGTCCCACACACCGGAAAGCCTCTGTCTCCCAGAGCACGCCACTGCCGCCGCCGCCCCAGGTATAAAACCAGCGGCGCCGCCCACCACTTGACTCAAAGAAAAATTTTCCGCCTCCACCCGGTTATCTGTTTTTATATATCCACCCCCACTTTGGCTGACCCCCCATCACCATCTCGTTGACGACGCTGCCTGATTGTTAGAGAAACTACGTGTGAATACCCCATCTATACCCCATTTCCTAAAGACCTTTTAATTGCATTTGACCATGTCCAACACGAGAATAAAGCTTCCTTCGATCAAGGAGCTCACCAAGCTGCCGTTGCTGGAGCAAGCCAGTAATAACAATACCAGCGGCGTTAAGCCGCTGACGGAACCCGTGCCGGCGCCCGCGGCTGTCGGCAGCGCTTCCGGCGCCGCCGCCGCTGCCGCCACTCCTAGCCTCACTACTGACGGCCTGCCCACCCCGGCGCCGCGGTTGCCCCTGATCCGCTACCACGCCAACTACATCCACCAGGCGCCCCAAATGGCGCCGGCGATGTCCCCCGAGACCAGAGCTGCCCCTGACCTGGTGGCGCCACTGGCGGCTCCCCCCGCCCCCGCTGCCGCCGCCGCGCCGCACGCCGCGGCGCCGCTGTTGGCGCCCATTTCTTCGTCGCCACTGGCTTTTGGTGGTTACATGACTGCTCCTGTCGCCGCCCCCACCGCCGACGGCGCTGCCCCTTACCCGCCGATGTACCTGGCGCCGATATACTACCACCCCGTCTACTACCACCCGGGCGCCCAGCTGGCGCACCAGTTGCCGCTACCGCCGGCGCTTGCGGCCCCCGGCGCCGTGGGCGCCCCTGGCCTTGGCGTGGCGCCTCCCCCTCAGTACGCCGTCCCCGAAGTGATCAACCGTCCCACCAATAAGTGCCACCGTTGTGGTACTACTGAGACCCCCGAATGGCGTCGGGGCCCCAACGGGGTGCGCACCCTCTGCAACGCCTGTGGCCTCTTCCACGCCAAGTTGGTCAAGCGCAAGGGCGCTGCGCTCGCCGCCGAAGAAGTATTGAACAACAAGGTCACCAAGGGCAAGAACGGCCGCCGCATCAGCATCAAGAAACACATGCTCCTGGAGCTGGCCGCCGCCGCCGCCGCCGCCGGTGTCCACCACCACCCGATGGCGCCCCACATGGCCCCCGTCCCCATGGGAGCGCCGCCGGTGTACTCGCACCAGCCTCCCCCTGGCGCCCCTTACTACGCCGCCGCGCCCTACCCCATCCCGAACTAATGCTCACGACCTTTATGTAATTATAACGACCCCATCCTTGACAAAAACTGTAGAAAACAATAGAAATCTATGAGTGGAAAACCTTGTCATATGTTTCATTTTGATCGTCTTGGTAATCGGTGTTTTCTTTTCCAGCGGACCATCTCCAGCTAATCTCGATATCTGGCCATCCATCGTAATTACGCAACCAGCGATCAGACCAATAGTGAACATCTATACTATGGATGGAGGTATAGATAGAGAAAGTAGACAGTCATGTATTTAACGCTACTAGGGCTAAACTCTGGGTGGAATTAATTACATCATGGGCTCTCTATATGCGTATAATGCTATACGTAATGAGAGTCGGAAATTCGTCGTGGTTACGCGGCTGCTTGCTTCCACCACCTAAGCGGTGATCGCTCGCGGCGCCTGCCGTTGCTAGGCTAGATGCTCGTCGCAGGCTAGATCTCGTCGCAGGCGCCAGTGGCGCCATTGTCGCCGCCAGCCGAGAAGCTCCACCCGCCTCCCCGTAAACTCAGAAAAAAAAAAACGTCAACAATTGCCGAATCACTCGCGCTGTCTCAAATGACTACTGGCCAGCCAGCAACCTAGTTACGCCACCACTTAGCGTGATCAGCTTTCTAAGAATACTGAGTACTGATTGATTGAACCCTTTCGAGTCACGATCGTATCTCGTAAGAGCAATCTACGAGGTATGTACCCGGAGGCATTGGCCGATGGTCACCAGCAATGTATCGCGTTACTACCGTAGCCATTACGCATCTCCCAGATCGGTCTGCTGGGCAGAGAATAGAGTTTAAGCAAGATTATGGGCTGGGCCACCTAAGCCAGAGCAGCTGATATTGTTCGTGAGCGGACGAAGTCACGTGGACTTTATTAGGCAGGTTTTATGGTTAGGCGGCCCGGATACTTTCTTCCCAAAGAGAAAAAAAAAAAGAAAATTGTCGTTTTCATCTGCCGACACTACAGCGCTGTCACCACGACCACCACTCAGCCTCTCGCGATAACCACTACCTCCCTAGACGACCAATGGCTAACTAATCAAATCCCAAGTATCCCATATATCCCCCACTTTTGTCTTTGGGCCCATCTTGTCCTATCTGTTGGGAGCCGCCTATCCCCGGCTTCGCTGTGGAGAAATTTCCTTGCCGCACTGCCCCTGCAACCGCGGGAGAGCTTCCTGTCGCTAACCCAATCGAGATCTCGCGACTGCTGGAATGGGAAAGGGGGTCCGCACACACACCCATGCAGCCACCGATGCGTGGAACCCCAGGGTCATCTCCGGTTAAATCCGTACGACATTGACGCCACCGCCGCCCTTTACCTCCGCCGACACTTACGATTGGTTAAGGGGTGCCCGGGGCGTCCCTGACACTAGTCTGTGGTCTTCTGGCCTCATCGGGAGGGTCAGAGCACTGGCCAAGCCCAGAGGAACCGTCGCCAACCTAATCCACCCAGCGGCTAACCTTATCTCGGCCACGGTTGCTTCGTTCCACCGACGCCCCAAATTGCTGCCGCCGCCCGCACCTCGGAAGTCCATGCGTCGACACACCCTGCACGTAGCCGCCCCAGAAACGTAAAATTAGACCCGATGAGTTACACGTCGCCTGTGATCGGCGCGCTGACCAGCATGCCCCCGCCGGGCGCCAAGACCCACCCTACGCTCTAATTGCTTTATCACCAACGGCGCCCTTCCCGTTTCACATACACCACTAACTCTAAAGGTCTTGCCCCGCTTTTCGTACGTCGGGGCAGCCCGCAGCGGGCCTGACAGGCGCTCGTCTCGCCCCCCATACTGGATGCGGGTGGCGCGTTGTATGATTGGCGTCGGAATGACGCTCGCTCCAATTACGTCATCGCACTTAGCTTCCCCCCGATCACCTCGATCTATCCTCAGATCCCTTCCGATGAAAATGTCGCGACCGCCAGCCGGTAGCCATGTACGACAAGATCACCCCTACAAGCTTAGGCAGTGTACTCATCAGTGTAAACTTGTAAGACTACCCCTGTGTTGTGGGGCGTTTGGCGGCGGCTTCTAGAACCCCAGTGTCACGCAGCCGAAACCCGACCCGCCTACATCCTGCCCGAAGAAAATCGCTTCATCCCCCCAAAAATTGTCACACGCCACCGCCCCAAAAATATTCAGCCGCTTTTTTATTTGCTCGTATGCTAAGCGACATGACACCCGGGGAATGTTCAAAGCGAAAACCGACAACCACGGGCCCACTGAAATTTGCTAAGTAAATAACGGTAAGGCCCTCGCGACGACTGAGGCTGCCACTGGCGATCTGAGGTTACCGCCTGCCGATCCCAGCTTTTTGTGACCCATCATCATCGCCCCCTCCCTCGTCACTCCCATCGATCGGCGATACACAGCATGGCCGCGCCCCCTTTGTAAAAACCCGGCCAAGACGGAAAGACGGACAGGTGTGTGCTTCCACCGTAATAGTGAGTACAAACTGTGCATTTTTCTTGGGTACTTGATTTCGGTAAAATTTGCCGTAGACGTAGACGTGTAGCATGTACACGGCCACTGATCTCCGATCGGAAACTGCTGATATTACATCTGACGGTTGTCTTTGTGGTTGCTTGGTGGATCCCGCAATAACAGCCTCCATCTCATCTCGCAATAACTAATCGTCTGCGTGGTGTCAAATGTCAGTGACAAAGCTATTGTTATTCCGATGGGCCAAGACTCTGTCAGCTTTGTACCACGCGTAGTTATTGCGAGTGTCTGATTGTCTATGAGAAAGTGAGGTTTTGTCTAGTAGTCTTTATTGTTTATTGCTTTGTCTATCGTGTCTATAGTTACACCCCCTCGGCTTTGAGGGCGTGTTCGACGGCTTCCAACACGTTATCGTGGATGCCGTCAGAGGGTAACGCCTCGGCGTACTCGGCGTCTTCATCCCTAAACACACCGGTACGCACAAGCATCAGCCGCCACCCGTAGCTATTAGCTCCTAAAATGTCACTGGCAGGGTTGTCGCCCACCATGTACACATTTTGGTCCCCTTTGACTCCCAAGGAAGCCAATACTTTCAGCGCGTAGTCATACTGTACTTTGAACGGCTTCCCCAAGATCGTCAGCTTTAACCCTTGTTGATTAAGCTCATAGTATACGCGTTCCACACACATGCGGAGCATCCCCTGGCCGAACCGCGGCACGGGGTAGTCGTTGGCCCACACAAAGTCGTTATTGGAGAAAATGATCGGCACTGTCGGTTCCCCGCTCCGCTGACGTCTGACAGTGCCAATGACACCCCCCTCCGAATTGAGCACGTCCTGGATAATCTGCATGTCGGTATTCATGTCTCTGGGGTCGTTAAACACCATTACTGCCAGAAATGGCCGTTTGATCAGCGACGAAATGTCCCTCAGCCACGCCTGTAAATTGTGAGGTGAAATGGCATGGTGAGGCAGAATCAGCGGCTTCAAACTGACGAGATCAACGGGCAAAACCACGTCTTTAAACCCATAACTCTCCGCACACTCGCGAGCACTATCCCCGTGGCCCCCGACGACAAGCACTCTTTCCAGCTTGTCAAACGGCATCCCTTTAATCGGAGTATGCGATTGGACCAATTGCGACTCGTGGATGGCCACTCCGATTTCGTCGGCGACCATTTTCGTTCGTTTGGCTTCCGTCATCCCCCCACCATTAGTCATCAAAATAAACGGCACTTGGTGAGATTGAAGGAGCAGGAGGGCTGCTTTCGCCTGGGGAATCGCTTTGCGACCACGAAGAAGCACGCCATCGATGTCAAAGGCAAACGCCGGGAGCTTAGGCATTTGGCGGGGCGGTCTGGTTACTTAGCGGTATGCGCGCGCGCATGTCGACCGACGGCGCTACCATTTCACGATATTAGATTAGCTAATCGGAAAAAAAGTCCCAGATTAGTTCCAAGTGTGTCTCGGTGCATGTCTCCGCCAACGTCGTTTTATTTTCCCAAGCTAGAAAACCCCCCCTCCCTGTAGTCAAGAGCAATGGTCTGCCGATGCTCGTCAACGGTGTCGACGAGGTTTCTTGTGGCCCAGGTTTCAGACGACCTCCCCTCGTCCATGTGGTGGCGCTAATATCAGTGTCTTAAATGAATCAAGATCCATGATCATGGGATAACCAAATTAGTCTCAGTCACGGGCGGGTGCTCCCCCCACCCGAGAAAAGCGCAATTCAGGCGGGCTGGCTTTGGGCCACCGGATGACGTGGAATAGGAACCGGATCGGCTCGGCCGAGCGTTGGGGGAACCCTATTGTTAGACATTGTTGGCAGCGAGGCTTTGGCCACTGGTGCCCGAATCGGGTTTTTGTGGAGTGACGTGTAGGATAGGCAGCCGCGCTCACCAGTGGCAACTTAGAAAGGTGGACATAATCTATTTTTAATGTTTGCCGCGGGACAGAGTGACACATTGACGATGGGGATACGAGGGGCGATATTGTGGGAGCGTGTCTTTCGCTGTAGAGGCAGTGACGGCAGCTTTTTCCAAACTGTAATCGCCATATACGAGCCCATTGTGGGTGCGAATGGCCAGAAGAAGCGAACAATATTTCAATGGGCCACAAAATTAGGTTAACCGAAAAGGCTAGCCCTCAGCGATCAATAAAGTCGGAAAGGGAGTGTCTTAGATTTGCTCAAATCTGTCATTCCAATCTCGATTTAACCAGTGGAGAGGATCTTTCCATTGTAGGAGATCTCCCAAAATACAAAATGATAAGATCGGGGAGGAGAAGAGAGAAAAGACTAATGGAACTTGGAAATTGGAGAATGTGTTGAAATTACCACGACAACACAACTCCTAAAAACATTGTTAGTGGACTCAGTATTGTCGAGATCATTAGCATTGACAATTTGTTTATTGGCTGCGTCGAGATCTCTTTTCCACTGCGTGCTCATAGTGAGGAAGCTTCCACGTGGATCTACTCTCAGCATATGCCACTACTGACAAAAACTTTTTCATTGTAAAATTCTATCATGTCATCCTAGCCATATCACGTGAATCCTTGGATCACACTTAATCCTAAATCTGCTGGCAAATATGTGGTGCCACTCGGCCTGTACCCCTTAGATGTGAGCACACAGGTGCACGATGCTCGTCCACCGCTGGATCGATGCACCGGAGAAGTCCGACTCAGTACGCCTCTACGAGCACTCAGCCCAAAACCACAACCACAAACTTGAAACTATTTCAACCCTAAGTCATCATTATTCACTCCAAGTAGCTATTTCACTTCCCTTGCCCTTAGAGCCTTTTAATTCCTGCCACACCGGTACCGGGCCTCATCGCGGGCGAAATGACTCACAGCGGAGGTTTTTCCGTTCTCCGAGCGCACTGGAATTTTTCATTCTTCACCACCACTAACCACCACCGCCAGTGATGTCCACTCCCCAGCCCGAACAGTACGACGACACCCGTATCCTTGGCTACGACCCCTTGGTGCCCCCCGCCTTGCTCAAGCTGGAAATCAAAGCCACGCGTGCCTCGCTCGACACCGTCATCAAAGGTAGAGTCGAGCTGGCGGCGATCTTGAAGGGCGAAGACGACCGTGCCTTGGTCATCGTCGGTCCTTGCTCGATCCACGACCCCGAGTTGGCCCACGACTACGCCCAGAGACTCAAGCAATTGTCCGAAGAATTGAAGGACGACTTGGTCATCGTCATGAGAGCCTATCTCGAAAAGCCCCGGACCACCGTGGGGTGGAAGGGTTTGGTCAACGACCCCAACGTCGACAACACCTTCGACATCAACAAGGGGTTGCGCATCTCGCGTCAATTGTACGCCGACTTGACCGCCCAGGGTTTACCTATTGGTTCGGAAATGTTGGACACCATTTCCCCTCAATACTTCTCGGACTTCCTCTCGTTCGGGGCCATTGGTGCTCGTACCACTGAGCTGCAGTTGCACCGTGAGTTGGCCTCGGGGTTGTCGTTCCCCATCGGGTTTAAGAACGGTACCGACGGTGGCCTCAGAGTCGCTCTCGACGCCGTCCAGGCGCTGACTAAGGGCCACCACTTCATGGGGGTCACCAACACGGGGATGGCCGCCATCACCACCACCAAGGGTAACGACAACTGCTTCATCATCCTCAGAGGCGGCAAGAATAAGACCAACTACGACGCCGAGCTGGTCGCCGCCGCCAAGGCCGACATCGCCAAGCTGACTGACCCCCTGATCAAGTTGATGATCGACTGTCTGCACGACAACTCCGCCAAGGACTACCGCAACCAGCCCAAGGTGTTGCTGGCGGTCGCCGAGCAAATCGCCGCCGGTGAAAAGACCATCATCGGGGTGATGATCGAACTGAACATCAACGAAGGCAAGCAAGGCATGCCTCCTGCCGGCCAAGGTAAGGAAGCGTTGAAGTACGGGGTGCTGATCACCGACGGGTGCGTGTCGTGGGAGACCACCGTGTCGATGTTGAACGAGTTGGCCGCCGCCGTGAGACAAAGACGCCTGACTTAGACAAGGCTAATGACATACATAATGACTAGTGAATACATGTAGAGGACAAAGGATTGTAGTGGTGACCTACCGGGTTTGACGGTATACGAAGGAGTTTAACTTAGGTTGGTCAAATTGATAGTCAGTCGTTTAGTCATGAAGTCTTTGTATTGTGATGGCAACCACCACTGTAGTATAGAACATGTCTAATTTGTTATGAGATCGAGCTCACTTTGGCCTCCCGTGGCACCAGGGCAAGACGTCTCTCACTCGCTCCCGTTCACCTCTCTCCATTCGAAGAAACGCCTCCGTCAACTGAGGATTCAGTTTCGGGTACGGTACCACCTGGCCAAACGGATTGCGTTGTTTCTTTTTATCCGCTAGCGGACTCAACGCGCCGTACCAGTCCTTCTCAAACGGAACCACGGCGTTCTTCGCCTCCTGGGCTTGTAATACCGTAAAATACTCTTCAACATCAGCATCGGGACTCGGCAGATTACCGAAATACCTCACTTTACTCATATCCCACGCCAACGCTTGTTGCAAGTGGAGCTTCTCAAACCGGTACCGTTTAAACTCAAACCCCACCACCGTGATCCGAGACGGATAACGTCCCATCATCTCGTAGAAGCGACAAATACTGAACAACACGTTCTCAAACAGGTCACGGGCGTACTCCTCCACCAGCACCCGGCCCAAAATATCGTCCGTGAGCACCTCTCCTTCGTCACCCTTAATTGGTACCCTCTCTTGACTGATAAGTCTTCTAGCAAGCTTATAGTACAGCTCAGCCTCACTGACACGTCCGCATTCCCTCTTGGTTTGGCCGCCAGACATGATCACGATCAGTTGGGTGTCCTTATGAGCAATGGCAAGCGCCTGGCAGATGTGGTCGACGAAGCACAAGTGGTCGTGGCCCTCCACTTGAAACAGAGCTAGCGCCCACTCGCCAGCGTCAGCACCGTGGCTGGACTCGTCGAGCGGGTGCCAGATGCTGTGGCAAGGGACTATGATCACATGGTCGATCATAGCGCGCGGAGTGGGGAGCAAGATGATGAATGATATACGAGTAATTGCATCAGAAAAAGATCGATTATTACCAGAATTGAAAAAGCTTAGTAGGAGAGATTAAAGGAAAGTATAGTATGATACTATATTTCACGTTACAGACCACTTCACGCTTTGTAGATCTATATATATGAGGCTCTAATGAATCATTGAGTAAATGAGTTGACACAAGTGTCCATAATCTTTATATATCGTCAACGGCATGATCATGGCGAGGCTAAAAGCACTTGGTGCATGTAGTTGTAGCACCCCACCAACGCCTTCCAGTGGCACCAGGCAGCAATGACCACCATCACGTGGAAGATCTGGTGGGAGTGGCCCCAAATATCAAACTTACCCTTGACGTGGGGGTCGTCAGTGTGAGTGAACCGCTCGGGAATTCTACCGGCGTATAAGAGAGCACCGGCAATGTAGAATGCCCCTTCGAGCAAGAGCCACTTGATTTGCGCCCGCTCCCACGCCACCGAACCGCCGTACCAGTAGATGCCACACAAGATGGGAAGCACTCCAGAAAGGCCAAATATGATAAACATAAACAGGCGGAACGGACGGTACTTGGGGGTAGAGAATTCCGGGTGGAGGGTGAGATAAGTGCAAATCAGCCCAAACACCAAAAACACGAAATTGAACCCGTTTCTGACGGTGGGCTCGGGACGGTAACTGAAGTTCATGATCGATATAAGCAGACACGTGATCAAGATGACAATGCCGAAATAGTCGAGCTGGTTACCAAACTTCAGCACTTTGTGCGAGTGGGCTTTTAAGCAGTGGAATGTCAGCAGCATGAAAAGACACCCCCAGCATGCGGCCCCAAACATGAGGAAGGTGGCTTCTTCCCACCATCCCAGGTAGGTCGGATACCGCGGCAAACCCCACTTGAGGTAGGCACACACAGCTAAAAAAGCCGTCAGTCCCGGGATCAAATGGGAGTAGATATTGCCCGTTTCGTTATGAATGTAAAGCAACAGTTTGGCACACCCCCAGTAGGAGTTGGTCAGGGGCACGTAGCCACTTTTGATGTAGTGATTATCCTGTTGCCATGGCTCCAACTGGTGGAAGAAATGGAGGGTTCGTTTGTTGGTGGTAGCGGGTGTCTCGGTGTCCACCGTGGTCGTCGCCACCGGCACGGGCCTTCTCTGTCTTGCACTCATTATGGTAAATGATCTCACAAACAGTATTTTAGGGTTCGAAGAACAAAGGAAGCTCTGTCGTAATCACGATGGGCAAAGGCTGTGATCGTTTGGAAGATATATATGGCGTATGTGCGGCGTGCACATAACTCGCGTTGCGCCTCTGGGGCCCCCAACGGCTACTATCAAAAAGCATCACCCAACAAAAGAACTATACCGAGGTCTAACTCGTGAGAGGTGCAACCGAAAATTGTAAAAGAAATTGTAGAAATTCATTGTGGTTGTATTTGAGTGAATGGAAGTGTTTCAGAAATTTACGAGGTAATTTTTGGGTTTTGCTCTCCTTTCTTTTTCACATATTGCCGAGGGCTACAACGCGATGTTTGCTAACACAGACCATCTGACAATAGGGGTACGTAAATAGGAGCGTACCACATGTAAGCACACGATTAAAATATCAGGGTTGATTAAGACATGGTCATGTTTCGTTTGTATATTTGAGTGACCCTTTTGACAAGGCCATGATGAGATGAGTAGTATACTTAGCGTTATGAGAGGAATGACGGTTTGATGGCCAGGCAGATGCCCAGGTATTGGCGTACTTTCTCGCCAATGTCGATCAGATCAGCGGCATTCTTGCGTAGTTTCTTACCAAAGATGGCCCCGGTAAAGAATAACCGCCAGTGGTCGTCAGGACAAACGCTGCCGCAGCACCGTTCAAAGTACCACTTGTTGACTGGATTATTTTGCCGCAGTCTCCACAAGAGTTCCTCAGGGTGGGCCTGGACAATGATCTTAAAGATGATATCAGCTAAGCCAGGAAGCCCCTGGTTGCGTTTGGCAATGGCAAACTTATCAAGATAGGCGACCTTCTTGCCGCCTTGAGCAGGAGTTTCCCATGTTATGATGGCAAGCCCATCGTAGTCACCCACAATCACTAACGTAGCCACCAGGGAGTCGATACGGTTAAAGTAGTTGTCAATGTCAAGCGGTTTACCAAACAGATCTTGTAGAAGGTCGACCAATTTCTGCTTATCAACAAGACCTTTGGAAAAGAGCTCGTTCAATGTGAACTCACGACCAAGCACTGAGGCATCCCAGATTTCTACCAGGACCCCGCGTTTAAGGATACTGGTACTGATTTCAGGAGTACGAAGCGAGTTCGGCGGAAGCGACAGCGAGATCACCGCTCTATCGGTGAGCACGTTATACACGATGGGGTTCATAGTATCATCGTGGACCGCCATCACTTCGGGAGTGGTGATGATGCCGGTGGTGTCGCCGTTAGCCGCTTTGAGCAACTTGTTCATAGCCTCCAAGTTCCGCAAGTGGATGTCTCTAACTTTGGGCGATAAGTGGCCAATGTACAATTCTGATTGGATTTCAGTAAGCTCCTGGGTCAAGTTGATAAACACGTGACTCGTCTGGTTCCGTTCGATACTGGGGATACCACCCTGAGGGTCCAAAAACACGAGCTTTTCAATTGATAACAAGTCATTCATCGGCTTAAGCAATGAAATCATCAGCTGGAGTACGTCGACACACGACTCAATTTGCATTTGCGATGTCAGCTTATTGTAAAAGATTGGCAGCACGATGGGGATAGCATTTTGGTATAAGGGTACCAAAAGCAGCAGCATCAGTTCATCATCGGGACACTGGATCCACCGACAATTGACGTTAAGCTCCGCCATTCGGTTCACCAATTTGGTCGCTTGACTCAAAATGTATTGCTCATTGTATTTGAACAACTTTTCCCGCACCAAATGGTCAAAGTCGAGTACCACCACTGGCAGCACGCCAAACTGCTGGAGACGACGAAACGTCTCGCCAATCCCCTTCCAACACGACTCGGGAACCTGTGAGTAGTTGATGCGGAATAAGGCAATTCTCAATGGGATCTTTTCCACCACTATCGGCTGGTCGGTATCATCGATATACTCTCCCAGTCTAATGGTGCCGAACGGCTTTGCTGCCCCTTCTAGGAAGCGGTTGACGAACAACTGACTTTGCGAATCACGGTTGCGAAGCAGATGAGGGTCCAGGGTGTCTTCAAGGGCGTAGCGGTACTTATTCAAGTAATTGCGCGCTTCGCGCTTGGTAGTGGTCAGCCGCAAGATCAGCAAGATGAGGTTGCGCTTGGCATCGGTCTCAAGCCGGTGCGTTTTAAGGTTCAGCACAAACTGCGACGTGAGGGGGCGGATGTGGTTCATGCCCGTAGGGGTCGTCGCCCGGTATTGGTTCTGTGAGTGCTAATCAGTTCATCGGAAAAAGTGCGCGTCGATGCGACGCGGGGAACCCCCCACACAGCCAGATGAAAGCATCAGATAACACGAGTAGATGGGGATAATATCAGGTACAATCCATGTCCAATGATGCAGCATCGTTGGAGGTGACATTGGAGTGTTTCCAATTGCAATTTCTCAGTCAAATTAGGGGTGCGGTGTAGGTATCAGTAGTCGTCCATATCGTCATCATCGACGGGTTCTTCAGGTTCTAACCCACCTTCATCCCTGGTAGAACTCAACTTGCGGAGCTGGTCCATCACACGAAGCACAAACGGCCTCATTTCGTTCACTTCCATGAGCGAGAGCCCCGTAAGCGTGAAATTGGACTCATTTAGCTGTTCAAGACCCTGGTTGACTTTGAGAAGACGAATATCACGAATATCCTGAAGAATCTGATGAAGCAGAGTTACCAGATCCTGTAAGTCGTCACTGGCCCGCGTGAGGTAGATCTTGGAGATTTCAAGCCAATTCGGAGGGAGTCGCGTGGAAAACTGGGGCAGCGCTTTTTCTTCTTCACACACCGACTTCAAGAGCTCTAGCGATAGCCAGGACGGCGGCACCATGCGGCACTTCTGCCTCAGCTTCAAGATAAGAGCGATCCAGAGCGGGAGCTCGACGCGTCGGTTGGCGCGTAGCAGGGGCACGCTGCCGTCGACAAGCTGCATTTTCTTCATCAGCGACTGCGGGATCACCGTCACCTTCTCGTTCTCGGCGATGAAGCGTAGCTCGCTGGGGAGAAGCGTGCTCACTTGGTGCAAAGGGACGGCCATGTCGACTCAAGCTCACTGAGCGATGCGAAACGCGACGTGAACAATGTGGCTGGACACCGATGAGACGCGGGGAAGTAAATGCTAAAATTAATTTTTACTGAAACAATTGAGACTTCTAGTGTACAAAGAAGATTATGGAAATTGTTAATATTGATTGCTGTTTCTCGCATCATGAGCTTCATTCTCAAATTAAAGGTTTCACAATCATCTAGAATTAATGTATTGAAGAGCTACTTCGCAGTGTATATGGTGTGGGTCTAAGCAGTCCGATGATATGAGCCAAATCCAGTTGGCGGGTTAGTGTTGGCGGCGTTGGTCGTATTTGAGCACTGACAGGAGCAACACCTTGAACCCCAAATCGGCATCGGCGATATCGGGGACAAACACCATCGCCAGCGGACACCGGTTGCTGGTGACACACGAGTCGTGGCCCAGCCCCAGAATCATGCGGTGTCCTAACATGACAAACTCCTTCGTCGCCTCCTCGATGCACTCAATGCACTCACTATCGAACTTCAGCGCCGGTAAATTGGTGACGGTAGTGATCTCAATGCCGACGTTCTCTGTCAGAGCCATCAAGTGGCACATCAGGTTCACTGAGCTCACTAAGCCTTTCAAGTCCGCTTCCAGTCCGTGGCGAGCATCGTAAACAAACTCGACCACATTGGCAGTAACGTTGACGAGATTCGGCTCCACTTTTAGCATTTGTCCCACACTGAATAACCCACCTTGCTTCTTGGCAATTTCCAGCCCGCCACTGATCATTTTTGCTGCTGCAAGTAACGCGTCCAGGCGTAAGTGTTTAGCTGTCGTCCCTGTGTGCTGTGCTCGACCAGTGAGCCGTACCCGTTTCCACGTAATCGCATGGCCTCCTACCACCACACCGATTTGGCGGTTATTGGTCCGCAATTGGCTGCCTCGCTCCACTTCAAGCTCAAAGTGAGCACCCAATGGATTATCCTGAAACAGACACTGGACGCCTTCACCCGAGATCGGCATATCAAGCTCAGCCCACACTGCCAGACCCATACACACCACGCCGGGAACCCTTACCCAATTGACAAGAGCGATGGGGTACTTAGGCACGACATTATTCTCTTTCAACGTACGGAGCACCTCGAGACCAGCGGCGATGCCCAACGCACCCCTCGTCTTGTCCATGTGGGAGCCAATAGCGGTGGGTGGTCCCTTGTTGCGTCCGGGAATGATGAAGAACTGATTACCCATGGTATCGACCACTGGATTGCACCCGAGCTTCTGGGTCTCCCGTACGAGCCAGCGCCGGGCTCCGGGGATGTCGGGGAGCTTCTTGGCGAGCTCGTCAAGCGTGTGCTGGAGCCGGCCTTGTTTCACAGCTAGACGGAGCGACATTGACGGTAGTTTAAATACTGAAATCAGATATAGGCCAGTGAGCACGCTGCGAGATTTTGCGGGGTCGGCACCGAGATCTGGGGCGCGCCAGGGGGAGGGGGACGACCTCTGAGTGAGACAAATAGACAGGAGAAGCAATATCCAGCGTGACCACCAGAAAAATAGATAAATTTGAGTGTTATCAAATCGATAAGATAACGGATATAGTGTTAATTGTCTCTTGGTGCCAACTTAGAAAGCCATTTTTGTTCGACTTCAGTTTCGGAAATTGCCTTTGCCATGGCGCGGCAGTGACGGGTACAGCCGCCTCCCACGAAAGGCTCCACCAGTTCACTACACCAAAGGCACACAATTTTCGCGACGACCAGCCCCGGTAAACTTAGGCCATGCGCCGCCGATTTCCCTCCAGCAACTGGAGATGTTTCGTCAGCAACGGAGCTACGACACAAAGCTCTGGGGAAAATATTGCTGAGGTTAAAGAAATATTCGGCACTGTCCACAAAGCGAGCGGAGACTATCGTCAACGGCAACGCCGCCACGGTTCCATTAGGGACACCGCTAGCGACCCGGGCGCCACCGATGTAACCGGTTATGATTCGCCAGGGCAGCCGGTTGCTGTCAACGCTGGATACGAAAGCGTGGATTACGATACGGCACACCATCGGTGCTGCTTCGAGAAAGACGAAGCGACGGCACGATGACGCCATGAGTTGACTAAACCCCTAAACGGGGCAAGAAAATCTCGTATTGCACCCGGGCTAGCAACAACCATTAAGGTACATCACGTGACGGAAAGAGGCTTATCGAACTATGAGCGGCATAGTGACGACGGCGGCACTGGGGCCTCGTCATCCCCCAGCCGTCCTTCGTCGCCCTAAACGCTTTTCCAGTTAGGTGCAGTACGGATCGGCGCCACCCATGACCGGAACGGGCACCGTAAACGCGGCCCGGGCGCTGCCGTAATCGCGGCCTCCATATCGCCGTTTTCCCCCACCTTTCTCCCCAGTGCCGTATGGCATCTACTGGCACGATGAGCTAATTCTCGCCGGAGAAAATGCTTAACTTAGCCGACCCCTGGTTGGTTCCGACGACCTGTCAGGGTTCGTATTTTTCCGTTATTGTGACCCTTCGATGTCTCTTTGTCCTGATCCAGCCATCTCCCCGGAAAAATTTATGGTTAGTAAAAATTTAGTCACTCGCATTTATGTCATGTGACCCCAAGTACCAAACCCCAAGAAAAAGCCAGCAGATGCCGTGTGCCGCCGCCCTGCACTCGAGAGATTCTTCCACCGACTCGGTAATCATTCTCCCACTGCTACTCCATCATGCATGAATGAGCCACGTGCCATCACCACATGCATATACCTGTCAGCGTTTCCCAGATCGCGCCACAGGGGGAGAGGCGGGCCCAGCATACCGTTGGTCCTATCAGTGAAAAGCCGACAACATTTGCCGGACACCAGATGAGCTGCGGTGCAAGCGAATGATCCCCTAGGTCGGCGGAAATGTGGCACGTACCCTGTACGATGAATCTGGGATAAATTTTCATAGGGGTGGCGGGAGAGTGGGGGTCGAGGCGTGGGGGCAAAAGCGTTGGCATCGGGTCTATTTCACGGTTCCTCGCAGTAGCCGACAGCTAATCTACAGTCTCACTGCCGCCTGCGGTCGATGGTAGACGCATAAGCATCATCTGATGCAGCGCATGGCCACCCTCCCGTGCAGGCGACGGGATTTTGATGCACAAACACGTAGCAGCGCCTAATTATCCGCAGATTCCATGTCGCCCTGTGCGCGTTAACACCGGATATTTTATGACACAAACTTAGTTTTGTCAACAGAAGCACCACTTCAAGCAAGATATTTGCTCATCAGATTCCCACAATCGGGGGGAACGGGGCTCGATTACCACGCACCAGCGACTGGTGACGTATAACGCCCGGCGAGAGTGATTGTTCTTACCCTAGCTCGAGTCAGCCGTCGTCGCGGATACAAGTCACATTCACGTGCGGAAAAATTCCTTTGTTAAAAGCGTCAACTCGATTGGGCGATTCCCCGTCTAAGCCCACGGGCCAGGGGGGCTCACTTGCTCGTGCGTCGTGTTCGCCGTCGCGATCTGGCCAGGACATCGATCGGATGACCATCTGTTGCAAACGCCCACTAAGACGTAACCACGCCGCCACAAAAGCTTAGTCAGTAGGGTGACTGCAGCACTGGCGGGGACGACAAGCACCGCGGTTGCTGTCTCCGCGTGATCGTCGATACTGGCGAGGCTAAGCTCTACAGATCAAGCAACGACAAGAAACAACTTCTGCTTTTGCGCCAATTTTCCTAGACCTAGTATCAGTGGTGGGATACTCAGGCAATCAGTGACGTCAGCACGAGAATATTTCCCCACCGTCGCCACATCGAGAAAGGCTGATTTGGCAAACAGAACCAAAGGTGTCACAAACGCACAAGATGCCGCGCATTAATGTCACGGCAGAATCGACACGACCTCACTATTGTCAGCAGCCCCGGCAACCGACCACGTCCATTTGCCTCGCGATTGCTGTCACTGTCCCGAGAGCAATATGTATTGGGCAGATTCCGGCAGATACCTCTCGCTCCTCTTTCCCTCCTAGGCGCCGGGGACAGTAGCCCCCTCCCCTATTAAATGTCGAGGCGGGAAGGGGAATATGTCGTCCCGGCTATTTTTAGGCGGGGGACACCTACCGTCACCCTGGCACCGGCGCCGTACACCTGACCCCAAGGCGCCTCTCCGTGCCCTCTGTGCGTGAGACGGTGCAATTGTCATGTTGCCCATCCGCATAGCGATCTATTGTGCTTGGCTTTTGGGGCTACAAGAGGAGCCATTGTTTTTTACCCTCTCGAGCCAACCCCCCAAAAAGTACAGAGTTACGAATGTCGGCAGCCGCCCCGGAACGCCCCCACAATAGCTTCGTGTGCACTTGAAATTGCCCAACCGCCGATATTTATTCCGGTTCGTGTCTCGGCCCGATCGCTGGTCACACCCTCTCCATCTTCACTGGCGCCGCCCCTGTATTGTCCCTCTGGGTCCATCTGGATCTTTGTGTCTAGCCAGATCCCCGCGATCGTCAGCAGGCACTAAACCGCGGTCTAAGTTGCCAGCAACGCTTTGTTGCCGGCGCAAATAAGGTTTACGGTTTCTCTCGTGGTAGTGTGTGGTTCGGGCCGCTGATAGCGCCTTTGTTGGGCCCTCGTAGTGCCAGTGGCATCGCGGCTATTTGCTACGCGTACAGGGTAAAAGTCTAGTATACCGGCGCAAAAATGACTTTTCTTATACCACACCCTACCTAACACCCACGGGGCTAAACACATTGCTTTCGCCCGCCAAACTTAGCTCGTCCCACGTCGTTGTTCTGTGCTACACTTGTGTCTGATTGACGTCACTTAGAAACCACCACACCCTGGCCGCCCCAGGCTGTATGAGGGCTAAACCCGTGTATGATGGCTAAACTAGTTTACCCTGGCTAAACCTAGGGTGTATAGGGGTTATCCGTAAGCGTACGATGGCTAAATCGGAAAAGCCGTGTCCGTGGTGTTGGTCTTTCTATGAAACATTTCCCGTTTTACTAATGGTTATTAGCGCACGGTGGGTGACAATACAAAGCTAAGGATATTATGATTATTAATTAGTAGTGATTACGTCAACTTAGGCTTCTTGCAGTCCTCGACATTCGTCGCCAACACCTCCTCGATCAGCCATCTCGGCGGCTTACCCGGCTCCTTCGACCCCCCGGCAACACCCAGAGAAAACTTGAGGTAGCACAAGTCGCCAAGCTCGGAGAACTTGGTGAGAATAAGGTCCAAGTCCTCCTTAGTCAATGCCAGCGACACGCACAACCGGGCCCGAGCCGAGATCAATGGCGTAGCCGGGTACGACACAATGACAATGGCAATCCCCATCAGGTACAACGACCGCAGCAACACCGGCATCTTGGCGGGCAAAAACACCAACACCGGAATCACGGGGGAGTCGTCGGCACCGTAGACGATGAAACCAAGCTTTTTGAGTCCGAGTCGCAAGTATCGCAGGTTAAAGGCGATTCTCTGCAAACGTTCCTTACCTTCACCGGGGTTGAGCTTGCCTTCAATCACCAGCAATGACAGAAGAATTTGGCCCAACACGGGGGGAGGCACGCCTTCGGCGTAGTTCTGAGTGATGTAATCAAGACGGAGACGGTCAATGATGGTCTTGTCACCGGCGATGTACCCGCCGGTGGCGCCAAATGATTTGGTGAACGTCCCCATCAACAAGTCGACCTCGTTGGGGTCCACCTGGAAGTAGTCACACACCCCACGGCCTTGAGGACCAAGGGCACCGATCGAGTGGGCCTCGTCGACGAAAAGGTAACAGCCGTACTTGTTTTTGAGCTCTATAAGCCGGGGTAAATTACACATGTTACCTTCCATCGAGTACAACCCTTCCACGGCGATGATGATCTTTTTCCAAGGGCGATGCGTCCGCGGCTGGCCCTGGGCAATCTGTTCCCTAATCCGTTTTTCTAAGTCGTCGACGTTGTTATGCTTGAATACCTTGACGCAGGCACCACTCAACCGGATCCCGAACCGGATCGACGCGTGGTTCAACTCATCGGAGATCACCAACGTGTTTTTGTCGGCGATCAGCATGAACAAGTTGGCGTTGGTACCGTACCCTTGCGAGACGATGATGGCATCTTCCTTGCCAACAAAGTTAGCGATGACGCGCTCGGTTTCCTGGTGCAAGTCGGTGGTGCCACCCTGCGAACGGGGCGAGCACAGCGACACCCCGTAGTTGTCTAAAATGTCTAGGGCGACGTCGGTGCACACCCCCTTCGACTGGGCGAAACCCAAGTAGTTGTAACTGGACAAATTGAGGCACTCGGTCAGGGTGCCGTCGTACAAGTAGCCGTAGCGGCCGTGGCGCACCCGGTTGAAGCACTTGACGAACCGGCCGGGGACGCCGTGGATGGGACGAGCAAAGCAGTCGTCGATTCTCGTCTTCATTCTCCGCACGTAGAACGATTCGAAGGCATCGTACCACGGGGCGTAGCCGTCGTGCTCAACGAGATGCCGGTAGTCCTGGGCCTTGAAGATCTTGCCGAAGAAGTCCCGTACGTGACCAATAATGATGAGGATCAAGTACGAGATGTAGGTGAGGATGTAGATGAGGATGGGGGGCTCGTCGTCGACGGGGGTGGGGAGGGGCTCGCCCAACGGGTGCTTGGACACATAGAGGTGGTCGGGGCTGGTGAGCTTCCCGTACTCGTGGTCCGCGAGCACCTCGTCGGACCGCTCATCCGGGGGTGCGTTGGGGATCTCGGCACTCAACGCCATCGTCTCCTGCTGGTGCTGTTTGGGGGGTACGCAAAAAACCAAATCGCCCAGCTGGAGGTCAATGGTTTTTTTTCAGCCGGTGCCAGAAAAGCGCGAACTGGCTACGCGTCACCCGAGGAATAGGGGTAGCGTCGGTGGCGGCTTAAGGGAAGTATAGAGCAGGGGCCGCTTTAGTAAAAATTGGACGGCGACTACTGACGTTGTGGCGTACGATTAAGATCAATGGCAATCACGAAATCGGACGAAACCGCGCCGTTTTGTGGGGCAAGGTCGGATGATGCGGGTAAATCACTCGCGAGCGGGCTTTTAAAGTCGAGGTAATCACGCACCGCGCCACGCAATCACCCGCAAGAAGACGGGAGAGGATAGACGGTGTACCAGGTTCATTGCCACAACGAGCAAAGCTCGGAAAGTCGCGATTCTAGAGTTGCTACGCTTTTGTGGTGGAGCGATCACACGAGCGCGCAGTAGTGCGAGGCTTGTCGTGGGTAAATATCCCGTCGCGGAAGTTCCTTAGATTACGTAAAAAAGAGGCACCATCCACGAGTCGTGATCCCCGATACGACATGTGTACACAGTGAGATGTGATATCTATTGTATTTGATGAATATGTAAAAAACGGTGATACTGAACGTGTTTCAGGGGAATGGTACACGTGATGATGCTAGCGAGATCAAACTCCAATGCGTTCCAGCCGGGTTTTAGGGTTAGGTCTCTTGTAGGTGGCCAGCGCCAACGCCAGCGTCGGCTCGGGCTGGTTGGCCTTCATCAGGTCCTCGTGCTCAAGCACATCTTCGGGGGTAAGCTTGATCGTTGTCGGCGGTCTCCGTAACATCAGTCTGTGAACAGATTAAAGATAATTGATCCACAGTTATAGATCCCGAAATTGGGAGGGTGGCGGGTTTTCGCACGGTAGCGCCGCGAAGCCTCTAGAACAAACCATATACCAAAAAAGTCATTGTCACATTGATGCTATATATAAGATAAAGAAGTTTACTTCCAGAACCATCCCTTGGCCTCGTCGTTGGTGGTGTTCTCTTCCACCACTTGCCAGTCGCCACCGTCGACCGGGCGTTGGCGCTTCACCGTAGTTACCGTACGCTTACCGTCAGCGTTGGTCTCCGAGCGTTCTTCAAACCATTCCATCATGTTGGTGTCGGGGTTAGTGGTGTAGCTCAGCAGCACCAGCGTCAGCACCACGCGGGGCTGGTCGTCGGTGTCGGTCTTGGCCAACTCCGTCGATGACAGCGGCCAGGTGAGCGCCAGCGACTGAGCCTTTTGCTGAGCTTGTTGCTGGGCCTGTTGCTTCACTTGGAGCCAGTTCTGTTGCTTCCACTTCAAGAGCCCTTCGTAGTGGCGGAAGAACACCCCCTTGGGACCAAGATCAATGGTATCGGCGTTGGAGTCGATGTTGGCCTCAGTCATCGCCAGCGTCAAGTCGTCTTTAGTCAAGATCGACAGCGATAACCGTTCATTCTTAAACTTCAAATAGTCGGTAGGCACCTTGGCGTTAGGGAACAAGCACCGCCACCACCCGCGCTGGTCCCACACCTGGGCGCCATCAGCCTTGACACAGGCATCGTACGCTGCCGCCAGCGGGCCGTTCTTGGCCCAAAGACCAAAGGGAGATCTGCCAGCACCACCAAACACATCGGCAGAGGAAAACACACTGTCCAACGTCGACTCAAGCGTGTCAAACACCCCTTGGTGCATGATACTACCGATGGCGCCAAAGGGGCCCTGGAGCTCCAGCGTCGGGCCCTTGCCGTTGAAAAACGCATCGAACTTGTCGCGGAAGTCCTTCAATTGGGCGCTCTCCTCCTGGGAAAGGTCGGTAAGCCAGTCCTTCAGCCGCTCTCTCACTTTGTCGTTGTAGTCAAACACGATGTCCCGGAGAAGGTTGGCGACATTGCCGGCAAGCGCCGTCAGCGAGTCCTTGATGTCGTGGATGTTGGAGTAGAGATCATCTAACTCCTGTTGGCGGGAGGATTTATCGGAGTCGTCAGCCGAACCCATGGGTAAGAGCGATTTGCTTGAACACCACGAGGGGTCAGGGGGGGGGCGTATATAAAGGGCATGATCGAATCTGTGCGCCTACTGTGTGCAGGACAGTATCTATGATGGCTGCAAGTCGCCACCGTACGATCCCGTTCTCTCACCTTCTACGAACTACTTCTTCCCGAAAATGGGAAATAGCATCAGTAACACTTTGTTTGATTTCGATATAGTTTCGATATAGTTTCGATAGAGAAGGTCTACTCTAAAATCTGGCGGCGGGGGAGTTCAAGTGGCCACCACCATCGATAAACAAGACGATCCCGTTGATGTACGCCGACTGCTTGGCACACAAGAAGAGAGTAGCCGCCTGGATGTCCGAGGGTTCACCCAAACGACCACGGGGGTTGGTTTCAATCATGATCTCACCAATGGCATCCAACAACCCGTTAGACATCTTGGTGGGGAAGAAACCGGGAGCCAACGAGTTCACGTTGATGTTACGAGGACCCAATTGCACGGCAAGGTTCTTACCCATGTGGGCGACACCGGCCTTCGACGCCATGTAGCCATAGGTGTTGGACATACCACTGGTGCCGACAGAAGCCACCGAGGACATGATCAACACTCTCAGGGGGTCTTCCTTGGTCCCCGCAGCTTCCAACAAGGGAGTGAAAAGCTGGATCAGGTGGAACACCAGCGTCACGTTAAGCGTCAACACTTTTTCAATGGCAGAAGTTGGGTGGGTTTCAAGATCCTCACCCCAGGTGGCACCGGCGTTGGCAATCAAGATGTCGACCTTGTCGACGTGCTTGCTGGCCTCGTCGAAGAACGCTTGCGCTTGTTCGGGCTTAGCAAGGTCAGCAGGAATCGAAATAACCTTCACTTGTTTACCAGCTTTTTGAGTGATGCCTTCGAGGTACTTTTTGGCTTCTTCACAGGCCTTGGCCTTTCTCAGGGTGATGATAACCGTGGAGGCGCCATTGAGAGCTAACACCTCAGCACAGTTGAGGCCGAGACCTCTGGTGCCGCCGGTGATGACGGCAACTTTGCCGTTGACGTTGAAATCGACCATTGTGTAGGGGTAGTGGTGTGGTGGCAAGAGTGCCTTTATAGGTAACCCCTGGACTCAGTTAGGCCGAGGTCCTCTGCGCTGTGTGCAGGCCATCGGCCACTTGTGGGGTAAAATTTACCGATGGCGGGGGTACTTCAACGCCGAATTCCCCAACAAATAGGTGAATCAAAAGACTCGGGGCAGTTGTAACACTTGAATTGAGACTCCACTGTTGGCATCTGGGGATTATTTCTTTGTTAATCGCCCTCTTGCTCGTAGTATTTCATCTTTGTGGGGAGAGTAGTAGGCTCTGTGCCCAGCCTTTTTTTCGCTGCTCCGGGATCTTTCCCGAAAAGGATGAACTCCGATAACGGATTTGGTAGGGGGAGGGGAGGGCCAATGCTGTTTAGTAACCACTCAAGTCTGGCCCTCGGATACCGGAAATTTTTATAAAACCGGAAAGGTCTAGACAATTGAACATACCCTCCATCCATTGTAAACAATGGATCAACAGAGTTCAGCCTTAGCATCATATTGACTCTCAAATACATTGTCGATCATCATGTCAAATCTATAAATCTGTAAAATATTTGTGTTTTGCAGAAACGTCCCTAGATTATACAATCTTTGTAGTCGATGGGTTGAAGAGTTTTGTGTAACCTGCCACGACCCCAATTCTATCATCTATGGTGACTTTCGATTCGAAACGTGGCTACCTCTCCTCAAGGCTATGGTCTGACCTTCGTCGGCATGGTGATTTGTACATGAACACCACAGAAAATGTCGAAACGCGTAACAGAGATGGTTGGGATAAGCTTGGATGTAGTGATACACAGATAAGCTCGGGAATTGGGCACAAACTTTAGATGTCTTCATCTTCCTGGAGATTTGCGATACTATCAGCTAATGTTGTCCCATGCCAGATTTAGAACCGCCCCATATTCTCGTACACAATAATGTAAACGCAATTGTTGATGCTTGCGAATTTGTGATCCATATGGATTTGTGCTTCATACATATATTTGTGATCGCAACCAATTATTTCTTAGTATTGTCAGCCAATTGTGGCACAAAATGTCCGAGTGAAATTACTGTCGTGGTTATTCGGCGATAAATCTCGATTCTAGATAGTAGCACAAAAATACCGACATTTTGTGCAGAAAGTCAACGGGTTCAACCTGCCTCAGACGAAAACCTTTTTGTACGTAAAAATTTTGCATGCCAGCAACTCACCCACAGAGATTGTCTGTCGGCACTCCCTTTTTCCATAAATGCCTATCTCACGCTGTCGGCTGCCAAAATTAGCCAACCTAATTACCAAGCCACGATGGTCTCAATGTCGGTGTCGAGCAATTTCGCGAGTTTCACTTCACTGTTGTCGTAGTCGAAAGCCACGTACAAGTTACTCAACACTGTCGTCCCCAATAGATTCAAATTGAATATCAGCGAGTCCCCTGCCCCTAAGTAACACTGATTGGAGCCGGACGGCTGCCATATGAAGGTGCTGAAAGGTATCTCGTAAGTCAGATCTCCCAAGGTTATCAGAAACAGTCTATCAGGGGGCTGATTGCAGGGCATTACATAATATCCACTGTCTTGCCGAGTGGCATTGAACAATGGTGCCAACTGGTTCAAAAACTTTGTGGGGAAAAACGACACTTCGGTGCCTGTGTCGACGAGGAATGTGTTGAAGGTGGTAGCGTTCGTGTCAACGTAAACGTCATTTCCGTTAATTGTCATCTTTTCCAAAGGAAAATCCCACAGACTACCGGTGGAAGTATGGCTCTCCCAATGTGAGCCCACTTTAGATTGATCCACTCCTCCAAAAATAAGTTTGCCTTTGTTTGCAGAGTGGCGATAATAAATCGACGCTACCGTCAGTCGTATTTTGCCCGCTGTTTTCAAAGCATATGGCAATGTATCGTACGATATGTCGTTCTTCTTTGACAAGCCAAAGACACCCACATTATTTGCTCCAGCATCGGGATTGTCGACCACTCCAAAGCGAAACTTCTCCAATGACACGTTATCAAGTGAAATTGTGTCCTCAGCATAATATCCTTGAACTGCTGAGTTGACGTAGGTGGTCTGGTACTCCTGGTTGAGGTTAACAAGCGAAGTAGACGCATTCGCCCAACCGTCGTAATCAGGTAACCACGCTTCGGGCGATCCACTATCGGCAATCGGCGTAAACTGCTTCTGCTGTGAGCCAATGGTTATGTTCATCAACCACTTCCCATAGTAATTGCTTAATTCTGAGGTGACATATCCGGTACTCGAGTTGGTCTGCAAATACGATGGCGTTTGAAATGATGGCGCCACCGGTAGCGCTGCTGCCAAAGTCAAGAAAAGGAATTGATAAACCATGATTGAATTCGTTGATTGCAACCTTCACTCAGTTGTAACTTCATCTTTTTATATTTGTAGTTGAGATTGCCAGCTCTCTCATCTCTCCATCAATTGATGTACAATCTTTCATTGTGTCAAACAATGAGTATCAGCACCATTGCAATTGGAAGCCAGCAGACCTCGATGGTCCAGCCCCACCAAATCCAGTCGATTTGTAGATTACTGTAGTGTCATGGAGTCAATCACTTCAGGGATCCTTAATTTCGGGTACCTATCAATGTCAAAGCCACTTCATGAGCAATGGATCGGCAACGCGTCGCCCTGAATTGATCTATACTGTCCCATCGATTCGCTGGCAACAGAAAGACATGCACTCGCCGCCGCATTGTTTGTGTTTCATTGATCGCTGCGCGACGTAGGCAATGTTTATAAACATGGCTGGTTGCAAGCCGACCATATTGACAAGGCAACTGCAATCTCCTGTACTTCCAATATCAGCATTTCGCTGGATAAATTGAATTTTCAGCTATATGAAAAAACTAACCAATCGAGAGTTACGCCTCTAACGTTTGTTGAGAAGTTCATAAAGGTCAACTATGATGAAGCGATAATATCAGGGATGTTGGCGACGATAGAATCACTGGAAGGTGATTTCTATCGACGTTGTTTGTACTGCAAATCTTCGAAACTAATTATCCACTGAAATTTTGCTTCAATGGCGCATCTGGTAGTCAAATGCTAGTGCTGGACGTTATGAAGGTTATGACGTCATAGGGCTGCATTTTTATAAAACTGATCTTTGGTTTCAAAGACTCAATTTCGTGAACTTGGTTGACACACGACGAATTATCTATTTTGTGCAACGCACGACCATTAAAGCTAAAGTTGTGCCAATCTTCACAAATTGTTCATAACCTTCAATGATAATTGCAAGGGCGTCTACAGTACTAGTCGGTTATATTATATATTTTGGCAGCGGGGCTGCCGTAGTCGTTACTGTCATTAAATTACTCCACTCGTCTCAAATTAAATACCAACTGCATCCCCATCGCCAACGGGTTGGCAATGCAGAAACACAACTGGTGGGGGCTCAACAACCGGATCCCCTTACCGGAGATCACTTGCATTAACTTGTTGGTACCCCCAGAGACGTGGCTGATCAGCCACACCTCGATCAGCTCGTCACACACCACAAATAATTTATCTTCTTCAAACGCGACCGCAGTGGCTTTATGATGGAAGTTGATCATCGTGCCTCGCGATACCACCCCCTTCTTATCGGTGAAAACAGCCCCCGTGGCGTAGACAAGTAAGAACTCCATGTTATTGCGGAGCTTGTACATGCCGAGGGGCTCAATGTTTGTCTTTTGCGTCATTCGCCTCACTGCGTCCATCGTCTGTTCCACGGCGGCTCGGTTAGCCACTTTCAGCCCCACCTGTGGCACCACGGGCACCAGACGGGCTTTCAAATCGTCCAAGAACATCACTTCGACACCCTTAGTGGTGTGGATGGCAAAAGTGGTATTGAAAAGCGTCATCCCCAAGCACTCGGCCTGGACGTAAAACTTCTTCACCTCACGGAAACGACTGAACACCCCTCCCGAGTCCACCTCAGGTACCAATGCTTTGAACAGGAACAGGTTGTTCAGCTTGTGTTTGGCGTAGAAAAGCATGGTCATATCACGGTGTTTACCCATCGAGAAGAACGCCACGGGGTCGTTCAGCACCTTAACGGCGGTGACCACGTGAGTACTGCCCTCCCCGTGGTAGGCGTTAAGCACCAGGCGAAGTGTATAGTAGCGCAACTGCTTATTCGAAAGCACAAGCATGATCCCTTGGCCTACGGCCACGTGGATACGGGTGACGGGGCCCAGGACAAAGACTCGCCGCCAGCGGCCGCGGTAGTCCCAGGCGTAGATCCCCGTGTGGGTGCCCACAAAACAGTAGGCAGCACCATTGAATATGAACTGTTCTGCGCAATACACTTTGGCAAAGCACAAGTGGTGGTGGGCCAGCTCCAACAGGTAAATGTCTTGTGGGGGTTTGACGCCAAACGTAATAAGCTTAGCCTGAGCGTCAGCGGCGATGGCGTAAATAGGGTCACCGGGAGCACACACCGGAAGCTTAATGATCTTTTTTGAAGCTTCATAGGCGAATTGAGTGAGGGAGACGCCATCCACCGCATAGGGGTCAGTCTTCAAACGACGTCCACAAAGATCAGTGCGTGCTTCAATAAACACTTTGATCCAATCAGCACGACCTTGTTCCGTCTTGGAGAAGAAGGTGTAGGCGTGGTGCTTACCCCAACCAGCGTAACGCACTTTAAACGGGTATGTCAGTGGTTCTTCCTCCTCAGGTGGAGCGGTGGGATTCGTGATGAGGGGAGCCAGCGTCTCTCTTTCTTCCATGAGCATCTGTTCAATAGGGATGGGAGTCTCAATCACTTCGTATTTACCGCGGCCGTTACGCTTGGTGATGAGGAAATAGTTGTCTAAAAGGATCAAATGGACCACACTCAGATTAATTCGTAAGTCACCTTTTTTGAACATCTCGCCTCTATAATACAATTTGCGGTGGTCCAGGTCGAGGTTCAAATTACGGGGTTTGACGACGGTACGCCATTCAAGCACACCAACAAGCTTGCTTACCCCGTGACGGTTATCAGCAAGCCGTTTGCGGTCATTGACGGCACGGGCAACGTTTTTGATGGCGGAAATGGCCAGGTCAAACAGCAGCAGTTCCAGCTCGTCGAAGTACTTCTGGACGTCAGCTAACTGAAGGGGGAGGTGCTGGTATCTCAGGTTAAACGTCAGCAAAAAAAGCAACAGCCCGTTGACTCTGAGCTTCTTCACTTCCTCGAGACTATTGACGTTTTCGTCGATCCATTGAATCACTTCCGGGCGAGCTAAGATGTCCTGAATCGCCGGCAATGTCAGCATATACGTAAGCAACGGCTGCTTGATCGTGTGGGACCACTGGCGGTATAACTGGTTGATATCGCCGATGGAGCGAATGAATTTTCCCTCATCGATAAGCACTTTGATCAATGGAGCAAATAAAAGGGTCTCATGGGCCTCCACGAGAGCGTGGACCAGATTATACACTTCATTCTCAATCTGGCGGATCTGGTCGGGACGGGCTTCAGGGACTAATCTGATCGCTGCCTTAAAGAACTGACGACACACGTGTTCCAAGAAGCACCGGCCTCGCTGGATAAACTTCTGTTCCAGGCGGAAAAGGTCAAAGATAAGCAGCTGTTTCTTCAGTTCCTGGCGGTCAATTTGTTTCAACTCGTCCACAGTCAATTGCCAGTACAGGGCCCAGTCATCACCCAACACAAGTGTAGTGGGATCAGCGCTCGCCAACCGGTGCTGGTGGTCCAATTTCCAGTTCATCGTACACTGAGGAGCATAGCAGTGAAGAGGGCCTTCGTGCGAAGTACCGTAACACGGAGCTAACTCAGGGAACACACCAGACACGGGGACACCGTCAACAATGGCCACAGTAGCATCGTCCTCAATAATCACGATCGCTTGTTGGAGGGCTAACAGGGCGATGATGGCATCGACGTTGCGCCAGATAATCTCCATCGAAAGATCGGGGCAGTGGAACAGCGCCACCTTCATGATTGCCACTCTGAACTCCTTAAGCGGGATCTCGGACTCGTGGAGCCACAGCTTAAGCCGCAGGCACCAGTGGTAGACGTTGTTGAGGCGCCACACGTCGTGGATCTCCAGAAAGTGTTGCAGCATGAGCACCAGCGCCGTGAACGGCAAATGCGGTAAATCTAGGGGAAGCGGGGGGAGCTTCTCCTCTAGCCGAGCTCTCAGCACAATCAGCAGCGCTAGCAGCAGCGACAGCCCCACGCGGTGGGACATGATCGGTTGGGGCAACTGGGGCATCATTGGCGGCGGGCGCGACCGGCGCAGCGTCTGGCGCTGGGGGATCTCTGGTAAGAGCAGGTAATCAAAGCTATTACGCTCCGTATCGGGCAGAGGCAAGGGGAGGGCCAGCTCGTCATCAGTCATCAGGTCCAAGATATTATACAGGTCGCCGCTATAGGCGTAGGGAGGGACAATGGCTGGAGGAGGCGCGTAGTAGTGTTCTGTCGGCGGCAGCATCATCGTCTGGTTGGGACTAGGAATGGGCGAGTACTGGAGGCGGTGCGGCAGCGGTAAGGGGAACATCAGCAGCGCAAGCAGCATCTGGCGCTGCTGGACGTCGTACGGCGGTCGCGGCGGTATTTCCGGCGGCGTGGACACCATCATCGACTGTCTAAACTCGAGCGACAGCGATGTCGACGGGCGCGGCGGGAGGTGTGGTCGCGGCGGCACCTCGGGCCGTTTGGCGACCGCTTCTGGGTGGTCAAAAGTAGGGTAAACTCCGAGCCCCGGCAACTGGTCATTAGAATAGTTGGGGGCGTCGAGAGGGCTGGAGAACCCCAGCGTGTGTTTGGGTATATCGGGGGAGCGGTCTTCGTCGGAGTAGCCGTCGTGAGTGTCGGAAGTGCCGTAAGTGTCGGGAGTGCCGTAGCCGATCTCGTCGTTCTGCTCGGGGCTAGAGTAAGCGCCACCATCAGGGCGCTCCAGCAGCGCACCGCTTGAATGGGAGTGGGGCACTTGCTCCAGCAGCGTGGCGCTGGCGTAGGAAGCGTACAGCGAGTACAGTAGTGTCAGGTGGTGGCGGTTCATTTTCGCCAGGTAATCACCGTAATGAGTGGCGTTGCGGTGGTCGGCGCTGGGGGGAGAGTTCTCTACCACAAGTTCTAGCACCACATCCTGCGTGGGGTAGGGTGCTAGCGGCGCCGCCGGCGCCGGCGTGGGTGTTGACGGTTCCGTGGGCACAAGCACCAGGGGCAGTGATTGCGACACCGTGAGCGGGAGCCGCAGCAGCAGAAGCCCCAGCAGAAGACCCATGAACTGGCGCTGGCGGTCACGATATCGTGTCGGGGTGATGTGGTAGTGGTCGATTGATTTTGGTCCCATCGGCTTTGGCGGCAGCAGCGCCGGCCCCGAGGGTGCCGACGCCGCCGTCGGTGTTGGTGACGGGGGCACGGGCAGGGAGCCAAACAGGTAGCGGCGACACAACCGGTCCGGCTGGTCGTCGCCGAGCTCGGGCGGCGGCTTCCTTGAGAGTCGCTTCGAGCTCATGTGGAGGGCCATTGTCTCTCCGCGGCGCGAAAAGCGCCCCACGCGCGGCCGGTGGTGGCAGCCAGCAGTAGCAGCACGATAGTGAAACCAGGTAGTTTCCATCGGCAATTGTCTTCTCTATCTACGCCTACTTTTGTAACCTGCCACCACTTTCAATCGGTGGCGGCTTACCACTGAATACGCTACTTATCGCGAGGCGCACCGCCAACGGTGATCGCGGCTCACGTCTAGGGATAACTAGGGTGGGACCAGGCGTAGGCAAACAGCATCAGGCAAGGTGTGCATCACTGTGTGGGGCATGGTAGCCCACTCTCTACAGCCGTTTTTGCGTTTACCCTGATCCCGCCCCTTGACGGTGTTGCTTTGATCGGCGGCGCCCTTTGGCGATAATCAGTAAAGCCACTTTTAGCCAGGCACCGCGGCGCCACTGTCGGCAACAACAAATAGAGAGGGGTATGGGAGAGAAAAAAAAAATTTGCTGGCGGGTCGCGGCATATGGAGGGTCCGCTAATCGTGTCGATCGAAGCCTCACAGGCGTCCAGGCGCCCACAACATAGAGATTAGTGATAGTAAATCAGGCTAAACGATGGTTTTCGATGTGGTGCAAAATAGTGATCGTCACCACGCAACCGCGGGCGTCTGGGCCGCTCGGGTCCAGACTGTGGTGGCAGGGTGTCATACCGGCACGCGCCCAGTGACGGTTGGGGGCGTGGGGCGGCAGCAATATATCCAGCCAGCTACCTTTGGCTGGCACAACGTCACCTAGCATTAGGAGAGGGCCATCAGGCACTTTCGCAAACCAGCTACAAAACCGAATCGGGTTATAATAGCATTCCTGGTTAAAACGTCGCAGCTGGAAGTTGCTGGGGAAGGCAATAGGTTAGCTCTATTTTGTGCTCACCAGGTAAATGTCGTAGGCCGTAATTGGACTGAGGAAAGAAATGTCTGCCAAGATAGATTTCAGAAAATAATTGTCTTAACTTGTAGTCTAATAGCTGGTAGCTCCCAGTTTGTCGTTGCGATGACTGGTACATACGCTTTATTGTTTCAAAACAAAATTGATCAAAGCACATTGTCTATCTGGTCTAGTTGATTGATTGATGAAGGATTGTAGGACTCTGGTTGAACGTTTTCATGACTTCCATGTTCTTTGACATCGATTTGTGTAGAATCATTCTCACTCGAGATCATTGCTGGCTACACGCGCCAAATATTCTACCAGACGCGTACTATGGCCTACTCGAATAAGGTGAACGAATTGGTGGCCGCCGGGTCTAAGGCGTACTCGGAAAAGGACTACGACACCGCCAGTGACAAGTACGGTGACGCCTGTGCCGAGTTTCACGAAGAATCTGGCAAGGATGACCCCGATCTCCTCTACCTTTACGGTAAAGCCCTTTACCAAGCGGCGGTAGCTTCGGCGGGGGTGTTTGGTGGCGAAGTCAATAATGCTGCCAATGAAGAAGAAGACAACCAAGCCGAAGGCAATGACGACAACGACGGTGCTTTCCAATTGGAGGCGCCGATGGCCGATGGCGAAGAGGTCCCTGATGCACCTGCTGCTGAAGAAGAAGATGGCGACAAAGATGAGGACAAAAAGGAAGAACAAGGCGAAGAACAAAGTGACAATAACGACAATGACACTCAAATTGCCTCTGGAGGTAATTCCCTCTTCGAAGAAGCGTGGGATGTCCTTGAACTGGCAAGGGCCCTCTGGCAAGACCAATACGACGAACACCCCGACAACAAGGAAGTGCTTGAAAAGCTTGCTGAAGTGTACGATCTTTTGGGTGAAGTGGGTCTTGAAGCGGAGAACTTTGAACAACTGGCTAGCGACCTCAAGCAGAGTCTTGCCCTTCGCCAAAAGATTTGTGGCGATGACACGTCGAACAAGCTTTTGGTTGAGTCCAACTACAAGATCGCTCTCAGTGAAGAGTATTGTGGCAACCGTGAGCTGGCAATCAAGTACCTCAACACTGCTATTGATCTTTTAACGAAACAAGACGCCGATGGCGATGATGCCAAGGCTGACAAGGAAGCTCTTTTACTGGATTTGCGGGATAAGCTTGAAGAGATCAAGCGTGATCAAACCGACACTGAAGCCGAGCAAATGGCTCAACTTAAGGGGCTCATTGGCAGTGCTTTTGGTGCTACCCCAGAAGGACTGCTGTCGGCCACCACTAAACCCGCTCCCGCTGCGGTGAACGATTTGACCTCTATGGTGAAAAAGCGAAAAGCCCCCAAGGACGATAAGTCGGCTAAACGCTCCAAGCCTATTTCCAAGTAACGACAAATTATGACATCAAACTATTAAGTACTCAATTGTAGCAAGTCTTCGGGTTTCAAAGTGAATATATCGCCTGTAATTCGTACCATAAGGCCTGATACGAGTTGCCCTAGAGAAATTGATCAGTTTGATGGCAGATTATGATGGCGATAATATGGCTGTCTCAAGTGACTCTTGTACAGTCGCGTATGGCAACGAACATACGCGTCTTTATAGACATAATGCCTCAAGGGCTTCAAAAATAAATCTAACTTATACTAGTACAATAATTCTCTTTTCATCACTCGAAGATAATTCCTAATTTCATCTCTCGCGTGCTATTATTGTCCATATGTACTTCCACACTGGATCCGTAATCTTCGCACTTCATGACGACCTCCACCAAGAACGATGCCATGGAGGTAGACACTCCCGTGCCTCAAACTGAGACGACGGGGCTGCAGACGGAAACCCCCGCTCCCCAAGGCGAAGCCCCTGCCCCTGAAAAGTCAGCCGTCGACATCTCCGACGACGATGACGAGTACAACCAAGCCATGTCCCTCCCCATATCCAAGATTAAGCGCATCTTCAAGATGGACTCCGACTACAACATGGCGTCCCAGACCGCTGTATACGCTACTGGTGTGGCCACGGAAATGTTTATTCAATACTTTACCGAACAGGCAGCCCTTCTAGCGAAGATGGACAAGCGAAAGAAGATCCAATATAAGGACTTCGCCCAAGCGGTGGCTACCCATGATAACTTGGCATTCTTGGCCGATATTGTTCCCAAGACTCACCCTATTGGTGACTTGGTGAAGCAGAAGAAGGTGAGAGCTACCAACTTAGTGGAAACTGCTGAGGTTTCAGAGGAAGCTGTTGCAGTGGAAGCGGTGGCAGTGGAATCGGCGGCTCCCGTTCTCCCAAAGGGGCAATCCACGTTACCTTTTGAAACCGCCAGTGCTCCTGCCCCTTTCAAAAAAGCTGGCCTTTCCGATTTGATTGGATGAAATGAAATAAAACTGGGTTTCCTGAGGAATATTTATGGTAATAAATAATAATAATCTTAATTTTGGACAACGCAGAGCTCTCCAAAGATGGGTGTGATGATGAAGTATACGGGTACGTGTCATCTACATAAATTATCTAGTGTATGTGTTGCGTGTAATTGCTTAGGTGATCATTAATTCGGTTGGTGGTCTATAAACATTCGTGTGCATGTAGTCGTCCACAGTGTATCCTGCCCACAACAGTATATGCTAATAATGCTGGTTGGTGGTGTCATCTTTGGCGCTTGCGGCCACCCTCGTCAAAGCCGTGCCGCTTGATATTGTGCATCAGCTGGTTATTGCTCATGATGTCGTTATCGTCAGTGTAAATACGTCGCTTAGGATACTTGTAGGGGAGACCTTCAAAGCAGTTCTTCATCGGAAGGGGAGCTTCGTGGAAATAAGGGTGGTTGAGTGCCTGTTCGGCAGTGAGCCGGGCCAGCGGCTCATACTCAAGAAGACCCTTGAGAAGAAGAAGACATTGCTTATTGGTGCCGCCAATAAGCTTATACCAATTAACCAACATGGGAGGGTGAACGGTGGTGAGCAGTTGTTGGAAAGTTGGGTATTCGGGATACTTGGTTAGCAGCGGCCACGTCTTCGGAGTGGGGGTGCCAAGAATATCGACGATCTTCTGGAATTGATTCTTTTGGAATGGCACCAGCTTTTTATTATTCATGTCAAACTTCGCTTCCTCACCCTTGAAGATTGGGCGCAACAGCATGAGCTCAGCAAGAATACACCCCACTGCCCATAAATCAATTACCGGGGTGTAATGGCGTGCTCCTAATAAAAGCTCGGGAGCCCGGTACCAAATCGTCACCACCACTTTGTCACCAGTGTAGAGACTCTGTAAGGGATTGTTGAACTTTCTTGCAAGCCCCAAATCACCGATTTTCACCACTCCCAGCAGCGACACCATGATATTTGCTGGCTTGAGGTCTCGATGGAAGATCCAGTTTCGATGGAGATACGTCACCCCTTGGAGAATTTGCCACACAATCAGTTTAATGGTAGCTGGCGGAATATCCTTGGTGGGATGACTGTGATAGTGAATGATCTGTAACAAATCGTGTTCACAGAACTCGAAGATCATACAGATACTCTTGTTTTCCAACACAATGTCCACCAACTTAGTAATGTTCTCATGAGACAATTCACGACACAACAGCATCTCGCGAATTGCCAGCTGGGAGATCCCGGTGTAATGGGTCACCTCATTCCCATTGATGTCATGGTGAGTCTTAGGGTTGTCCAGCTTGAACTTTTTGATGGCAAAATACTCCGGTTTGTCGTCGTCGATATCATCGTCTTTATCGTGCTTGATCCGAGCCTTATAAACTTTCCCGTAAGTACCGGCGGCAATGTAGCCAATGATGTGGTAGCGCAAGAGAACCAGCTCTCGTGTCAAGTCCCGTCGGTGCTTGTAGGGCCCAATGGAGAGGATTGAGCTCAGAGCCATCTCGCCGCGAGCCACTACCGTCCGCGGCGATGAAGTTGTGCGACTGGGCTCGGCTGCCACGCCCGGCGGCGTGACGTAATTTAGAGATGAACTACGAATGTGTAGGTTTCGATTGGCAGTGGTAAAACTATCAAATATGGATGTTTTCGGTTCCGAAGCGGTGCTGATGTGAGTGAAGCTATCAATAGCGGCGAAAAGTGCGGATTTGTGGGGAACATAATGTTGCCTGGCCCAAATGATTGTGGCAATTGGTTGAGTGCCCCTACTCAGCGAAACTGGTGGCGGTAAACGATTACGATCAGATATCACACCCCATGAATTGAATAGTATTCACATGTTTAAGTGATCGCGACTATTTGGGTGTTCGCAAAGATATTTCAATAATTCTCGTAGCATCCACGTCGTATTTGGCTAATTTATGTTGTCGTTCGGCGAGTTCCGCACTATTGTTTGAGACCCCACGATAACTCCGACATCTACAGCTATTAGCAGAACCGCGACTAACGCCGATCGTTTCCAATCTTACTCCTCACAAAAACACATCACGCTAAAAAGAGAAATAGCGTTTGGCCTCATCACTAGTTGGTTACTACTCTTATGTCTTTTCGAATGGAATTATACACACCCTTTGAAATTGTTCAATTTTTGACTCTCGCTTACGTTAGTTGGAAACCCCTCCTTCTCAAAGCCTCACCAACACAGCTTCATCCCAATTTAGCCACCAGACCCCAACAATTTGAACGGGAAACTACAAAAAGACTAAATACCAACAAAATGATCATCACTAGGGTGTCGCTATTTGTCAACTCTTGGTCGACTCCTCACTCGTTGGCATCTCGCGCTAGCCAATCATCTGAAAGCCAATGTCAACGCGCGCTTCCTGCAGGCCAAAATTTTCCACCCTCTCACAGGTCCCCCAAAACCTATATCCTCGATCGCATTACTCCCACGTTTGGTACGAGATGATCAGACAGTTTAGAAGTGCCCGTCGGTTGTTGTCCTCGACGACCAGACGGTTGGCCGAGGTCGAGGTCACCATTGACGGCCGCAAGGTCATGATTGAGGCGGGGCTGTCCATCATCCAGGCCGCCGAATTGGCCGGGGTCCAGATCCCCCGTTACTGCTTCCACGACAAGTTGGCCATCGCCGGTAACTGCAGAATGTGCCTTGTTGACGTCGAACGCATGCCCAAGCTCATTGCCCTGTGTGGTGTCCCCGTTCAAAACGGCATGGTCGTCCACACCGACTCCGAGCGGATTAAGAAAGCTCGTGAAGGCGTCACCGAGATGTTGTTGCAAAACCACCCTCTCGACTGTCCCGTGTGTGACCAGGGTGGTGAGTGTGACTTGCAAGAACAATCGCAAAGATACGGTCTGGACCGTGGTCGTTTCCACGAAGTCGCTGGTAAGCGCGCGGTGGAAAACAAGGCCATCGGCCCCCTCGTCAAGACCCTGATGAACCGTTGTATCCACTGCACCCGTTGTGTGCGTTTCATGAACGACATCGCCGGCGCCCCCGAATTCGGTACCGCCGGCCGTGGTAACGACATGCAAATCGGTACGTACATCGAACGTAACATCAACTCGGAATTGCTGGGTAACATCATCGACTTGTGTCCCGTCGGGGCCCTTACGTCGAAGCCCTACGCTTTCCGTGCCCGTCCTTGGGAACTTAAGCGTACCGAAACCATCGACGTCATGGACGCCCTCGGTTCCAACGTCCGTGTCGACACCAGAGGTATCGAGGTGATGCGGGTGTTGCCTCGTTTGAACGACGACATTAACGAAGAATGGATTTCTGACAAGCTGAGATTCGCCTGCGACGGTCTCAAGACCCAAAGATTGACCCAACCCTTGATCAAGAACGGTGACCGCTTTGAAATTGCCACCTGGGACGAAGCCTTATCCACCGTTGCCGCCGCCTTCAACCGGATCAAGCCTCAAGGCAACCAAATCAAGGCCATTGCCGGTGGCTTGGCTGACGCCGAAGCCATGGTTGCCCTTAAGGACTTGGTGAACAAGTTGGGTTCCGAAAACACCACCGCTGACGTTGCCGTCTACGGTAACGCTGACATCCGTTCGAACTACACTTTTGGTTCTACTATCGACGGTATCGAAGACGCTGACCAAATCCTCCTTGTTGGTACCAACCCCAGATTTGAAGCCGCCGTGCTCAACGCCCGTATCCGTAAGGTTTGGTTGCGTCTGGACTTGGAGGTCCACCACGTCGGTCAAGAGTTCGAATCCACCTTCGACAAGGGTCACTTCGGTACTCTGGCTGCCGACTTAAAGAAGGCTCTCGACGGCGAAGTCGGTAAGAAGCTCGCTGGCGCCAAGAAGCCTTTGATTATCATTGGTTCGGGTGTGGCCAACTCCGAAGACGCCGACGCTGTCTACAAGTATGTCGGTGACTTTGCCAACGCCAACGCTAACTTCACCGCTCCCGAATGGAATGGTGTGAACGTGTTGCAGCGTGATGCCGCCCGGGTGGGGGCTTTGGACGTCGGTTTCCACGTCGTCGACCCCGCTGTGGCCAACACTGAAGCTAAGTTTGTCTACTTGCTCGGTGCTGATGAATTCAAGCCCGAAGACATCCCCAAGGACGCCTTTGTCATCTACCAAGGTCACCACGGTGATGTCGGTGCCCTGTACGCCGACGTGGTGTTGCCCGGTTCCGCCTACACCGAAAAGAACGCTACTTACGTCAACACCGAAGGGAGAACCCAACTGACTCGTGCTGCCACCAACGGTCCGGGTGCTTCGCGTGAAGACTGGAAGATTGTCCGTGCGGTCTCGGAATACTTGGGTGCCACTTTGCCCTATGACGACCTCATCGCCGTGAGAAACCGTTTGGGTGAAATTGCTCCCCACTTGGTTCGTTACGATGTCATCGAACCCACCTCGGTTGACATCGCCAAGACTGGGTTCGCCCAATTGGCTCTGAAGGAAGTGTCGGTTGCCGGTAAGCCCTTGACCAACCCCATCGACAACTTTTACTTCACTGACGTCATCTCGCGGTCGTCGCCCACCATGGCTAAGTGTGTCGCCTCGTTCGGGGCCAAGATCGACAAGATCAAAGACGACAAGCCCGCCATCAACTTTTAAACCCCACTGACTAATTGCATGTTACGAACTCAGGCTTGTCCTGGTGAGAAGTAGATCCTAAAAATAAATGAGATAGTAAACTATTGTGGCATTGAGCCTATTGATGGAAAACATACCAATCAAAATGGGTTAAATTAACTCAACTTTGAAAAATCAATTTTTTTTTATTCAATTCATTCTATCTAATTCGAAATCAGGTTGGGAAATTGCCCTTACGAGGACCAAAATAACCATCCGGAGCCTGTAAGGTGGCATTCAACAAGGCGCCTTGCTTTCCCTCATACCCGAAGTACAGCACTTCGCTGCCCCACCAGTCAATCAGTTTGTCGTGGTAATATACAGCAAAGTAAATGATGATTGACAGGAATGCCACACCGGCTGTCAACCCGGCCAGCAAAATGTAATTATATTTAGCCCACCACGCATTCATACGACTCCGAATGTACCCCATGAAGATAAGCGAAAAGTATAAGCCCATCGTGTAGTATGACAAGTTATAAGGAGCCCAGATCATCATGCCCATGAGGAGAACTGTTGGCTGGAACTTTCTGGTAATTCTTCTGGGCCCGTACAACTTAAAAGCAAGGCATAAGGCGCCAACACAGGCACCAATAAGGAAACACCACTTGAATATAGGATACAACTTGAACGACTTTTGAGGACCAATAACACCCCAAATTACCAGCGCCAGGTAATACGTGCCACTGCCAGGGCAAGTGAACTTTTGTTTGTTATCGGGTTCACAATAGTCTGGGATTCCAGTCATCAAATATTCCATCATCCCAAGAGATATGAAGCAGCAAATAAACGTTGAAAGTAATTGACACCGGAATAATGCCCGAGGCGGAATCAGAGCATAGTGAGTAAGCTTCTGATCAGAAATGTAGGTTTGGGCTTGACTATCAATGTTCGTGCCAATTGCTTTCACATACATGAGGGCCAAGCCATTACCGGGAAGTGCATATCCAATGATAAGTTCGATCAAAACGTTAAGAGCAAAAGTAGATCCCGTCACAGCCACCAAGATAGTTAATGGGACCAAAAATACCAAATTGAGTGCTAACGCAAAAAAGATGGTCCATACGGGAGTTCGAGCCGGATAGATTTGGACACAAATGATTGACAAAACGGTGGAGATTACCAAGATTATTGTGAATGCCCACTCAGGAACCTCCTTGTACCGCTTCATTCTATTCGTGAATGGATCATCAAAACCATCAAATACCAGTGACGTCCGCCAGTTGCGAAGCAGTTTGTAGAATAACTTCAAGGAGTGCCATATTTGTCGCCACTTGGAACCAAATTCGTACACTACCAGAAACAAATAAATTGCAAAGAAAACACCATATGTGAAAAGATTGGCAGCAGAGTAGAAAGGGGGTCCCACTTCTAAGTACTTGTCATTATCAAACAACAGTTGCTTGTTAAGCACAGAAGTCACTTTGAACATTTTCCCCTTGTTGGTCCACAACCGGTTACTGTTGATGGGTATGTAAGCAGTCCATTTGTAGTTGGAGTAGTATATACCAACAATAATGAAGAAACTCAAGAACGCGCCGATGTAATTAGTTACCGACGTAAGGAGCGGAGACAGAAGAGGGTTTCCCATATTGATAACATTCCAATCGAAACTAGTAATTGGATTCAATCCAAGCCCATTGTTGGACCCTGTGATGTTAACAAGATCAATATCAGTGGGTTTGATCCAAGATATCCAGTTAAACGTGGATAAAAACGGCATCAAGTAGTTAGGTACCCAAAAGTAAAGGAAACTCGCAACAAAACAAATGAAGAAAAACTTGTATGCTGAGATTGTCCAACCGTTGATACGCTCCTTTTTGGCAGGTTTCATAAGAGTCTTATTTAAGGCCAAAGTGGGCAATTGAGTGGGCCACATACACTGAACAGGGAAGACAACAAATTTGCGCAACAAACCAGCAAAACCAAAACCCATGAATTGAGACAGTAACATAATCAACACTTCGTAGCCAAATGTTACCCAAGTCTGACCATAAAACGCAGGCATTCTCTGAACTTGAATGGTGTAAAATACGTAAGGAGTACCCGACGATACTGAGTAAAACAATGTGCAAAGCAATTGCTCCTTGTAGTTCCATGGTCCAGGGTTCAACGACATTTTGTACTTCCCAAAACCAATGTTCCATTTTGGTAAAATTGCAGCCGCAAGTAATCCGCATGGATACAACAATACTTGCACAACTGAAGTGCCCAATCCAATACTGGGCTGCCGATCGTTAAAAAAGGTGTTGATCACAGCGCCGAGACCTGTCCAGATTGTACCGATAATGTATACTCTCAAAGTCTCGGCAGGAAGAGAGGGGTCATCAAATGGATCCGTAACAGACCGCACCTCCACGTAAGGTGACCAAAAGGCAATGATTGTGGCTTCTAAGCGAGCCTGAAAATTCCAGTCGATAATCTTCGTGTAGTCAAAATTTTCTTCATCCTCCAGTAAGATGTCTCCATGTAGATTCTCTGAAACGTAAACATCTCCTTTAGATTTTTCAGCATCCAGATCAAGCAGAGGGACATCACTGCTATGCTCATGTGAGATAAGACGCTCCCAAAGTTCCATATCCTTGGTGACAATATTGTAATCATCGTCATGGTCTTTGACGGCTTGCTTGAGAATCTTAACTGCCTCATCAATGGAAAGCGAATCAACTTTATCGATAATGAAAACCGCATCCGCAGGTAAATCATTTAAGGCGTCTAACCCATGATAGTTCAAACGAAGCAAAACAAACTTTTTTTGTGCAGCGGTAAGATGGGCCCCTACTTCACCAAGCAGGTACTGGTGGGACGTGATTTCATCCAACTTGACTTCATGCGCACTTGGATCTCCGATAGTTCCCAGACTCTTGATCGTATTCAAAAGGTCTTCGGCCATTGTGAAGTGACGGGAATCTATTCAAATTGAAAAAATGACATTCTTGAATTGAAATATATGATCGCCAATCTATGGATGCCCTTCCTTGTACGGCTCTGAAAAATTACTAAAGTCGTATCTGACAGCATTCGCGATTGACTGCATTCGCGGGGAAAGTCTGATAATTCCGCACGGAATGTTTAAGATTACCGCGTGATTTAGTTTCTGCAGGGGACCTGTCAATTTAAACGAGCTTGCAAGAATGATGACCCATGCTGAAAATTATAAACTTCTTTTCGGATTTTTAATCTAGTTCTTGAAAAAGGGAATGATTATTAGCTGGGTAGAACTGAGGTGGCGGTAATAAAAAAAGACTCAAGTGTGGCTTCTCGATAAGGGTGCGCACTTTGAAATAGCAACGTGCTGCGCATTTTTATGCGGCCTTTAATTGTCTGCTGCGCGGCAGCTCTTTAGTCTATGGCCCCTACGATAAATCAGGGTTCTATGTGACATCGAGTTAAACTTCAGATAGTGTCTGGTAAAACGGTTTTGTATAGAGAGTATCGTCATTTTGCTTTTGTATCAAGGAAGTTCACCGGTTTTTTCGTGCAATGTCATTGGATGACGTATGTGCTTGGTTGAGTTCATGCACACTTGTATTTTGTGTTTGAGCCGAAGCTTATGATCCATTTCAACGTGGGGCTCCATTGAGCCACACAATCGCCTAAGTTGCATACCCGCCTTTTCGTCCCAGGTGGCATCCGAGGTGAACCTTAAAAACTTCCGAGATTTCCGTTGTTCCCGAAAAGGTTTTGTAGAATCTCCACATATTTCGAGGAATCCGCTTTTTGGCCACCCCATTGGAGGTACGCGCCTGCAAATAGGGTTAAGTGAGTTTGAGAATGCATTAAACGGGATGCATGACTGCATAAGGCAAATAAAAGCGGACTATTGAAAAGTTCTTGATTCTAGTAGACAGATGAAAATAAAAAGAATTGAAGACGACTATGGGTTGTTTCAGTAATACCCATTTGGTTTCAGTGGTCCAATCTATCTTTAATTAGGGCTTGTATGAACATTTGTTGGGGCTGCTTGCACAGCCAAGATGATTTGCGAAACTCAAAGTGAGCCGATATTTGTCTCCACAGCCTCGAACGACAAGAAAACCTCAAGGTAATGATGAGTTATGTGAACTATGAAATGACGCCTGAAGGAATAGTCTAGCCATGGAAATGTGACTCTACTTTGAACATATTTTCTGTGAAAGAATGCCATAGCAAATTTCGGAGGGATTGCAAAGAATGTTAACAACGAATGGAGAGAATTACTCGTTAATTGATTTTACAAAACTATGTACAGGTATCATCATCGAATATTTACATTAACCTGAGCATGCCTCGCAACCTTGGGGATCGCTTAAGTTGCAAACAACAGGCGTGGTGTCGTAGATGTCATAATCAATTTCATTACTTGATGCTGTCTGGGACAACATCAGATTTCGGCGAATTCGCTTACGCCGTTGTGTATACTCATCGGTTTCCAATTCAACGCGGTCTGCCAATGCGTAGCGCTTACGACTCAACCGTTGAAGCAGTGGTCGTGACGACCGTCTCGTCAATTCAGACTCGTCAACAGTAAATTGAATAGCCCTCAGCGCAGCCTTTGTTCTAAGATAATACATTCCAGTCTTGAGACCTCTAGACCACAGATAAAAGTGGCAACTAGTAAGCTTGCCGAAAGTGGGTTTATCCATGAAGATGTTCATACTTTGGGATTGGCAAACAAATCGAGCCCGATCTGCAGCCATGTCGACAATCAGTCTTTGAGGTATCTCCCATACCGTCCGATATAAAAGTTTGAGATCATCGGGGATGTTACAATTTTGCACCGAACCAGAGTCCTTGATTACCTGATTACGGGTATTGTTATCCCAAAGACCCAAATCAATTAAATCTCGAAGTAAGTACTTGTTCACAACTTGAAACTCGCCACTGAGCACACGCCGGGTGTACAAATTATTGGTGTAAGGCTCAAAACACTCATTGAAGCCGAGAATTTGCGAAGTGCTAGCAGTAGGCATGGGACCCACAAGAAGCGAGTTGCGCATCCCCAGTGACTTCACGCGTTCTCGAAGCTCGTCCCAATCACTGTAAAGCCCTGTAAGCTTCGATTCATCCCACATGTCAAATTGAAGTTTCCCTTCGCTGGCGGGGCTACCAGCGAACAGTTCATATGGCCCTTCAACCTCTGCAAGTTCGACTGATGTCTCCACTGCAGCATGGTAAATGGTCTCAAATATTTGCTTATTCAAGTGCACGGCGTCGGGGCTGTCGAAGGGCAATCTGAATTCGAAGAATAGATCGGCCAAACCCTGTACACCAATGGCAAGTGGGCGGTGACGCTTGTTTCCAAGTTCTGCTTCCGGAACTGGGTATCGAGTAACATCAATCACTCGATTCAAGTTACGTGTCACTACTTTGGTGACGTAATGAAGCTGCTCGAAATCGAAAGCTATTTCCTCGTCGTTAACACGTTTGACAAAACTAGGCAACGCCACCAGGGCGAGATTGCACACAGCGGTTTCTTCTGGTGAGGTATATTCGATGATCTCACAACATAAATTCGAACTTTTGATAGTTCCCAAATGTTGCTGATTAGATTTGCGATTGCATGCGTCCTTGAAGAGTAAGTACGGACCACCAGTTTCAGTCTGCAGTTCGAGAATTGCGTGCCAGATTCGTTGAGCCTTTACCTGGCGCCGAAACCGGCCCTCCTTCTCGTACTTCGTATACAAATTGACAAATTCATCCCCCCAAACGTCACTTAATCCAGGTGCCTCATCAGGACTAAAGAGCAGCCATTCGTCATTCTCCTTGACTCGCTCCATAAACAAGTCCGGGACCCAAAGCCCGTAGAAGAGGTCTCGAGTACGTTTATCTTCATTACCGTAGTTCTTCCGCATATCTAAAACATCAAAGATATCGGCATGCCACGGCTCGATGTATATGGCAAACGCTCCGGGGCGATTACCGCCTTGATCGACGTAGCGAGCAGTGTTATTGAACACACGTAGCATGGGAACGAGCCCATTGGAACGCCCGTTGGAACTGGCGATGTATGCGCCCTCAGCTCTCACGTCGTGTACGTGAAGTCCGATACCTCCCCCAGCTTTCAGAATAAGGGCTGTTTCAGTGAGCGTTTTGTAGATTCCTTCGATCAGATCCTTCTTTGTAGCCACCAAAAAACATGAGCTGAGAAAGTTATAAACATTCCCAGCATTGAACAAGGTCGGCAGAGCGTGAATAAAATACTTTTGCGTCATAAGCTCATAGGTTTGAAGCACATCGTCCATGTTATCACGATGAATCTCGATTGCCACTCGCAAGAACATAAACTGAGGGATTTCAGCGCATTTGTTATTAAGCTTGAGGAGGTAGTTCGACATCATAGTCTTCATACCGAAGTATGTGAATTCGAAGTCCCGCTCCTTGCAAACGATCTTATCCAAAAACTCGGCATTGTCCTCAACAATACGAAAGAATTCTGGGCTGATGACGCTGTACCGTTTTTTCGTTCTGAGGTCAATCGCACGGTACAAGCGAGCCACATTCTCACTAAACAGATAGGGAACATCGCGGTGAAGTTTAAATGCTTCCACTCTTCCAGCAACCATGGAAAAGTCCGGGTGGTAGATGATTCGAGACGCTAGCTGCTGTGCCACGAGATCGAGGACCTCGTCAAGTGTGGCAACTTCAGGAAGATGGCGCTCAATGTCATTAACAAGAGCAGCGGCGTTCAAATTCGGATCAAGGTTGTACAGAAGGTCATTGATAAGCTTAACAAGCTTGTCTGGATTCAAGTCGTACTGTTTGGAGCCTTCTTTAAAATGTCGTAGAACCTTGGTCATATAGATGAGGCAACCTCAAGCGCTCGCGATGATTTGTAATTGCGAAAAAGACAAGAGCCCACGCCCGGGTTCGAACCGGGGACCAACAGATTTGCAATCTGCTGCGCTACCACTGCGCCACGTGTGCATCTTGTGTTTTTGAGACTACTATGTAAATCATCACCAGCGTAACGTTTACTGACTCAAGATTTTAATAATTTATTGTTTAAAATTTCTTTTTGGTAGTGTAGTTGAGTAAGGTTTATATTAATAATGCAGGCTGTAGTTCGGTTTGACGTGAAATTGTTAACAACCGATGCAAATGAGAGTTTTCGTTGAGAGAATCTACAATTATGTGTTGAGTAACTTTGTCCATCGATTATATGAATATTCTAGCTATAGACCTATACAAGTGCCTATACATGCCACAAAACAGACCCCAAATCTACAAAAATCCTGGGAAGGGAGACCCATCTACCCCCCTTACCAGTCCAAACACGGCCAGTGACAGTCGATGGAGTGCCATCAGTTCTCGCGCGAGGTCCAAGCATACGCGAGCATACGCTTGTTGGCCGACCAGGGCTAATCTGTCGTTGCGGATACAAACAGACGGGATGTCTTGCCTACCGCCCATGGGGGATGTGTATGAAGGTGCACTATCTCCCCCGCCTACGGGATGGTCATGGAGTGTTACTGGTTGCAGCGTGACAGAACACGAGTCAAGTCCAGCGAGCAGTCGACTCAGCCGCCAATCCTTCGAATTCTTGGTGGCTGGGGGCGACCTAGTAAATCAGCAAACAGCGAGCAGCGAGTAGTAGCCTCAACAGCGAGCAGTAGCCTCAACAGCGAGTAGTAGCATCAGTAGAAAGCGTCAGTCAGTATCGGGTACCATGGTAGTGGGTCACGGTCCCAGGTGGTGGCAGACCTGAGTGGATTTCAACTCATAAGAAGTCGCCAAGCAAAAGGTGAAGATGATGAAGAAGAAGAGCAAGTAGCCCGCCTTTTATGTTGTTGCTGGAGGCCAGTTCTGGATATAGTACCCCCCTAAAGTCGGGTGCATTCTTTGTTTCCGACTTGACCCGTCTAAAGTTGACGACGCATAGCGTTCCCCGCATTCCATCGACGAAACAGCCAGGATTTCGTGTAATGAACAAGTTAGGTAAACGACCCGAAGCTCCACTGGGACAACTTGACGTGCTTGAGATAGCCAACGTCTAAGGGTAAATCTTGATAGTTATGGAATACTTCGTTTCTTATGTGGAGCTCCTTTTTGCCCGCGTAGACTCCGCTAGTTGACGATGCAATGCAAGATGGGCACGGGAAACACGCCATTGAAGTGGGTTCAGCCAGCCCCGGCCTGATTCTAGCCTGTCGCGGCACAGCCCTGGGCCTTGTTCTCACACGAGGTGCGCACGCCATCTCCGATCAGCTCAGCAGTAGTCAGGCACAGATTACCTTGACGACGGATACAATTGCAAAGGCGGGTAACTCTTCATTAGTTTCGGATTCCATGCCAGTGTGCAGTACAGGGGCATAAAAGGGCCAGCATCCCCTGTCAATACTCTCCAGTCAGTTTCTTTCTCTCAGCGCACCACTCAATCCCCCCGATAAGCTTCGAAGACTTCGGGGGGCTGGGTGAGCCTTGTGTCAGCCACCGATAAGCTTCGAATACATCGGTGTTTGGTGCAAGCGTGTCTTTGCACCATCCAGCCACTGATAAGCTTCGAAGACTTTGGTGGTCTGGAAGGATACAGAGTGAGTGTGTCGGCGGCCAATATACTCAGCCTCGATGCCTCGCTCTCTGCCGCTGCGGGCCCACCAAGTGGGGGGTGGTGGCAGTTCTTTTTGAATTCTCTTTGTCACTGACCTCCCAGCTAATGACAGATAAACTTCGAAGGAACCTCGAGGTTGGTCTTTTGTATATAGTCAATGCATAGTACGGGATTCACAGCTTGTAGCTCACATTCACTTGGAGCACACTCACAACAGTTTCAGTGGCCAAGAAACACCTCAATTGGTATAGGTTTTTCCATAAATTTCACCTTCAATGGATGCGCTTTCAAGTTCAGGTTGGTTGCCGGTGCATAGATTATCGCGCTTGTTGGGCGAAACATGAGCGTTTGTCATAGTCTAGTTTAAAAACATTAAAACATTTGAATTTCATTCATATACAATCTGAGACACATCTTCCTGTATTACACTACAGAGAGAGCATCTCTGTCGTGAGGTTAGGGAATACACAGTAAATATAAAATTTATTTTCCTGATTGGTGGTGTCCTTACATCACGTAGTCTGTAATCGCTACATGACATTTCAGGTACAATTCTTCGGTATTCGGAAGACCAACGATATATGGTTTTACGTGACCCATTGTACACTTTACAATTCATCGTACTCATCCAGCCAGCTGTCTTCGTCGTCTTGATACATTTCTTTGTTGGCACCAACAATGTCGTCTTCGTCAACACTAATTATTTCATCATCTGACCCGTAGTAGACATATTCAATATCGGCAGGATCGAAGCTATCGGCGAAACGACTATCATAGTTGGTATGAGGATGGTCTTCATCATACATCCCAGCATCACTCAAAAGTTCATCAAGGTGATCAGCATCATATTGCAGCCACCTTTCGTCTTTGTTGTCGTTAGGATGATTGCGCGGTTTTTTTGCCAAATGCAAGTCATTTCCTTCCAATACTTTCTTCAAATCACTCACGTCTAATTTGAGTTCAGCGGCGATGTTGTCGTAGTGATCATCAATATCAATCTCTGGCTCTTTGCCCTCAGCTGGAGGCCTTATCTGGAAGTTTCCCCATTGACGGTCTTGTCGATCAAAATACTCAAAATTGTAATGACCCGCAGAAAACTTAGGAGGATCAATTGCATCGCCATCACCGTCGGTCATGGTATTGGGATCGATCCAGTGGTACCAGAAAAGGTCCTCCTGACTGGACACGTCCTCATCATCAACAGTGTTGCTGAGTTTCACAACTGCTTCTAAAGCACCCCCCATATTGTAGATCTCGTACCACACCACGAACTTATCCGACCATTTCAATGGAAGTAAAGCTGGACCCAGCTGGGAGCTGAATTGCACTGGCAGGGGTAACTTTCTTGACAATGATTTGCGGAAAACATTAACGAAGTCACCTTCAAGCGTCTCCGCCGGTGAACTGTGAAAAATGACATGACGTCGGCCATATTTGCCTCGACCTTGACCATAACCATAAAAGAATCCCTGGCCCATAGAGTCGATAAAAAAGTCATGCATATTCACTTTTGTCCCACGAGGTGGGAACCCTTGAAACTTGATGGGGTAAGCAAATTCCTCGAACTGGTCAGCAGAAATGATAATATCTGAGAATGCCAGCGAGTCGATTCTTTTGCATGTAATCGGGATCGCATCCTTATCGGAGTTGGGTGAAAACTCGGGGAGCTCACAAAGACCCGGTACTGACACCACCATTTGGTAGCGGCAAATTTGCACCTCCACCAAGTCGACAATCTTCGGGTGGCGACCTTCACCACATTGATATAATACATCAATCAGCCTTGGCTCTTTGGTGAGGTCACAAATGGATCCGTCATCAAGTTGATGAGCAATAAATAAGGTAGGGGAATCGGCATCGATGTGGTCTGATTCGACAAACAGATGGAACTGCGAGTTATGAAGGTGAAAATCATTAGGGTCCAACCGAGAGTTTCCGGGGCTCTGGTTATAGAGGGCGTCCTCAGTATACTTGGCGGCGTTCTTGAACCGACCAAGCGTGTATATGGTATCATGTTCGCCCACCTTATACGCCCCCGTCTTGTGCCACGCATCCAAATCCTGGTTGTACTGGACGATTTTATCGCCTAGGCAGTAGCCGTAGGTCCAGTAAGCGTTGTGCCAGTTGATTTCGAACACGCAGGAGTCCTTTTGAAACGACTTTTGGACAACTTCCACTGCTCGCCGAAGCAAATCGGGGGCCATGGTTTTATTGACTTTAGTTTCCATTACGGGGATCTCGGGGATTTGACAAAGAAATCGTGATTCCGGTCCTTGCGACACAATCTCAAACTGGCTTGGGTCCATGGCCACAAACTGAGCCGCCGCCGCTTCGGGGACGACACCCTTATCGTAGACGACGTCGAGATCATGGGCCCACGCAACCGCTAGCAACGTCAAACACACCGCTCGTCGAAACATGATCCAGTGTTTAGTGGTGTAACCTCAAGGTAGTGGGGTGGTGATTCCGTTCCTGCCTCAATTTGCCGTCGAGTGGGCCGTTCAGTTATCAGCGCCTCAATATCGAACACGCGACCGCGCACCCCAAACCATGCTACTGAATGCCTCCACCAGCTCGCTTGCCTCAGTAGAGGGGGGCGAGAAGGGTCTCAATACCAATACGTTGGATGCTGGAGAGGTCCGAAACGGCAGTGCCGAGGAAAAGAAGAAGGTGAGCGTGTTTGACTTGCTGGAAGAGATCCTGGCGAACTTGACCAAGATCAACAAGTTGATGGAGTCCCACGAAGCCGAAACCTCGGAGCGGGTGACGAAGTTGATGAAACGGGTGGGTAAGATTGAAGAGCTGTTCAAGCAATGACGGCCTGGTGCTTGATTTGGAGCTTTAGATCGTCAGTGTGTCAAGCAAGCATAGTGTGAATGTGGTGATGGCATTTTCATTTGTAACTAATTCATGGTACTTTCTATATAATCAGCCACTAAATAGTAAAGTACACAGAAAAGGACACTGGATTTTAAGGTATGTGGTGTGACGGTTATAGGGCCCTCACTTCTCATCGTGCGGCTCCTCTATCCATACTATGGGACCAAAGCGGTCGAAGAACGCCTACCGGCGGGCCCAGGCGAAAAAGCGAAAGCTTGAAGCCACTAGCGTGCCTACTAAGGATACAAAACAAACCCCAGTGGAAGCCATCAGTGCTGAGCTGGCTCAATCTGACGCTGCTTCCTCCAAACCTTCCGAACCGCTCGAATCACTTGCCATTGATGAAGACGAATTATACGAACAATTTGCGGGTGTATTTAAGAGGTTCAAACCAGCTGAAACTTCCCAAGCTATGGTAGTTCGTGAAGAGCCCGAAGAAACATCCTCTGCTGATGATACGAATGATCATCAAGAGGACAAACAAATTGAGGAAGAGCCGACTAAATTGCTGAAGCGACAGCAACGAAAACAAAACCGCGTGTCATTGGCTGATCTCAAGCTTTCCACGAGATTTCCCCAGTTAGTTGAAGCGACCGATGCCGATGCTCCGGACCCTTATTTGCTGGTCAAGTTCAAAACGCTTCCTAATGCTGTCCCCGTACCAAGCCACTGGAAGAGCCGAAAGGGATTCCTTACTCGGAAAGGCATTGACCGCATGCCATTCAAGCTTCCCCAATATATTGCTGATACCGGGATTATGGAAATGAGGCATGACCCGCTGGAACTGACGCTCAAACAGCAACAGCGAAGCCGGGTACAAGTGAAGCTTGGTCGACTCGACATTGACTACAATAAGCTTCACGATGCTTTTTTCAAATTTCAGTTTGAGTCTCCCCCTCGCCTATACAAATTTGGTGATGTGTACAGCGATACACGAGATGAGTCGACACTATCCGATGCTACAATTCAGACCTTCCGACCCGGGGTGGTCAATCTGGAACTCCGCAAAGCTTTGGGTATGCCTGAAAACGACATGAGTTTGCCGCCGCCATGGATTAGCGTGATGAGACAAATCGGTAAGCCGCCTGCGTATGCTTATCACCAGATACCTGGGATTGATGGTGAATACAATAATCGTGGTTATCAGGAGCGACAAAAGAAAGGCAAGCTTGGAAACTACGGTGAGAAATGGGGGGTGTTGGCATTGGTGGAGTCCCTGGAGGACGAGGACGACGATGAAAGTGAAGACGAACAAGAAGAGGAAGAAGACGAAAATGGTCAGGAATCCAATGACAAAAACAATTCCAAACCTGATACCAAGGTCAATGCTGAACCAGTGGAGAGAGTTGAAATCACATCGATGGACGCAAGACCCAATGCTGACTCCAATAAAAGCTTCTACACTGTGGTCAATGAGAAGAAAAGCTTAACCGAAGTTCTCCGCGAACAAACTGTTGAGCACCAACAAAGTGAACCTAAGCCCGAAAAGAAGAAGCCGAAGCTGGATATTACTGACTTCAAATTTTGAGATAAGATCGATTTGTTCATTAAAGTATTACTATATTAAAGGGTTGCATATGGCCACAAGGCCCCGCCATAAATGGTCACTTCAAAGTCCAGCTCTGAGCATGTCGTCGATTTCGTGAAATTTGTCTGCAAGGCAACGATCCCTGATCCACTAAATTGGTGGGAGTTGGGCTAGTTTTGGGGGCGTGCCAATCTATTCGTGACCACAGGCTGACGTCGATAGCTCCCTTAGCGTCGTAGTGAGGGTTATTAGCTATATTCGAGTCAGAGAGGATCATTGGTAGTCGGTTAACGAAAGTGGGAAGTAGAGACAAGGGGTGGTTTATATGGATAATGGCATGAGGACACGTCAAATGGTTTGTGGAGGGGTATTAGGGGTTACGTGGAAGCTGTTGGAAGCATGACTGGGGTAAATGTTGGGTGGAGGCTGAGAATGTAGGTGTGTGTATACTAGTACCTACATGGAAGCTGGTAGAAGGTTCTCCTATTTTCTGAATGCGGTAGAAAAGTGAGGTGTAGAAATTGGACCGCGGGGCCGCGTGGACGGATTCCCCACTCAGCTTAGTGTGGCGAAACCGTTTAGGTGTCGTCTTCCCGCCAAGGCAAGCAATCTGTTCCATGCGTTTGTCTGTCACCGGAGATATCAGGCAGTTTAACTTTTTGGCAATGACGACATCTTGCATATTTACGAAGGTGCCACCGCCACTATTTATCATTCGTCGTCAACCAGCATTTTCATGAAGATAGGGGGTGGTTATCGGAAATCAATATATACGCTTGATAAGCGAAGGCAACTACTGTGGCATTGATGCCTGTTCTTCATTGGAGTCGTCAGTGTGAGAGCAACGGTTGTGGCTGAGACATTGTGGCGAATTTAGTGAAACTCGACACCACAATCAGCCTCACCGCAACTGAAAGGCCATGCACAATGACATCGAGGTGACACGAAGTCCACGCATCGAGAGCACTCACGTTGCGAGCGAGGACGCACTGGATGCCGTACAGCCTCGCCCCACACAGCAATCGGAACAAATACCTGGAAATACATGGTTGCTACGAGCCCACCGTCGTGATCAGTGCTCCCGTGCCACTGATCCCGTGCCATTGCCAAGGTCAATTGGTCTCGGAGCCGCTGCCATTGACTCCAAATCAATTAATTGATAAACCAATTGAGTTGTATGAGCTGAGATGGATCATCGTCCAGTGGAATGCGTGGTATACGAAATCGTTTGGACAATGCTCAAATTCTCCTGGCGTGAAACACCGCTGCTGCACCATTGCGTCGGTAGCACACTCGTGGCCTTGCCTATTCTACCCCGTGAGGGGGGCATGCTCCACTTTTTAGCAACCACCACCAACCTTCCTAAAATTGAGCCACTACTCCAAAATGGCATCATGAGCCTAGTTAAACCACTACGTAGACAATTAGGAGATCCGGAACTTAGCATTATCGGTCGCCAAAGCACATGTGTCAATGGAATTGTGACGCTTTTCTGCACCCCTGCTTCGCACCCTCCGAAGCGGTCGGCCCCCACCTGATTCGGCAGGTGTGTGAT